TGCATCATGAGATGTTTGTGCATCTTCTGGCTCGACACTCATTGGGTCATCCATTGTTCGGTTGCACAATCACATAGTTCTGAGTCTTCTTAAGTCACAGGTACATTATTGTCTTGATTCTTTTTAGTCATCTAACCAGAACTTTTGTGTTGCTCTCAGATCCGTTTCTACTCAGGTTATTGATTCCATGGTAACTTTTATAACTTATAACTTATATAGTATTGTTGAACAGACCATCCATTGTGTCTACAAGTGCTATTCAGATTTGATGGTTACGTCCTTATTTCAGATGCGACTACCCTTATTGTTTTTTTTTGTTTTTGTTTTTGCCCAATATGGTAGTCTTTTGGTGCCTCGACCCTCCCGCTTTCGGTCATAAATCCTTAAGTTCAGTGTTGCTATTTGGCTCCATCCCAGCCGCCCATGATGCCCAACATTCCCAAAGCTGTCCATCCTTTCTATGACCCGGAGCCTGGTGCTCCACCACCCTTCCCTCCCATGCTCACGGACCAACTTGAGCTTTTTGGAAAAGATCATTGTCGCCCAATGACACTGGTCGCCGATGAAATCCTAGTTCCTAAAGTGAACATTGTTGCCCCAACTACAAGGGCATCGTCCACACCCACCCCCGAGTTCAGACTTGCAAAGCAGTCACTCAAACATTCTGATCATGCTTCCTCTCTATACCTGAGGAAGGTTGCTTTGACATGTTCCCATTCTCGAACACCTATGCCCTCAGATTCAGAGGGCTCTTTGAATTCCTTGTTGGACAGTGGCTCCTCGGTTTCAAGCATAAATTTATTGGAAGACTCAAAAATTCCTAAACCTGTCGTTGAACCTGGACGTCCAGGGTGTGGAGGGTATACACTTTATGAGGCTTTAGATTGGAATCCAAAGGCATATGCAAAGTTCAAGGTGAGCAAAGTGTGCCGCAGCATTGCAAAGTAACTCACAAATAACCAGAAATATATGCATCACCTTATTGATGACCACCTTGACATGACAAAATGTGCTTCTGCTCAAAGTCCAACACTCTTGCAAGCTGTGTGCAACAAGGTGAACAATCTTCACCTCTCAACATTGTTGATGATCTCATGGTATCTTAGGCTCTCGACAAATTCCCAGACCTCGAGAACTACAGCAACTTATGGCCAGTCAACGATGTGATTATGACATGCCTGAAATACACGTCCTGTCGCGCTTAATGAAAGGACGGAGAGATGGCTTTAGGCAAGTGCAGGAGGTGACAAGCCAAGGTGGGTTTAAAATCCAGTTTTGCTACTACTAATGCCATGACTGATACTGATACCCACAGCAGTCTTTGCTCTGTGCACATTGGCTCTTGGAACCCACAACTATCTAATGGCTGTAGATACCAACATGTATTTGATAATTTACAAGCACTCCGTCCGCCTTCGGGTGATTATAATAAGAGATGTCTGTATATGTTTGCTGCCTTAAAAGTATAGCTGTTTGTGTGTGAATGAATCTGTCCATTCTAAGGCATTTCAACAGGTCTCATACACGCGGGACCCTTTTGTTTGTCTAGAGGCACTTGGATTAAAAATATAGATCCTGGTCTATTGATATGAAATAGCTTGTCCCATTGCACAACATTATAACTTGATTAGGAGGCTTTACTCCTCCACTACTAACAGTACATTTGCAGTCCAGCTGAAAATATTACGCTACCCCACACCTTGCCACTAGTTGATGGTTATTACAAAGGCTCAAAGGTTTCACAAGAGTGAGATCACATGGGAGCCTAGCCTTTGGACAACGACTTATGCTCTGTGCAAAGCTAACAAATAGTTAAGTTAGGCTTGATAAACCTGTTGAGTTTAACGACTCACTGGTGGATCATGAATTCAGCAAGTGCATTGTCTCTCCCTCACATGTTCACAACAGAATTTTTAACTCCAATCCTTGTAACTACTGTGTCACCTTGGAACTGATGATCATTATTGCTGAGGAGTGAATTGGTTCTGAGATGAAGATGCTGTTTGAAGAATATACAGAATTGATAAGTGTGTCTCCCTTCGTGTATAGTGACAAAGCAGTTGTGGACATAAGGCTGCACAGCAGCCTTCTCGAAGAGGCTTTCAGGGATTGGAAAGTGCTGAGCACTGTGTGAGTATCTGGAACATTGTGTCAACATTGTGACCTGACGAGGTCTGTTCCATGATGTAGAATACAACCTGCACGCGAGTGAAGCTCAGGAGTCTGGTTTGAAGGTAAACAAGGGCGCAAGAAGGATGGGGACAACTTATGGAAAATGTTTGAAGGACATATGTACAAGTGTTCACCATGCTGATAGATTGAATAAAAGTGGGCAATGAAGGCCATCATAGTGGTCCGGCTTTTAAATTAGAGAGCTTAGCATCGGAGTCACTACAACATAACCTACACAATAACCTACACTTTAATATTGATTTGAGGACATAGTTGGCAGTGATAGCAGGGAGCCGAACTAGTATAACAATAGTATCTGAAAATGGATGGCAAGGGTACCATAAAGGTCAACACAGGTAATTGTACGAACTTCCATAAAGTGTCTGGCTTGAGCATCAATGGGTTGGCAGTTGGAAAGGGTAGTTGTATGAACTTCCGTAAGGATGGTAATTGTATGTACTCATTGCAGCGTTGCGAAGGGTAATTGTATTACTCTTTATCGAAAAACAAAAGTACAAAAACAAAGTCTTTGTCAACAAAGAGTGGGTGCAGATAAATACACTATGAGCGGGCGACTACAGTAGATCATCTTTATCCGCAATATGCCTTTCTTTGACATATTTTTCATGAAGTCGACACAGTGTTACAAGCCACTAGCTCGTTTAACCACCTACAGTGGTTCCATTCATGCACTTGCAATTTCTAATGACGGGTGTATTCTTGCAGGTGGTGGTAAGCAGGCCAGGACTCAGCCATAGGCAGTGCTAAAAATAAGTAGGCACCAAGGGCATGAAACTCTGGGATATTAATTCTCGCAAGGAACTCGCATGTGTGTCTCATCACGAATCCAGAGGAACAGTCAGCTGTGCAGCTTGGGCTACAACAAGGCAAACTACAGCAGAGACCCTCTGTTACGGAACAGGCTTGGGCTATATCACATTTTTGTGTCATGGTCTCATAAATGTGAGCGCCCACACATGATGTCTATTGACCATCCATTAACAATGATAGAACATTTTTCAGGAGATTTGCGCAAGGAGACTTGGAGTGGGTTTTGAGATTACTTGCCTGCCATGTCATCCACCTTCTTCCGAAGGCAACCTACAAATTGTCATTGGAACAAGGAACAAAATGATTCAAATTCTCGTGCTCAATACAAGCTCGCAGCTCCAGTCCGTCTTCGTGGTGCAGCTTGAAAATACAGTGCCCAAGTCTGTAGCATTCATAGATAACAGAGCCATCTATGTCTTCGGGCTGTATGATGGCAAATTGTTGGTCCCATTACCGCAAAACTTTCACTTAATACTAATTATTGAGCAGCATGAAACTGCAGGATGAAGATGGTACTATAGTGCAAGAGATTAGCTGTAAATCACTGATGTGAGGGTGCCACTGCTCTCAATAAGCACACTACTGACATTATCCAGTGGCAACGCAGTGGTGTACCAAAAGTGTGGTGTTTTTGTTGTAGACAATGCAACAGATGGCTTTACGTTGTATCGTATTGAAGGCGAGGGGGAGCCGGTTTAAACATTCGTGACTGCTTTGCCAAGCGTGTCAGTCCCAAAGCAAGTGGCATTTGGAGAAGAAGGCAAGGTAGTTGTAGGAGGAAGTGATAACAGACTGGTGTATATATTCGATAGGAAGATGGGGCAGGTACTTGAAACCCTCCATCACGCAGATGCTGGCCTGGTAAAAACATTAGCCATGAGCATTGAGATTCTGCACAAAGAATGTCACTGAACTGGTTTTCAGACACACAATCTTGATGGCCACTGTACCATTGCTTGCGCTTCTCCAGAGGTAGGGTGTGTCAAAACCACAATCAAGATATGGGCACACAACTATGTGACACAGAGGGTATCCAAGATTCCTTCACAGAATTGTTGGTCCATCTCACAAACATTGACGATCCTGATGCAAATACTGGCAGTGTTGTTGATGAGCATGCTCCTGATATACTATAGAGACATGTTTTTTGTAAGTCAACCATCTGGCTGGCAGCAGTTTGACTAAGTTGCACCTCAGGACAGAGCGATGAATAATCTGCACCAGTATATGACTTCAGCAAGAATGGTCAATGCAGCCAACAACTTTTCCTGACAAGTCAAAGCAGCCATGATGTTTGAGAACTATGAGTATTTAGACATGGACATGGAGAAGGAAGACCAAATGGAAGGACCCAAGAATGACATCAGGACGCTCCATGAACTGGCAAAGAAACTCATGGAGCTAGCTGAAAAAACAGGTGTAGATATTGACGAAGAGAGAAACAAAGGCCCAGTAGCAATGGCCGATGTAGGTGTGGGTGTAGATATAGGTATAGATGTACATAAGAAGGACCTCGCTCTTGTCCTAGCATAGTTGTACCATTGCACAAATAGATTGACAGATGTGTGCAGAAGGTGTGAATAGTCGCTGCCCCTTCACTGTATGTATAGCGAAGGGGTTGACGAGATAGCTGGATCCACGTGATCTAAAGGATCAATGCGCAATGAGCCGGTGCTCTATACATATGGTTAACAGATGGATTTAGGATGTCAGGCATTAGCTTTTATAGTGCTGAACTGCATACTAAAGTTATGCATATCACTGCACCCACGTATCCAATGTGCGTTGAAGCTGTGAATAGTTGCTGTCCCTCCACTGTATATACAGTGGAGGGGGCTGACGAAATAATAGCTGGATCCACACAATCTGAAGGATTCTATCTGAAATAAAAGAGATATGTGCAACATATAGGCTGAACTGCATACCTAAGTTACCCATATTGCTGCACCCATGTGATCCAAAGGATTGCCAAGCGATTGGGAGATGTGGCTTAAATTTGAAGTTCATCAGGTGGCAGTCGAGGTCCCAGTGATCAAGAGTACTTCGGTACATACCATCGTACTCGAAGAGGATATCGTGGTTGAAGACGATGTGGAACGATGGGTAAACCAGTTATTTGTGACTGTGTTTGGCACTGTCGTCACCAAAGTCATTAAGTCTTATGTATGCAGCCTGCTACTTAGTACTCCTTCCCAACCTAACACAACTGTTTGTACTATTGTGGTAGACGTTAGTTTCTCATTCTACACATTGGCGCTATTCTTGACTGGCACTATCCTCGACTAAGCTAGCACAACAGTCTGTACTGTGGTGGTAGTGCTTCCATCGTCTACTGTGCTATTTTACTCATTGATCACTTTATCTGATGGCTACCAATCTCAAAGTCTTTTATCATGATGGCGCGGTCTACACCTCTCTCACTGTACACTCACTTCCAGAAGTGATCCCTCGCCAGTCTGTCTGGGACCCATATGACCCTCACGACAGCTCACCTGATGATAGTGATACGCCACTCGCCACATGCTGGGCACATGCAGCTTGTCCGTGGTTTCCCCTTGTGCCTTTAAATCCTACCTTCGATAGGCCGATATTTCCATGCCTTAACCACTCCGCATTTTCACTGCGAACAGAGGTTGATAGCCAAGGGAAATATGTACTCCATCATGATATCAGAGACAAATGGCGCGATCTTGAGCAGAAATTGCTCTGGTGTCTGGGGCATTTGGGTGAGGGACTGCTTGTTCCATGGAGACTGTGTTTCCATGTGCCCCGACTAGTTATAGGTACCAAAGATCACATGTGGACGCTAGGCTTGCAAAAAAGTAGCATTAAGGTCACATAACACATTTCTATGTATATCTACCCATTTTCATTGCATTCATGATGGCTGACATATTTCTAGTAATTGTTGCTACATGTTCATGGCACATCATGAGTCACCAATACCGAGGTTCTGATCGTGCCTGGATATCTCTCTTAACCGATGACCCTACATATCCTATACCAGCTGAATGAGTTCTTGAGTTATCTTGCTCATTTGTAGGGGATTTGTCAGCTAATGTACCACATACCAGGGTATTAATCTCTTCCATTCACTGTCCTTGGGAAGCACAACTACCTATGTTTGAAGCATTCTTGATCCCAATCTGGGTCTGCAATGATGGGGACACTGCTGTTGACACGAAGTTGTGTCATTATATCCCATCCTTGAAAGCCATTGCCAATGCAATTGAGGCACAGCAGTTAGGCCAGATGCATGGTGATAGCACCTGGGGTCAACCAGACAATGGAGCTGAGAGTGTCCTTGAATGGGATCAGACTTGGAGTCAGAACACCCTAGAATGGGATCTGGGCAGTGGAGAACACCAACCCATATCTGCAGGTCCTCAGCAACAAGTAGACCCTCAGTTTCCAGTCCCAGAACAACTCAGTGGACAGAAGCCAGGAGAAGACTACAAGGCATTCTTTACATGGTGCCATGAAGAAAACAAGATAAAGGAAGCCAACAAGACTCCAACTTGCCAGCAGTCACATCAGAGCCGAGAGCATTCAGCAATGAACCATAGTATTCCCGGCAAATCCAATATGGTCATAGTATTTGAATGTCAACCCCAAGACAAATTTGGTGGCTTTCTTCTGCATATCCGCCTTATAAAGGCCCAGATATCAGTAACTTGGGAAAACTATAGTTTGTCTACTAGGATTTATGACTCATTTCATAATGAGTGGGATTTATGTGAGGCATTGGATCCCACCAGCATTCCTGATGGCGACTGGGAAGACTGTCCAGTTTCATGCAGGATATCGAGAACTACTTTGGCCACCATGAGGTTGCACCCTCATTGAATTACACTCGTGGCATTGAACATTTTGCCTTGATCCTTTGTTTCCATCTCAGATTTCAGCTCACAGCATCAACCCATATAGCCCATGATAGATCAACCATGTTCGAACATTGGATTCAGAGGACTACATGGATTAATTTATGTAAACTCATTGGCGACTCAGGCGATGATATTGAATCGGTTGCAGACGCACAGAAGCGCATCATCACATGTTTCATTGGTTACCTTGTCACCCTCCCCAGCTCTCAGTTCTCTCATGTGCTGTCTGATCTCTGGGACCTTGGACCTGATACCTCCCTGTTGGCCTTAAATGCCAATATTTGAATTTCTTACATCCATGTGTCTGAGCAGCAACAGCTCTATGTCATTAAGCCATGTCTATCGCCAAGTCTGGTTGCCTGGAACCTTGTTGTTCCTGATGCTGCCACGGCTCTGATGTGCCTTTGCCGTGACTGGGGATCTGACATCATGGAGATCACACACAATCTTCTCAAGAAAGGAATCACTTTCAAAACATTGCAATCTATAGCAGTTCCATCTCATGCACAATGCCCACTTCTGGAACTTCGTACATACTCGCTTGGATACAAGTGCCCCACTTTCACTCCTGTATATGCTGATTATGTTGTGTATGAACAGTATCGTCACGAGTTTATGAATCAGCCTCATGCAAGAGCTGCACTTCTTCATGGGGGGCTTGTATGGCAGCTAGCTTTACATAGCATTGGTTTTGACGCACTTCCCTCAGCTATCAATGGCATTTCACAGGAAGCTGTTCCATTTGGCCTCATGTTATCTGTTAACGGCCAAACCTACTTTGACAATGAGTTGTTGGAGGAGGAGGTGGATTTTATTTGTGGGACGTATCACATATGTGACAGTGAGTTTCTTGCCTCTACATATGCAGCAGTGCTTACATTTGGATATTAGATGCTCGAAATGTAGCAAAGATTTCTTGGTGGCCCAGACCTCAGGCTTGGGCTACATCTGGGTTGAATGTGGGATTCTGGTCTACTCAATGTGAACAATGGTTCCAGAAACACCTTGACAACATTCGAGATGGTGTTTCCCAAAACCGTCATATGTCTACCAATGACATTAACAGTTTAATGACCAGCTCACAGTGGAAAACCTCTATCAAGTTCAATGCAGGTATGAATAAAATTTTAAATGAGAAAGAATGTTGATGCAGCATGCTGCAGTTTTCTCGCTGCCAAAGCAAGTGGTGAGGATATTTTGTCGTTGCTTGTGCTTTTCTGAGTTCCTCCTACTTAGCATTTACAGAGAATTAGTGTGTTCTTGTTGATACATGCTTGTGGAAATGATTTGTATATAACTGCTGATTGGGAATACTTAATGCCAACGCTCTGACTCACATACTGTCGTGACACTTATTGTACAGGCAATGGGCGGGCAATGAGTGGACGATGATCGGGCAATGAGCAGGTGATTTGTTTTGTCTGCGGACAAAACTTAAAGTTTAGTCATCATGTTTTGTCATCACCTTAAACTTCAAATTTGTAGGGGTGTCTAATTGTTGGACAAAATTCAATACATTGACAAACGTGTTGTGACGGACTAAACTTTAAGTTTTGTCCAACGTTTCACATGATGATTAAACTTCAAATTCACGCAGACGCTGAAAATCTGATTATATTTCATATTTTTATTAACGTGTAATTGGCCTGAGCGGAAGGCAAAGGAAAACACGGGATTAAATGGAGTAAAAGTGGCTCCCTGCAGTCAACAGGAAGCCCTATAAAATTGCAACTAGTAATACATAGTAGTGAGCCTGACCAGACGCCCGAAAATGCGAGAGCGTTAAGAGCCTAAGAGTGCCACAAGAAAGCAGAAACAAGCAATAATACATAGAGCGCCAAAGAGAAAAAACTTCGAGGCAAAAAAACCGAAAAAACTGTCTCAATCGCTACAAACAAACGATGAGGAGGGAGTGGTGGGTGATTTAAAAACGACTCTAGTGAGACAAACAAGAGAAGGTTAGCACAAAGGTAATCGTAAATGAAACTAGATACCCACCTGGCAAGACGACGAGAGAAGGTTAGCAAGAGGTGGGAACCCCTTACAGTCGTCGTCCGCCAGGCCAAGCTCGAAACTCCGCCTTAGGAGGCAAGGAATTTGAAAAACAAGCTGAGACATTGAGAATGGCGTCACCATCCCGACAAACCAAAGGCCAAAGATAAACATGTGAGACTGCAAGGACTGTAGTAAGCCCTGACAACAAGTCCGCACGCTGGCCAGAGGAGGAGGACAAACCTCATGCAGACTGACCACGTGAAACACGCAACCACTTATGGTTGCAGATGCTTCAAATTTTGGATTTCACACAAAACACTGACGAAATTTGAAGTTATGTGCCCACCTTTATGTTAGTTTAAATTTCAAATATTTTCTTTGCATTTTGCACAACATATAAACCTCCCCTAAATGTCGAAAACCCCAATGTGACAGCAGCCGCACACGCTGGTCAGCTGAGTTTCAAATCATAATATGAAACAGGATAGGTCCATGAGAGATGCTGGTCTTTGCTAAGTCAATGTTTACCATCTCATTCTCGACTCAGGTCAACTGGCTTACATGCACGTACATGTGTGGACGGTACCTATATATGCTATAATGCACCCACATCATATGATGAAAGCCATCCATAGTGAGAGGTTAGTCATGAGTTGTCCTTGAGGATGGGAACTGAAGACTCAGGAAGAGCGAACTGAAAATGGCACCCTACTGAGAATGTTCCAGTGACGTCATCTACAAACACTTCTCGCTCCTCGATCAACCTATTCAGTACACCACTTTCCTTTGTTCACACAGTAGGGATATCTAGGATATCGGTCAAAACATTGTCAATGTCAACACCTATGCATATGATTCAAATAAATAATATTGTCCAAACCCATGTCTCCTTGAAATCTACTTTGGGACACGAAATAACTAAATAAGTACCGCAACGAGGCTTGGAACAGAGACAAAAAAAATCCTGCTTGCTAAAGGGCACCAGGCAATTGTTAACATCTTGTGTGTCACACAGTACTGCCAGTCGATATATGCATGCGCTCCTGGAAGGCGATTGAGGTCATACAAGTTGCTGCGTCAGAGTCAGCCACGAGCTTTGCGTTAAATTCTCGAACGCCAAGGATCAGGCGTGGTCCCAACACAAACATCTGCACAACCTCCAAAATCCGAAGAAACCCAGAATAAATCTGAGCATCTAAGGAATATTCCTATAGAAACGATAAACAATAGCATGCAGGGGTAGCGAAAGATTGACATACCGTTGACAATGTTGGAATAACGAGCTGAAGGCAAGAAACTGCGACAAAGCTACCACGTCCTACCCTTCAGTGGAAAAAGGGACAATAATCACGATATGAGCTTACCTCACAAAGTAAAGCAGATGGGTTTTCATCAAAACCGTAAAACAGTCCTTCATAATCCCTCCTGTCGGATGTCGTCGCAGTTCACGGAAGTGTTTTACTGCAATCCAGAGTGCGAGACACAGTGTGAGGACCTCCCACACAGTGGTGAGTATCCACATAACAGAAGTCAGAAGTGGGAGATCTCCCCGAAAGCCAATCAAGCACTGATAAGTCCCGGAGAGAATGAATTCCTCTGGTATTCATCAATCAGTCCCATGCACATTTATTTATATCCACAATTAAGTGTACCCACTGAAGCATGTGCCATTATAATTATAGCTACCACTCCAATGAAGATTATGTTAGCCAGGAGGGTGACGATGAGAAATATCAGGATCTTTCTGGATCGTTGATACATGGCATATAACCGAGTGATGATGATGACTAGCAGCATGTTTCAGTTAAGTCCCTATCTTGCAAGCACCAAGCTCACTCCACAGTATTGCAAATACCACAATACCCGTCCAATTCCATACGACAGACAGAATCCAACCTGATGAATCCAGTCAGTGATTGGCCTCGGGTAGCGCACTCCAAACACACTCACATCTGCAGAAGTATAGAGTGACAGTCATTAGTAAACCAAGAAGTTAGTAAAGAACCACACCCACTGCTAAAAGGTACCGCGGTAAACTGAAGGGAAATAGTAGGTATATGTGCAGCAGAAGACCCACTGTATCTGTCAGCAAAATGGTCGGAACATTGACTGTACACCATTGTTCAGAAAAAGAAAAGACAGTAAATGTACTGAGGACACATACTCAGGATTTCCAGGCTGATTATGAGACATAGACGATCAGCACAACAACGATTGTTTAGCCTTCCAAACATACGCAGCAAAGAGGATTCCAAGGTAGCGCACCTAGAATACTTTCAAGTCAGCACAATGTAGCAACTGTGAAGAACAAGTTACATACAATGAGATACAGAAATGTCACCAGCGACCAGTGCTGCCTCTGTATTTAAGTGTATTTTCATGTGTGTTCCTTTAACATGAGACTTTACTTGCCCAGACCAATTCAATCTATAAAAGAATTCTTAGCGAGGTGGTCCAGGGTGTGTCGGTTATGGAATTAACATACCTCTTGTCTGAATGTGAGTGCTGAAAATCCTTGTAAGATATCAGTCCTTTAATATTACCATGCTCACCCCAATCATAAGTAACGACAACGAAGGCAGCAACTATGAAACCACAGCCAATGTTAGTAGATTGAGACAGCTTCAACATCCAACTTAGTGATGTGCAAGGCCCGGCTTGAAGGCCTGGGCTTGGATTCAGAAAAGCCTAAGCCAGCGGCCCAAGCCGCAGCTTTGGTATGACACCTTGTCACGTCAGTGGTCACGCCCTACAAGTGGTCGCCATTGTGTGTTCAGCAATTGGCACGTCCTCATTATTGACTCTTACTATGACACGCGCGATTTGACCATACCACAGATCATATTCACACAAGAAAGAAAGGAAAATTCGTCTGCTATGGGCACCGTGCTATTGCTCTTGCACACGAACATAACTGGGATGCCGTGCTTGAAGATACAAACCAGGTAAGTGATACATTACCAACTAGTAATACTGAGCCCCTTCAAGATGTACTAATCTGGGTCACGACATAATCCATCAGTATTCAGCACTAGTCATCTCAAGTGCCGATTGTCCACCTTCTCTTTCTCACTGCCTTCTCCTGCTCTTGTCCATCATCTGTATTTGTCTGAGCCACGTCAGCAGTTGCTGACATGTGCTTGGCATTTGCACATGGTGTTCATGGTGTTGGGAACAACATGGTGGAGCTTGGACATCAATTTCAAGCAATTCAGCATGTGGGCCGCGGCTTGCATGGGCCCAAGCCCCGGCTTTGGGCCAGCTCGGGCTCATGGCTCAGGCTTGAAATCTGGTGAGCCTAAGCCCCCCCCAGGCCGAGCCTAAGCCGGGCCGGAACATCACTAATCCAACTGCTCTCTACGAACCTACAAAATAGCTGTAAAAACGATTTGCATTGATGGCTGGCCATGAAGCGGAACCGTTTGAGACTGGTCATTGGGAGGGAATGGGTGTGGATGAGAGGAAGATGCGTGACAATCATGATAGCATTCGTGCTATGTTATATATGTATACCACCATCCTGTGCTTGGGTAAACAAAGTGAGATCGAGATGAGATCCATCCGTTCTACGTAGATGTTGCAGTTGCGTGAGCGCCTCCAAGAAATTCGCCAACGTTCTCTTGCCATTAATATTCTCGGTCATTGTGCTTTCATACCAAATCTTCGATTTGCAACGTGAACTCGGCATGTACCGGACAAGTGGCATAGCATCATATGGTGCGAGATGCAAAAAGTGAGTGCAACAACGAATCAAGAACGTATTCAATGGATTAAAATAAGGTCGTAATTTGAATCGGGAGCAGGATTCTATATTCTGCTGTAATTCCCACGGCCACCATATCAAGGAGTGCATGATGCTGGCGTTCTATCTGAGTGTGACCCAACCCATTTTCTCTCGTCCATGGATGAAATGGCACCAAAGGCTCCAGATGGGAAAGAGAGCATTTTCTTAAGGCCTCCTAGTAGCACTCTGCCTCCTGGCGCTTCTTCTTGTGGACGGCCTGGCATCTAAGCGTTAACCAAAGATGGTCTCTTCCACCAGCCAAGCAGCAGATGATCGACTCCCGCACTTTCGCTGCAGATGCCTGCATGTTCGTTTCTGGTCCGTCGCTGTTTTGAACTAAGTCAACAGGTCACTTTATGTTTGTTGTGCGATTCCCAGACGTTAGCACCCTGGATTGATTCGGATTTTCCTGGCTCCAATGAGGAGGTCCCAGCCAAAGAATCATGGCCTTCGTATTACAATGCTTAATAAGGTACATGTATTCCCCAGCAGTGCTTCAGTAGTAACAATTTTAAAGACATTCGTATTCGTATCTGTGTTTCCGCCCCATGGAACAAAAGTAAAAGCCAAGCTCCTCCACAAGCATTGACTCCAACTTCGTCAAGACTCACCCAAGCTATGCATGCACGACGTGCTGCGCGCACCTCGTGATCGTCTTGAATGAATCTTCTGTAAGTCAGTTCGCATGAGTCAGGTGGGACATTGAACAAGACGAGAAGATGCATCGAGTTGCTGAGGAACCGAAACATATTCAGGATCTTGGTTTAAACATCGTCAGCACTGGCACATATAGCAAGTCACTTAACCAAATACTACTACTATGAAAACTTTGCCCAGACGCATCCCCTTGAAATCTCCTTCGGAACACCAAATAACTGAAATCAATAACATAGCAAAGGTAGGAATAAGTAAAAATAAAATCCCCTGCTCTTTGTAGAGCACCGGACAACCACTGACATATCGTGTGCTACACACCACTGCCAGTCAATATATGCACGCGCTCCTGGAAAGCCACTGAGGTCATGTCAGTTACTGTGTCATAATCGGCCTTGAGCTCAGCATTATATTCTCGAACACTCAGGATGAGGCGTGGTCCCAGCACAGACATCTGCACGACCTCCAACATCTGAAGCAAACTATCAAAAGGATAACTTTTTAAGGAATTTTGGTCCTATCGAAATGACGAATCATGATCTCATGCAGAGGCAGTGAAAAATCGACATACCGTTGAGAGCGTTGGAGAGGAATTAAGAACGAGCCCGAAGCAGCAAACAGCGACAAAGCTACCACATCCGACCCTTCAGTAGAGAAAAGGAACAACAATCACAATACGAGCTTACCTCGCAAAGTAAAGCACGTGAGTCTTCATCAATACCGTGAAACAGTCCCCCATAAACCCTGCTGCTGAATGTCGTCTCAGTTCACGGAAGTGCTTTACCGCAATCCAGATGGCGAGACATAGCGTGAGGACCTCCCACAAAATGGAGACTATCCAAGCGACAGGAATCAAAAGGTTGTTATGCCCTGTATAGTCAATCGAGCACTGATGGGTGCCGGAGAGAACGAGTTCCTCTTGTATTCATCAATGAGCACCATGCAAGTTTATTTTCATCCACTATTAGACGTACCCCCTGAAGCATGCATCATTTCCATCATGACTACCACTCCAAAAATGTTGATAGCCAGGAAGGTGACGACAAGAAATATCAGGATTTTTCTGGATCGTTGATACATGGCATGCAATCGAGTGATGATGATGACTTGCAGGATGTTTTAGTCAAGTCAGTATCACTGAGGTCTCGCAAGCGCCAAACTCACCCCACAGCATTGAAAATACCAACACACCCGTCCAGCTCTGTACAACGTACATCATGAAGCCTGACGAATCCAGTCAGTGACCAACCTGGTAGCGCACAATCCAACTAGACTCACATCTGCGGCAGGTTGGCGTGGCAATCATCAGCGAACCAACAAATTAGAAAAGAACTTCACCCACTGCTACAGGGCACCACAGTTCATTTGAGGGGGATCATAGGCATCTGCGCAGAAGACTCACGGTATTTGTCAGCGAGATGGTCTGAATTTTGCCTGTATGCCGTTGGTCGGAAGAAGCAATGGCAGTGAAAGTACTAAGGATACATACTAAGCATGTACAGGCTGAATATAAGAGATAGACGATTAGGATGACACCGGTTGTTTAGCGTTCCGAACATACACAGGATATAAGATTCCAAGGCAGCGCACCTAGGATACTCTCAAGTCAGCGCGATGCGGTAGCAAAAACAAACAAGCTACACACGCTGAGATACAAGACTGTCATTAGGGTCCAGTGTTGCATCTGTAATTAAGTTGATTTTCATGTTTGTTCCTCTGGCACAAGGTTGTATTTACCCAGACCAATTCAACCTATAAAAGAATTCTTAGCGGGATGGCTGCTCTAGTTGTAGCATCGACATACCTCTTTTCCGAATGTAAGGGCTGAAAATACTTGTCAGATATCAACAATCCTTTAATATTATGGTGCTCACCCAAATCATATATCATTACAACGAAGGCGGCAACTGCAAAAGCACAACCAAGGTTAGATCGAGACATCAGGACATCCGACTGTTCTCTACGAACCTGAAAAATAGCTGGAAAGACGATACGCATTGATAGTCGGCCATAAAGTGGGGTCACCTGGGACTATGATCATATGGTCAGAAAATGGAGTGTGGGTGATATGACGATGGCATTCATGCTAGTTATACGGTTACCACCATGATTGAGCGCTTATATCACCAAAAATGATTTCCATGCACCGGTGATTGATCACCCTGTGCGCAGTCCATCCTTGAGCTTGAACTGCCTGAGCGTCCTAGACTTATAGCAGTAAGACTCCATGACGAATCAAGTTAGCGGAGTGTATGTTTTTCATCAAGATAATTCGCCACATTGTCATTCCCAGTGACACTATACAGTCCAATATTGATTGAGGTAACAAATGCCAAAAAATAGCGAGCACCAACAAGAATTTTAGTTCGTGCTGTTTGTTTCTGTACAAGGATAAACGGACTTGATGATGTGAGCCCGTGCAAGAGCAATATGTTGCACGCATTCTAGTAGCTTTAACAGACCGCGCTGACTTCTTGGACCTTGGTGAAACTGAAGATGATCAAATGAATTCGAGCCTTTTCGATCATACTATCTACGTTTTGTCAGCAGGGACCAATGTTCTCACATCTCACCGACGGTGACCAACCATCTCCTTCTTTACCCTCGAATTGATAAATCACTGCGTGCTTTTTCGAGAATCGATGGAACTGCGCCCACTCAATTTTAGAATGGACCAGCGGAGTTTGCCAGTGACGCACGTCCAAGTTTATATGGTCTACACGCTGTCAAACCACTTTCCTCGCTCGTCAGCAGTACTGGTGTGCCGTACATCCGCAGTGATATCGTTGCGTGGTGATCTGCTGTGAGTGGCCTTGAAATATCTTTACGATTACCGTCTCAACCTCACAGGTTTTCAAGTTCAGCTCCGGAATATCGTCCCTGCCACCCGTTGACGACTCATCGGCATCGGCTATCCTTTGGTACCGCAACTACATGTATCCTTCCTCACAACCATTCCACGCATCCTCAATCTTTCCTTATTCACCTTTGGATCCCATCGCCGAGAGCTTGTGTCCAGAGATCCGCTTATAATTCGCTGGCTGGCCCATCAGAATTTGTATCCAATGTTGACATTGTAACCCTCCAGAGTCAGAATCGATCTTGTAGCGGCTGCCTTCTTTTTCATGGAAGTCAGGGCTGTGTCTCCACGAGCGACATAGCCCAGTACGAGAGAAATGTTCTCTGGGTGCATTTGAAGATGCGGTGAGTTTCCCTGTATGAAAGCCTGACGTTGACAGTTTTGCTCGAGAGCACTTTGTATTCTAGACTGATCGACATTTTGTCCGTACGCGAAATCCAGAATGAGAGTCGATGTCACCAAGAGGCTAGCAATGATAGAAAGGGGGAAAAATTACAGCGTAAGCACAGTTGTCGTCCTTGCGAGGTGTGCTATTCGTTTCTCGACTCACAGCCACGGCCGAAGTTCCTGAGCTAGAGTATCGATTTTCACCTTCCACCACCCGCCAGTGTTGATGGGCGCTTGTGATATGGCTCAAAATATTTGATATGAAGCATTCACATTTAAGTTTCATTCGCAGTTTCGCTTTAGATGGACGCCAGGAGACGCGTTAACAGTTACTATTGAACATTGTGGCAGAGTTCATTTTTCCTCACTTGCCATCGGGGCCGTCTTCTCGAGTGTACACTCATCCGTCCATTTCCTCAACTAACCGAAGCAATCTTTAACTACATCCAAAGTACGATCGTGTGACATGACTCTTCTTCAGCACGGCGATGTCTTCACGCTCGCGCTCGCGCTAAAGGCAACAACTTCATCTTGGGTAAATCAATTGCGTTCCCTGCGGAAGATGCTGACACGTTATGTGCTATCAAAATACTGTGATGGCAGACCTCTCCGTGGCCACGAAATTGCGCACAGGTTCATGGACGAACGCACCTAGTAACTATGATCTGTTACAGATGCAGGACATTCGGGGTGTGCTCCCAGATATCTATATCATTCGTCTAACATGCTTATTCTAATTTGTATCGCAGCATTACTCTTGATTTTCTGGATTCTGACAATACAACATGGTGATTCGATTAACGTTGTTTGGTCAGTATTGCTGGCTGTATACGAGTAAGTCAAGACAAGGTCTAAGATTATAGTTTTGCACTCAAGTGTGAGTGTCGAAGGAACGACTGAATATGTGATCAGCATAGGGAACTAGCGTAGTCGTTGGGGCATCGGCATACAATATCACTGCATTAGTTTTCCGGATGATGGCTTCTGATGTACAGCTTAGAGATGTGTTGCAAGTGCATACATAATGGCGCACTATCTGGTGGCAACGAGCCTCCGCAGTAGATTGATTTTGGGAACAGATCGCCTATAAACGCCTCTCGCTCTTCGACTTTCCCGTTCAGTACACTGCTTTCCTTCATCAGGTCAGGGATATGCAGGATACTACTACTTAAGACATTCTCAATGTCGGGACTTACAGCAAATAAATCGAACACATAAAATGAACATATTCTGTCTCAAAATCTACTTGTGACATCAAATAATTACTTGACCACCACAATGAAACTTGAGATGAGGGAAAAAAAATCCATTTCTCGTGCTCCCTGTAGAGCACTAGACGACCGACCGCGTCACCTTCACAGAGCATTACACATCACTGCCAGTGGATATATGCACACGCTCTTGGAAAGCGATTGAGGTCATGGCAGTTGCTGCGTCGGAATCCGCCACGAGTTTAGCGTTATATTCTCGAATGCCAAGGATCAGACGTGGTCCTAGCACAAACGTCTGCACGACCTCCAAAATCTGAAGCAAGCCATAAAAAGAAAGAGTTTCGAGGGAATTTGGATCCTACAGAAATGATGAATCGAGGTTGCATGCAGAGGTAATGAAAGATTGACATACTGTTGACGGTGTCGGAGAGAAATCAATGAAGATCTCGAAGCAAGAAACAGCGAGAAAGCTACCACATCCGACCTTTCAGTGGAAAAATGAAACAATAATCAAAATTTGAGCTCACCTCGCAAAGTAAAGCATGTGAGTTTTCATCAACACCATGAAACAATCACCGATAATCCCTCCTGTTGAGTGTTGTCGCAGTTCACGGAAGTGTTTTACCGCAATCCAGACCGCCAGAAACAGTGTGAGGATCTCAAACATAATGGAGATTATCCAAGAAACGGAATTCAAAACTAGATTTCCTCCTGTATGGCTGGGCGAGCAATAATAGGTGCCGGAGAGAATATGTTCCTCTAGTATTCGTTATTGAGTCCCATGGATGTTTGTTTTTATCCACAATTAAGCGTACCCCCTGAATTATGTATCGTTGCCATTACGCCGACTATTCCGCTGAAAATGTTGACAGCGAGGAAAATGACAATAAGAAACGACAGGATCTTTCTGGATCGTTGATACATGGCATGCAACCGAGTGATGATGATGACTTGCAACATGTTTCAGTCAAGTCAATTTCACTGAGTACTGAGGTCTCGCAAGTGTCAAGCTTACCCCATAGCATTGCATACACCACAAAACCCGTCCAATCCCATACGACGTACAAGGCCCAGCCTGACGAATCCAGTCAGTGAACCTTAGGTACTAGCACACACAGTAAAAAGACTCACATCTGTAGGATTATAGCGTGGCAATCATTAATGAACCAAGAAGTTAATAAAGAACCACACCCACGCCTACAGGGCACCACGGTTAATCGGAGGGGAGTAGCAGACGTCTGTGCAGAAGACTCACTGTATCTGTCTGCGAGATGGTCGGAACATTATCTGTATGCCATTGGTCAGAAGAAGCAAAGACAGTGAGAGTAATGAAGAGACATACAAAGCATGTTCACGCTGATTAGAGAGATAGACGATTAGCATGACGTCGATTGTTTAGCCTTCGAACATACACAGCAGAGAAGATTCCAAGGTAGCGCACCTAGCATACTTTCAAGTCAGTATAACATGGAGACTGCGATAAACAAGTTACATACACTGAGATATATGAATGTCATTAGGGACCAGCGTTGCCTCTGGAACGAAGCGTATTTTCATGGTTGTGCCTTCGACATGACATCTTGCTCACCCAAACCAATTCGACCTATAAAATCATTCTTAGCGGGATGGTGACTCCGGTCATAGCATTGACATACCTCTTGCCCGAATGTAAGTGCTGAAAAATGCCTGTAAGATATCAGCAGCCCTTTAATATTAAATCATGCTCACCCCAATCATATGTCAATCCAACAAATGTAGCAACTGCAGAAGTCCACAGCCGAGGTTAAATTGAGACATCAGCTTCAACATCTGACTGCTCTCTACGAACCGACAAAATAGCTGTAAAAACGATTTGCATTGATGGTCGGCCACGAAGTGGGATCATTTAAAACTATGGTCATGTTGGTAGAGAATGGATGTTCGTGAGAAAAGAACTTGGTGGACGAATGTCGTAAAGAAGTACCACCATCCAATCCAGTGCATCAAAATGATATTGAATGATGGGGACCATTCCTCGACGGGCAGAACACTTTACATAACAGTGACATGCATCATGGAGTACGGTGCTGACAGGGTATCGGTTTGCACAGCCAGAGATAGCCTAGTTGGGAATGACTGATGTGGATACAATATTGTCATCTCTAGACTCAAACAGCGCTGCGGACATGGGTAAATAAAACCCGGGAATGCTGTAAAAGTTGGTCGATGAGCTTCAGCAGCTTGTGCTACTAAGCGTATAAGAAGTACTGAAGGCAGTGACATCCGGATGGCATAAATTGGGTCGTCATCAGAAAAGAACGAACTAAGAAAGTAGCTTCACCTGTACAGTTGTCCATGCACCACTTAGTCAGATGAAAAGCGATGCAAAACTTGGTCTTGGGCTGACTTGGCGCATACGAAGAAGAGAGAATCAAAGTAGACAGATTACTTATCTGCACAACCTCTCAATGAATAATCCGTGTCTTATGCACATGCACACCTTCAAGTTATCGTCCTCCACATGGTCATCGGCCTATGCATGCCAATAAATTGGAAGTGCGGAATCTGCGTGCATTTGTTGGGATGTGGATGCATCAATCAGCCTGATTCGTACTTCAAATGGAATCATCGGAGCGCTCGTCAGCTGAGTTTCAAATCATAAATTCATAATATCACAGGACAACCTTAGCTTGAAGCGGGATAGGTCCACGAGAGATACTGTTACCTGTAGCTAACTCTATGGTCTTCACTAAGTCATGTTCATTCGACGTTCAGCATCTCGTTCTCGACTCAGGCCAACTGGCTTACACGCGCATGCATCGTCATGCTTTTTCATGCTTCATGAGCGCACAGATATGGACAGTACCTATATATGCTATAATGCGACCACAACATATGACGAAAGCCATCCCATAGTACTTCCGATACAGCGAGAGGTTAGTCATGAGTTGTCCTCGAGGATGGGAATGAAGAACGAACTGAAACTGGCACCCTACTAAGAACGTTCCGGCGACGTCGTCTATATTCTTACTCCTCGACCTTTCCGTTCAGTACACCGCTTTCCTTCGTAGGTACAGTAGGGGTATCCAGTATATTGGTTGAAACATTGTCAATGTCGGACCTATGCAAACGAGTCGAATAAATAATACGACGAAAATATTGCCTAAACCCATGTCTCCTTGAAATCTACTTTGGGACACGAAATAACTAAATAAATACCGCATCCTGCTCGCTACAGAGCACCAGGCAACCGTTAACATCTCGTGTGTCACACAGTATTGCCAGTCGATATATGCACGCGCTCCTGGAAGGCGATCGAGGTCATACAAGTTGCTGCGTCAGAGTCGGCCACGAGCTTTGCGTTAAATTCTCGAACGCCAAGGATCAGGCGTGGTCCCAACACAAACATCTGCACGACCTCCAAAATCCGAAGAAACCCATAATAAATATGAATGTCCAGGGAATATTCCTATAGAAAAGATAAACAGTAGCATGCAGGGGTAGCGAAAGATTGACATACCGTTGAGGACGATGTCGGAATAACGAGCTGGAGACAAGAAACAGCAACAAAGCTACCACGTCCGATCATTGAGTGGGAAATGGACAGTAATCACGATATGAGCTTACCTCGCAAAGTAAAGCAGGTGAGTTTTCATCAAAACCGTGAAACAGTCCTTCATAATCCCTCCTGTCGAATGTCGTCGCAGTTCACGGAAGTGTTTTACTGCAATCCAGACTGCGAGACACAGTGTGAAGACCTCCCACACAGTGGTGAGTATCCACATAACAGCAATCAGAAGTGGGAGATAGCCAATCAAGCACTGATAAGTGCCGGAAAGAATGAACTCCTCTGGTATTCATCAATGAGTCCCATGCATATTTATTTTCATCCACGATTAAGCGTACCCACTGAAGCATGTGCCGTTATAAGTATAGCTACCACTCCAATGAAGATGGTGTTAACCAGGAAGGCGACAATGAGAAATATCACGATCTTTCTGGACCGTTGATACATGGCATATAACCGAGTGATGATGATGACTAGCAGCATGTTTCAGTCAAGTCCATATCTTGCAAGTGCGAAGCTCACTCCACAGTATTGCAAATACCGCAATACCCGTCCAGTTCCATGCGATGGACAGAATCCAACCTGACGAATCCAGTCAGTGATCGGTCTCGAGTAGCACACTTCATACAGACTCACATCTGTGAAAGTATAGCGTGGCAGTCATTAGTGAACCAAGAAGTTAGGTAAGAACCACACCCACTGCTAAAAGGTACCGCGGTAAACTGAAGGGGAATAGGAGGCATTTGTACGAAAGACTCACTGTATCTGTCAGCGAAATGGTCAGAACATCAACTGTATACCATCGGTCACAAGAAGAAAAGACAGCGAATATACTAAGGAGACATACTCAGGATTTCCAGGCTGATTATGAGACATAGACGATCAGCACAACAACGATTGTTTAGCCTTCCAAACGTACGCAGCAAAGAGGATTCCAAGGTAGCGCACCTAGAATACTTTCAAGTCAGCACAATGCAGCAACCGTGACGAACAAGTTACACACAATGAGATACAGAAATGTTACTAGCGACCAGCGCTGCCTCTGTATTTAAGTGTATTAGTGTGTTCCTTTGACATGAGACTTTACTCGCCCAGACCAATTCGATCTATAGAAGAATTCTTAGCGTGATGGTCCAGGGTGCGCCGGTTATAGGATTAACATACCTCTTGTCCGAATGTGAGTGCTGAAAATCCTTGTAAGATATCAGTCCTTTAATATTACAATGCTCACCCCAATCATAAGTAACGACAACGAAGGCAGCAACTACGAAACCACAGCCAAGGTTAGTGGATCGAGACATCAGTTTCAACATCCAACCGCTCTCTACGAACCTACAAAATAGCTGTAAAAACGATTTGCGTTGATGGCTGGCCACGAAGCGGAACCATTTGAGACTATGGTCATTGGGAGAGAATGGGTGTTTGATGAGAGGCAGATGCGTGACAATCATGATAGCACTCGTGCTATGTTATATACGTATACCACTATCCCGTGCTTGGGTAAACGGAGTGAGATCAAGATGAGATCTGTACGCTCTAAGGCGTGCTCAGGTCAAGAGTTGTCAAGTGACGCAAGTCCCACCGTACCTTAGAGCCAAACAATTTAGTCGACCGGTTCCATTTGGGCACCGCTTACTCCTCATCATCAAACAATCGTCCGTCACACAACACAGCGTGCTCGTTTTGCAGCGAAAACGGGAGCTTCGTGAGCTCTGGACTGTCCTTAGAAGTAGATGTTGCAGTTGTGTGAGCCTTCACTTCCAAGCAATTCACTGACGTTCTCTTGCCATTCTTGGTCATTGTGCTTTCGTACCAAATCTTCGATTTGCAACGTGGGTGTGAAAGACTGAAAGTCGACGACACTTCACTTGATTGTGAACTCGGCGTGTACCGGACAAGTGGCATGCGGTAGCGTCATATGGTACGAGATGCAAAAAGTGAGTGCAACAGTGCATCAAGAACGTGTTCAAACCAGGGATTAATTACATAAGGTCGTAGGATTCTATCATCTTCTGTAATTCCCACGGCCACCTGAGTTGTGACCAACCCATTTTCTCGCACCAAAAGCTCCAGATGGGAAAGAGTGTCTTTTCTTAAGGCCTCCTAGTACCACTCCACCTCCTGGCGCTTCCCCTCGTGGACGGTACCTGCGGGAACAGATGCTCAGGAAATATCAGCCATACTCTCTTCGCCCAGCTCCATTTCAGCTTCATTTTGCAGCTTGTATAACAGGGAGAGTACACCAAAGTACAGCCTCAATCAAGATGGGGATTTTGATGTTGACGGTCTATATGGTCGTACTGGTGAGTCGTCCCACAACTTGAAGCACTGGGTACTAAATGCTGATGAAGATCTAGCGTCCTCAAGCCTTAACTCTCATGCATTATCTTCGAATTTCTACGGAAAGACACTTAAGGCTGGTGAGTCGAATCACTTAGGTACTGATGGCCGAACACTAGAGTCCGGTACAGTACATGTAAGTCAATTCTTTTCCATAAGTACTACTTAACTAACGATTTGGTACATCGTGGCAGACATCAATGCACTCAACGCCCTTCATAGTTCCACAGGCGATTACCGAGGCGCAAAGCCCCGTCGCACCCGTCACCCCCATCACCACCGGAACACACTCTGGCTCCTGTAATCGAATCGTCGTTGCAGGCGCCTAAGGCTACAAAGTACCGCAGGAGATCTGCAAACAGATCATGGGCGGTGCGAAATACGGCATTGTCGGTTGGCTTTTCTTCCAGAACGCTATGTCACAAACTACGGCCAACCAGCGATGCATTCTCAGGCAACACTTTTAGATCCAGCCCCACGATTTTTCCTGTTGGCAGGCGAGTTTTCTTTATAACATTGATCTATGACATACTACTAACAGGCTTTATAGTTACGTTTGAATGTGTAGTTTTTTTTTTTTTTGGTGGAACAAAATTATCAACTAGCAAATTACAAGGTTAATCCTAGAGGATACAATTTGAACGTGTAGTTGACGAAGCCAAAGCTCGTTCTGTAGGCCAAGCACTCCGGAACACATGTGTCAAAATTATTGACATCGCACGCACCCGCGGCCGGTGTACTTCACACCTACGAGCTATATCACCGGAGATGGTATATGCCAGGACGGACACCATCGGGTCCACATCGCCACGACACTCACTAATACAAGTGCACCAACATCCATGCATTCTCGTAGTTTTGATGTGGTATGTGCATAAATTCTTGTCGCAATGAAATCACCATTTCTGGATGGCCCTTCATATTTCCCATTGGTGAAGTCTTCATAAATAATGCTTTCACGGATTGCACCCTTTCACCAGCCGAGACCACTCCACCGAAGAGCCAGAAATGGGTTCCGAGGGTGTATCCAGGAGAAGTTGTCAGACTGTTGGCGCGAATTCATGCTTTTGTGGAGAGTTTATGTTAATATTGCTTTCAAGACGTCCCGTATCGTTATACTACTGGTCCGGCTTTATCATTTTAACTCCTATTGAATCACCCAGCCTGGCCTGAGGCCGCCCGTCAATCAATGATCGATGATACCAGGACTTAGTCACTGGAATCCTCCCCAGATATGTGCATGCACTCCGACCGTATCTTGCACATCCAGATGTATCCACTACGGAATGGCGAGGCGGAGACACTGTTCCAAGAATACCGCGACTTAGTTTAGCAACTTGTCTATGTTTCGAATATTCAAGAAGCCAGACTCGAAGTTAAGTGATAGTGTGTTTCAAGCGGAGTCCAAATGCAGGGGTGAGACAGTGGCCTGATTCTGGATATCGTTACTCGGCGAGAGTAGTCTTGGTTAGTTGGTTATTTCTCTCTATCATCGCCGTTGTAAGGGTTGCTATATGATTGTGAGTACTCACGAGTCTGTCTACTACCGCTCTATACTGATGCGCCTACTCGGCCAGGAAGCCTAGCCAGGTAACAGCATACGTACAGGCCATTCGGGTCTTATTTTCTCCTACCGTTTTGTGTCAGTGGCGCCCGGATGATGATTATCCTAGTGTCTGAATTTAAAATAAAGTGATGGTATCCTGCGCACTTGATGATTGACTGCGTTTTGTCAAATTGTCACTACACAGCTTCGCAACACCGCTTGCGCATGTTTGGTATTCTCATCATAGATGCTGTGTTGGCATTTGGCAGCCAAGTGAGTGGTCTATTCTCCCTTTGGACCTTCCCTATATCTTATCTCTATATATATACTAGTATGTGATATCTCGACAGCCATTGCACGTGTTCTATGCACAGGTAAACCGTCAGTGGCTCGGCGAGGTGGCAGGACAACTGCTACTTGTCGAATTCTCGATATGATTGCTCATATTTCGATGTGCGATTACAATACGAATGACGAGAGTCGGGTCTTAGCCGATGGATTGCGCAAGTAGAATATAAGATTCTCGCGAATATGTGATACCTCGGAACATGTTACCACGCCCCCATCCACCAGCTAATTTACTCTTTTTAAGGTTGGAGTGCTTTTGATTGTGTTTCACAACGAACTCGATTCGATCAAAGACCGCTGAAACGGCTTCCCCTTGCTACTTGACTGTACGCGACATTACGTGTTCCTGTCAATTAAGCCAGCACTTGAGCTATAATGGCTATGTATCACAACACAGCTTCATGTATATCATCCAGCACTGAGCATAGCGATCGACACATCCACCATCTTGACATTCGCTCCACTATCCTCGAGCATTATGACTCTAGTCTCAGATGATCCTGTTTGGTGGCCATCCATCAATTCGTATCGTATCGCCAGCTATTTTATAGGTTGGTGAAAGCCAATCAGGCAGTAATTCCCTCGATTCAACCTTTTGTAGTTGCCGCCTCTGCTGGGGTGATGTACGATTGGGGTGAGCAAGATATCATTGAAGAACTACTAATGTCCTCATCGTATTCCCAGTATTGACATTCGGATATGAGGTGGGTTTATTCCATTACAGTAGCGGCCACGTCGCTAAGGATGGTTCCATAGGTTGAACTGATTTGGGTGAGCAGAATCCCACATGATAAAACCAATATTTGATTTGATCTGCGGCAGCGGCAACACTGGTCCCTCATGACCGGCCTGTATCTCAGTGTATGTAGCTTATGTTATAAGTTGTAGTTGTTAAGTTATACTGACTTGAAACTTCCTAGGCGCGCTATCTTGGAATAATCTACGCAGCGTATGTTTTGGAATGCTAAATAGTTGACGTTGTGCTAATCAACCACACATCAGCATCGGCTTGCTGAGTATGTCTCCTCGTGTACACCGTCGTGTGTGTTTCGTCTGATCTGTGGCATGCAGTATATGTTCCAACAATTTCTTTGACGGGTGCAGTGAGTGTTCCGCACTGATGCCGTTCATTCCCGTCTGATTAGTTGTATTATCATATAGGGGTGAGTCACTAAGTGCTTTACCCTCTCATTGGTTGAGTATAATGACTCCCACAGTTGTGAGTCTTGGCGGAGTATATGGTCTTCCGAGGCTGATCATGAACTCGGATTTCCAGGCCGTATCATATATGTCATATCAAATTCGATGATCACAATCGTAAATGCAATACTAGGTGGTGAGCTAGCAATTCCCAAATCATATGGACTTGGCTGAAATGTTATGCAAGTCATCATGATCGCTCGGTTGCACGCCATGTATCAGCGCAGAAAGATGCTAATATTTCTCTCCGCCGTGCTCCTGGCTGTCACCATCGCCACTGGAGTGACCATAACAATAATAACGATGCATCTATCAGAGGGTAAATTATAATTGCGGATGAAAAACTTAATGCACTAGGCTCACTAGCGAATAACAGAGGAACTTATTCTCTCCGGCACCTATCAGTGCTCTGTTCAACTTGGGGACAATACAAATCTCACTTATTCCATGTATTGGACGTTTATCACTGCATGGGAGCTCCTCGCATTGTGTCTCGCAATCTGGATTGCCGTCAAACACTTTCGTGAATTGCAACGACCGTCGACCGGATGGATTATCAGGGACTGTTTTATGGTGTTAACGAAGAGTCATTTGCTTTACTTTGTAAGGTGAGCTCACAATGTGAATGCTATCCTCTTTTTTTCCGCTGAAGCTCTGCATGTACTAGCTTTGTTGCCGTCTCTTGTTGGAATTTCGGTTATCTGTCTCCAGCTCTCACGGCGGTATGTCAATCTATCTGACCTCTGCATGCAACAGCAGTTCATTATTTTTAAAGGACCCATTTACACTCGAAGGTCAGATTTATCCGGGTCTTACTCAGATTTTCCTGCTCGTCCAGTTGTTCGTGCTGGGACCACGCTTGATACTCAGCGTTCGAAAATATCATGCTAAGAGCGTTTACGACTCTGATGCAACAATAGGCATCACTTCAGTTTACCTCCAGGAGCGCGTGCATGTGTTGACTGGCTAACGACAGTGTGTAGCATGGGAAATAAGTTCGCTGTAATTTATGTCTGTCGGGTATTCTGCAGAGGATTATTAGTTTTATATCAAGTTTCATCGTAGCACTTAATACTTGTGCATAATATATTTCGCGGTCTGGACAGGCGAGGATGTAAGACACCATATGCACGTCTATCATATGCACAGCTACTGTTGAAGGAGGCAATCCTGAATTCAACGGTCTGTCATACGAGAAATCGCCTAGAGGATTCATCAATTCATCAAGAAACTCGAACCACCGCTTACCTTCAGCTACCATGACTGGGATGTCAAATTCCGTGGCGTGTTCTACAAGGGTGTGTCACCCTCCCAATAAAGCGGACCAACATATTTGGTTGAGTGAATGCGCCCTATTCCTTTCAAAGGTGAGAAGATGTATTTATCCGGTGTGTCGCTGACACCAGATTTGATGAGAAAGATTCTGTTGGCCGACCACCTCAGTGGAATACCAAGGTTTGAACGTCCAGAGCTTTGGTGACAATGGTATATGGGCAGACCGGAATTGTTCCTGGGGCCTGAGCGCTGAGCATTAATACTGAACTCTACGCATAGTCTGAGTGGTGAGCAAGTCGAACCGTTTTCGAAGTACAGCTTCAACGAACATCACGTGACAAGCGGACGTAATAACTATGGCAAGCGTCTCTCGATTCTCAAACCATTCACCTGATTGACCCTCACCATCTTCTAGCATTTCACACACCACTTAGCCTCGTCGAAGATGTCTCGATTTCGTTGACCTTCCATACTCTCATCCGTATGACTCCCTCGCAAGCCTTAGGCGACACGTAGGCTATGCCCAAGGTCATATCATGATCACTCTGACCTTTATATCCCTTCGTCTCTCACATCACATCATCTCATTCCCAACCTCTCCGCGATTTTTCTTCGTCTTGCAGTAGCTATCACCTTCCGGGTGCTCGGACATCATGGTACCAAGGCTCTCGGACGCGTGCGCCTCAATCATCTGCATGATCCCGAAGACTCGGATACGTTCTTCACACAGTTCTCGACACCCATTTGGCAATGCCTATCTATTATTTCTTCATCGATTATACTACCGGAGGTGGTCATAGAGATTCTACCGAAGAGGAAGAGTAGGAAAGGGAAGATGAAGACAAAAGAAATGTTGTTGCCTCTCAGCTTGGGAAACGATGGTCCTTGGATTGTGGATGGAAGCGAAAGGAGGGATGTATTGGTGATGCGCTGGCAGCTATTGTTACCGGCCGGGGGATGGGGCCAATAATGACTTACATGGTTTACCGCTATTATAGCCGTCTACGAATATACAAATACTGTAAGTGGATTCAATCAATTCGTTTGGATGATGATCAAAGTATCATTTATGTAAGTTTACTTTTTTCATTACAAGGACGTCTCTAGGCTCTGTCCATGTAGTGTCAACGCGTGTTAATGCCACCAAAGCTCGACGTGGTCGAGTTGTCGACAAGTGCTTATTGCATGGCTGACTTTGGACCTTTGCACGCTCAGAATATGCGATTCATCCACACCTTGATTGGCGCTCTCGGGCAAGTTCCTCCTCTTTTTGTCAGTCATACAAGACGACCTCTCAACAGTCTCTGTCAACTCTTCAATACGCCTTCCATTTCTATGCGTTTCTTGTTCGTCGGCGGTGGTGCAACTTTGGCGAGGGTGGATATGTCGGGCTCTTGACATATCAGAGGTCTTATGATTTGTGACTGGATTTCGCAATGTTGTTCAGTTCGTGTTCAAACGTTCAGTTTCCGCACATCATGAACTAATGTAGGTTTTACCCTATGTCGTACTCACAAACATCTACATAGCGTGCTCAGCTCGCGGTAGGACGTCATGGATATCCGACAGGTTACTGCATCGCATAGGATTGTTGCGTTCAAAGACATGTTGTCCCTATTCGAAAAAAAAAACAAGATGAACTTGGCCGATCAGTCCTTGTGGGCTAGCAAGTGATAATTTATTCCACTCCAAATTGCTGGTAGACATTGCTCCACAAGGTACATCTCATAGGTGGCAATATACCTTATGTCGGAAGGTGACATCTTATTCCACGTCAAATTACCAAATAGACCTTCCTTCACGAGGTAGGTCTTGGGTGGCAATCGGTTCGAAAGTAGACTTAATTCTCCCACATCCTGATCGCCATAAAGAACAGTATTCAACACGTAGACGCATCTTCCCAATTTCCCCTCGACTTTATTTGAGTCCATAGTGGTATCATATCTTCACCAACAATGCGTTTTCCCCTTCTAGTCGCCGCTGTTGCTGCTTTGACAGCATCAATATCCGCCACTGATGCTGCCAGTGAACACTGTCCTACCTTTTGCTTTCTTGGTAGCCAGTGCAGAGACTGCGCTGATGGGGCACTGTGTGTGAGTATGAGTGGTTTGTATTTGACCCAATCACTTACCGGCGTGGTAGGTCTTTCTTTTATGTTATTACTAGTGTGGCAGTGAGTCATGTTCCTGCTTTCACGTATGATTGATGACGCAATACGCAATGAAGTGATTGATAACGAGTACTTTGACGGATGGGATAAGGCAATTTGTAGCGGCACCGGGCAGAGTTAGTTTGGATTAATGATGCAGTAGGATCTTTCTTTGGAGAGGTCGCTGGAGTTTTGAATAGTCCTATAGCCCGTCAGAGCCTTCGCAAGCTAATAGATTGTACAGAGGCACTTCTCTATCGAAAAACGATTGAAAAGGACGGGAATGATTTAAATGTTGTTATTGCTAGGCCGAGGCCCGACCCAGCAGGGCCGCATTGAATTATTAGGGATGCTCATTTCATTCAAATAGAAAGTTCGATAATTCTGCCAAGAAATTATCTAATGTGGACTGGTAGAGATCAAAGCGGTGAGGTAGCACAACGCCATATTAGGTCCCCCGGAGTAACCCGGCATCACGGTCTTCCCGCCCATCACTCAATCATGAGCGTTTTATTCGTAGATGGCATCCATCATGATCCCGCCCAGAATCCTAGCAATTTCACCTGCTTGCATCCACCCCGAGCTAACACTCAGTTCAGCCCGACCTATTATAACATGGCAACGACTTTCAAGCCAGGTTTCCAAGTCCTGCTCCCCCACACAGCTGTGCACGCTACATGTGCATCTAAATCTTGACTTATAGCCTGTGATTGCAGTTGATGCCCTAAGACCCGGATATGCGGTGTTATCCACACTCGACAGATATCAATCACAGGCTGCGGCTGAGTCTGATCACCACCACGTTGGCTCAGTGCAGTGCGTTTTCCGTCAAATTTTGATCATGCGCGCCACTACCATTTAGTATCATCATGATATGATTGCTCGATGCATGAGGCAGAGAAGGAGATGGAGTTCCAGACGCCGAAGACAAATTGGAGCATGGGATTAGGCATCGAGAGGTCTTATTGAAGTGAGTTGCGTTCAGGCTGCTCTAATTCGCCCGTTTGAATCTCATGTCTTGTGTTATACCGACAGAATGTGACCTTGTATGAGCCACCTTCGAGTGCTGATGGGTTTATTCAGACGGCGGCTTCGATAGTCACATCACACCTAGGTCTGTTCGATGGATGAAGTTTCACTGAGATTAACACCGCAGAACAAATTTGCCGAAATCACGAACAGTTCCTTGAGAAACACGCTGTCCATGTTTCATGACCAGCATATACTTTATGCGATTCCCCTTGCTACACGATATCACGAGATAACACTAGCGCCTCCGTCAATCTGATATAACCTTTCGTTTCGGCAATAAAAGTGCTGAATGCCATCGTCCTCAATTCGATACCCATTTACCCCCTTCTCGAGCAGTATGACCCTAGTCTCAAATGATCCCATTTGGTGGCCAAGCATCAATGCAGCTCGCATTAACAGCTATTTTCTAGGTTCGTGGCGATCTAGCCAGGTCATGACAGTGATTTTGGACCTAACCTTGGCTATGGTTTCACAGTTGCTGGCTGTGCTGGGTTAATATACGATTGTGGTGAGCAAGATAGTAATGGTGAACTACTGATATTCATGTCCCATTCCTAGTATTGGGATTCGGACATGAGGTAGGTTGGTGTCATCGCCGTAGCTATCTCGCTAAGAATTACTTTATAGGTTGAGCTGGTCTGGGTGAGCAGGGTCCCGCATAATAAGAACGTAAAGATATAATTGATCTGCGGCAGAGGCAACGTTGGTCTCTCATGACTGTCTTATATCTTAGCGTATGTAGTTTGAGTGAGATTGGAAGATTGTACTAACTTGACAACCGACTAGGTGCGCTATCTCGGAATCATTTGTGCTATGTAAGTTTAGAATATTAAGTGATTGGCTCTGTGCTAATCAAATATATCTTACATCAGCGCTTTGTTGTCTGGTATGTCATATTATATGTGTTTGCATCTTCTGATTGATGGCATACAGTTAATATCCCGACAATACCAACCACACATTCAGTAAGTATTCTCCACCGATGCTTGTCGTGTCCTTCTAATAAACGGTATTTCCATGTAGGAGTAAGTGATCCTTGATCAACCTGTTGGCTCAAGATAATGATTGTTACAGGTGTGAGTTTGCGTGGAGTATGCGATCCCCAGTGGTCAATCACTGACTGGATTTTCAGGCTGTATTTCTTTTGTTTTACAGAATTGGTCAGACGTGGCTGTAACCGCAATACTAAGCGGTGAGCTAGTAATACTTTAGCGACACGGACTTGACTGAATTATCAATTAAGTCATCACGGTCATTCGGTTACATGCCATGTATCAGCGCAGAAAGATGCTGATATTTCTCTTCGTCATCTTCCTGGGTGTCACCATTGCCAACAGTTTGGCCACTGGAATGATGCTGAGGGAATTGAGCTCTGGTAAGCTTTAATTACGGATGAAAGGTTTAGTAATACATCAGGCTCATTAATAAATACCAGATATGTATGTTCTCTCTGGCACCTACCAGTTCTCGGGGATAATGCAACTCTCTGTATTGTTATTTATTGGGGTTTTACCACACTATGGGAGATCATCGCAATGTGTCTCACCGCCTGGATTGCTGTGAAGCACTTCCGGGAACGGCAACGCCTATCGGTAGGCCGAGGGGCTACTGGGGATTGTTTCACAGTATTGATGCGAAGTCACTTGGGTTCCTTTGCCAGGCGAGTTCATAATGAGAATGTGATCATCTTTTGCCGCTGAAGTTCTACATGTGCTAGTTTTGTTGCTGTGTCTTGCTTCAACCTCGTTTCTCTGGTTCCAGTGATCTCGATGGTATGTCCATTTGTGACTGGCCTTTGCATGGGACCACTGACCATGATTTCTATAGAACAATCCATGGTCCCTACTGATCGAGATATATTATGGTTTTCAAATTGCCACACTCATCCAGTCGTTTGTGCTGGGGCCCCGCCTGATCCTTAGCATTCGTGAATATCACGCTAAGCTCGTGGCCGACTCCGACGCAGCAACCGGCATGACTTCAATCGCTTTCCAGGAGCGCGTGCATGTGTCAACAAGCAGCAGTATCTAGCATGAGAAATGCTCGACATGATTCACATATATCGGGTACTCTACTGAGGGCGGGGGGTTTCTTTCGTTTTGTTCCAAGTCGTGATACATATTTACATAAGTTATTGCTTGGTGTTCTGAAATAGGTTCGAAGAGAAACAGGTCCGGTCCATCCAATGTCTTAGTGTTGCCGAAATAGAACCAAGCTGTCTTCGAACTTTCGGTTTCAATGCGTGCATTGGCTCTTGTGCTGCGACGACTGTTCACTCGTGCCCTTGTCGCAATTATCATCGTACCCCGTCTATATTTTCTGTTCGTTGCGTGTTAGCACAATTCAGCAGCTCGCTATACCCAGATCATATTTCAACCTACTTGTAGGTCCATCAACAGGACATCTCAATTCTAAAATTTGCTCGTATTCAGTCGGGATCTGAGTATAGTAAATCGTAGGTCTTAAGCGCTTCGTTTCCGCCTCCGTAGATTATCCCGCGCCCATAGAAGGCTAGATGGCTCGCAGTCTATCGTACTGTCAACAACTCCAGAACTGCAAGAGGGGGCTAGCATCCTAATAATGATCAGTTTCAGAATGGTGTCCAGCATCAACAACAGGAGTGGCCATCATATGGCTATGTTGTGCCACGGATATGGGCAATATTCTACTCCAGTGGGCAGTTACAAGACTGGACAGTAGTGCCTGCACACACCTCACGGTCCCGAAACCTCCCGAAACCAATTCCAAGCTCAGGGTCAGCTTGCAGCTGCCACGGGTCCCATGATGTAGGAAGAAACACGAGTTGATAGCACAAGTCGCTACAGTTTCCGCCCCGAGGATTCAAAGATCGGATTCTATTCCTAGATTAGCACTAAGTTGCACGCCCAACGCTGCCAAAGCATCGACGTGCTAAAAAGATCGAAAATAGAACGCACTCAATAATATTCATGACGAAACTCTCGATCAGGTCAAATTTGCACTTCCGTTAAGGTCGGGCACGGATAGCCTGAGAGAGGACCATGTAGGGACATCGAAGGCTTGTGACTGTCCCATGGAAAGGCAGGTCGGTCGTTCATTGGCTTCCTCATCGAAATCTTCATTATCTGGTGTGAAAAGCTCTTTGGGACGACCTTGCTAAGGCTTGCTTATGCCTCGATGTACTAGCCACTTCATAATCGCTGTACACAGGGCATACTGATCTCCGTTGAACGTGGAACATCGACGTTGATGGTGAAAATGGAACACGTGGAATCTTGACGTTGACGTTAAAAACTTGGCATCGAATATTGAATATTGAACATTGAACGACGTTTGGCAGCGAAAGCCGGCGCCTTGGCGTTCGGTTCCAAGCAAGAAGTTGTGCAGCTTTGTAACAGTGGTACATCCAGAATTCATCACCGAGTTCTTCGTGAATGGGAAAAGCACGATGCACGGAGAATTTGCCTTCAACGGGAGTATTAGAAGGGAGTACCGCGTGACTAGTGTCACGGAAATGGACGGTAGCACTTTTGGAGTACCGCATCCCTGAATTCTGCCACCTGCCAACACTGACAGAACAGTTCTGTCGCCCCGGCAGAACTACCACTCCAAGTTATAACACTACTCAGCCTCAACTGTTCATACCACAAGATCTGATTTGGATGTAAAGGTCCCGCAAAAGGTAGCGAGGCCGAATTTTAAACTCATTCTGCAGTTCTTTATGCAACACTGTCACTGGAGGACTAGCTGTACTACATATATCGGGTAGTGATCATGACAGCCTCGTTGTCTCTCGTTCTTGCCGTTATGAGAGACTGACAGCGAGATCCGGGATTCGCTGTGAATTTTATTAGCTCTTGGCACTGGTCGCCTTTCTGCAGCGCATATGCTTAGGCTGGTTATTCAGAGCACGGAAGTTGAAGCTAAGTCAAGTTGCACACTTTATTCCAATGCTTGTACTATCGCGTAACCATGATCAGTTGGCACAAGCGCTGAGTGTCGGGTAAATGAGGGAAGCCAAGGTCTGTGACGTACCCAGCGCATTTATAATTGATTGGTGCCCTCGCCACCGTGATGCCACGTTTCAAGATCTCACCTCTGTTCTAAATGTACCAAATAGCTCACTTCACACAGCAAGGTCCGGAATACGGTTGATCTTTTCAACACTGCCCAGGCCAAGTGCGCCCGTGCATTCATTTTCCTTATAAATGCGGCCCCACCACCTCTTAATCACTTCACGCCCCCCTTACTACACACCAACTCAATCGTGTTAGTTCACCTTAATGACAGTCCCGCAATGGACGATCACAGACTTCGCTTATCCGGAGTCGTGGTGGAAGAATCGTGGTACGAGCTTCGTCGAACGCATACAAATTAAATAATGTGTTTGCGTGCCCAGCCATCCTGATGCTGAACATATGTCTGATATTACCGCTCTTATCGTCAACGCTTAATGGCTTCGATTCATCAATGATAAATAGTTAGTCGTGGAACAGTCGTCATGATCGTGGACGGTTGACTCACGTTACCTTAGATCTACAGATCTTACCCGGATGGCAAGAGTACTTCCATACGCCGCAGGACATGAAATTAGGTACGCACCTACTGGCTCTGCTGTAACAATACTATTCACAGTCGCCAGGACTCATCAACTCTGCACATAGCATTGGCATCCTCAGCGTAAGCTGTAGCACTACTCGCATCGCTACAAAGCTCATACTGGCTCTCAGGGGACTCCATTTTCTCCTTACGTGTCTGACCTATTAGGGCGGCGAGCAGCTATGTTCATCGGGGCAGTCGTCATGCTAGCTGGTGTTCTTACCCAAGCCTTATCCACCAACATCCAAGTCTTCCTTGGCGCTCGTTTGCTTAGTATGATGCACAATCAAAACGTCTATTCATATACTTATCCTCCATTTCTCAGTCGGATTTGGGATGGCTTTCTCCATCAATGCTGCTCCCTTACTCATCAGCGAACTTAGCTATCCAACACATGTGCGCCGAATCATCTCGTATCTTATCCATCGGCTCTAATCTCATTCAAGCGCGGAAAAATGACCTCTCTGTACAATTCGTTGTGGTATTCTGGCAGCGCCATCTGTATGTGAGATCCGGTGTCGCATATTTGGTCTCTCACATGTCTGGCAGCGGCTTGGATCTGCCTGGGCACTTATGATGTTGCGGGGACGTCACCGTGGTCATGGAAGGCCCCTTCATTAGTTCAAGCATTTATTCCTATCATTCAGATGGTGCTAATATGGTAAGACTGTTAGTTTATGCCCTGCCCAAAGAGACTCAGCGTCTTCAGGTTCATCCCAGAGAGTCCTCGGTTTCTAATGGCGAGAGGGTTGGTGAGCATCCACGAAGAACTATTCCATTAAGTAAATCATCGAACGTTTCTCTGTTTCCTTCCAGGAATCACAAGCTGCACGAGTCCTCGCTCAGCGCCATGCGAATGGGGGGGACGAACGCAACGCTCTAGTAGCTTTCGAGCTGGCTCAAATCCGACATGCTTTGAACGTCGAACGAGAGTTCGCCTCTGGTAAATCCTACCTAAGGTGCTTCTCGACTCCCGGCAACAGACAGCGCATGTTTACCATTATATGGATCGCAGTATTCTCGCAGTGGAGGTTTGATCAGTTTGGTTCCAATTTGATGACTGGCATTGATGCTCGTCTCAGCGGTAATGGTCTGGTGTCCTATTATATCAACACAGTCTTGGAGAGGGTGTACGTCATCGATAATTTCAGATGGTGCATAGTCTGACAGACGTTTCAACAGCGGAATCACCCAGACAAGAACGAAAGCAGCTATTAACGGCGGTCTGCAGGTTCATCCATGATCTCTCACAAGCAGAACTCAAAATTGATGCGCATTTCACGCGTTCAGATTTTCAATCTAGTCAGTGCGCTGGTGGGCATGATGGTGGTGGACAAACTAGGGAGGAGGAAGATATTCTTGATTTCAAACATTGGCATGCTGACAGGTCAGTACTGTTCTGTGCTGCTGAATTGAAGGTTTATCATCTGCCCAGCCTTCTCTATGTGGACGGTCGCGACCGCTCTTTTTAGTCAGTCCGGGAATGTGGTAGCTGCGAAAGGCATGTTCAACAACTCGCATATATACTGGTGCAAATTAATGATCAAGCTCTAACAGCTACTGTGCCGCTAATTTTTATATACTATTTCTTCTACGACTTTGCGTATACGTCGATGCTTGTGTTGTATACGCTCGAGATTCTGCCTTATAATATCCGTGCCAAAGGGTTTGCAATCATGGTCGGTCGCCTTCGTTCTGTCTTCGAATGCCACCTAACGTCGCATATAGAATATGGCTCTCTATTCGACCAACGCTTTTAACTCGCTCGTCAATCCTGTGGCACTGAACACCATAGGATGGAAATATGTACGCCGTCAAATCTCGTTCATGTGATCTATCGACCTTTTTTTCGTACAGTACCTCTTTTACTGCGGATGGCTTATCTTGGAACTCCTGTTCGTGATGGTGTATATCATCGAGACGAGAGGTGATCGTTTATCTCTTCGCCTCGTCGAGCTATCGTGACCTATTTTTCTTATTCTTCAGCTCGCACTCTTGAAGAAACCGCCGCTTTATTCGACGGGGTTAAAGTCCAACGGGGTATGTTGGAGCGGACCGGCGAAGCTGCCATGAATTTGGCTACGTACCCCAGACTTGAGGACGGTGCCGGAACAGTGCAGAGCTGCAGTTCTGCTTCGCCATCGCATTTCGGACCTCCGTCTGATGAATCTGCTGTTGCGTTTGCCAGATAAATTCACGATCGCAGTTTATGATTATTGTATGTATGTATGTATGTATTAAGCGCTCAAATGCTGCAGAGTTGTGTGTAATGTTCGGACTTGGCTGATTGGGGCGATCAGACTGAGAAAAGCGGTGGATTATTCTTATCAAGTTTCTAGGCCATTTTATCGATGGTGTACACCTTGGGGATCATGATGGTTATTCCCTCTCCTTTGCCAAGAGGAATTACAGGCGCTTGCAGACTGCTCATAGATTATCACTGGAAACTGACCTAACGCAGATTGACTAGATATGGGTTTGTACGTTTCCTATATATTTCCTTTGATCAATTGAAACAGGAGCTCGTGCTATATCTTGCAGCCTATCGTTTAAACGGCTGCTCTATATGCCCGTAGCTTGAAATAAGTGTAAGACTTTCTCCTGCTCTCTGCAACGTACCCAACAAGTGAGATGCTGGGTATGGAATAGAATACGAAGTACGATGCACTGTACACGGTCACATCTAAAATTGTATCTGAAATCTCCAAAATGGATCCATCGCTGTGGTTATCGTCGGTACTAAGGTCTGCAAGTGTTCATTTTAGTAAGTCCCAGAGAGGAAAGGGCTATTGAGAAACTCACCCCTCTCGGCACTTTTGCCAATGTTGTCCATATGCCATGCGGCTCAAATCAAGCTCAAGACCTCCTCTAGGTATCACTAATGCAGTCTGAGGGCTATAAAATGGATGTCGAGAAGCGAGTGGTACCCAGAATAGCAGCCGATGTTTGGGGCCTACCGTCCATCCCCTTGTATTATCCAGTAAAAGGTGGGTCGAACTGCGGTCGGCATGGGATGCTCCCTCCGTTAACTCAGAAGTGTTGCGCAGTGCATGGGTGGAGTTGGGCGAGAAGCAAATGAAGTGATTTTTCCATGAATTCAGTGGAACGGTAGGGATGGGCTCGATCGTGCGACGTTCATCTAAGAATGATGGATGTTCTGACTCCGCGCACTGTTGCTACGATGGCTGCCTCATCACTGTATCCTATAGCAGAAAGGGCTCACTAACCGGCCGACTCCTTGCAGCATCCCACAACCGAACGGTGTGATCCGAAGAACCACTGACGATGCGAGTGCCGTCCGGCGAGAACCAGACCGAGTTGATGCGACTAGTGTGCCCCCGCAAGGGCTCACCGACTGGCTGACCCGTCGCAGCATCCCACAGCCGAACACTGTGATCCCAAGAACCACTGACGATGCGAGTGCCGTCCGGCGAGAACGAGACCGAGTAAACTGATTCGGTGTGCCCCCGCAAGGGCTCACTGACTGGCTGACCCGTTGCAGCATCCCACAGCTGAACGGTGTGATCTGAAGAACCACTGACGATGCGAGTGCCGTCCGGCGAGAACCAGACCGAGTTGACGCGATTAGTGTGCCCCCACAAGGGCTCACCGACTGGCTGACCCGTTGCAGCATCCCACAGCCGAACAGTGCAATCGCTTGAACCACTGACGATGCCAGTGCTGTCCGGCGAGAACGAGACCGAGGAGACATAGGAAGTGTGCCCCCGCAAGGGCTCACCGACTAGCTGACCCGTTGCGGCATCCCACAGCCGAACGGTGTCATAACTTAAACTGATGATGCGAGTGGCGTCCGGCGAGAACGAGACCGAGTAAACTGAATCAGTGTGCCCCCTGAGCACGTTCTGAACAGCCGGCCAGTTCATATCACGTCCAGATGCTACACGAAGAATATTCGGAAATTGTGCAGAAAGCTTTCTCGATAGCGTGGAGTTGACAGGCAAGAATGGAAGTGCTGAAACACACAGATGTGGTGTACTGTGTAAAATGATGCCGCCAAAGATTTGATTGAACCTCTGTACATCCATTGCAGTTGACGAGACATCTTTGAATTCGGATTCACCCTGAGCTGGCGCGTGAATTCTTTGTCTGGCGCCCCATAGCAGTGTACTCACCTTTAGCCACTGGGAGATGAACGGCACCGCTGAGAGCATCGATCAGGGTGAGTGACTCGAGCCAGAAAAACACCCGCTCGTGGTCGAAGAACGATTTCACTTCTTTCCCGAGCTCCTTGTTGAACGCTGTGGTTCGTACGTGCGACGTCCAAAATCTAGAGGAATATGATAAATGTGGGGGGATGCAGTTTTTGACTCGTTCTTGTAGTGCGGGATCTTCGCTGTTAGGCAGATACGATGACTTTAAATCGCAGATATTGAAGCGCAGGCTGTGTTCCATAGTTCTAAGCGACGCGAATGCAAGGCCGTGTTGCGCCTTTGACAGGTCGATGAAAAACTCTCCGCTGGACTGTTCGTCCGTCAAGAAATCGCGGAAGGATGCGTGGAGGTGTCGGATTGGGGAATCTGGATTGGTGGTGCCGCTCAGGAGGGAGCCCATGCTTTTGACCACAAGCTCTACGTTGAAATTGTCCTCTCGCGTTGGGAAATGGCGCCTCATGGCGTTCAAGGAACCTAAAGGAAGGGGTTCAGCTGTCCCTAGTATTTGCCTCATCACTGAGTGAAATCTCTTTAGCGCAATCGAACGCAGTTTCTGTGACAGATGGACGTCGATAGATGGATCCCTCTTCATGATATCTGTTAAAACGAGCCGATACATGTCGTGCAACAGCGTGCTTCTCTCGGTGGGATCGCGTGATACCACAGACTCATAGAAATCATTCGGAGATATCCCAAGATGGGGCTCTTTGATGTATCCGCAGGCAAGACGCGCCCACTCGAAAAGTTCATCGGCTTTCTCAGCGAGGACTGCGAACTCTTTGTCCTGGAAATTCAGCTCCTCCAACTCCTTAGATACGTGAGCACAGATGTCGCGCACTGCGAACTCTGGTGGAATATCATCCATCGACATTTGTCGAATATGCTGAACACCATGAAACTCGTGATTGATGTTACCAAGCGGCCGAGAGGTGACGATGAAACGGAAGTTGTGCGGGAGGTCTGTTATTTTGGGAACGCCGGGTTTTTGATGTTTGCCAGCTAGAATACGGAGGAGGTCTCTCCGCGTCTCTGCTCCGCCGCTTTCGTCCAGTGCATCGATCACAATCACGATGGGTTTATCGGTTGACCAGGATGACTGTCCTAGTGGGTCGATGAGAAGCTTCTGCCACTGCTGGGTGATATCCGGCGTATTCTTAAGATCATTCGCGTTCTGAACTGCATCTGCTAACGCCCGCCTCATCTCCGGGTCACGGTCAGCCAGGTCGCGCGCGATCGTGGAAAAGATCTTTTCGTGGCGACGAGCTGCTTCTTGCTGGCGGTCAAAGCAGTAGCACGAACCAAGTCCTCCCACGTCCTTGAACCACTTAGCAATGGTGTGGGCGATGGCCGATTTGCCCTTGCCTGCAGGGCCAGATAGCCACAGCACGGGTTGAACGTCGTTACCAGTGCTGTTGACCCAATCCGTGATCTGGGAAAGGATTTCTGTGCGTGTCCCTTGGAGGCATTCTTTCCTGGTATCTAGGTTTGCGCCAGCTGCGTAATTCATGCCACTGAGATCCAGTATTTCTCCTGAAAAAGCATGAATATATGTCAAATCGCAAGCACGTCCGAAGGCTTACCCGTACAGTGGACGTATATGGCTACGTCGTGAGCGACTTGGTCCCGGAAGTTTTGCACGAGCATATCCAACACATTACTATACTGTTCGATCGTAGTGTTCGTCTCTGAGACGACGTTCTTTCTGAGTCTGTTCCCTGCAACTCCTTGAGCTTCTTCATAAACCGACCGATTTTGCCACGGGGCCGATGCTGGACGAAGGATGCGTTGGAGTCAGTATTTGGAGTGAACTAAGTGATTTTCATGAGCCACGTACCAAGTTTCCACTAGCTGCTGCTGCTTCGCTAGATGTATTGGTTGCTTGAGTCGTATTCCTCGATGAACTATTTCCTTTGCTCATTGTGAATGGCAGTTGAAGCGAAGTAAAGTCAGGGTATTGGGTTGGTGATTTATATAAAACCATTATTGCACACCTCAAGGAGGCCTCGAGGAAGCCTCGAGACAGTGTTGTGAGCGCTAAGCGCCAAGCACTAATTTCGACCGCATCTGAGTCTCTCTGCAGTGTGCGCGTCGAACCTGACAGGCTGTGGATCAAGTTTGTGTGTGTGCACAGTGCAGGTCGGGAACAGTGGATGATTCATGATTATGACAAAGTACATAGTCGTAGTACTACTGCCAGTGAGAATAGCCACACCTGAAATTCCACCCCAATTGCGAGTCTGCTTGTCCATCGCTCGGGTCAAGAGAAGTCACAAATCGCCAATTGCCTTATTAAGTTACATTTATCTTGAAAATTCCAAGAACTTGTGTTGCGTTTACACTGCTCCCACTACCTCTGCTCTTCCTTTTTCTTCATTTGTACTAGCTTTCACTAAGACGAGCGGTCATGCAGCTACACAGGCGCATGCAAAACATCGATCAGATTGCGCATATATGCTCACCATGTGCATGATTGATTTGGTGCTGTCCGTTTTACATTGGTTTTCATCAAAGCCACAATGCGCTGACTATGCTTGTGACATTATAGCCCGATTGCTGCGGTGCTGAGAAGCAGGAGAATTAAGTATAGAAATGTGTGCTTTGAGGGGTTGTTAGCAGTCAGGTGGGACAGGTGAGTTATCCGTTCGCTCTATTTGGACCCCCCTCCTGTTCGTTTCTGACTTTTCTGCTTTTATGCCAACAGACTGTGACCGTGTTGAGTATTGACGTTCGGGCGGGAGGTACATTGGTATTATCTCTGGAGTAAATATCTTGCTGATCATGTATCTATAGGTCGAACTGGTTTGGGTGAGCAGAGTTTCACATCTGGTACATAGCATTAATATATATTGTATGTTTACTTGCGTACTGCATGTTTCTTCTGATCGAGGGCATGCAGTATCTCTTCCCAGAACTTCGGCAACAGATTCAGTGAGTACTTTGCACCGCTGCCTGCCATTCACATCCAATTAATTGCACTTCCTTGCAGGGGCGAGTGAGTTGTCAAGCTCCTTGGTTCAGTAGAATGATTTCCGTAGCTGTGAGTCTGTTTAAAGTCTCCGATCATCCGAGGCTGTTAACCAACACAACTTGATTTTTCAGGCCATGTGATATTCGACGCACTAAGTTGGATCAATGTCGCCGTGACTGCAATATTAGGCCGTGAGCTACGCAGCTGTATCACCTTGACTGGACTGACAGATGGCGCAAGTCATCATGATCGCTCGGCTATATGCCCTGCATCAACAATCCAGAAAGTGCTGATATCTCTCAGTGTCATTTTCTTGGTAGTCAACATTGCTGACGGAGTGACCGCTGCAATGGTTACGAGACGTGTTTCGTCGGGTAAGTTTTAATTTTAGTGGATGACGGACTTGAATGCGTGCAGCTCATTTTGCAAATATCTGATAGAAGTGTTCATTCTCTTTGGCATCACTCAGTGCGCCTCTGACTTTCAAGAAGGCTCGGATGATCTCCTTCTGGCTTGGATGACCTGGATTCTCCCCGCTGTATGGGAGGCCCTCGCACTATGTCTTGCAGTCCGGATCGCTTTCAAACACCTCCGTGAGCTGCAGCGACCATTGACAGGATGGCTTAATGCCGGAGATTGTTTCGCAGTGTTAACAAAAACTCATGTAATTTACTTCGCGAGGTAAGCTAACTATGATGCGAATGCGACTCTCCTTTTCCGCTGAAATTCTGCACCTTCAGTTTTGTTGCTGTGTCTGGCTTCATCCTCCCTTATGTGTCTCAAACGGCCATAGCGGTATGACATTGTGACTCTGACCTCTGCATGCCACAATCGTTAATCATTATTGCAGAACACAATTATCGCTGAACATCAGATTTATCTTGGTTTAGCTCAAACTTTCATAGTCACGGTGATGTGTGCTGGGACCACGCCTGATTCTTGGCGTTCGAGAATATCATGCGAAGCTTGTGGCCAACTCCGAAGGAGGTCCCTGCATGACTTGGATTGCCTTTGAAGAGCGCTTGAATGTGTCAACCAGCATCAGTGTGTAGCATAGAAAATGCTTGCTGTGTTTGCCGCGTGCCGGGTTCTCTCAGGGAGGGAGGGAAGTTGTTTTTATTCGAAGATTTTGTCGTGGTACTCGTACTATCTATATATTGTACATATTTATTGGTGTAATCAAGGTTTCTGTCAGGCACTGTGACACGGCGTTGAATCAGGGTTGGTTAGAGTAAACGAGTTCTTCAAAATGTTGTGAAGAACTGCGAGTAGCCGTTAGACGTGTTAGAGACCAATACGGTCGAGGGTCTTGTCTGAACACTGAGAGTGCGAGAGATCGGATGGGTGGGTGTTGCTAGAGATAATGTATGCGGTGTAGAAGATCAAATATGTGCCGGTCAAGAATACAGTAAAAGGAGTGCATAACAAAATCTTTTGTTTCTTCACAGCATATGACGTTTTCAGTGGCGGCCCACGGCCTCAGAAGTTAAGAGAGAATATATTAAGGTTCAAACGTTCAATCAAGGCCCATCATCGAAATAATCGTTGCAACGTTGAGTAGTGACCAAGGTCAGATTAAAATAATCATGAAGCTTTGAAGATCGACTGAAAGTTAACGTTAGCCTATGTGACGCAACTCACTACCGCTCTTATCGTCAACGCTTAATGGCTTCGATTCATCAATGATAAATAGTCAGTCGTGGAACAGTTGTCATGATCGCGGACGGTTGACTCACGTTACCTTAGATCTACAGATCTTACCCGGATGGCAAGAGTACTTATACGCCGCAGGACATGAAATTAGGTACGCACCACTGTCTGCTGTAACAATACTATTCACAGTCATTTTCGTCGTCTTGCATGACAACATCCTCATCGTGCCCAGTGCAGACGACAGCACGATGCGCAAGTAGAACTGCGATACGGAACTTTTTTCTGGAGAACTGTGGAAAGGTAAGGGACATATGCGCACGGGCACTTTCACGAAGTTTCACCGGACAGAAAGACGATTGCGTGTGGAACTTGACACGACGGGAGATATAATCAAAGGTATTGAGGAGGGTCACAGTCTGGGAGTGCAGGCTCTGTTATGGTTTCCCAGCGGATGCATCTTAGAAGCGAGTGCGACGACGGAATAAACGAAGCGGACAGCAGAGAAATCGAATCAAGACTGTTAGGCGCCAGAATAGCATCAGGCGGGTACAACTAAATGATTTGCATTTGAAAAACGAAGACCGGCCAGCTGGTTGTCGGTCCAATAAAAGAGTTGCAGCAGGACCAAATATTGTGCAAATGTGGACTGTGTTGTACATCATGGTGGTTGTTCAAATTTAAAGACTTATTTGCACTGTTGTTGACAATCCACAACTCCGCACTAGCTCACGGGTTCACATGTTCACACCCAATGGAGACAGAATATATGTATGAAGCTGGCAGCGGTAGTGGAAACAACATAATGTACGACTGTGTATTTAGTAACAATCGGATTGGAGTATCATAGAAACATTATATATTGACCTACACGTGACAAAGAAACCCTGGCCAAGACAAACGCGTATGGTACGAATCATGTGTATCATAACGACTCGGAAGACGAGGCAGCCTCCTGTCCCCGACAGGTGTGCCAAGACGTGTCATGGGCGAGACGACTCAAATCAAGCTGCAAGGCATTATCATGTATCACCAGCGTATTGCCTGGGACATACATCACGGGGTGGAAATTGCGTGGGATCCAGAGAAGAAGCCGTCCGTCAGGACCTACAACCCATCCATCCTCGTTCACAACAACAGAGGCGGGGGTAGAGGAGTCCTGGAGAAAGGAAGAGGCGGAATGAAGAGCGTAGGTTGGGTTAGATGAAAAACATATTGCAGGCACTTTGGTAGGGTGGGGCTGGTTGAGAAATTCTATGTCCCACACGCGGATGGTCTTGTCGGATGAACCAGATACGATGCGCTTGCTGTCGGGTGAGATTGCGACAGATGAAACAAGTTCAGTGTGACCTTGGAAAGGGGCCCCCAGTGCCTTCCCAGTCTTCATATCCCACATCCGGATCGTCTTGTCACCTGAACCGGATACAATGTGGCGCCCATTTCGCGAGATCGCGACAGAGAGAACATCGCTGGTGTGCCCTTCAAGAGGGGCACCCAATACCTGGCCAGTTTCAATATCCCATACACGAACAGTTTTGTCAAATGAACCAGACACAACGTATTTTGCATCTGGCGACATTGCAACAGATTGAACCCAGCCAGAATGCCCTTTGAGAGTGTCACCCACGGCCTCGCTAGTCTCCATGTCCCATACCCTGATCGTCTCGTCCAATGAACCGGATACTATGCGATGTCCATCCAGCGAGATTGCGACAGACATAACCCAGTCAGTGTGACCTTTGAGAGGAGCACCAAGTACTTTGCGAGTGTGCATATTCCACACACGGATGGGGAAGTCGGATGAACTAGACACAATACGAGTTCCATCTGGCGAGAATACAGCAGAGCAGACTGTACCACTATGGCCTAGGAGAGGCGCACCCAAAACCTCGCCAGTCCCAATGTCCCACACCCGAATGCTCCGATCAGCTGAACCAGATGCAATGCACTTCCCATCAGGCGAGATTGCTACTGACCGAACAGATTCAGTGTGCCCTTCGAGAGGGCCAATTAAGGCCTTGCCAGTCTCTATATCCCACACACGAACTGTCTTGTCATCTGAACCGGACACAATGCAATGTCCATCGGGCGAGATTGCAACTGAGTTGATGGGGGCAGTGTGGCTTTGAGGGATAGCGACTGATGCCTTGCCCGTAATGACGTCGGCATCCCATACCCGAATCGTCTTGTCCGATGAACCGGAGACTATGCGACTTCCATCCAACGAGACTGCAACAGATTGAATCGGGGCAGTGTGGCCTTGAAGAGGGGATCCTAATACTGCACCAGTCCCAATATCCCACACCCGGATGGTTGTGTCATCTGAACCAGATATAATGTGTTTCCCGTCGTGCGAGATTGCAACCGAATAAACATAGCCCGTGTGCCCTTGAAGAGGGTCACCTACTGCCTCACCAGTCTCCATGTCCCATACCCTGATCGTCTCGTCATATGAACCAGATACTATGCGCTTTGCATCCAGCGAGATTGCGACTGACCGAACACATTTAGTGTGCCCTTGGAGGGTACCCGATGCCTTGCCGGTTGCTACGTTCCACACCCGGACAGTTGTGTCACTTGAACCAGATACAATGTTTTTCCCATCGTGCGATATTGCAACAGATGAAACTTCGCCAGTGTGCCCTCGAAAAGGGTCACCCACTTCCTCGCCATTCTCCATATCCCACACCCTGACTGTCCTGTCCCCCGAACCAGATACTATGTGATTTACATCCAGCGAGATTGCGACGGACTGAACATAGTCAGTGTGCCCTCGGAGGGTACTCAATGCCTTGCCGGTTGCTATATCCCACATACGAACTGTTGCATCCCATGAACCTGAAACGATGCGATGACCATCCGGTGAGAATGCGACGGACGTAACACTGCTAGTGTGGCCTTGAAGAGGTAGGTGCACGCAATGCCTCGCCAGTCTTTGTATCCCACACCTGGATCGTTCCATCCTCTAAACCACATGCAATGCGTTTTCGGTCTGCTGACATTGCAACCGACCAAATACGGTCATTTGCATGGATTATCTTTTCCATCTGAGGCCAATTTTCGACATGGCCAGCAACAATACGGGGGGTACAAGGAAACTTGGCGGCAAACTTTTGGACTGCGTAGGAGCGAACGGCAGGGCAGACAAGTGTGAATGGGGAGTGCTGTGTAAGATGGCGTCTGCGAAAGTGCAGACGAAACGCAGGGTGTCCTTGACCGCGTCACTAACTTGCGTAAACTCGGCTTGACCCTACGACCACCCCACCGCTCGTAAGAATTTGCCGGGAAAAGAATGAGATTGAGCTACGCACCAAAAACCAGTCTGCAGTAGATAACAGGGTCTCTACCGAGCCGCCGAGGCTTTTTGTCAGAGCCAGTGCTTCCATCCACCAAAGAAGGCGCTCTCCATCGAAGAAAGCTTCAACCTCCTTAGCGAGTGGAGATTCGAAGGGCGTAGAAATGACATGAGTCCCCCAAAACCGACATGAGTATGATAGCTCAGCCGGGATGGATTTTTTGACTCGTTTTTCCAAATCAGGGACAGAAGAGTTGGGCAAGTACGAATTCTCTAAGGAGCAGATGTTGAAGCGAAGTCCGTATTTCATGATCCGGAGTGAGGCAAAGGCAAGGTCGCTCTGTACCAATGAATCAATGAAGAAGTCGTCACTGCGCGATTTGTCTGTGAGGAAGTCGTAGAATGATGCGTGAAGGGGACGTATGGGGGTTTGAGAATCCGTTGCCCCAATCAACAGCGAACCGAGCGGCTCAATGACATTTTTCACTTTGTAACGACTAGTCATGGGTGTAAAATACAGTCGCACAGCCGCCAGCGCAGCCATGGGAAGTGGTTCCAACGATGCGAGGACTTGCCCCATCACTGAGCGATACCAGGGGATCATGGACTTGGGTATAATTTCTGCCAGGATGGCTTTATACATACTATCCAGTAGAGGTGTTCCTTCTGCAGATGCTCCAGCCAACACAGCTTCGAAGCGTTCCATTGGATCTGGGCCCATTTGGTTCCTACGCTTGATATGCTCACAGGCGAGACGAGCCCATTCAAACAGGCCATCGGATTTCTCAGCTAGTAACTTGAAGTGTCTAGCCTCAAATGTATTGTGTAGGACTTTCAGCATGGAGGAGATGTAGAGTTGGATGTCATGTTCCGTCGACTCGGCTTCATCTATAGGTTTAGGAAGAACATGCGGTGCGGTCTGCAGGACATCCCCGATATCTCTGAGTGGGCGGGAGGTGATGAGAATGCGGAGATTTGCTGGAAGTTGGGAGGATTGGGAGGAAGTGGCGTTCGGGTCGCCAGCAAGCAAATGCAGAATTTGTTCCCGGGATTTCTCGTCGCCGCTCTCGTCCAACGCATCAATAACTACCAGAACGGGTGCATTGAAATCTTTTGAGGCCTCATTGATTGGTCCTACGACCAACTCCCGCCACTGTCTTGCTATGTCAGCGCTATGTCTAAGTTCATTACGATCATGAACTGCACGCGCCAATGCGCGCCGCATGGTAGGATGGCAGTCAGCCAAGTCACGAGCGATTGTGGTGAATATTTTCTCGTGCCGACGGTCTGCTACACGTGTACGATCAAAACAGAAACAGGCTCCCAGACCACCTTGCTCATTTGACCAGTTGGCTATCGTATGAGCGATAGCCGATTTGCCCTTTCCTGCAGTGCCGTATAACCACAAGAGCTGAGGCACATTTTTCTCCGTGCTACAGACCCAGGACTTGATCTGGGACAGGATGACTTCACGAGTGCCTGGGAGACACCGTTTGGAGGTGTCGAAACTGGCAGCATCCGCATACACCATGCCGCTGAAGTCCAGATCATCGACTAGGCCACGCATCATTAACATCATCGTGCGTTGAAAGTGAATCTAAGCTCTTACCAGCACGATGAAGGGTGATCACAGTGTCACGAGCTAGATGGCCTTGGAATTGCTGCATGAGATCATCGAGAGCATTACTGTAGCTCTGAATCTTGCTGTCTGTTTCACTGAAAACGTTCTTGCCAAGTCTTTTCCCTATCGAAAGAGACAACGTCAAGATGAAGGAGACGAAGGAGTAAGATCGACTCACAGGCGTTCTTTGTCTCAGAGTAATGGCAGATGAAATCTGCGCACTCGAGTGTCTGTCGCGCTATCTTTCCGTATATCGCTAGCATAGATTCCATTTCGATCAATTCCTGCTTCTCAGTGATAAAAGTATGGACTCCAGATATCTTCGAGAGCAAACGTGAAACATCTTCATCACGATTTGCCTGATCGAGAATCATCTGTTACCGAAATTTTGTCAACCTGCGACGGCGATGATCGAGAAAGAAGCTTACATTGGATGCGGAAGTGAAGATACACAACGCCAACTTCGCGTAAGGATGGGCCTGCATGTGAATGTTAGTGACGTGCAGAAGTGAGATAGATGGTCGTACGTCTGCGATCATGTTGGCAACGGAGTTGAATGCCTTCAAAGGTTTAAGCAACGCGGAGAACGTGTCTATTTCATCAGAAACGGATGGTACATCGTTGATCGCAAAAGAAGCCTTTTGGAGTAATGCGGGGGACCTGGCTGGTGCCTGCGAGACCTTTGTTGGCATTGGCGATTTTTTTGTTCACAACCTTCGGGTCGAGATGTTCGGCCTAAGCATAGACATCAGCACGTTGTCGAATGAGACGGATGGGAATATTCAGAGTTTCGTTAGTCGAGCTTACCTCTACGATCCCTGAATTGGAAGACTGCTCGCAATTTGGTTCGAGAGTGGGAGGGGTGAGATCCTGCAGAAGCGATTAGTACTAATCATGGCACACAGGGCACACTAAGAGTTGAAATTACACTTACCTTAGTTGATTGAACAGGTCGGGTGTCCTGTAGGCTGGAAATTGCAGCTGTGGGTTCCGGGTTGGGGGACTGTCGAGCGTTTCGAGTGAAGCGCTTGTTCACCTTGCCAAAGATCTTGCGCATTGACCTCGTGAGTCGTCCGTGAGATCCATTTCTCGGAGGCGAGAGAGAGGACGACTGTAATGATTAGAGATAATGTAGTTGTCAAGATAAAAGTTCGTACATCGTGACTGGTTGCCCTCCTGCCTCTCTCCTCTACCAAATGAGGGTCTGAATAACTTTGCTTCAGCCGCCTCCAGCGTTCCTTCCAAGTAGGATTGTTTTCACCCATCCAGTGAATGAGAAAAGTAGATAGGTGTGGGTGTTAAGAGGTTGTCTTGGTGCGATGGAACTAGGATGGGTGGTGAGTAACAAACAGATTCGACGAGCGCCTACATTTCTGTAATCAATTATGGATTATGAACTTGGGCCTGAAAGCGCCCGTTATCGATTGGCTGCTCAACCTGGACTAATGATAGCAATCCTCCAAAGCTGAAAAGGGGATCAGGCAAAAGGCCACCAGGAAACCTCACCATTGTTTTGTGCATGAACTTGCAGGGGCAGTGTTGTTCGACAAGTGAAAGTACTTATTGAAAGGACAAAATTCATTCAAGACCATCGCTCGTCATTCGGTCATCGATGCAGTTGGCGCTTGGCACTTCAAGTTGCTGGCTGTATTATTTGTTCATGTTTGGACTTGTGAGGCCTGCTAGCATCTCTCAATTGCCTTATTAGGTTACATTGATCTTGAAAATTCCAAGAACACGGTTCTGCCAAGTTCTATGCGAAAACGACTCGAAAACGCTACGGTGAACCTCTTTGAGAGGTGGGGAATTGACGTACATGGTTGGCCGAGCACCGGTAAGCGTAAAGGGGTTGACAGTCGCGCCGTAGTAAGGTTGAAGGACTAACTACTACATTTTAAATTTGAAAAGGGGAGCTCAAGCTTCAAGTTGTGGTTTTTGGAAGATGCACAGCTCGCGTCGAGAGCATCTCTCAATTGCCTTATTAGGTTGACTATGACACATTTTATTTTTTTCGGTTCTGCCAAGTTCTATGCATACATACCATCATTGCGAATGTCCCCAGGCCAAGTGCGTCTGCGCACTCGATGCCCCACCACCTGACATTTAATCATCTTCACTGCTCCCCTTACATACCGACTCAAAGTGTCCACTTTAATGCCAGTCCCGCATTAGACGATTGCAAACTTCACTTATCGAGGGTCGTAATGGATGAACTGTGGTACGAGTTTCGTCGAACGCATACAAATTAAATAATGTGTTTGCGTGCCCAGCCATCCTGATGCTGAACATATATCTGATATTACCGCTCTTATCGTCAACGCTTAATGGCTTCGATTCATCAATGATAAATAGTTAGTCGTGGAACAGTCGTCATGATCGTGGACGGTTGACTCACGTTACCTTAGATCTACAGATCTTACCCGGATGGCAAGAGTACTTCCATACGCCGCAGGACATGAAATTAGGTACGCACCTACTGGCTCTGCTGTAACAATACTATTCACAGTCGCCAGGACTCATCAACTCTGCACATAGCATTGGCATCCTCAGCGTAAGCTGTAGCACTACTCGCATCGCTACAAAGCTCATACTGGCTCTCAGGGGACTCCATTTTCTCCTTACGTGTCTGACCTATTAGGGCGGCGAGCAGCTATGTTCATCGGGGCAGTCGTCATGCTAGCTGGTGTTCTTACTCAAGCCTTATCCACCAACATCCAAGTCTTCCTTGGCGCTCGTTTGCTTAGTATGATGCACAATCAAAACGTCTATTCATAAACTTATCCTCCATTTCTCAGTCGGATTTGGGATGGCTTTCTCCATCAATGCTGCTCCCTTACTCATCAGCGAACTTAGCTATCCAACACATGTGCGCCGAATCATCTCGTATCTTATCCATCGGCTCTAATCTCATTCAAGCGCGGAAAAATGACCTCTCTGTACAATTCGTTGTGGTATTCTGGCAGCGCCATCTGTATGTGAGATCCGGTGTCGCATATTTGGTCTCTCACATGTCTGGCAGCGGCTTGGATCTGCCTGGGCACTTATGACGTTGCGGGGACGTCACCGTGGTCATGGAAGGCCCCTTCATTAGTTCAAGCATTTATTCCTATCATTCAGATGGTGCTAATATGGTAAGACTGTTAGCTTATGCCCTGCCCAAAGAGACTCAGCGTCTTCAGGTTCATCCCAGAGAGTCCTCGGTTTCTAATGGCGAGAGGGTTGGTGAGCATCCACGAAGAACTATTCCATTAAGTAAATCATCGAACGTTTCTCTGTTTCCTTCCAGGAATCACAAGCTGCACGAGTCCTCGCTCAGCGCCATGCAAATGGGGGGGACGAACGCAACGCTCTAGTAGCTTTCGAGCTGGCTCAAATCCGACATGCTTTGAACGTCGAACGAGAGTTCGCCTCTGGCAAATCCTACCTAAGGTGCTTCTCGACTCCCGGCAACAGACAGCGCATGTTTACCATTATATGGATCGCAGTATTCTCACAGTGGAGGTTTGATCAGTTTGGTTCCAATTTGATGACTGGCATTGATGTTCGTCTCAGCGGTAATGGTCTGCCGTCCTATTATATCAACTTGGGCCTTGCCGATTGACTAGATATGGATTTGTGCATTTCCTATATATTTCCTTCAATTGATCGAAACAGTCAACCTCGTGCTATATCTCCCAGCCTTGTCCCAGCCTATCTTTTACGTGAACAGCTGCTCCACATGTCCGCAGCTTTTAAGACATAGGGTGCAACAAATGAGATGCTGGGTATGGAATAGAATACGAAGTACGATCCAGTGTACACTCGGTCACATCTAAATTGTACCTGAAACTCCAAAATGGATCCAACGCTGTGTTTATTGCCAGTATTAAGGTCTGCAAGTGTAGATTTTAGTACCTGCAAGGAACAGAGAGGGCTTCGAAGAGACTAACCCCTCTCGGCACTTTTGCCAGTGTTGTCCGTGTGCCATGCGGCTCATATCAAGCTCAGGACCTCCTCTGGGCATCACTAATGCAGTCTGAGAGCTATAAAACGGATGTCGAGAAGCGGGTGGTACCCAGAATAGCAGCCGATCTTTGGGCCCTACCATCCATCCACTGCTATCATCCAGGAAAAAGTGGGTCGAACTGCAGTCATCATGGGATACTCCCTCCATGAAATCAGAAGTGTTGCGCAGTGCATGGATAGAGTTGGGCGAGAAACAAATGAAGTGATTTGTACATGTATTCAATGGAATGGTAGGGAGAGACTCTATCGTGCGATGATCATCTAAGAATGATGGATAATCTGACTTGGCGCACTGTTGCGATGGCTGACCCGTCGCAGCATCCCACAGCCGAACAGTCTTATCAAAAGAACCACTGACGATGCGAGCGCCGTCCGGCGAGAAGGAGACCGAGGAAACGAAGGAAGTGTGCCCCCGCAAGGGCTCACTGACTGGCTGGCCCGTCGCAGCATGCCACAGCCGAACACTGCCATCCTCCGAACCACTGACGATGCGAGTGCCGTCTGGCGAGAACGAGACCGAGGAAACTGCATGAGTGTGCCCCCGCAAGGGCTGACCGACTGGCTGACCCGTCGCAGCATCCCACAGCCGAACAGTCTCATCAGAAGAACCACTGACGATGCGAGCGCCATTCGGTGAGAACGAGACCGAGCAAACAAAGGAAGCATGCCCCCGCAAGGGCTCACCAACTGGCTGACCCGTCGCAGCATCCCATAGCCGAACACTGCAATCTTCCGAACCACTGACGATGCAAGTGCCGTCTGGCGAGAACGAGACGGAGAGAACGACAGAAGTGTGCCCCCACAAGGGCTCACCAACCGGCTGACCCGTCGCAGCATCCCACAGCCGAACACTGCCATCCTCTGAACCGCTGACGATGCGAGTGCCGTCCGGCGAGAACGAGACAGAGAGAATGACAGAAGTGTGACCCCGCAAGGGCTGACCGACTGGCTGACCCGTTGCAGCATCCCACAGCCGAACAGTCTCATCAAAAGAACCACTGGCGATGCGAGTGCCGTCCGGCGAGACCGAGACAGAGGAAACTGCATGAGTGTGCCCCCGCAAGGGCTCACAGACTGGCTGACCTGTCGCAGCATGCCACAGCCGAACACTGCCATCCTCCGAACCACTGACGATGCGAGTGCCGTCCGGGAAGAACGAGACAGAGTAAACTGGTGGAGTGTGCCCCCACAAGGGCTCGCCGACTGGCTGACCAGTCGCAGCATCCCACAGCCGAACAGTCTTATCAAAAGAACCACTGACGATGCGAGTGCCGTCCGGCGAGAACGAGACCGAGGAAACGAAGGAAGCGTGCCCCCGCAAGGGCTCACCGACTGGCTGACTTGTTGCAGCATCCCACAGCCAAACAGTGTTATCGTAAGAACTACTGACGATGCGAGCGCTGTCCGGCGAGAAGGAGACCGAGGAAACGAAGGAAGTGTGCCCTCGCAAGGGCTCACCAACTGGCTGACCTGTCATAGCATCCCACAGCCGAACAGTGTTATCATAAGAACCACTGACGATGTGAGCGCCGTCCGGCGAGAACGAGACCGAGGAAACTGCATGAGTGTGCCCCTGCAAGGGCTCACCGATTGGCTGACCACTCGCAGCATCCCACAGCTGAACAGTCTTATCAAAAGAACCACTGACGATGCGAGCGCCGTCCGGAGAGAAGGAGACCGAGGAAACGAAGGAAGTGTGCCCCCGCAAGGGCTCACCAACTGGCTGGCCCGTCGCAGCATGCCACAGCCGAACAGTGTGATCCCGCGAACCACTGACAATGCGTGTGCCATCCGGCGAGAACAAGACCGAGGAAACTGTATGAGTGTGCCCCCGCAAGGGCTCACCGACTGGCTGACCCGTTGCAGTATCCCACAGCCGAACAGTGTTATCCCAAGAACCACTGACGATGCGAGTGCCGTCTGGCGAGAACGAGACAGAGAGAACGACAGAAGTGTGCCCCCGCAAGGGCTGACCGACTGGCTGACCCGTCGCAGCATCCCACAGCCGAACACTGCCATCCTCCGAACCACTGGCGATGCGAGTGCCGTCCGGCGAGACCGAGACCGAGTAAATGAAAGAAGTGTGCCCCCTGAGCACGGCCTGAACAGCCGACCAGTTCATAATACGTCCAGATGTTACACGAAGAATATTCGGAAATCGTGTAGAAAGCTTTTTCGATAGCGGAGAGTTGGCGGGCAAGAATGGAAGTGCTGATACATACAGATGCGGTGTGCTGTGTAAAATCATGCCGCCAAATACTTGAATGAACCTCTGTACATCCATTGCGGTCGACGAGACATCTTTGAATTCGGATTGACCCTGGGCTTGCGCGTGAGTTCTTTGTCTGGCGCCGTAGCAGTGTGCTCACCTTTAGCCACTGGGGGATGAGCGCAAGGGCATGGACTGCACCGCTGAGAGCTTTAATCAGGGCGAGCAACTCGACCCAGAAAAACACCCGCTCGTGGTCGAAGAACAATTTCACTTCTTTCGCGAGCTCCGTGTCGAACGCTGTGGTTCGTACGTGCGACGTCCAAAATCTAGAGGAATATGATAAATATGGGGGGATGTATTTTTTGACTCGTTCTTGCAGTCCGGGATCTTCGCTGTTAGGCAGATACGACGACTTTAAATCGCAAATATTGAAGCGCAGGTTGTGTTCCATAACTCTAAGCGACGCGAATGCAAGGTCGTGCTGCGCCATCGACAGGTCGATGAAAAACTCCCCGCTGGATTGTTTGTCGGTCAAGAAATCGCGGAAGGATGCGTGGAGGGGTCGGATTGGGGAATCTGGGTTGGTGATGCCGCTCAGGAGGGAGCCCATGCTTTTGACCACAAGCTCCACGTCGAAATTGTCTTCTTGCGTTGGGAAATGGTGCCTCATGGCGTTCAGGGAAGCTAAAGAAAGGGGCTCAGCTGTCTCTAGTATTTGTCTCATCACTGAGCGAAATCTCGTTAGCGCAATCGAATGCAGTTTCTGCGACAGACGGACGTTGATGGATGCATCCCTGTTCATGATATCTGTCAAAATGAGCCGATACATGTCGTGCAACAGCATGCTCCTCTCGGTGGGATTGCGTGACACCACAGACTCATAGAAATCATTCGGAGATATCCCAAGATGGGGTTCTTTGATGTATTCGCAGGCGAGACGTGCCCACTCGAAAAGTCCATCAGCTTTCTCAGCGAGGACTGAAAACTGTCTGTCCTGGAAATCCAGCCCTTCCAACTCCTTAGATACGTAAGCACGAATGTCGCGCTCTGCGAACTCTGGTGGGATATCATCCATCGACATCTGTCGAATATGCGGAACATCGTGAAATTCATAATTGATGTCACCAAGCGGCCTAGAAGTGATGATGAAGCGGAAGTTGTTCGGGAGGTCTGTTATTTTGGGAACGTCGGGGTTTTGATGTTTGCCAGCTAGAATACGGAGGAGGTCTCTCCGCGTATCTGCTCCGCCGCTTTCGTCCAGTGCATCGATCACAATCACGATGGGTTTATCAGTTGACCCAGATGACTTCCCTAGTGGCTCGATGAGAAGCTTCTGCCACTGCTGAATGATATCCGCTGTATTCTTGAGCTCATTCGTGTTCTGAACTGCATCTGCTAATGCCCGCCTCATCTCCGGGTCACGGTCAGCCAGGTCGCGCGCGATCGTGGAAAAGATCTTTTCATGGCGACGATCTGCTTCTCGCTGCCGGTCAAAACAGTAACACGAACCAAGCCCTCCCACATCCTTAAACCACTTAGCAATGGTGTGAGCGATGGCCGATTTCCCCTTGCCTGCAGGGCCAGATAGCCACAGGACGGGCGAAACGTTGTTACCAGTGCCGTTGACCCAATCCGTGACCTGGGAAAGGATTTCCGTGCGCGTCCCTTCGAGGCATTGTTTCCTGGTATCCAGGCCCGCGCCAGCTGCGTAAGTCATGCCACTGAGATCCAGTATTTCTCCTGAAAAAGTATGAATATATGTCAAATCACAAGCACATCTGAACGCCTACCCGTACGGTGGACATATAAGGCTACGTCGTGAGTAACTTGGTCCCGAAAGTTTTGCATGAGTGTATCCAACACGTTACTGTACTGTTCGATGGTATCTTTCGTTTCTGAGGCGACATTCTTTCTGAGTCTGTTCCCTGCGATTACGGCAGAAACTTGAGACGATGAAAAGTGCAACAGCTTTGAATACTCACAAAAGTTCTTGGTCTTCGAATACTTTTGAATGAATTGAGCGCATTCGAGGGTCTGCTGAGAAATCTGTCCAAGGATAATGCGCATCGACGAGATTTGGCCGAGCATCTGATCTTGTGTTATAAAGCTGTAAACTTCACACAGCTTATCGACGAGCTTGAGTACTGCTTTGTCGCGATCTGCTTGAGCTAGAACAATCTGCACAAATGATTCCTGATCAATGTAAGATAGGAAGAGATAAGGATAAGACATACTTTGGCTGCACAAGACAACACGCCCAGTGCCATCTTGGCATATGGATGTATCTGTGGAACGGGATTAGTTTGGTTCTGATCGAGAAGAAGACCCATACATTCGCAATCTCTGCGATAACAGCATCAAATATCTTGAGGGGTTTGAGATATGTGTCCTCAAACTGGTCTGCAGTATCGAGATCCTTCTCTGCATCCTGACCAGCAGATGCTACAGTTATCGCACGTCTCGGAAGTGAGTGCATGTGCTTTGTATATTCTTGTGCATCCCGAAGTGCCAATTGGATATCAGGCTCCGGTGTTACACTGGACGGACCAGCCTGACCCTGCGCGACCGCCATAGTTTAGAAAACAGAGACTGAAGGGCAAGTATGAGAACTAACCTCGATATTCGGGTTCGATGAAGCACGTTCGTCATGAACGACATTTTCGGGAGCAGAGCCAGGGCTGCGGGAATTCTTCGAGCGTTTGTTGCAATGTTAGTCGTGTTGCAGTACCCTCGTTCTGGATGTTCGTGGACTCACCGTCCTTAACATTTTCGCATCCTCCTTAAGCTTCTTCAGGAACTGACCGATTTTGCTACGAGGTCGATGCTAGACGAAGGATGCGTTAATGTCAGGATTTGGGGTGAACTAGGTGATCTTCATGGGCCACACACCGAGTTTCCAGGAACTGCTGCTTCACTAGATGCGTTGGTTGTTTGAGTCGTATTCCTCGATGAATGATTTCGTTTGCTCATTGTGAATGGTAGTCGAAGAGAAGTAAAATAAGGGTCTTGGGTAGTGTACTGCGAAAGCGGCGGTGTGAATTCACCTGTGTGAATCCACCCCTGTAAATTAGCGTGAATTGGCATGTGAGTTTCGGGGCCTGGCGCACTTTGGGGGTGTGAGTTAGGCTGAATTTGGGGACATACGAATTTCCATAATGAGATCAAACAGATTCCTGGCAGAACGAAAGCGATGATCAGAAAGTTATTCGTGATTGCCAAGCCATTAGTATGGAGTTTTGGGTTGGTCATTTATATAAAATCATTACTGCATGCCTCAAGGAAGCCTCGATGCGGTGTTGCGCGCAAAGCATTCAAATTTCGAGCGTATCTGAATATCTCTGCGGTGTGCACGTCGAACCTGATGGGATTTGGAGCAAGTTTATGGTGCAGGTCGGGGACAGTGGATGATTGTGACAAAGTACATGGTCGTAGTACCACTGCCAGTGATAACCTCGTCTGAAATTTTATCTCGATTGAGAGTCTCAGCTTGTCTATGGTCAAAATCAACTTTGATATATACCCTTCGTGACTTGAGAGAGCATCGTTCGAGCGAGAACGACCATGCCTCCGTGCATAGCTCGGGTCAAGAGAAGTTTTTAAAAGCATCTCCCAATTACCTTATTAGGTTGACTATTTCACATTTACTTTTGTTCTAATTACGCCGCCTTGAAGGTATCCGAACTTTATTTACTGGATCTAAGACTCTAAAGGTCAAAACATCATCACTTATGTTGCGTTGATGACACATCCTTGCATTCTAACTAATACTTTAGTAAATACGTGTTGCGTTTACACAGCGCCATCACACTGCTCCCACAACCTTTCTTTCTTTATACTAGCTTGCACTAATATGAGCGGTCATGCAGCTATATAAAATATCAGCCAGATTATATCTGGCTGCGCATCTATACTCGTCGTGTGCGTTTAGATCGGGTTTCATCAGAATCCAGATATGCGCGGACTATGCTTGTGACATTATGGCCCATCGGATTGCCACCGCAGCAAAGAACATCGAGGTGCTGAGGAGTAGGAGAATTGGGTATGTAGTCTGGAGAGGTGTGTTCTGAGGGTACTAGCAGCCCGGGTTGGAAGGTGAGTTATCTGTTCGTTCCATTTTGACCTCCCCTACTTTTCGTTTCCCTGCTTTCATGCCAACAGGATGTGACCGTGTTGGACCGGCTATTATCCTCTCCGACCCGGATGAGCAAATTGGAGACTGAGCTGATCGGTGTTCAGATATTCAAAGTAGGGATACACACACCATTCCTATAGTTCTTGTTTCGGCAGTAAAGCGCTGCATGGTAGGATATTTAGCACGGACGAACGCCGCACGTCACCAGGTGCTCATCCACCCTTTAACAGCATGACCCTAGTATCAAATGATTCCATTTGGTGGCCGTTCATGCTTTCGACCCAAATGACCAGTTATGTCGTTGGTTCGTAGAGAACCACTAGGATATTGCATGACCATGTGATGATCTAGACCCGCGGTTTTGCAGTCTCCTTCTCTTTTGGGTTGATATATGATTCGGGTGAGCAAGATAGTATTGTAAGGATTCCATATCCTCTACACCCCGACTAAGGCTTCATAATAAGATTCAAGGACTTACGTCTCGACATCCGCGTGACTCACTGATGCGAAGAAGCATCACGCTTCGCGTCCGAGTCACGCGGACACATTCTCTTTCCTTACCCTCATCTTCTCGTTATTCTCAACGACCAGCTCGGTCCTTCACCCTCATTCATACTATACCCTGGACTCATCACCTAACTCTCTCTCGTCATTCTTTTAGTTTCACTCCTTTCGTCCCAAAAAGCAGTCAAAAACCTAACAGCTCTCGTCATTCCTGTGCACGGCGAGCTCCCTATTACTACCTTCATTCAAAAACTAACATACTTTAACTCATTTCCGTTACTCCTACCCTGTCAGGCTCAACGCCACCACTCTCCGTCTCATCAAACTCTCCCTTTCGTAATAACCAAGACCCTTACCTTTTCATAGATAAAATACGGCCTTGTAGACTCGTTTTGAACGTTGGTTGATTTCCCCGCTACAAGCTCGCGTCCGATCCTAAGAACAATCCTATCGCTTTGAGTTACGCCATTCCCTTATCGAACTCAATAGCAGCACTACACATTGGAGCCCACCGCGAGGGGAATTGTCTTAACACCCCTTCGCACTTCGAGTCGGATTCGCTGATCTTCACTGATCTTCTAGTCTGACTCGTCCCATACCCGGTCTCTGGACCACGCTTATCATAATTATTTCAAAGTATTATCACCCTAACGCGCAAATTCGCCTCGAGAAGCAGCCAACTGCGCTGGCTCCCAAGAAGAACAGATCCCGCGCAAACACCATTGACTCTCCTTCCGCCCCATCCTTAGCACAACCGACGATTCTCACCCTTCCCCAGACCCCAGTTCGCCACAGATCCGTTCATACAAACGCAGATACTTCGGAAGGACCAACTGAATCTTCACTATCGGACGACGATACTGTGGGACGACTCCTCCAAACAAATTCCCCATTCCCCGCCATCCCTCAGCCGACTTTCACCTTAAGACCAGCCGTATTCGAAGCAGAAACGCCCACTGCCCCTTCCCCGAACGAAGGCGCACCCCCAGCGAAATCCCTCCCTCCTATTCCCAGACCTGACTTCCTTCGCGCTCCAGTACCTCCGCCAAACACTCCCATCGCCAAAACCACCACGCTCCCTAGCGTCCAAAACACAGTCCCTACCGCAGCACCTCCCGCCTTACCGAATCCCTTTGCACATCCCGTTCCTAGCACCATTACCCTTCCTATCACCCAGGTCATAGCCCCTGCTGCACTCGTACCATCGCAACCATCACACATCACCATCTCCGCAGCACCTCCCACCTTATCGCACCCTTTTGCGCATCGTTTTCCCGCTACCTCGGTACTATCAAGCATGTCTAACCCGTCCAAAGGCATTAATGCCATGCCAGGGGCCAATTCTAGCAAAGCCCCCTCATTCAATGGTGAAACGTCAGAATTGTTGGAGTTCTTCGAGCTCTTCGAGGACTTAGCGGATGCTTGTGCACTTACTCCCGCAGAGAAGTGCAAAACTATCGTGCGATACGTCGACATTCCAACAAAACGATTCTGGGTGACACTGACAGGCTACGAGAGCAAAGACTTCGACGTTTTCAAGACCAGTATCTTAGCACAGTATTCGGGTGCTGCAAAGGGCCAACGCTACACTATACGCGATTTAGAGCGAATAGTGATCAGTAATGTCGACAATGATATTTCAACCGAGACGGAACTCCTACAATACTATAGGCAGTTCCGTCCCATAGCTCACTGGCTCGTCGTCAACGGGAAGATCTCAACACGGGAACGAGATCGATACTTTTGGCAAGGACTCCCTATGGTCACTCGGCGAGCTATCGACCGACGACTTGAGCTCAAGGACCCCAATTACTCGAGGACGGAGGCCACAGATTTTGAAGAAGTTCTCAAAGCAGGGCGTTTCGTATTCTCAGATGACGCTTTTGACGCAGACCTCAATGAGCCTATAGCGACCAGAATACGAACAATACGAGAAGGACGCACCGTACGAGCCAAGCCCTCGGCACTATGGGACTCAGACGAAGAAGAAGAGAGGAAGGAGATACGGAAGGAAGTACAGACGAAGCGAGTAGCATTCACGTCTCCTCCGAATCCTCCTGCCCCTGCTAAAACCACGATTGACGAAGTAGAAGCGCTAGCACGGAAGATGCACGGTCTCGACATCGGAGATGTTGCCTATTCAGGGTGTTACACCCGTCTCGTATGTCTAGCTCCCGCAGCAGCGCAGGCATGGGCCCCTCCCAAGTCACGACAGAACCTTGCCAACACGTCCGCACAACCTGCCTTATCGTACCTTCCGCTCCCACCCCTTCATTCGTCCTCAGGAAATTCGTCAACTCCAACGTGTTTTTTTTGCGGAGGACCGCACGTTATGCGCACTTGCTCGATAGCAGGAGAATATTTACGGGCAGGAAGAATCATCCGCGACGGACCATACTTTGCGTACCCAGATCGCTCGCGCATACGACGCTTCGGAAACGAGACTTTCAAACAAGTAATCGACTCTAGGTATGCTTCAGCACGCTCTCCTACTCCTGCGACAGGATCCAACTCCATTCCCCTTGAAACTCCTCACCAAGACCCCAAACCTCAAATCACTCCGTCAGAAATTCCTAGCTCAGCCTTCATCACTGAGTCGTATTTCTTGCAGTGTCACCCAGTGGTCGAGAACCATGCTGTGATAGTAACGGTCGAAGAAGAAACGGATGAGCAAGCAGCGGAAACACTTGCCATAACAAGGTCCAAGTCCAAAGCAGCAATCAACCCAGAAACTCAATCTATCACACCCCCTTCGTCATCGCACTCTGCTTCGATTCCGGCCTCCGCACAATCTACCAACCCTTCGTCCTCATCACGCGTCGCACCAATGGAAACTGTCAAAACCGCTACTAGTGAGACAAAGAAAGAACCGGCATTCAAGTACGAATCAAAGGCCGCTTCACCGGATGCAGCCAAACGTCTCTATGAAGCGATCCTCAATATGCCTGTCCAACACTTAACGGTATCCGATCTTCTGTCGATTAGTCCAGATCTGAGGAAGGAGGCAGTCGAGTACTCACGCACCCAACGAGTGCCAACGCCCGCGGCCGCGCGCCCTGAAAACGTGGTCACAACTAGTCTAACCAGCCCCCCACCCCTCCAAATCGAGCACGCAACACCCTTACGAGAAATTCGCGTCACGTTGAACGGGACACACTCTGAGTTAGGGTTGCTGGACGAAGGGTCAGAGATTGTCGTCATTCGAGAGGATGTCTGGAGGAAAACGAACGCGCCTATCAATCAAGACGTTCGCATGCACATGCAAACGGCAAATGGAGGATCTCAGGAGATGGCTGGATGCTTAGAGATGTTGGAAATAGACGTCGAGGGAATTAAGACATGGGCCCACGCGTATGTAGTACCAGACGCTCCTTATCGATTACTCTTGGGACGACCATGGCAACGATTAGTCCGCCTCTCAAAAGCCGAGGACACTAATAATGTTCATGTCTCGGTGCACGATCCTATGGACCCGAATATCACCAGGACCGTCAAAACCACCCCTCGTCCTTGGCCTCATCCCTCCCTTGCCTTAACAGCGGCAGCACTTCTTTCCATACCCCCCCACTCATCCTCATCGGCCCTGCCTACCTCTTACTCCCCTCTAACCAGCTCGACGAACATTTACCATGCCATCAAATCGTTTGGTGACGTTATCGCTGGTTTCCCAACACAGCGTGGCCGAGAGAACAAGATCGAGAGAGCCAATGACCAGTATTGTGCGAATCTCGGCATGAAGATCAATGCCAAACTTGGAGGCGTTAATTCACTGCCAAATCCGAAGCTGGCTATCCTGCCGACCAATTCGACGGACATTTACCATGCTATCCCCGAATCTCGTCTCACCTTCTCCTCCTTCGCCGAATTCCTCCTCCAAGCGCATTTCGATATAGATCCCCTTCGCCGCTCCTTTGCCTATAAGAAAGTCGCTAACAAGGTCAGACCCGTCCCTACCACCATGCCAGCGCATGCGCGCATCATCCGTACCTTTCCAGAAGACCCTCTCTTGTCCCTTCCTCCCCTCACCCCCACACCCTCAGCATTCACTCCTGGCAAACGCCTCACGAAAGAACGTATGGACGACCTTGGCGTATTCTCAAACGAGTTCTTGTGGCCGGAAGAACGAAACCTCGCCGCGCAAGTCCTATCCAACAACGAGGTAGCTCTCGCTTGGGACGAAACGGAGAAAGGACGTTTCCGTGACGACTACTTCCCACCTGTCATTATTCCAACCATCGAACACACTCCCTGGGTTCATCGACAACCACCCATTCCCCCCGGCATTCGCGAAGAGGTCGTCAAACTCATTCAGTCGAAGATAGCGTCGGGAGTTTACGAAGCATCCAATAGCTCATATCAGTCGAGGTGGTTCTGCGTCGCAAAGAAAAATGGATCCGTACGTATTGTGCATGATCTTCAGCCCTTGAACGCAGTGACTGTCAAGGATGCCGCAACCATGCCCTATGTAGAATTATTCGCAGAGCAATGTGCAGGGCGCGCTATATATTCGATGATGGATCTCTTCGTTGGCTTCGACCACCGCGCGCTCGCCGAAGAATCGCGCGACATCACCACTTTCCAGACCCCCCTCGGCACCTTTCGTCTTACAGTGCTCCCTCAAGGTTGGACCGACTCTCCCGCTGTATTCCAAAACGACGTAGCATTTATTCTACAGGATGAGATAGAGATCGCCCCCAACTTTCAAGACGACGTGAACGTCTTAGGTCCTCGAACTCGATACGAAATGCCTGATGGATCCTACGAAGTCCTCCCACAGAACCCAGGTATCCGCAGATTCGTCTGGGAACATTGCCTTGACGCCAACAGAGTCCTCCATCGTCTCAAACATGCCGGCGCGACTGTCTCAGCAAAGAAACTATTCCTTTGCGTCCCACAAGTACTCGTTGTGGGGCAACTCTGTTCTTACAAAGGTCGCACCCCAGATACTGCGAAGATCGCCAAAATTCAACATTGGCCGCCTTGCAAAACCCGCACAGAAGTTCGAGCATTCCTGGGCACAGCGGGAACCATTCGCACCTGGATTAGAGACTACGCACGTATTACCCATCCCCTAACCAACCTCACTCGCGCAAACGTCCCTTTTGCATGGACTCCCGAGACGCAAGAGGCCATGGACGAGCTCAAATCAGCCATAATTGCTTCCCCCGCTATCCAACCTCTCGATTATCACTCTCCTAACGAAGTCATACTTGCGGTTGATTCCTCACACATCGCATGCGGTTGGATATTGTTGCAACTCGACAATGAAGGCCGTCGTCGTCCTGCTCGTTTCGGTTCAGTCACCTGGAACGAGCGAGAAAGCCGTTATTCACAGGCGAAAGTTGAGCTATATGGCCTATTTCGCGCCTTGCGTGCGGCCAAAGTATGGCTGATCGGACTCAGAACGTTCACAGTGGAAGTCGACGCCAAATATATTAAGGGTATGTTGAGTAACCCGGATGTTCACCCCAACGCCGCAATCAACAGGTGGATCGCGGGAATCTCCCTCTTCGATTTCAAACTCCGTCATGTTCCTGGAAAACGACATGCTGGTCCAGACGGTCTGTCTCGACGACCACGAGCAGATGAAGACCCCGACGAGGAAGCTTCGGAGGAGATAGATGAGAGCATCGATGAGACTCTGGACAGTGGGATATGGGTGGCAAAGGGAGTTGAGGAAGGAATTGTAGAGACGATAAAGAAAACGCTAGCCTTCACGACTCTAGTTCCCCCATCTATCGACACCAGGATCCCTTCAGACGACACCTCTCTACAGCGTGATAAAGATCTTCGCATCATCCTCTCATTCCTCGAGAATCTCTCGTTCCCCTCTACCTTATCAAATTCCGAACGCTCTCGACTCACCAAGCGTGCGCACCAGTTTTTCGCGCAAGGACATCGACTATGGCGGAAAGAATCTAATGGACGTCATCAGCTTGTGCTGTTTGACTCCGACCGTTTACGCATCCTCCACGACACTCACGATACACTCGGACACAAGGGTTTCTATTCTACTCGACGGACGATAGCAAACCGTTTTTGGTGGCCCTCTCTCGATACCGATCTCGCCTGGTATCTGAAAACTTGCCATCAATGTCAAATTCGGTCAAACGAGAAGGTCGTGCTCCCTCCTACTGTGTCAATCCCCGCTCCTCTCTTTCGCAAAGTTTTCACCGACTCTATGCACATGCCACCATCTCACGGCTATTCGTATGTCGTCCAAGCACGCTGTTCATTGACGAATTGGCCAGAGTTCCGGATGTTGAGGAAAGAGACGGGACGCACCTTGGGTGCATTCATCTTTGAAGAGATCTTATGCAGATGGGGAGGACTCGAGGAGATAGTAACTGATAACGGGACGCCCTTTGTCGCCGCGCTCGACTGGCTCGCTCAAAAGTACCATATCCGGCACATTCGGATTTCGGCATACAATTCAAAGGCCAACGGCGTTGTTGAACGGTCGCATCGTACCATACGCGATTCACTTGTCAAGGCCTGTAACGGTGACATTACTGAATGGCCCACTCTAGCTCACCACGTTTTTTGGGCTGATCGAGTCACCACGCGAAAATCCACAGGTCACAGCCCGTTTTTTATGGCACACGGCATCGAGCCTCTCCTTCCTTTCGATATCACCGAAGCTACTTTTCTCCTCCCCGATATCACATCTCAACTCTCCTCGGCAGATCTGATAGCCATACGCGGCCGTCAACTGGCCAAACGAGATAAAGATTTAGCCGTCATGCATGCTCGAGTACTCAAAAGTCGCATCGCATCTATCCGAAACTTCGAGCGTCGCTTTGCAAACACTATCCATGACTACGCATTCAAGCGTGGTGATCTCGTACTTATCCTCAACAAGAAGATCGAAGCGGCGTCGAACGCCAAGTGCAAACCACGGTACTTTGGACCAATGGTCGTCGTCTCGCGCTCCCAAGGAAGCTCGTACCAGCTTGCAGAGCTCGACGGCAGCATATCCAAACTCAAGTTCGCCGCCTTTCGTCTCATCCCATATCACCCTCGCTCCCCCTCATCCATTGAAGTCACGCAGTTCATCGACCCTCAAGCCCTCGCAGGAGTCAATGACGAGCAGTCTTAGATGCGTTCTTTCTATTTTTCTGCTCCCTCTCTCATTTTTTCTCTCTCCTTGAACCGTTCTATCTTATTACACATATTTTAGTTTTATTGTTGGAAGATCGACCGAGGGCGGTCGATATTCAAAGTAAGGAGGGGATGTAAGGATTCCATATCCTCTACACCCCGACTAAGGCTTCATAATAAGATTCAAGGACTTACGTCTCGACATCCGCGTGACTCACTGATGCGAAGAAGCATCACGCTTCGCGTCCGAGTCACGCGGACACATTCTCTTTCCTTACCCTCATCTTCTCGTTATTCTCAACGACCAGCTCGGTCCTTCACCCTCATTCATACTATACCCTGGACTCATCACCTAACTCTCTCTCGTCATTCTTTTAGTTTCACTCCTTTCGTCCCAAAAAGCAGTCAAAAACCTAACAGCTCTCGTCATTCCTGTGCACGGCGAGCTCCCTATTACTACCTTCATTCAAAAACTAACATACTTTAACTCATTTCCGTTACTCCTACCCTGTCAGGCTCAACGCCACCACTCTCCGTCTCATCAAACTCTCCCTTTCGTAATAACCAAGACCCTTACCTTTTCATAGATAAAATACGGCCTTGTAGACTCGTTTTGAACGTTGGTTGATTTCCCCGCTACAAGCTCGCGTCCGATCCTAAGAACAATCCTATCGCTTTGAGTTACGCCATTCCCTTATCGAACTCAATAGCAGCACTACAGTATTCAAATATCACTGGTACTTACGGTGCGTTCTAGTATTGACGTTCGGACGAGAGGTATGTCGGTGTCATTACCGGAACAACAATCTTGCTGATCATGTATTTATAGGTAGAACTTGTCTGGGTGAGCAGATTCTCACCGGAAAACACGAAAACACGATTAATGTGCGGCAGATGCAACATTGGTCATTCATGACAGTTTTGTATCTCATCGGACGTATCCTGTCAGGACTCAGAAGCGTGGTTGAGACGTTGTACTAACTTTGACAATATTCTAGGTCCGCTATGCTGGTATATTACATGCTATGTATGTTCGGATAGCTAAGCAATCGATGTTGCATTAATCGGCTGTCTCTCATACTCAGCATTAACATCCAGTGTATGTCTTCTCACATACTGCATACGTTTCCTCTGATCAATGGCATGCAGTATCTCTTCCGAGAACTTCGGCAACAGATTCAGTGAGTACTTTGCACCGCTGCCCGCCATTCACATCCAATTAATCGCACTCCCTTGCAGGGGTGAGTGAGTTATCGAGCTTCCTGCTTCAATGCAATGATGTCCATAGCTGTGAGTTCATTTAAAGTTCCGATGCTGTTAACCAACGTAACTCGATTTTTCAGGCCGTATAATGTTCGACGCACTAAGTTGGATCAATGTCGCCGTGACTGCAATATTGGGTGGTGAGCTACGCAGCTGCATTACTTTGACTGGACTGACACATGACGCAAGTCATCATGATCGCTCGGTTATATGCCCTGCATCAACAATCCAGACAAGTACTGATATCTCTCAGTGTCATCTTCCTGGTTGTCAACATCGCTGACGGAGTGATCGCTGCATTGGTCACGAGACGTGTTTCGTCGGGTAAGCTTTAATTTTGGTGAATGGTGGACTTGAATGCGTGAGGCTCATTCTGCCAACATTTGAAAGAAGTGTTTATTCTCTTCGGCATCACTCAGTGCACCTCTGACTTTCAAGAAGGCTCGGATAATCTACTTCTGGCTTTGATGACCTGGATTCTCCCCGCTGTATGGGAGGCCCTTGCACTACGTCTCGCAATCCGAATTGCTTTCAAACGTCTGCGCGAGCTGCAGCGACCATTGACAGGATGGCTTGATGCCGGAGATTGTTTTGCGGTGTTAACAAAATCTCACGTAATTTACTTCGCAAGGTGAGCTAACTATAATGCAAATGCGATCCTCCTTTTCCGCTGAAATTCTGCACCTTCAGTTTTGTTGCTGTTTCTGGTTTCATCTCCCTTATGTGTTTCAAATGGCCATAGCGGTATGACGCTGTGACTCTGACTTCTGCATGCGACAATTCTTAATCATTATTGCAGGACACAATTATCGCCGAACATCAGATTTATCTTGGTTTAGCTCAAACTTTCATAGTCACGGTGATGTGTGTGCTGGGACCACACCTGATTCTTGGCGTTCGAGAATATCATGCGAAGCTCGTGGCCAACTCCGAAGGAGGTCCCTGCATGACTTGGATTGCCTTTGAAGAGCGCTTGCATGTGTCAACCAGCGTTAGTGTGTAGCATGGAAAATGTTTGTTGTGTTTGCCGCGTGCCGGGTTCTCTCAGGGAGAGAGGGAAGTTGTTTTTTATTCGAAGATTTTGTCGTGGTACTTCTACTATCTATATATTGTACATATTTATTAGTGTGAGCAAGGTTTCTGTCAGGCACTGTAACATGGCGTTGAATGAGGGTTGGTTAGAGTAAACAAGTTCTTCAAAATGTTGTGCGAGTAGCGGTTAGACGTGTTAGAGACCCATACGGCCGAGGGTCTTGTTTGAACACTGAGAGTGCGATGGGTGTTGCTAGAGATGATGTATGTGGCACCGGAGGTAAAATATGTGCCAGTCGAGAAATACAGTAAAAGGGGTGCATGACAAGATATTTTGTTTCTTCACGGTAAGAAAGGGGAGCCTGAGGATGAGGCCCATCGATGAGGGGCAAGTGTAATGTCTTAATGATGCAAGGCGTGAAAGATCTGTGACATGCCGCATGTCGTTTTCAGTGGCGGCCCACGGCCTCCGGCTTAAAAGATATATCAAGGTTCAAACGTTCAATCCAGGCCCGAATCATCAAAATAATTGTTGCAACGTTGAGTACTAAGATCAGATTACAAATCATGAGTGAAGCTTTGAAGATCGACTGAAAGTTCAAATTCCCACACAACTTAACGTTATGTGACGCAACTCACTAGACCAGTAACCGCAACGACCACACGAAGCTTGATAGCGTTGGGTGTTTAGCTGTGCAGTGAAGGTTGTTGTCAACGGAAGTAATGTCCATCATTCCCATCGCGTCTTTCCGAACCCTATTGATGGACGTCAAACACACATTGTTTATTCAAGCTTCCTCACCAACATCCAACTTCCGGACCAGTCCTCATGACTCCACATTTACCTCACAATAGATTACCCGGATATCGGTCGAACTTTATCGTTGTAGAGAACTGGCTGTCAAAACGCGACCGACAACGTAGGTTTGTCCTAGAACTCAAAGTTTGCTCGCACGTTTTTGCTATCGAGTGAGTGACAATACGTCAGACGATCCCTGTCATTCGAGAATGAATGCCGTTTTACAAAGGCCGCCAATGTGTTTGTTTTAGTACTGGACGCGTCTTTATCGTTAAACCCCCAAGGTTCCACATCAGGCTGTCCCTTGCGTTCGGCCCGGGAGGGTACACGGTATAGTAATAATACAACAACACCAATCTCACAATGTGTTGACCCTTGGGTTGTCGTCACGATGGATCTTTCCAAGGTTAGGCTTAGTCAAGGACTTCAGCTCAACATTCTGACACGGGTTTACCTAGAATGATAATATTAATATTTGCGCTTCCAGTCGTCGAGACTCGTGGATTCACTTGCCAAGTACCCTCCTTGTCAGCGCAGGGCTCGTACATGGCACACGCTTGGCGAGAGTCAGCGATAGATGTTGGTTTTGTGTGATACAAAGCTGTGCTTAGCATATAGAGGTGGGTCAGATATCTCGTGCCTTTCGGTTCTTTTCTAACTGTCACTATCGTAAACTACTCATACCCGGCACCCTAGCAACACTGTCTCTTCGTGTTGTTCCACGTTAACAAGTTATCGTACCTCCGAAGTTCGCACTCCCTGCTTGCCAAGATTTCACACTTTATGCACAGCCAAACCTCTGTGTTGCAACTAAGTCTGATGAATCCAAGGACTCATGACACCCTACACGATCATAACCAGTGAACGTTGCGGACGGCGATCGTCGAATTTCACATCTACGTTGTCTGCACCAACCATTTTTGTATCCTTACGATACGAAAATCCAATGACTAAGGAAGAGAGCTGAAGCTCAAGTTTTCAGCTCACTCGACTGCATTTTATGTGGCGTGCACGGATGTCACCTCTTGATCTCATCTCGGTTACCCAAGTACTGGATAGTGGTATACGTATATATAGTGCTAATGCTATCGTCATGCATCCATCAAGTTTGCCTCTCACCCACACTCATTCTCTACCAATATGACCATAGTCTCAAATAATCCTACTTGGTGGCCGATCATCAACGAAAATCAGCTTTTAAGCTATTTTTTAGGTACGTGGAGAACAGTTGGATGTTGAGGCTGGCTCGATTTGACCTTGGCTACGGTTTGACAGTTGCTGCCGTTGTTGGAGTGACGTATGATTGGGGTGAGCATGATCATATCAAAGGACTACCGACATCTTACAAATCTTTTCAGCACTTACATTCGGGCAAGAGGTATGTCGATGCTATGACCAGAGCAGCCATCTCGCTAAGAATGGTTTTATAGGTCGAATTAGTCTGGGTGAGTAGAGTCTCTTATCATAGGAACAACCATTAAAATACACTTAATCACAGAGGCAACGTTGGTCCCTAATGACGGTTCTGTATCTCGGTGTATGTAGCTTGTGTGTCGCGGTTGTCATGTTGTGCTGACTTAAAAGCATCTTAGGTGCGCTACCTTGGAATCTTACATGCTGTGTATGTCCGGAAAACCAAGCAACCGATGTTATGCTAATCGTCTATCTCTTATAATCAGCATGAACATGCTGAGTATGTCTCCTTAGTACATTCACTGTCTTTACTTCTTCTGACCAACGACATACAGCCAGTCTTACGACTGTCTCGTTGACAGATACAGTGCGTATTCCGAACACATGACTACTATTCCCCTCCGATTAAGTGTGGTGTACTGTAGGAGTGGGTACGGTTCTTTACTAACTTCTTGGTTCACTATAATTCCACAGATGTAAGTCTATTTGGAGTGTGTGCTACCCGAGGCCGATCGCTGACTGGATTCGTCAGGCTGGATTGTGTACGTCGTATGGAATTGGACGGGTGTTGTGGCATTTACAATGCTATGGGGTAAGCTTGGCGCTTGCGCAGTGATATTGACTTGGCTCAATCATGCTACAAGTCATCATCATCACTCGGTTACATGCCATGTATCAACGATCTAGAAAGATCCTGATATTTCTCATTGTCACCCTCCTGGCTGTCAACATTTTCGACGGAGTGGTATCCGTCATGTCAACAATGCATACTTCAGGAGGTACGCTTAATTGTGGATGAAAATACGTGCGTGGGGCTCAACGATGAATACCAGAGGAACTCGTTCTCTCTGGCACCTATCAGTGCTCATTTGGCTATGTGAACGAAACCCCACTCCTGTCTTCCATTACTTGGATACTCGGCACCGTGTGGGAGGTCCTCATATTATGTCTCGCAGTCTGGATCGCGGTAAAACACTTCCGTGAACTGCGACAACATTCAGCAGGAGGGATTATCGGAGACTGTTTTGCGGTATTGATGAAAACTCACATGATATACTTTGCGAGGTAAGCCTATATTGTTGTCGTTCCTTTTTTCCACTGAAGGGTCGGACATGGTAGCTTTTTCGCTGTTTCTTGCTTTGAGCTCATTCTTGATTTCTCTCCAACACTCTCGATGGTATGTCAATCTTTCGATCACCTCCGCATGTTACCATGGTTCATCGTTTATATAGGAATATTCTCTAAACACTTTGGTTTATGCTGGGTTTCTTCAGATTTTGCAGGTCGTGCAGTTCGTGCTGGGACCACGCTTGATCCTTGGTGTTCGAGAATACCACGCCAAACTCGTGACCGATTCAGACGCAGCCACTGGTATGACCTCGATCGCTTTCCAGGAGCGCGTGCATGTATCGACTGGCAGTAGTGTGTGACGCTCGATGAGTTTAATGGTTGTCTGGTGCTCTACAAGGAGCAGGGAAATTTACTTTTATTTATTCTCACTTTCCTGACAGTATTGATCTAAGTTATTTAGTGTGCCGAAGGATATTTTCAAGGAGACGTAGAAAATTTTCGTCGTGGTATTTACTGAATTGATTTGCCATGCGTTTGATAATGTTTTAATCGATATCCTGGATGTATCTACTGCCACTAGCTGCCCACCCACACTTGCACCGACCACCAGTCCTTTTCTCTATGTGATAACAATCATTCCTACGATTGCTTTTGCAATTGGGTGTGCGAGAGCCTCGAGCGACAGCACTGCTTCGGTTCCTCAGCAATTCGTCTTCTCGCCTCACTCAACATCCCACACTCATCTTCTCACCTAGCTCACAACAGAAGTTTCACTCAAGATGATTCCAAGGTGCGCGAGGGACATTCGTGCATGCGCTGATGACCATACTAATATGTATGCGCTGATTTCCCTTTTTCTTGAAAACAAACTCGCTTTGCACCCTCTCTCCATCCAAGGTTTTTTTTTCAGAAACGTGTCCATGAATGTCATTTCGAGGAGGCGCTGGAAATAAGCCGTCCGGGTATTCGAAATACTGTAGATGCGCTACTCGATCGGGGAAGCAAGCCTTTCGATGAGTGACCTGCTTCTCGTTCATTTACATACGTGCCAACTGCAAAATCTCATATATATATCCTTCTCACCCGGTTAGCCTGATTCACCCCTCAATCTTGTCCCAAAATTCTGTGTGTCCCGTCCTGTTCAGGTAAGAGTGGGACGAGAAGTCTATGTTAACGATGGGATCGCGTGCCACTCACCTCCGAATCTACATCAAGAAGACCTGGTTCTAACTCCGTTGTGGATCCAAAACTTCTGGAGTAAGTACAACGGGACCAGCAACACGAAAGATCCACCCAGAGGGTTGATAGTACTGTCATACGCTATAGATTTGATAAGTAATGAACTCGAATGGCTGCTCGCTGCCACGTCTGATAGCAGTTGCAAAAATAGCATTTGGAGACACTGCGAGCTCTACGTCGCCGTGCTCCTTCATGTTATCGATAGTTGCAACGCTGCGGGGGACCAAGTCGGACATACATTCGTCGAGTGCTGGGATCACCATCCTGGTAATCTAGTGCAACTCCGCACTAGGATATACAACGATGAATATAGCGGTGGTAAATCAAATCGCCGAACCGTACCATATCGCGCGCGCCCTTATAGAGTTTGATTGGGTTTTCTACTACACAACTAACGTCCAATACATAGTAAGTCACTAGTAATCTGGTTGCAGAGAACAACTCATCATAGTATAACCAAGGACTAGTACTTCGTCTGACAGCACCCTGCACTCGGCGGAGGCAAAGGGCATCAGGCCAGGCTCGTTTCAAGTTTCAGTCTACACTACCCCGAGTCTAACTCCTAATCTCGACCGCAGCATGTGAGTCTTTCGATTAACCCCATCCCCCCATCACATGGCACCATAGTAATACTGTGTTATCTCGGACAGTTGCGCAGATTCAACCCCAGAAGTTATAGTTCCAGAAACTCCGCATGATTCAGACTCTATCTCCGTCGAAAAGAATGATAAATCCATCCGGACATGGGTGTCAATGGTCGACGCTTTCCCAAACCATTGGCACATTGCATCCCAAAGACACGTATGTGGAGTTTTTCTTTCTTACCGCTTATGGCGGCCCCAAGGGCAAACAGAAGCACAACCATTCTATGGATATGAAATTGGTTCGTGTATATACAAAGCATACCGGCTCATTAGGACATTCCCACATTCACATTCACCACTACCACCATGACAATCGTCCAATTAGACGCTTCATCGATCGCGCTCTTAAAGGAGCATGTAGAACACAAAGAATTCGATCTCGACATAGAATTCGGTGGTCTAGAGGCGCGCAATAAGCTAGAGCGCAAACTTTTATGGAAAATCGACCTGCGTATGTCAATCCTGGTTCTGATGTACATTCTCAATCATGTGAGCAACTTTGCGTCGAGGTATCTATCTTGTATTTATCTAACTTTCATACTAGATGGATAGGACCAATATCAGGTCCGTCTTTATCATACATCGCTGACGCATCGTTCACAACGCACAAAGTACGGTGCGCGTAGAACTCACTACCGACCTTCATCTCGAGGGTCATCAGTATCCAACGCTCTTGTCTATCCTCCTTGTCGGATATATTATCATGCAGATCCCTTCTAACATGTTTCTCAATTACACTGGAAAACCGTCGCTTTATCTGCCTGCTTGTATGGTAATCTGGGGAGTCATATCGGCGCTAACTGGGATCACTACAAAGTGTGACCGATCATTGATATCTCACCGACTGCTGACCATAGTCCTCATAATAGTTTCGTTGGAGCGCTCCTAACCCGATTCTTCCTTGGCTTCGTGGAAGCAGCGGTTTTCCCCGGCGCCGTGTTCTTGATTTCGAAGTGGTTCGTTGACTATCGAGTGTGTTATCAGTGGACGCCCTGAAATCCAATGTACAGGTACAAGAGATCAGAAATAGGTGTCAGATTAGCCATCCTCTATTGGTGAGGGTGCCACTATGCTGGTGGACGTGTCTGTTCATTAACAGTACCATTGCAGCGGAAACATAACCAGCACCGCCTTCGGAGCGCTTATTGCATCAGGTATTCTTGCTAACATGGACGGTGTCCGCGCTCAAGCCGCATGGAGGTAATTCAATCCAGCTGATTTTGCAAGGGACTGTTGAACTTCAGTTATAAGGTGGCTTTTCTACATTGAAGGCAGTCTGACCGTCACTATTGCGATAGTGGCTGTCTTTATTTTGCCAGACTTTCCGACGACGACAAAGTGGCTTACCGATGACGAGCGTCGGCTTGCATTGAAACGTATGGAGGAGGACGCTGGTGTCGGGGACCAGTCAGAAACTGAGCATGGGGGCCACGGTCACGGCTTTTACCTAGCTATCACCGACTGGAAGGTGTGGCTGTTCTCATTCCTATGTGCTGCTCAAGCGTTGGCAGAGTCCTTCACTGTCTATTTTCCCACTCTCACTGCGACGCTTGGTTACAACTCAACGGTGACGCTGCTCCTGGTTGCGCCTCCTTTCGTCTTTGCCGCCGCTGTCGTATTCGCAGTGGCTAGGTAAACCATTTGAAATGACCTATATAGGAACTGCTATGAATAGTTTCTAGGCACTCTGATAGAACACAAAAACGGTTCTACTACATGAGCGCATCAAACATTGTTGCCATCATTGGGTTCATTATTTCAATGTGCACCATGAACACCGCTGCTCGATACTTCTCTCTGTAAGTGCATGGTTTAATTTCGGACGTATTACTGATGTTATCCCGTCAACAGGTTTCTCATGGCGCAGCTCTATGCAGGAAGTATGTTGCTTTTCGCATGGCTCAGTACCTCATTCGCCCGACCGCCGTCAAAGCGTGCAGTGTGTTTTTCGCTCATCAGTTCACTTCAGCAACTCGGCGGCATTGCAGGGTCGTGAGTAGTTTCATCGATCATATGATGGTAGGAATTCATTAATGGCATCAATTGCAGGTACGTCTGGCCATCCAATTGGGGCCCTACCTATCGGTACTCCTATGTCATTTGCCTCGTCGCTAGCTGTACTGTGATTATCATGAGCTGGATTTTCCGGCAGTATCTGAAGACATTGAACAAGAAACTGGAAGAAGAAGAGCAGGAGAAAGGGATCACAGCAAAGGGATTCCGTTATATTCTGTGAACGATGGTCCTACGTAGTGATATTGAATGGCAATATGTATCTGCAATGTTTCGTGCCAAGCATATTACTTTACGAGCTCGTCGCCAAGATTGCGGTGCAGTTTAATGACAATTAACGATACCGGCCATACGATAGATAAGCGGGAGTAAGCCTCCCGTGTATAAGGCTGTGTCCGACCTAAGGTCTTCGACCCTACATGTTGTACTGTACATTGAACTTCATATCTCATCTCACGCTGTGTCCTCAGATTTTTAGCTCATTTGAATGTACTCGGTGCAAGGGGAACCTTGAATGACTACAGATGACCGCAACAGCGATGTCCTTCAGTGTAGTTCCTTATCCTACTAATACTATGGATGGAATCAACATGCCATGTCATTGTGTGCACTCACAAACCAGCACGAACATCATGCATGCCACAGCCAGCCGAAGTCATTCGCTTGAACAACCCTGAACTCAGACTAGATGCTAGGTATATAATATAAAATACAAAGTACGATCCACTTTACACTCGGTCACATCTAAATTGTATCTGAGTCCCGAATGAATCCATTGCTGCGGTGATTAACAGTACCTGCAAGCGTAGATTTTAGTACGTGCAAGGAACAGATAGCTTTTTGAAGAGACTCGCCCTCTCGGCACTTTTGCCAATGTTGTCCGTGTGCCATGCGACTCAAATCAAGCTCAGGAGCTCCTCTGGGTATCATGAATACAGTCCCAAGGGTATAGAATGGTTTTCGAAAAGCGGGTGGTACCCAGAATAGCAGCCGACCTTTGGGCCCTTCCATCCATCCCCTGCCACCATCCTCATCCATCAAAAAGTGAGTCGAACTACGGCCGTCATGGGATACTCCCTCCATGAAATCAGAAGTGTTACGCAGTGCATGGATGGAGTTGGGTGAGAAGCAAATGAAGTGATTTTTCCATGTATTCAATGGAACGATAGGGGTAGACTCTATAGTGCGATGTTCATCTGAGAATGATGGATGATCGGACTGGGCACACTGTTGCGATGGCTGACCCAGGGCAGCATCCCACACCCGAACAGTCTGATCCAAAGAACCACTGACGATGCGAGTGCCGTCCGGCGAGAACGAGACAGAGCAAACAACATAAGCGTGTCCCCGCAAGGGCTCACCGATTGGCTGACCGGTCGCAGCATCCCACAGCCGAACAATGGCATCGTCCGAGCCACAGCTGACGATGCGAGTGCCGTCCGGCGAGAACGAGACCGAGCAAACATCAGAAGTGTGCCACCGCAAGGGCTCACCGATTGGCTGACCCGTGGCAGCATCCCACAGCTGAACAGTGTGATCCTCCGAACCACTGACGATGCGAGTGCCGTCCGGCGAGAACGAGACCGAGGAAACTGATTGAGTGTGCCCCCGCAAGGGTTCACCGACTGGCTGACCTGTGACAACATCCCACAGCCGAACAGTGTGATCCCCGGAACCACTGATAATGCGAGTGCCGTCTGGCGAGAACGAGACCGAGGAAACATAATCAGTGTGCCCCCGCAAGGGCTCACCGACTGGCTGGCCCTTCGCAGCATCCCACAGCCGAACAGTGTGATCCTCCGAACCACTGACGATGCGAGTGCCGTCCGGCGAGAACGAGACCGAGGAAACTTGGGAAGTGTGCTCCCGCAAGGGCTCACCGACTGGCTGACCCGTCGCAGCATCCCACAGCCGAACAGTCTGATCCTCCGAACCACTGACAATGCGAGTGTCGTTCGGCGAGAACGAGACCGACGAAACTGCATCAGTGTGCCATCGCAAGGGTTCACCGACTGGCTGACCCGTCGCAGCATCCCACAGCCGAACAGTGTGATCCCTTGAACCACTGACGATGCGAGTGCTGTCCGGTAAGAACGAGACCGAGGTGACTGCATCAGTGTGCCCCCGCAATGGCTCACCGACTGGCTGACCCATCGCAGCATCCCACAGCCGAACAGTGTGATCCTCCGAACCACTGACAATGTGAATGCCGTCCGGCGAGAACAAGACCGAGGAAACTTTGGAAGTATGCCCCAACAAGGGCTCACCGACTGGCTGACCAGTCGCAGCATCCCACAGCCGAACAGTCTGATCCCAAGAACCACTGACGATGCGAGTGCCGTCCGGCGAGATCGAGACCGAGGAAACTTGGGAAGTGTGCCCCCGCAAGGGCTTACCGACTGGCTGACCCGTGGCAGCATCCCACAGCCGGACAGTGACATCGCATGAACCACTGATGATGCGAGTCCCGTCCGGCGAGACCGAGACCGAGAGAACAACAGAAATGTGCCCCCTGAGCACGGCCTGAACAGCCGGCCAGTTCATAATACATCCAGATGCTACACGAAGAATATTCGGAAATCGTGTAGAAAGCTTTCTTGATAGCGGAGAGTTGGCAGGCGAGAATGGAAGTGCTGATACATACAGATGCGGTGTGCTGTGTAAAATGACGCCGTCAAAGACTTGAATGAACCTCTGTGTGTCCATTGCAATTGATGAGACATCTTTGAATTCGGAATGACCCTGGGCTTGCGCGTGAGTTTTTGTCTGGCCCTGTAGTAGTGTGCTCACCTTTAGCCACTGGGGGATGAGCGCAAGGGCACGAACTGCACCGCTAAGGGCATTGATCAGGGCGAGTAACTCGAGCCAGAAAAACAGCCGCTCGTGGTCGAAGAATGATTTCACCTCTTCCGCGAGCTCCTTGTCGAACGCTGTTGTTCTTACGTGCGACGTCCAAAACCTAGAGGAATATGATAAATGTGGGGGGATGCATTTTTTGACTCGTTCTTGCAGTCCGGGATCTTCGCTGTTAGGCAGATACGACGACTTTAAATCGCAGATATTGAAGCGCAGGCTGTGTTCCATAACTCTAAGCGAAGCGAATGCAAGGTCGCGTTGCGCCATCGACAGGTCAATGAAAAACTCTCTGCTGGACTCTTCGTCCGTCAAGAAATCGCGAAAGGATGCGTGAAGAGGTCGAATTGGGGAATTTGGGTTGATGGTGCCGCTCAGGAGGGAGCCCATGCTTTTGACCACAAGCTCCACGTCGAAATTGTCGTCTTGTGTTGGGAAATGGTGCCTCATGGCGTTCAGGGAAGCTAAAGGAAGGGGCTCAGCTGTCCCTAATATTTGTCTCATCACTGAGTGAAATCTCGTTAGCGCAATCGAACGCAGTTTCTTCGGCAGATGGACGTTGATAGATGTATCCCTATTCATGATATCCGTTAAAATGAGACGATACATGTCGTGCAACAGCATGCTTCTCTCGGTGGGATTGCGTGACACCACAGACTCATAGAAATCATTCGGAGATATCCCAAGATGGGGTTCTTTGATGTATTCGCAGGCGAGACGTGCCCACTCGAAAAGTCCATCGGCTTTCTCAGCGAGGACTGCAAACTGTCTGTCATGGAAATCCAGCCCTTCCAACTCCTTGGATACGTAAGCGCGGATGTCGCGCTCTGCGAACTCTGCTGGAATATCGTCCATCGACATCTGTCGAATATGCCGAACATCGTGAAATTCGTGATTAATGTCACCAAGTGGCCGAGACGTGACGATGAAGCGAAAGTTGTTTGGGAGGTCTGTTATTTTGGGAACGTCGGGGTTTTGATGTTTGCCAGCTAGAATACGGAGGAGGTCTCTCCGCGTATCTGCTCCGCCGCTTTCGTCCAGTGCATCGATCACAATCACGATGGGTTTATCAGTTGACCCAGATGACTTCCCTAGTGGCTCGATGAGAAGCTTCTGCCACTGCTGAATGATATCCGCTGTATTCTTGAGCTCATTCGTGTTCTGAACTGCATCTGCTAATGCCCGCCTCATCTCCGGGTCACGGTCAGCCAGGTCGCGCGCGATCGTGGAAAAGATCTTTTCATGGCGACGATCTGCTTCTCGCTGCCGGTCAAAACAGTAACACGAACCAAGCCCGCCCACGTCATTGAACCACTTAGCAATGGTGTGAGCGATGGCCGATTTCCCCTTGCCTGCAGGGCCAGATAGCCACAGGACGGGCGAAACGTCGTTTCCAGTGCTGTTGACCCAATCCGTGATCTGAGAAAGGAATTCCGTGAGCGTCCCTTGGAGGCATTGTTTCCTTGTATCTAGTCCTGCAGCAGCTGCGCAAGTTATGCCACTGAGATCCAGTAGTTCTCCTGAAAAGATGTGAAAACATATCAATTTGCAAGCACATGTTAACACTTACCCGTACGGTGGACGTGTATGGCTACATCGTGAGCGACTTGGTTCCGAAAGTTTTGCATGAGGGTATCCAACACGTTACTATACTGTTCGATGGTATCTTTCGTTTCCGAGGCGACGTTCTTCTTGAGTCTCTCCCCTGCGATTACGGCAGAAACTTGAGACGGGTGCAAAGCGCAACAGCTTTTTAAGACTCACAAAAGTTCTTGGTCTCCGAATAGTTTTGAATAAACTGAGCGCATTCGAGGGTCTGCTGAGAAATCTGTCCAAGGATAATACGCATCGACGAGATTTGGCCGAGCATCTGATCCTGTGTTATAAAGCCGTAAACTTCACACAGCTTCTCGACGAGCTTGAGTACTGCTTTGTCGCGATCTGCTTGAGCTAGAACGATCTGCACGAATAATTCTTGAACGATGTAAGATAGGAAGAGATAAGAATAAAACATACTTTGGCTGCACAAGACAACACGCCCAGTCCCATCTTTGCATATGGATGCACCTTTGGAACGGTATTAGTTGGGTTCTGATCGGGAAAAAGACCCATACATTCGCAATCTCTCCGATAACAGCATCGAATATCTTGAGGGGTTTGAGATATGTGTCCTCGAACCTGCCTGCAGTATCGAGATCCTTCTGTGCATCCTGACCAGCAGACGCCACAGTTATCGCTGGTCCTGAAAGTGAATGCATGTGCTTTGTAGCATCTTGCGCATCCCGAAGTGCCGATTGGATATCAGGCTCTGGTTTTACACTAGACGGACCAGCCTGAACCTGCGCGACCACCATGATTTAGAGAACAGAGACTGAAAGGAAAGCATGAGAACCCACCTCGATATTCGGGTTCGATGAAGCACGTTCGTCATGAACGACATTTTCGGATGTAGGGCCATGGCTACGGCAAACCTTGAAGTACTTGTGGCAATGTTAGTCGTGTTTCAGTACGGTCATTATGCATGTTCGTGGACTCACCCTCCTTGATTTTTTCGCATCCTCCTTAAGCTTCTTCAGAAACCGTCCGATTTTGCTACGAGGTCGATGCTAGATGAAGGATGCGTTGATGTCAGTATTTGGATGGACTAGGTTATCTTCATGAGCCACGTACCGAGTTTCCACGAGCTGCTGCTTCGCTAGATGTGTTGGTTGCTTGAGTCGTATTCCTCGATGAATGATTTCGATTGCTCATTGTAAATGGCAGTTGAAGAGAAGTAAAATAAGGGCCTTGGGTTGGCCATTTATATAGAATCATTATTGCACGCCTCAAGGAAGCCTCAAGGAAGCCTCGAGGTAGTGTTGCGAGTGCTAAGTAATCGAATTTCGACCGCACCTGAGTCTCTCTTCGGTGTGTGCTTTGAACCTGATAGGCTGCTCATACTATGTGTGCACGGTGCAGTCGGGGACAATGAATGCTTGTGACGAAGTACATACTCTACTAGCCAGACCAGAAATTTCATTCTGATTGCGAGTCTCGAGTAAGTTTGGTATATATATCCTGCATGACTCGGAAGAACATCCAAGGGAGAGTGAGTATGCATGCACGACCTCCGTGTATGAGTCCATAGCCTCCGCCGGGATGTCGCGCTTGGGTATCATAAAGTTGCCAATTGCCAGCATAAACTTGAAGACAGCGCTGATCACTTGTCTAGGGTTAACCCGAAGTGTTCGAAACTACCCCGGAAGTGCGAACTCGAGAATGACAAGTTAGTGGGACTGTAAACTGGCCAACCGACGTCATCGTTGTTGCAACGTTCAACTTTTCGTCGACCACCGTGTACCTAGCCACGTGACCTAATATTTTACTAACACTTGCTGTATCTTAGACCACGACACACTTGTACCATAGCGCTACCCGCAAGGGACGATCGACACTACATAACCATGTCAGACTGGGGTAAAAACAAGAATTTGTTCAATCATATCTGCTACAAAGCTCACCACGATCAAGCACAGAATCCGATGATGCTCCTGCCCCCACTGCCCCATCGATCGCGACCAAGAAACCCGTAAAGAGTAAATGGGAGGGTGAAGACGAAGATGAATCATCTCCGGTCGTACGTCCCTGCCATCTCCTCTCTTATTCATCTCACCGATCTTACTAGAGCGATTGGGAAGCATCCTCAGATGAATCCTCGGACGACGATAAACCACCAGCAGCACCCGTAGCACCCCCCAAAAAGAAGGGCACGGTGAAACAGAAAATAGCAGAGAAAGAAGCTGCGAAAGCTGCGCTAGTGGGCAATGATGATTTGGAGTATGATGAAGACTCTGTCCTTGATCCGCGCGAGAAGGCGAGGTTGGATAGGGAGCGGGAGATTAAAGCTGACTTGGATAATGCTGCTGCGCTTTTTGGAGCTGCTGGCCTTGGAGGTGTGTTTTAGGCTTGAAGTTTAATTTTGGATCGTTGGTTTGGGCGTTTTTAGCTGATCCCTCCGTGTCTGTGTTTGCAGATACCTCATCATCCGAGCTAGACGCGCTCATCTCCGCCGATCCCCGCACAAAAGAGGATTTCCAGGATTTCTCAACAAGAATCATCGAGTTTATTGTTAAACGACATCAGACAAAGCCTCTGTACGCGTCATTCGTGGAGCATCACGTCCGAGAGCTCTGTCAGCCTTTGAAGGACATAGAGATCAGGAAAGCTGCGAGTGGACTTACGACGCTTGCTAATGAGAAGCAGAAAGAGCAGAGAGACAAAACGAGCGGGAAGAAGAAAGTCAAAGCTGCTACGAAGCCTGTCTTAGGCTCGGCGAAAGTCGCCAATAAGTGAGCATATTGTTTGGATCAGTCGTTGCAGTCGCTGATTGCTTTTAGATTCGATACAGGGGTGTATGATGAAGCGCTGGATGATTTCGGCACCAATCAAGATGATTTCATGTAGAATAGTACTGTGCATCTACTATATTATGTCTGAGTAGATTCTTGTCATTTTAGGGTGAGCTGATATATCGAAGCTCAGTCGTCTTCGTCCCCTTCGTCTTCGCTCGCTTCATTGTCGTCGACGAGGCCTACTAACCCTCCGCCTTCTTTTTCCTTCAGAACGCGCCCGGCTTCGCTGAGCTTGGCAGCAAATGCTCTCCGCGCACCAGAGTTGGCGCCAACGTCCCATATCTGTAGTTTTGCTTTAGAGCCTGCTGCAGCGATCGTAAGGGGATCGTCTGGTGAAAACACCGCTGAAAAGACTTTGCCCTAAAATGACGAATCAGCACATGATGTTGATTGACAGAACCAAATGAAATACTGACCACTTCCATATCCCTTGACGCAACCATACTCACAGCAGGCTTGCCTCCGGCAGTCTGGTCAACGTTCCACACTTTGACGAGTTTGTCCGTCCCTCCCGTGCATATACAGCCCCGCAACAATGGACTGACGTCAAGAGCCGATACTGCACCATCATGAGCAGAGAGCGTAAACCGTGCAGGCGAAGGGGATTTCATATCCGTAGGGAGCGCCCGAGCATCAAAGTTGAGTACGAGGCCGTTTTCTAACGAGACCTAAAAGCACATCAACGATCAAAACATCCGACAATGAATCAAGATTGACACTCACATAAAACGCATGCGTTTCCCAAGGATCCCATCGCAAAGCCTCGACATCAGCCCCAAGCACAGCCCCAACGCCCGCATCTGGCGCCCTAGAGTCAAACACCCGAACTGTCCTATCATAACTTCCAGACAAAAGCACTGTCGGTTCTTTCTCGTTCCATTGCACGGCTTGCACTTTATCCTTGTGTACCCCGAAGCTCCTTATCGCTCCCTCCCCATCCACGATCGGACGTGACAAATCCCATAGTTTCACTGTACGATCCGCAGATGCGCTCGCTAGCATGTGTCGATGGGCACGGTTCCATGAGAGCCCGAGGACAGCGTCGACGTGGTATGCGTTTGATGAAGCACGGTGTTTCGTTTTTTTACGCTTCTTTTTTCCTGTGCCCGCTGGCACAGGTACGTGTGCAGCTGTTTTATCAGGTCTGCCGAGGATCATGTCGGGGTACATGCTTTCTACGACGTCTAGTGACCATATTTCGATTTCAGGATCGAGCGTACCGACTGCGATATAGTTCCCGAATTTTGGTGGGGTGTCAGTTTCCATTTCTGAGGATGTAGGTGGAAAATCTAGCCATTCAAGGCAGAGGGGTAAGTTTGGGAGCATGAGGTCGTGGTGGATGTAGAGGTTGTCTTGGGATTCGTCGTAGACATAGATCTCGAGTTGGGAGACGTCGTCTTCAGTTTTTGCGGTGACTAGGAGGTTGTCTGTTGGAAGGATCTCGAGCTCTGAACGCTCATCATCTTCAGCATCCTGTATGATATTAAATGAAAGTAAAAGATAAGCAAAGTGTTCGCACGTCTTTGATTGTGATGTATGGATCGTCCTGGTTATCCCTATAAAATGTAAGTCCTTTAATATTGCTGAATGGACCCATGCCTGTGAAAGATCAGCATCACCGAATATGCCTTGTTCGTAGACGTACCATCTTCTTTGACCTCGTCATCGTCATATTCATCCAACTTGTACTGCGCAAGATCATCCCCTTTTTCAGGCACATCAACCTGTACATCCCCGTCCACCTCCATCGATGCATCCTCCTCGCTTTACAATACCATCAACAAACATCACAAGGAGCAAAATCCAAATCACGCACTCGACCCATGCGTCTTCATCACCATCCTCATCTGCATCATCCGCCTCATTACCTTCCGCACCCTTTCCCATACTCTTAGCAGCATTGTGCGCGCGCTCCATCTCTATTCGTGCATCTTCAAGCTCGATATGTGCAAGGGCACTGACGCGCTCAAGTTCCTTCTCATCGAGGACGTATTTTGAGGGCTGGTGGGCTGAAACGCCGCGTTTTACCCTGGAATTTGGGTTATATATGTGGGATGCGCAGGATGGAGATTAGTTACCATGATACACAGGAGATGAGGTTGCTCATCGTTCGTGATGATGAGCAGCGAATCTAATTTTTTGTGACCGTAGTCACGTGACTTCTGACTTGGGACTGCCATGCTTTTCAGTAAGTCAGCAGTATGGACTGCAGCGACACAGCCTCACTCTGTCGCAGCAAACATCAAGTTATATATAGTAAAATGGCCCCCAGGCTCGCCCTGTAAGTCATGCTATTGGAGATAGTGCATTTACCCAGGCTACGATTCTAATCAACAATCTTCTTTCAGCCTTCAAAGCTTCCGGTATCTCAATCCTCGACGCGACTTTTAAATGAGTCACGAAATAACTATCAAGCCTGGTCGATAATTTCGTGAGCATACCGATTGTGCGACGTACGCCTTTTATTTAAGATACAACTATCGGCTCAGGATGGTCCACTACATAACTATATTAGTACAGCGCAGCATGACTACAGGCCATACCATCAGTTCCACATGGCCTGAGCATACAAGCCCAGTATTTCGCTAGTCAGCATCGGACTATACATCGAAACATCATCCATCGTGTAGTTCTTATCTTTCTGTAACCTGTTGAGGATGTTGATGATCTCCTCTCCAAGGTAGTTGAGGAAGACGATATCAATAGGTGTGTCGGCCGTCACGTTAGGCGGGTTTGAGGCGATGTAGTATGGAACATCGTAGTTGGGCAACACGGTGTGCAGTGTATCGTCTGCAGCGCCGGGGCATGACTAAACACGTGTTATGAGCATAGAACAAACACGCCATGGAACCCTTACATCTTTAGTGACATATCCAAATGACCAATCGCCTGATGTTGCTTCTTGTCCACCGTCGTCTATCTCCTCCGACCAGGCACCGTCCCACGTATCATCGATTTCATGGCTGAAAAATTCAGCTTGGGTTTCATCTCGTCTCCGTTTCATCACCGCCGGGCTATCCAAAGCGGGGAGCACCTGGTTTGCGATGCTAGATGTGACATTGGCGATATATAAGAACGTATCCTTATACTGCATAATTGTTAGTTGATCGTTCTTGGTGAACGATCCCTTGTAGAGGTCGAAGCGTAGAGCCCACGAGTTGATGATAATTATGTTTGGGATGGAATCGCGAGTGTTGTTTATAGCGAGTGCGTATGGGACAGCCTAATAAGCGCGTCAATACCTGATTTCACTACAAACTTGGCACTTACATTGTCGATGAAGAGAGATAGAAGAGACCCGTTGGAAGGATAAGGGTTACTAGCGCACAATAGTTGAGCTGGTGGCTTGAGCGATAATACTACATAACAGGCACCCACTAAGACAAGGTATAATCTTGGTGAGCTGTTCCGTACAGATAGGACAGGTCAAAGCGGGCTGCAAGCTCCTGCAGGCCACGGGTGATAGATCGTCCACCGTGGGTGTCAAATGTGTGATTTGAGGTTTTGGTATGGTACTAAGCAGGAGTCATGGGTAAGATTATGCGAGCAGCGCGAAGCTAAGAGCTTTGCACATTACCTCGTAAGTCACACGGTTCTGGTCAAGATATCTCCTTGTGAAAGTAATGTTGTCGCGGTTATCCTTGGCAGCATCGAGGTCTGCGCCTAGTTTCTGGCGTTAGGTATATGAGGTACAATATTGTTACAACGTCGTACTCATCCAGCCTAGAAGATCATGTCAGACAATACCCTTCACTCATCCTTGAAGTTCACATACCAATTGTCTCCATGTAGCGTCCGCTTTCGAGAGCCATGGAACGACCATCATGCTGCCGACAATCACGAATGTGGGTGTGTCCTAAGTTTCCAGTGAGAATGTAATTTGGACGATCAAGATGGCGACCTTTACCTCCAAATATCAGTATGGGTGTCAAAGGGTGCACAGCCCGCACAGCGTTGAACACAGTAGGCCCTAGATGAACGTTTTGTTGGATCATCATTTAACAAATATTTCATTGACAAACAGCTATCATAAGAAACAGGCATATGTCTGCGGTCGCATTAATGGGATACTTCCTTCGGCAACAAGGAATTAGCCTACCCGATAAGCACGAACACATCAGGCTCTTCTGCAATGGCCTCGACGAACTACAAACAGAAGTCAGGACACCATGTTTCGATTACTCAAAGGCATCGGATAACGTACCCACTGTTCCTTGACCATATCATCGACAGCTTGCACAGTCGTGTTCACAACGTTCTGAGTAAAATTGAATATGACTCCAAGAGAAGTTATACGACGGCCTCTGCCGTGTCGAATGAATGAGAGTACCTCCTCGAATTTAACATGTCCACTTACTTCCTTGTGGTGAACTTGGTGTAACGGTCTGCAGGAATAAACGTGAGCAGCAGTAACATTCATTTTGAATCCGAACTTACTGCCCACTGGGACACTTTCAGGCTCGCCGTCTGAATTGAAAACAGTGATGTTGACATTAGAAGTCAAGTACCGCCCAGCGAGGTGGGGTACAAAATTGGTATACCTGCAGAGCATTCATGGCATTTTGGTAAGCCGTTCCCAGATTTGCGAAGATTTTCAAAGGGGATTCGTCCATAGAACAAGTATTGAAGAACGATGTGGACAGCCAGTAGTGTGAGCATATCAGAAACAGTTAAATGGGGAGTAGAAAGGCCGCATCATATGATGCGAGATGTGACAAACAGGTAGGAGCGGAAAAGGTCGCACCAAATTATCAGACACAGATCAACGAATGTCGTGTCAGTCAGATGAAGATTCGCTCAGAATGCTAATAACGTACATATCATACGTATCCGCATAGACATATAATTCATGACTATACAGGGAGATTGAGGTGACGAATTAGAAGAGGACTCGGATTACACTCACTTTCCGATGGTCATGAGATCGTAGGGGAGGCGCTCAAGGAACTTGTTTGACTATTAAAAGCACATACAACTTATCGGTATTAATTATACATGACCCATGAATAGAACGGACCTCGTGTGCGTCGACACCACCGGGAGGATAGCCATCAGAAAGGCCGGTTCCTAGAAAATCTGAGTTGGGTTGTGTCTCAGACGGTGAGTGATTATACGTACCATCATGTAAATCACCTGAGTCTATCAAAAGAAGATCGACGTCCTTATCCTGCGATAGAGATTATAAGCAATGTATACACAGTCAAGACTGATGAACGAACGATGGCAATTTGCTTCATGTGAGTCACAAAGCTAGAAAAGTCTCCGAGATCCCCGCTATAATTCACACAAGGTTATGGTTGAGGGACAGTGGCTCGAGGTAGTTCGCTGTGAGTACCGACCTGTAGTATGGTTCAGCCCAGGACAACTTCCGGTGCCCAAGGAGCCAACCATGCGTATCGGTGGTGTGGATCACGTTCAAGTCTCCCCAAACAAGAGGACGATATGGAGGTGTGAGTGGAACCCGCGGGTACTCACGCCTTTCCAGACATTCATGGGCATGGCCATCGCGAGCGTGCAAGTGATCGCCCGTGGAAGCAGCACTACGGAGTGCAAGACCCAGGAGAGTAGCGAGAGCTAACTTGAAAATCATACCGGAGACCCCCTGAAATTGAAGTTGAGGCGATTGTCAAGTACAAACTTTCATTGCTTTTATACCACAAGCGACATTTTCGGAACTGACCTCGGATATGAATGATATTTAGAACATCCGAGTCCTTCTTGAAAGTTTGACGCTGCCCCAATTGCCTAACGACTCGCCAACCTTCAAATAGCTGGTGTGCATCGTGCTCCGGCGGGTGGTGAGTGCCATGATAGCGATGGAGCTCAATGTTCAAAATCGACTCCTACGCGAAAATTTTGACAAACGAAATCCCACTGCCCGTCGGGCCTGAGATGAACGTGACTCGGCTATGTTGATACGAGCCTTTCAAACAACGAAGCGAGGAACTGTTATTAACGGTTCGGTCGTCTCAAATGTTGCCGAACTGATTGAACGTGTTGAAGAAGGATGATTTTTTATAATCAGTTCCTCCAGGATTTACTTTGAACCGAAGATTACGGCATGCAAAGAGACTCTAAAAAGTCATCGACTGCCTAGCAATATTAATCTTCTGGCTCAAGCCCACAGCGCCTCAGTGAACAAATTCTATTTCCGTCTACTTGCTCGGCTCACTGTCTTCCATTATACTACGGACCATCGGATTCAAATATAATCACATATAGAAAACTTGAAGATTGAAGAGAAAATTTCTGTATCGTGTAAGACGCGGCGCCCTGTGGGTTATTGTACCAGCTGCTATTAATACGAATAGCTGGGGAGGTCTGCGTTTGTGGTAATATTGTTAGAATATTCATAGTTGATAGGATAATCACGAACTTCAAGATGACCATCTCGAATCGCTCAAGCTGCCATCAAGGATCCTGGAGTAAGCCCATTACCGTCACTTGGTGGTCCACATTCAAGCACAGACATTCCAACGTGATCTTGGCTGTCGCGAGTACATCTTCCTCCTTAATCACCTTGTGCTTTCTTACAGATGCGGCAAATAGGCTAGGCACATCGGCCTTGACGCTACCTGGAATCCAACTGCGTGAGTTATACAGGGTTTCAAGAAACCAAATAGTACGGTACAATGGAAACGGTTTGTCCGTATTTTTATCCAGAATGAAATATTCAGTCTTGACTCGATTTACATTCGTTTCATGTTCTCGCGCACCTCTGAGTCCTAGGAGGTACTCGAGTTCCCTCATTTCGATCTCGAACATTCGACGCTCCCTCGCAATCCATAAAACCATCATCGCGCGTTCTTCCTCTGACCACACCGGAGGCAACGGGTTGGGAGCAAATTGTAGGTCCGGATAGTACATCTGTTGGCGCACGCGCATTCGCGCTAAGAGCTGAGGTCGAGGCGCTAAGGTGCCCGACAAAATATGAAGAAGCTCGCATCTGTATCCATCAACACGATCCGATTATGGCAGCATCGGATGTTTCGGTGGATGGAGGCATACAGGTCAGGTCTTACCACCCGAGATGCTCAGTTGCGGGTCAAACAATTCAGTTCTGCACGCTATAAATCACACAGACGAGTTCCCGAAACCGTAGCGAGAGTCTTTGATCATGTATAGATATTTTGTAGGGATGCGCCAAATTGACCTCCATGAAAAAAAAAACTCCCTCAAATTTAAGTATTATCAAAATCCGTCTGGAGGTTTTGTTCCTTGGGCAAATACAAGCATTTTGGCAAGAGGGATAAGAATTTGGGTGAGATCTCGAGGTGCTAAAGATGTTGCACAAAAGTAGCGGTGACTAAGTGACGTGCACCATAGGTAAGATACAAACACTAGGTTAGGCTCAGGGGCAGAACGCGCACCTGCATAGACCTCCAGATCGCTGGCGACAACGAATAATCTCCGAGGAAATCAAGATTACATAACCATCATCGCTACCTCTCGAGTGCAGTGCGTTTTTCAAATCAAATTTCAAAGCTTCACCCAGGTGCACGTCGCACGAAATAGAGGCTCATCCTCAATATCGCCGACTTTTGCCAACCCCAAATCTGCCACTCGGTTCTCAGGCTAGCTATCATCAGATGCGATAACCAAGGAACGCTACTATACAAAACTAAATGCCTCCCACAACATTGGAGCTTCGCACAGATTGTTTCGATCGTGCCGTCTTCGTATCCAGACTACCCCAATAGAAGTAGCGTCCGTCCAGCAGCTTGGGGGCAAATATCACCGCCATCAAGGGCTTCAAACTGCGTCATATAATTTGAAAGGATTGCTCTCGTGAGTAACATGATACGCGACAGCTTTCAGGTTTTGTGCTGGACTCATCAACACATCCAGGGTAATTGAGTGGGAAACCGAATACAATGTTCCTGTAGACCAGTAGCACTCAAATATTTGTTGTAAGGGCTTTGGTAGTATGAATCCTAGCGTGTAAGTTTTCTTGTAAGGTGATTGCATTGAAAGAGTGCGACGCCGCGCAGGCGTCTTTGAGCCGAACGGGAGATGGGCGAGACGAGCGGAGTCGACGCCTGTGATCGCCTGCAGCAGATCAAAGTGGGAGGGTGAGTGTGATAGCAGGAACCCAGAGAGTCATAATCCTGCAGAGCCTGCTCCAGCGTGTCTGGGGACATAGGGACAGGAGAGTGCCCGGTCCGAAGTCCTGGAAGAAGACACACAAAGGATACATTCGCCCTAGATCTGCTTGTGGGCACCATGGCAGCTCGGGGCCATGGAAGAAGCTTCGGAGATGATGTAGATTTCTTCATTTCGTCAAATATTGAGGATGGTTTCTGGCACATGGGAATCTCGTCTGTTATGTGAACATTTGTCAGTCGCAGGTTGCGCTATTGCACGCCATATGTCAGTCCTGCTACATGCACTGAAAAACAGATCGGTTTTCACCGCTTCGAAATCTGCAACGATGGAGTTGCACGTCATATCATCAGCAAACAAAGATAGAGAGGAACTGAGAGACGACGGGTTGGACAATGCAATCCAAGCTTTCCTCTGAAGGATGGTGTTGATCCCCTTCAGCGAGGACTGCAATATCGGCCTGTGAGCGGACCCATATCAAACAGGTATCTGCACTATCTCAAATGCATACATACACATAGGAGCGCGAAAATCCCGCCCAAGCTTCAAGTTGCAGATGTGACTGTGAAGCGCTTCTCTAGATCGCCAAATTTGACATGAAGATTCCCTTGGCTCGCGAGAATTTCGGTTGGCTCCTCTTCAAATTCGACGCCATCAGCGTTAGAATGAGCGTGTTCGTGTGGGGATAGAGGTGCAGGCTACTTGGGGCCAGAAGATGCGACTTTCGGATTGCTATACTAGTGAGATATCATAAGCTGGAGCAATGCTGATGTTGCATGTTAGTGAAAGGCTCGAACAGCGTGTATGTAGCACGATCATCGGCCTTGAATATACCAAAATAATGCGTCCTATCTCCATTGTTTGCAAGATGTGTAACCCTTGTGACGTGAACCACTTCAAATCAAACTTCACTCTCAATATCACCGACTTTTGCCAACTCCAAATCTGAATCTGCCACTCGGTTCTCAGGCTAGCTATCAGGAAGTAGCGTCTGACCAGCAGCTTGAGGGTGAATATAGTCACCATCAAGGACTTCAAGATCAATACAGACTCACTTATTCGTTGTAAAGGCTTTGGTAATATGAATCTTGGCGTGTAAGTTTTCTTGTAAGATGATTGTATTGAAAGAGTGCCTGCTCCAGCGTGTCTCGGGACATAGGGACAGGAGAGAGTGCCCGGTCCGAAGTCCTGGAAGAAGACACAGAAGATCCATTTGCCCCAGATCTGCTTGTGGGCACCATGAAGCTTTGGAGATCCAGAGCCGCCATGGACCCATTGTCCTCCCTTCTCTAGCATCCGTCCCTCACATGCACACACCTCAGAAGGAACATCAATATGAGTGAGTCAGCACGGGTTACTAAGTACACTGTACACCTCCAGATATTTTTATGCTTTTTGCAATTAAGTCATGGCTGTGGCCATCGAATCATCCAGCCACGACAGACATGAGCAAATATAAATGTTCAGGTGTCGCTGTGGAAAGTAACACCCTTCCTTGTGTCCCTCTTTCACCGTGAGTCCACACTGCAGTCTGCAGGTGTCTTGTCCTCACTTGACACTTCCAACAGGATCAGCCAGGATGCCGTTCTGGCAGCTTCCTGTCACACGAGACGATACTATCACTTGCTACGATAACTCGGGTAATCCAAAAACGCATGGTCGAGAGCAGAGATATGTCAGCCCTACTACTGGGATTTGTCGAAAGCTCATCGTGCAAGCCGTCACTCCCTCCGGCAAGCCCGAGGTCGCTGTTAGCAGCCACGCCAATCAGGCAAGCAAAATCGCCATATGGCTGGTAGCCAATTTCCCTCCCATACAAGGGTGGATCATTTTTAAATGGATAGCACTATGGTTGTGGTTTATCGTGAAGCTCTTCTGGTCAGTCATCTTGCTGCTCACGCAGCTTTTCTTTCTCATCGACTTGGGGGATGACATCGCGGAGGACACGCAGCCTGAGGTGTACAACACTGGATACTACAAACCGTATGCTCGTGAATTTCAGGGTCAGCTATGGGCAGCTCGTTCGCCTATGGAACATTCTTCGCGCATTATCGATGATGGCGAGATGGATATCCCTACATACACACTTTATCCTCGACTTCTTATGATCCACGACCCGATCCGAAATGAGTGGGTCCCATGCGCAGATCGCTATACCATCATCCATACCAAGTTCATTGCCATCTCTTTCCGTGCTGTTGATGCCTACACTCGAGGCGCAGACAATGAGGCAGTTCAGAAGGCTCAGTTCATACAGGAGGTTCGAGCAGCGGTGCTCGGACAGAAATACAATGCGTACTGGCTCGACTTGGAGTGTGTGGGAGAGACGCCATTGGAGAAGAACCGTGATTTGTATTGCATGGCGGACGTCTACCGTGTAGCAGATGTGACTTTGATCATGCTCGGAAAATCTAGGGCCGGAGAGGACGAGTGCTGGAAAGGCTGGGGACGACGAGTATGGACTATGCCCGAAGCCCTACTGAGCCCTCACCTTCGCTACAAGTTCAGAGATCAGGAGGCGGTCACGCCGTTGTCATTGTTTGAGCTAGCCAACCTGGCTTATACAAAATATGATGACGAACGAGCTATCATCAACGCGTACAGCGGGAAGGATCCGCTTGAGAGGCTGGAGCGCTTGATGCTGTTGAAATCAGCTATATGGCGGCGCGGTACGGCAGCTTTAGCACCAGGTGTTGCTCCTCCCCCTTCAAATCTCAAAATGATAGGAGACTCCGAGAAGTCTATCGTCGGTGGGCCGTACCCGGCGGAGCGTGTGTATGCACTGATGGGCTTTTTTGAGCACCGGATCAAGCCAAACCACTCAGAGGACGATTTGCATGCTCTTGTGAGGTTGTCGATGGCCAATGACAACGATCGTATCGTTGAGCGCATGGTATCTATGCTGCCCTCGACCATCACCGAAACGGCATGTTGGTACTCTGACGATGATATCTATCACGCCAACCTTTGGGATATTATACCAGAAATCCAGGTCGCTGGTGTCACGGAGAGTGGAGCTCTTGTGATTGATGGGTGTCGGATGGCATCCATTAGATGGAAAGATTTCCCGGAGATTGCATTCGAGTCCACAGATTCATTGAGGAGAAACATTATCGGGTTCATTCCATATATCGCATTGCCAGCTCTCTTCACCGGGTTAAGTATTTTTGCGACCAGCCGAATGGGAGGCATCACGCTCATCGCAATCGGATTCGTGCTCCTTCTCATGTCCCCTTGGATGTTCATTTTCAGTAAATCTGGGCGTATCATCACCGCACAACCATGGTTGATCGGAGTAAAGGGGGCCATCAGCATCAAAGAGGTTGAGAAGCATTTGTACGGTGGCGTCAGAGCACACTTCCCAGGAATATATTTCACGCCGAGTGGATCAAAGTTCTCAAGGCCAGAAGGAGGTCCTCATCGGGGTGGTTCTCCTGCACAATACGACGATGCCAAACAAGCAGATAGCCACGGTGGACCCGATGCGGGACACATCTACACGCTCATCGACACGTACTCGTCGACGATGTACTATTTCCGTGCAGAGCGACCGCCAACTGTGTGTATTTTCACTGGACGTGAGGGAGGGCTAGGGAGGTTTGTGCTGTGTTCGGAGAAGTGTCATATTAATGAGCTGCATAAGGAGAGTGTGTTGAGAATGCCGACGGAGATCAGTCAGAAAATGATGTTGTATGGATGGATCGCGCTTGGATGAGATTGTTTTTGCTAGATCTTTTCAGTATCGTTTATTTGTGTACCCAACTGTACAGAATAGGTTGTCCGTGTTTTCACCAAGACTCGACTCGACTTGCACCCATGTTTGAGTCATGTTCTTGCATGCGAAGCACAGCATCTGCCACAGGTGTCCCGTAGTAGGTTCGTTGAGGTATTCGGGGGAATGTCATGTATACGAAGAAATAAGTTCCAATAAATCAAGATTGGAAGTAACTACCATTGTGCCAAGCTGATACATACAACTATCTGATGTCGGACGAGTGTTACAGTTAGACTGACATGTAAAATACGAAACAAGACCTGCCGCAACACGTTCCAAATTTGCGTTAACCAAATAAATCCTATTCTTGTTGAGTGATATATTCAGTAATTGGCGAATTCGAATATTGAGCTTCCTGTCCGATACGACCTTGACCTCGACATGAGGCAAAAATGTTGTAATTTGCTGCCCGGAAGAGTTTGTAAAAATGACTGGTCGAAGTCAACCGGCGTTATTTGGTCACACGCGACTAGTAGTATATTGGTAAGTTTAGATCTGAAGAGAGAATGTATGGTGCACACTGTGCGCAGACTCATGACGACACAAACTAGCGCCGGAGGAGGGCCACGAGTTGATCAGTCAACGAGGAGTCCTCATCGGAGCCTATAACAGGCCTCGTGTCCTCTTCCAACTGTGACCACTGTTCACCCTCAACCCATTTCGCTGCCATTCGAGTGTGACTAGTAGTGAGCTTCCATAACTTTAGAATCCATAAACCTCAAGTGGTTTCAGTGTAGTCTTCATCAACAGGCATCTTGTTTCACAATTTATCGCTGCCGAACAGATTTTGTGACTACCCATTGCGCACACTACTCCAACTTGAAAAATCCTGTCACGAGGCTGGTTTTCTACGAGTGGCCTGATTCCAGTGTTGTTATATCCCATCTTACAGCTTGTGACACCATTCTCGATGAGTTACGATCAATGTCAGGCTCTTCATCCTTTGTTCCCGGGCCATCTCTCACTTGCTGACTTCTTTCATAGTCAATGATGATCCTCGTTCACATGAAGGAACTTGGGAAAGACTATCTCAGGTTGCTGTTAAGGGTGCTGAGTATGACTCCCGCGAACGCCAGCCCCATCCGAAATGTTTGGACGGAACACGGGTGGACCTTTTGGACTACATCTACGGATCATTGGACAATAAGGAGAAGAGTCGACTCATTTGGTTGCATGGGACGGCGGGTGTCGGGAAGTCTGCAGTTGCATTTACTGTAGCCCAAAGAATGAGAGATCTGAAAGCCGCAGAGCAGATGAATATTGAGAAGCGGCTCGCCGGCACATTCTTTTTCTCGCGCAAGCACACCGAGCGATGCACTACTGCATATTTTTTTGCAACGCTTGCATATCAGCTTGCCTGCAATTTCCCCAGCATCCGAGAGGACTTGAACAGAGCCATCCGCGAGAATCCTGCTCTTCTGCATCCCAACAAATCTCTTCGCAATCAGATGGAGGGTCTCTTTCTGAAACCTCTGCGGAAGCTCCAATTCAGACTGCGCGAGTGTCCACCTTCCACGTTTGTTGTCGACGCCCTTGATGAATGCGTGTCTGAAACCGAGGTTGCAGATCTCATCTCCCTACTTGCCTACGCCCTTCGTCAGCCCGATTTGCCCGTAATCCATATCCTACTCACAAGTCGCTCAGAAGCACATATCTGCGAAGCCATTCGAGGTGAAGATGTGTACCCGATGGTGTGCGAGATACCAGTGAAAATTTCCGGAGAGGGGGTCGCTGCAATCATCTCGTTAGACGGCGCAGATGTTGACAATGACATCTATATCGTTCTTGAACACTTTTTCAGAAAGCTGCGAGCTCAACGTTCATCTTTCCCGCAGCCAACGAGGGATCAACTTGCTCGGCTGGCGAATCGAGCAGGCAGACGTTTCATTGTGGCGTCTATGATGATGAAGTTTATAGATGATGGATACCATGATCCTCGTGACCGCCTCCAGCTGCTGCTCGAATTCACGAGCGAGCTGCTACCAGGAACGGAGGTGTACAGATTATATGATAGTATCCTCGCTACATGTACCGACCCCACTCGGGCATACCTACACCTGTCCGTTATCGCCACCCTTGCAGATCCTCTACCGATTCAGCAAATCTCAGAACTTCTAGGTCCTGGTGAGGGTAAGGATATTGAGACAACACTAGTGCAGCTACGGTCTGTAATAAATATCCCTCCTGATAACAGCCCAGTGAACCTCTATCACTCGTCCGTTCGTGACTACGTTTCGGATCCTTCGAACTGCAACCTCCCTAAGGTACAACATATCAGACACCCCCACTCCCTACTTGCTCAATCCTCTTTCCGCTTGATGATACAAGCCCTTCCAGCAAGCACGGCCCTGCTGGACGCTCTGTCAGAATTGAAGAGACAGAGCCGAGCTATACCATCCCATGACTTACAGATCTTGAAGCACTCGTTATCCTTCATCATGCAGCCGCCGGAGCCGCTGCAAGCTCTTATAGGCCTCCTATGGCTCCAGGGAGTTCACAGTCCATATTTTCAATGCTGGCTGAGGACTCCGGATGGGCATTTTTGGCTGCAAAACGAAATGGGGAGAGACTGGCTACGGACGAAGGAAGGGAAGGACTGGTTGCAGACGGAGGGAGCGAAAGATTGGCTCCAGACCTGGAGGGGGAAATACTGGTTGCAGACGACTGGCGGACAAGATTGGCTGCAGACACAGGGCGGGTCATACTGGCTGCAGACTCAAGGCGGAAGGGATTGGCTGCGGACCTTGAGCGGCTTGGACTGGCTGCAGGATCTCATTGTCAAGCAGATAGAGCTTCGCCAGCTGCGGGATGAGGAAGATTATTTCTTGCAGACTGTAGACACCGATCTGGATGAGAACAACTGGGACAATGAGGGTGACTTTGACGAGAATCAACAGGACATTGAGCCTTACTTCGACGAGGATTACTGGGATGACGAGGATCACTTTGATGAAGGTCGTTTGGATGATGAAGATTACTGGAACAACGATAGTCGTTTTGACGAGGATCTATGGGACAACAACAATCATTTTGACGAAGATCACTGGAATGATGAAGATCACCGGAATGACGAGGATTGCTTCACCGAGGATTGCTGGGACAACGATGATTGTTTTGACGAGGATCCCGGGGACTACGACGATCATTTTGATGAGGATACCTATGATTCCTGGGTGCAAGAGTATGAGAACCGTTGGCCGCATAATGAGGAAGATCCCTGGCTGCAAACTCCGATCGGACGGCAATGGCTGGCCGAGGTCGGGCAAAAGTGGTTGCAGACTCAGGTTGGGAAAAAGTGGCTACAGATCCAGGCTGGGCAACAATGGTTGCAGATCCGGGATGGGCAAGATTGGCTGCGAAGCCGAGGCGGGAGAGAGTGGTTGCAAAGTCGAGGTGGACGAGAATGGCTTCAGACTGAGGGCGGTCAAGACTGGTTGCAGATCGAGGGTGGGCGCATCTGGGTGGAGAGCCAGGATGGACGAGACTGGCTGCAGACCCAGGCTGTGCACAACTGGCTGCGGACAGAGAGCAGGCAACAATGGCTGCAGACGGAGAGCGGGCGAGAGTGGCTGCAAACCAAAGGAGGGCGAGAGTGGCTGCAGACGCCCCATGGTCAAGTATGGCAGTCGACTCCTACAGAAGATTTCTTGGGTACATTGGAAGCAATCAGCGAGCACACCGCTATCTCAGAATTTCACTCACTGCCAGCTTTTCAAGTAATCCAGCAGTTCAAGAGCTTGCCAGATGTCTTGATGTTTCCGGCGTTCCTGGCGTTCAGTCATCAAGACCATCCCATCTCTGCATCACCACGAGGTCCTTTTCCACCGGACATGGAAATCATCCATGCCATGACGGCCTTTGTCGACTTCGCAAAGGATGCACTGCACCAAAGTCAATCAGCTTCCGACGCCCTCAAGTACACTTGCAATAACTGGGTTGTCCATCTCTCGCAAGCTCGGGCTCCGTGGGATGATACACTTAACCATTTGTTCAAAGTTTTCTGGACTCGTCATCTTCTCTCCTGGCTCGAAATGCAGTGGTGTTTGAAGGGTCTGCGATCCTGCCTCTTTATTTTGTCCGAAGGGCAGGAACTTGCAAAGGCGTGCGTACTTTAGATGATCCTCATAGCTCAATACCTGACCCACACACATAGAAAAGTCTCCCAGTTTTAGGGTCATCAGTATGGATCCGTCGATTTATACGGCATGACACCACCTTCATATTGCGCATTGATACCCTGTGTGGAGGTCGTATTTTTCTATGGTCGTAGATTACATGCTCTCAGATCATTGGATGGGGTGGATAAATGTATTCATTGTCGTTCCTCTAATTCAAAGCAGTAGTAAGTCGACAGTGAGAGCACACTCACTCGATTCTTGCACCTGACCAAGCCTGGCGCTCGTCCTATTGAATCGCTCGGCTTGTATTCTTTTCTCTATACCGATCATGAATACTGCCCTTGTCCCAGTCTGATTTACTCGTAATGTCGACGCGTTTTTCCTCACAAACCTCCTCTCAATATGATCACTATCAAATCATAATGAGAGCAATACATATGTAAGTATGAAAAATCGCACAATTTTCACCATACCTTCCATATCTCCCTTGTGCCCTCTGAGCCACACAGCATTCCACTCCACACCTCTGCGTATATCGTACACTATTGTCGAAAGCAGTCCTAGAGTGCGAGGCGCAGCGTAACAAGGTACTAAGTGAGCATTGTTCCTGATAGGGATGTGGGGAATAAGTTAGACTTGGACGGGGTAACAAGGCATAATGGAATGGCACCAGAGAAGGGTTTCGTCGATGCACTGCGGCTACTGATTCATCCCTCGAATAGAGATGCCCATCAGTAACGAGCTTTCCTTAGCGTACGAGTATTTCTTGTAAGATGATTGTTTTAAAAGGAGGACATGTCAAACTTAAACCGTACCACGTGAGCCCTCAGTCCTTCAAATTCTGTAAACAGTTGTTGAAGTGGGGGTGTGGTTGTTCGTGTTGGAGAGAGGGAGCAACTGTTTGCCACTGGGTTCGATGGCGTACTAAAGCTCGGAGGAGGACATGTACGTCTGACAAAGGGCCTTACATACCTGTAAGAGCATTATCAGTATAGAAGTTCGTCTAGGACGAGAATTGTATCAACATAGTCATAGATTATTGTAACTCACAGATGTGCAACAAAGAATATCTCAACAGGGAAGGCTGGGAATGTAAAATGTAAGTACTTCAGCAAGAGACAGGAACCCTGCCTTGGGCTTCATTTCATAGCCCACTCTATTGATATGAGGTGGAAAACGAGCAACAAGTATCGGAAGACATGCGGCACCGTGCGGCTTGCATTGACAACAAAAAGAATTATGTAAGTGAATGACAAACGATCTGAAAAAGGCAACAGTCATTTTTCACAACCTCTTTCGATCAACCTCTTCCCAAGGAGTCTGCAGCCGCGGCCAGCCTTCTGAGTCTCCAGAGACCTCGTGCAAATCAGCGCAATCTCGCACATTCTGATCATATTGGATGTCTGTACTGCAGTGCTGCCCAGCAATTAAATCGAGGAACTTCAACTGTCAAGTTCCTTCTTTTACAGTTTGACTACGAGAGACTACTACCGCTTCAACTTAGTAGTGTGCCAGAAACTCGACATAATGCATATGAAATGCCTTTTGACTATCTGATTTATGGTGAAGTTTTTGATAGGACACAATAGAATCGGGATTAACGCGACTGAGTGCTGCTACAATTTTTACAGCACCTGCCAGATCCGCAATGACCGAAAAATTTATACGTTCAATATCAAGCACAGGTGGGTCGAAATTTTAAAACTGAACACCTCAGTTTCGGGTGAGAACCATTTCATCCTCGGACACTGACAGTGAACAATAACAATTAGTACGTATGTTCACATAAGCTATGGGCAAGGCCGCTAAATGTCAACAACAGCTTAGAACTCACCACATCCTCATGCCCTCCCTCATGCGCACAACGCATATATTACGTACCATACTACAAGACACAGCATCAATACATGCATGCCCGCCCTCGTGTTGCCAGCGAATAAGTGACCAATCGTTCTTCACTCTTCTACCGTCTCCCAGCAGGCTCACAACGCCAGACCAACGATTCACTCCTTCTTACAGCCTCTCCCACCCCCAGAAGGTCTATTAAGCCCTAGACTTTAATTATTGTCGTGCGTCTTCTATCGAAAATGGCATCATCCGTATGGTGGCTAACTGCACTTTCTAACCCAATTAGCACTTCCCCGGACAATCCTTGCATATTCTGCTACCATTACACAATGAGTCACAATCAATGTTGGTATCCGTATCCGTATCTTTTATCTACTGCCTTGGTCGCTGACTTCATTCATAGTGCGTCGATCACCTGAAGGCATGTGGGAGACTCTCTCTCACATCGCCGTTAAGGGTGCTGAGTACAACTCCCCTGAACGCCAACCTCATCCAAAGTGTCTGGAAGGGACACGGATGGGTCTTCTCGACTGCATCTACAGGTTATTGGATGACCGAAAGAAGAGTCGACTCATCTGGCTGCATGGCACAGCAGGCGTCGGAAAGTCTGCTGTTGCATTCACCGTAGCTGAAAATATGAGAAGTCTGAAAATAATAGAACAGATGGACATCGAGAAGCGACTCGCGGGCACATTCTTTTTCTCGCGCAAGCACACCGAACGCTGCACTACTGCATATTTTTTCGTAACGCTCGCCTACCAGCTTGCCTGCAATTTTCCCAGCATCCAAGAGGACTTGAACAGAGCCATCTGCCAGAATCCTGCTCTTCTGCATCCTAACAAATCTCTTCGCGACCAGATGGAGGGTCTCTTTCTGAAACCTCTGCGGAAGCTTCAATTCAGGCTGCGCGGGTGTCCGCCTTTGGTGTTTGTCGTCGATGCCCTTGATGAATGCATGTCCGAAACTGAAGCTGCTGATCTCATTTCCCTACTCAGCGAGGCGCTTCGTCAACCAGGTCTGCCTGTGGTCCACGTCCTCCTTACGAGCCGCTCGGAAGAGCACATCCGTGAAATTATTCAAGAGAAAGAGCCGTACACCCTGGTGCAGGAAATACCAGTAGAGACCACTGTTATGGGAGTTATTGTAGCCATCTCCTTAGATGGCGCGGATGTTGACTGTGACATCCGTATTTTTCTTGAGCATTCCTTTAGGAGGCTGCAAGGTCGATGTTCGGATTTTCCGCAGCCAACAAGGCATGAACTTGCGCGGCTAGCGAATCGAGCGGGAAGACGTTTCATCGTGGCATCTACGATGATTAAATTCGTCGATGATGGATACCACGATCCCCGTGATCGACTTCAGCTGCTGCTCGAATTCACGAGCGAGCTGCTACCAGGAACGGAGGTGTACAAGTTATACGACCGTATCCTCGCTACATGCAGTGACCCCACACGGGCATACCTGCATTTGTCCATTATTGCCGCGCTTGCCAACCCTCTCTCGATCTCTCAAATCTCAGAACTCCTTGGCCCTGGAGAAGGCAAAGATGTCAAGACATTACTGGTGCAGCTACGGTCAATCATGGACATTCCTACGAACAGCAGTCTCCCAGTAAATATCTTTCACTCATCCGTTCGCGACTATGTTCTCGACCCTTTGAACTGCAACCTCCCTGAGGTACAATGTATCAGATACCCCCATTCCCTACTCGCTCGTTCATGTCTCCATTTGATGATGCAAGCCATCCCACGAAGCACGGCCTTGTTAGACGCACTGTCGCAATTGAAGACGCATAGCCGGGCTATGAAACCTCACGAGCCCCAGAGCTTAAAACAAGAATTAGCCTTCATCGTCGAGCCACCGACGCCATTCACAGTCCTTATAGCCCTTCAGTGGCTTCGGGGAGGTCATAAGTTAGAGTCCTGGCCAGAGACCCTTGATGGGCGTGCTTGGCTTGAGACCCAAGAAGGAAAAGATTGGTTGCAGATTCGGTGGATGATCCAATGGCTCCAGACACAGGGGAAGACATTCTTGCCGAAGGTTCATAGCGTCCGAGACTGGCTACTGACCCAGGGAAGGAAAGGCTCGTTGACCGAGGCCTGGCCATCTTGGCTGGGGACGCAGAGCGGGAGAGATTGGTTGCAGACTCAGTCGGGGCAAGATTGGCTGCCAACCCAGTGGGGGAAAGATTGGTTGCAGACTCGGTGGGGGCAAGAATGGTTACAGACCCGGTGGGGACAAGACTGGTTACAGACCCGGCGAGAGCAAGACTCGCCGCATACCCAGTACACGCACGACTCACTGCAGACCCTGAACGGAGAAGGCTGGCTGGAGACTGAGAGCGGGCGAGAATGGCTTAGGAACGAGAGCGGGAGAGAGTGGCTGCAGACCCATAGTGGACAAGAATGGCTCCAAACCCAGAGTCGACAAGATTTGCTGCCAACCCAGAGCAGGCAACAGTGGTTACAGACACAAAGTGGGCGAGAGCAGCTAAAGACCCAACCTGGACGAGAATTGCTGCAGACCCAGGGTGGGCAAGATTGGCTGAAGACACAGAGCGGACGGGAATGGTTGCAGACCCAGAGCGGCCAGGACTGGCTGTACACGCCCCATGGTCAAGCATGGCAGTCAACTGCCGCGGCGTCTGTCTGGGTGACATTGGAGGAATTCTCAAGGACTTTGGAAGCAGTCAGCGAGTACGTCATCATCCCGGAATTGCGCTCTCTTTTGGCTTTCCAAGCTATCCAGCAATTCAAGAGTTTGCCGGATTTCTTGATGTTCCCGGCATTCCTGGCATTAAGGCATCGAGACCCTTCTTCCGCCTTGTCGCATTGTCGTTTCCCACCAGACATGGAGGTATTCCATGCTATGATGGCCTTCAATAGTTTTGCATACGAAGCACTGGAACGAAGTCGATCAGCTTCTGACGCTCTCAATTATGCATGTCAAAATTGGTCGTTCCATCTCTCACGAGCTCACAGTCCGTGGGGCGACATGCTCGATCACCTGTTCAAGTCTTTCTGGACTCGCCATCTCCTCTGCTGGCTCGAAATGCAGTGGTGTTCGAAGGGCCTCCGGTCTTGCCTTTCTATCTTATTCGAAGCGCAGAGTTTTGTTTTACCCGAAGTATGGAATCTTGCGAAGGTTTGTGTTTTCTAACGACGTTTGTGACTCAGAAACTGACCTGCGCATATGAGTAGGAACATCATCGATAAGAAAGCGGTTGATAGCTCTTTCACGTTGGTTGAGTGCTTCCACCACAACGTCGCTCTAGCAAATCCTGCTCTTCTAGTTCATTACAGTTGGCAACAGCGGTACTTTGTTACATTTTTGATGCGACAAAGCAAAGAGCTGCAGCGAGTTGGAGAAGAGCTTGGTAGTGCATTAATGAATTATGGCTTATTGTAAATTGAAGTTATTGCCGCTGCGCGGTTCCTCTTGTTTATATAGTTTGTTTATCTATCCACATCATAAATTCGTTACGGAGGACACACTCGCATGAGTCGTAGTATATTGATTAATTCCTCAGTACCTATGTGCGCCGAAGTCGGACAAACATACGAATATTCGTTACTCCGTTACTTGCAACACGGTCGCTGAGGAGAATATCGAGACCAGGTAGAATATTGATACCTGGACTCAAGAGCGGAACACTCGTGATCCCAGTTTCACATGACCTGTTTGTGCTCAGAAAGTGGAATACAACAATCTATCCACTTAGCTACCATTGTGCCAAGTTGATATACATGTATACTACCCGACGACAGACGAGTCCTGCTCTAGACGTTGATGACCTCGAGCCTGCTAGACTCCCATGTAAGATACGAAGTAGAACCTTCCGCAACATCTTCCCAGTTGACGTTGAGCAAATAAATCCTATCCCTGTCGAGCCATATGCCCAGTAACTCGCGAGTGCTGATCTTCCTGTCCGATACAACCTCGACATAAGGCAAGGATGTTGTAATTTCCAAGTTTTTCTCTTCAATGGTAGTACCCATGAACTCGAAGCTTGAGGGACTTATTTCTATCATAGATGACTCTTTCACAACACGTCCAAGACCCTGCCTGTTTGTCGCAGCCATTGGGCTGAAGTCCATCAGACGTACTTCGTACTCCACGCCATACCTGTCTGGCGTGTCAACCATGATCGCCTGCAGAACTCGGTTTCCACTGATGTGGACTTTGCATGGATATGGATACCGGAAAATACGAGTATTTGAAGGACCCCAACGTCTCCATGGTGTGGGCACTGTTGCTACAACTCCGTCAAGGTCGAAGAAAATCCTCGTGGAGATGATGATGATAAAAGTATCAGTATCATAGGACGTAGTGAGGCATAGTAGTTGATGCGCAGGGTCTGATATGTAGCTCACTGTTTGAGGTTGGGCTTGCATCTGCTCGATATCATCCATCGGAAGGAGGCATTGTATGCGCCACAATGGGAAGGGCGATCGGAAACACGCCAGCAATTGTGGCGCCTGGGATATGTCCTCGATCGAGTAGAGCTCCAGATTGCCAGCGACAACGAGCAACCTGTCATTTCCGAGGAAACAAAAATCCATGTCACTTTCACCAGTCTTGTCTAGGACACTCTGAATTCAAGATTAATCATCAGTTTTTGAACTGTTTCAAGTCAAACCTCACATTCGATGTCGCTGAGTTTTGCCAATCCCAAATCTGCAGCTGCCAGCCTTTCTTGGAGAGACTCCTTCCACCGTCAGCTACAATAACCAAGGAACGCTGCAACGCGATATGTCTCCCTGAACCTTTGAGAATCGCAAACAATGTTGGAAGGGACGGTTGCGATAGAAGTAGAGCCCGTCCAGCAGCTTGAGGGTGAACACCATCACTATCCAGGGCCCCAAGGTCAATTTGGACGGCCTCATCCGATTCAAGAGGATGATTCTCCGAAGCAACACTATACGCAACGGCGATCAGGTTTTGCGCTGGGTCCATCAGCACGTCCAGAGTGAATGAGTGGGGCACCGAACGCAATGTTCCTCTAGACCAGGAGCGCTCGATTGTTCGTTGTGAGGGCTTTGGAAGTATTGGAATTATCGCAGCCACGTCATTATCTTCATGCCACGAGTAGAGATGCCCACCAGTGACCAGCTGTTTCTTAGCGCTCAAGTTTTCTCTCAATGTGATTGTTTTGAAAGAGTGCATGTCAAATTTGAACCATGCGTGGGCCCTGTCCTTCAATGTCTGTAGGCGGTTGAAAGTAGGAGTGCGGTTGTCCGTGTTGGGGACAGGAAGTAACCGTTGGCCACTGAGTTCGATGATATACTGAAGTTCGGAGGAGGACATGTACGCCTGGCGAAGGGCCTTGCATACCTAATACAAGACCATCAGTATCTAGGACGAGAATCACATCGTAGATCAATATTATGACTCACAGACGTACAACGAAGAATATCTCGACAAGGAAGAAAACTGAGAATGTAAAACCCCAGTTCTTGAACAAGAGATAGGAACCCTGTTTTGGGCTGCATTTCGTGGTCCACTCCCTTGATATGGCGAGGTGGACAACGGAGTCTCGAGTATTGGATATGAGTGGGAATTTATAGGACCAGATGTAACGAAATAATCGGAGGGACTGACCACTGGAACATACGCGGCTTGCAAAAACAAGTTACATAAATTGGGGTGAACCGTTACATAAATGAGTTGTCCACTCACTGAGGTATTCACTGCGGTCATCAACCAGACATTGACGCACAGCATAAACTTCTTATGCATCAGCTACACGACACGTTAATTCTCTTTCGCAATATCAATACGCTTACCATATTTTGGCATTTCTCGTGATAGATGAGTCATGACCCAATGGCTGAGGCAGAAAGTGACAAGGTGCGTAGGAGGCGACAGATGCTGAGGACCGGGAGAAGAAAGGAGTTTGAGAGGTATGCTTGAAGAAGGGTTTGACAGGTGAGTTATGTTTGCTCCGCGGTGGTGCTCCCTAATGTTTCGCTGTTCTAGCGTCATGCCCAGTGTTGAGAGATGCCATGATACCGGGCCAGCAAGGTTATGAAGACGCTCGCTCGATATACTTAGACCGAGTAGATCAATGAACCCCCAGTGCTGATGGAAACCTTGACTGACAACGATCGAGAACTTCGTCTCAAAAATAGCGTCGGGGTATGTATGCTATAAGAACATCGTTGAAATTATGAAACAGTCGATTTTTAGCCACTAGGCGCGACTGCCAGCCAGTGCGCACAGCTTCGCTCTACTTGATTAGGTCAATCATCCAATCGTTGCAACTGAACTGTGATGATGCCCATTTCGACTATAAATGCGCTGGATCGTCGTATCCACCAAGTTTGCCGTTTCCTCACATCCGTCCTCGAACAGTAGTATGACCGACTCAGTCTCCAATAATCCCACATGGTGGCCTGCCATCAATGTGACTCTCATCTATAGTTACTTTGCAGGTCTGTGAAGAGCCAATCGGATGACGATGGTGATGTGCCAAACTAACTTTACCTGTGATTTCGCAGTTGCCTCTTCTGCTGGGATAATATATGATTGTGGTAAGCGATATCATACTAAAAAAACCACTGGTATCCTGATGGTATTGCTAGCTCTGACGTTTGGACAAGAGGTGGGTCAATGCAATTACCAGCTGAGTGGTCATGCTGCTGAGAATATTATTATAGGTCGAACTGATCTGGGTGAGCAGAGTCCCAAGTCAGAAGACTAACTAACGTATATGATTGATTCACAGAGACAACGATGGTCGCTGATGACCGCTCTGTATATCAGTGTGTGTAACTTGCGTTATAGGTGGTCGGCAAGTTGTACTAAATTGCAAATATCGTAGATGCGCTATTTTAGAATTTTATTCGCCATGTATGTCCAGAAAGCCAAGCGATTTGTATTGTACTAATAATCTGTCTCTCACACTCAGCATCAACATAGTGTGTATGGCTCCTCGCTTACACCATGTTTCTTTATTCTGACCGGTGGCATATAGACAATGTTCTGACAATTTCGATGACGGATACAGTGAGTATTTTGTCCATATGCCTGCCATTCGCATTCACTAAACTGCGGTTCCATGTAGGGGTGAGTGAGATCCTTGACCTGCCTGTTAGTGCAATATAACACCACCACAGCTGTGAGTATGTGTCGACTGTGTAATCCTCAGAGGCTGATTGCCGACTGGATTCGCCAGGTCTTATTATGTCCATAGTACAAAATTGGATAAACGTTGTCGCAAATGCGATACTAGGCGGTGAGCTGCACAGCTCTGATGTCTTGGTGGTATCAACCTGACTGAAACATCACACGAGTCATCATGATTGTTCGGTTACGTGCTGTTCATCAGGGATCCAGAAAGGTCATGATATTTCTCATTGTTGCCTTCCTGGCTGTCAACATCATCGACTGCGCTTTCGCCGTAACAGCAACGAGCCATATGTCAGGGGGTGAGCTCATTTATGTATCAAATATCGGCTCATTGACGATTACAAGAGGAGCTCATTCTTTCTTGCACCTATCAGTGTAATGTCACCTTCATGGGGGGAGATAATACACTTCTGTATACCGTGACATGGATACTCACTACCGCATGGGAGGTCGCCGCACTATGTCTCACAGTCTGGATTGCTGTAAAGCACTTTCGTGAAATGCGACAGTATTCGGCAGGAGGTATCGTCGAGAACTGTCTTGCAGTATTAATAGAATCTCATGTGGTTTACTTTGCAAGGTGAGCTGATAATGCGAATATATTCTTTCTTTTTCCGTTGAAATTCCGCGCGTACTAGGTCTGTTGCTGCTTCTTTCCTCGAGCTTGGTTATTTGTCTCCAGCAATCTCAAAGCCGGTATGCCGAACTTTTCCTGATCTTCATATGCGACCGCAGTTCATCATATCTATAGGATCCATATTCCCTAGGACCTCCGATTTATGCTGGTGTTGCTAGTATTTTTTCTCTCATGCAGTTATTTGTGCTAGGACCGCGCTTGATCCGATCGTGGCTGACTCCGATGCAGCAACAGGCACGAGTTCGATTGTTTTTCAGGAGCGCGTGCATGTGCGGACTAGCAGTAGTGTTTAGCACGAGACGTGCTCAATGGGATCAAAAGATGTAGAGAACTCTTGCGGCAGCAGAAGAATAAAATGCTCGCTGTGGCACCTATTTATTGATATATTTTGGAGTGTAGGTAATATCTCCAATTACTTACTGGGTTGCAAACAGACTTCATTCTGGTGTGTAAACTGGCTAGTACGGTACGCAAGCTCATTCTCAACACGTGCGATACCACACACGTGCTTCTTTTTGGAAAGTCTAAAACGTTACGCGTTATGACGTGAAAAAGGCGATTCGAGACCTTTAAGTTCAGTTCAGAGTCGGTGATAAATCGATAAGGACCAATGATTCATTCGCTGACTAAGACTCAGCCGCCGACATACATACAGGTATTAAATTAACGCGTTAACGCCCGAACTTCTTCTCGTTGTCTTGTGTTGGTGAGCTACTGCCGCAGACTTGTCGAACGCCCTCTTCTAAAACATTCTTATCTATTCCTAGTCGTCGACAGGCACATCATGAAGTTTGGCAGGAAGATTACGGTGCGTTATTTTTGCGTATGGCATATTGGGGGAAGCGAAATAGACGATCTCGTTTTGACAGACCAACCTTTATGATGAGTGGAGACCCTTCTACATCGACTACAATCTGCTGAAGCGTGAACTCAAGGTGGGTCCTTTTCCAAACTGCCCGACCCGTCTTCATTCGCTCTATCTGCGTAGTCTCGCACCACTTCTCATAGCTGGGACGACAATGATGAACGCGATTTCACCGCCATGCTGAAACGGGAGCTAGATAAGGTTTATGATTTCCAGAAACAAAAGGTAAAGCGTCAAAACTCGGTTTATCCCTCTGCTTCACCTGACGCTGCCCAGACCGCTGAGTTGTCTCGCCGGATACGGGAAGCTGAAAAGGATGTCCAAAAACTCGTTGCTCAAGAATCTTCTCAATCTTCCGAGCCGTCTCCCGTCCATTGCTCTGATCCAGAATCGCACCAAGCACGTCCTTCTGACTATGGACCTGACGAAGGCTCTGATGACGATGATGACATGGACGACAACCAATCTGATGCTTCACTCGAAGACCTCTTCCACGGCCTTCAAGAAGAAGTCGCTACCCTCGTAGCTGATGTTCATGACTTGGCGTTGTACACTAAGTTGAATATCACTGGTTTTCTCAAAATTCTAAAGGTACATCCGTTCATGCCTCTCGCCTTGTGGTAACTCACCATTCATCTACATAGAAACACGATGTGCGTTCCCTGGATTTCCTCATGTGTCATCCTTCATTATTACCCGCAGAAAATAACAAACATTCCACTCAAATCTACGTTTATTCAAAACTATCTGGAAGAAAGACCCTTCTATAAATACAATTGGGACACTCTGATCGTCAAGTTATCCAAGCTCTACAACCTGGTCCGCACCCGAGGACATCCCGTACAGGGCGATTCAAGCGCAGGCGGGAGTCAGAGTGCCTTTGTGCGTCAGACGACAAAGTATTGGGTAATAAATAGCATTTTCTTATCAGGTCTATGTTTACCAACAAAATAATTTTAGGTGCACCCAGATAACCTCGTACCACTGAAACTGGCTATTTTGCGACATCTACCCGTTCTTGGTAAGTGATAGTGCGTTTCAGTATTTTTTTCGATTGATCTCTCCTTATAGTGTTCAATGCCCAGAAGGAATTCGAACAGAAGGATGCTGGTACGTTTGATTTTGACACAGAGAGTCTTATGCTAACGCCTGTTGCAGCCATTACTTCAATATACTTCGATAATGAAGATCTTGAACTTTACCTTGGTCGACTAGAGAAGACAGAGGGTGCCGAAGCTATTCGTCTCCGGTGGTATGGCGACACAGACGTGAAAACCGTCAGTGTGTCTGGCTTGGCTTGTGAAGGTCTCACTCAACGTCGTCCCTCAGATTTTCGTAGAGCGCAAGACGCACAGAGAAGACTGGACAGGTGAAAAGTCTGTCAAGGCGCGTTTCCCGATCAAAGAACATCTTGTGAACGCTTTTCTACGCGGAGAATACACCATGGACGCGGAGCTTCAGGCTCTAGTTGACAAAGGCAAGAAGACACAAGCTGAAGTCGATTCTATGATTCAGCTTGCAAGCGAGGTCCAGTATCGTATTCTTACGAAGCAGCTTCAGCCGGGTATGTAAGCAGGCCTAATGTCTGACTCCCTTGCTCACAAATATGCTAGTCATGAGGACGTTTTACAACCGAACTGCGTTCCAGCTCCCCGGGGATCCCCGTGTACGAATATCGCTTGATACGGAACTTACCATGGTTCGCGAAGACAACTGGGACGGACAAGCGCGTGCTGGCGATAACTGGCGGCGAACCGACATTGGCATCGACCATCCTTTTGACCAGTTGCCAACGGCGGATAAGGAGCTTTTCAAGTGCGTTACCCTTATTGAGCAGTTTCATAACATGTTCACATTCTTCAAGGTATGGCGTTTTGGAGGTCAAGCTTCAGACTCAATTTGGACAAGAGCCTCCGAAATGGGTTACTGATCTCGTCCAGTCCTACCTTGTCGAAGCCGTTCCAAAGTTCAGGTATGATTCTCACTCCCAAGGTGGCTCCACGTTCCTCACGGACCGCCGCTAGCAAATTTATCCATGGCTGCGCTACCCTACTGCCTAATCGCGTAGATCTCGTGCCGTTCTGGCTGCCACAAAGTAAGCTGAAGAGCCTGCTTCTATTGCGTCACTTTCTTACCTGACATTATTCACAGTGGACACCGACATCCTCAAGCCCAATACGGGATACCTCACAGTCGAGCGGCCGACCAAGACCACATCTGATTTTCAGTCCGGTATTATGTCGCCCCTCTCGCCCGTTTTGCCTGTACATTCCTATATTGAGCCTGTTTCGGAGGGTGAAGAAGATGAAGAGATGGACTTGGCGCCTGCTAGAGACGAAGACCGGCGCACGGGGTTGCCGCATGAGGACGTTGCGGCTGCTATCGCGTTTCGTGAGAAGTCGCTCAAGGAACGGGAACCTGCATCTGGGAGTAGCAGTACTCCTGATGTGGTATATGATGAGCGCACGCCATTGTTGAAGCTGCCACGTCCGCCGAACAAGAGGAACGTGTCGATCGACCCGCTTGCGCCGTCTTCTGCGTTTGATGAGCGTCTGCGCGAACGTTTACAGGCGAATAAGAATGCGCCGCCACGTGTGCAGGATGGTGAGGTGCAAGAAGCTGTAGGCCTGGATGAGGAAAATCTGCGGGAAGACGAGCGTTTACTAGTGAGAGACTGGTGTGCGCCGTCTGGCAAGCGAATTGCAGTGCCTGTTCGTATCGAGCCCAAGGTCTATTTTGCGAACGAGCGCACGTTCTTGGTACGGCTTTTTCCATGAGATGGGGTTCGTCTGCTGATCTTTATCGTGCCAGAAATGGCTTAGCTTTGCGGTGCTCATCGGCTCTATCGCTACAACGTTGTTGAACTTCATGCCTGCGGATGATCCGAGAGGCCTGATCAGTGCTGCGCTATTCACTCTAGCTGCGCTGCTCGCGATCGCCTACTCAGCCATCATCTTCGTGTACCGAGCGCTTCGTCTGCGTGCACGATCTGCGGAAGGGCTTTATTATGACAAGTACGGTCCGACTATTCTTTGTTTTGTGCTGCTGGCTGCGCTGGGGACCAATATTGGCCTGAGGGTGGCGGATATGAATATGCGATGACATGGGGAATTATCAAGTCTTGGACGCTTTATAGCTGATGATGGAAGAATTCATTTCCTCTTTAAGGTCTGCTTAGTACAGCCGCAATGAAATATTTGTTTCCATGTGATTCCACCGGGGACCAGAACTTGTGAGGCACGGTGAGGGTTTTGATGGAGAACCAATAAGGGATCTGCGCGATTTAATGGATGTAGAACCGGAGAGATGGCTTGATCAGGAACTCTTGGTTTGGGCTCAACAAGACCATACACGAGAAATCTATAAAAGAGCGCACCAACAAGATCCCCAAACTTCAAGCTACCTTCATCACAATAACAACAACAATAACAATATGTTCACCGTGAGTGCTTGCTACTTCTCGTGTCGCATTTCGTTATCTTACCCCGCTCTGCAGGTCACTGAAGTTCCTGTCTCTTACAACTGTGGCTCGTCGACCTGCAACTGCGGCGCTTCGTAAGTCTTGCTTTGTGTGTGGTACGGAGCCTTGGTCTGATTCACGATTTTTTTCAGGTGCCAATGCAAGGCCGGAGAGTGCAAGTGTTAATCGAACATTGTGCCGGGCAACTGGTTACCGCCTCGCTTGCTGTGTACTATTTCAGCCTTGGTGTTTGACGTATGATTTGTACTATCACTATCAAGGAGTTGTATGAAATTATCATCGAGGAGATCTGAGAATATATGAACTTGGCTTGTCGAATCGTTAGTTGTGTGTGATATCAAGTCGTGAGCTTGAGGAGGCGCTGCATCAAGTTTGGGGTCTATCTTTGTTTCGGCTCAGATCTGGAACGTGTGCCCCTGCAGGGACCCTCGGATGTTATACACCTTGCCCGGAGTTTGCCTCATTCTCACGCCACTGATTTCGCCTCTTTCTGTAATCCTGCAGCGAATATTTGTTTTCCTCTTCCCAGCTGATTTCACAAGGCGCATGCCAAACGCGCGCATTTGACAGTGACATGTACACCACGGCTGACGCTGGCGAATTGATCTGCGTAATCGTCTGCAACACAGACGATGTAACAGATCAGCCCGCTAGTGCTCAGATCTCAGTAGCACGAAACCATTAACCATTTGTATTTTCGACGCATGATGGTAGAACGAACACGACCTCGAGTACACACCCGGTTTAATCACGTCCCACTTGCCTCATATTCCTTACGGCGTTCACATCTGGTGTACAATCCATCCACTCCTCGCGCTGGTGTCAAATATCGAGGATCTCAACAAAGATATATCGAATTTGTGGAAGAGGGGCAAGAGGAGATCGAGATCTTGCGATACCTCACAGGAATTAGATCTACACCATCTCGCCAGTCCAAATCTGGCCAACGTCCGATGGCTGGCAGCCACCTTACAAGCCTATGCAACCCCAACGCGCACCTATCGACCCGCGGGTGTACCCGTGTTTAACCCTACCTATGGCCTGTTGCCAACCAGTCTCCTTCCTGCCGACGGTGGCTGCCTGTCTATCATTGACTTCAACACATACGTACGCGTCAAAGGCACTGAACACATGTTCCACGACATCCTTGGCACCACCGGATATTTTGCGCCTGAAAGTTTCCGCTGGTCAAGGCGTCTATAGCGCAATCTATGCAGACTTTGTGTTCCTGTGGAAAGACACTAGAGGAGTTGTGTTCCCTGCGTAGGCCATCCAGGGATCGCAACGCACTACTCGAAATAGCTCGAGAGCTCATGAATGAAGACCCAAAACATGACTGATGATGCCAGACGTCTTGACTTCAGGTAACGTGCTCCATTCTTGGCGTGTACTCCATGCTGTATGCGAGCATTCGTTTAATTGTTCTTGACAACTTCTCCTCTGTCGCACCACTGGAAGTGGATGCTTGAGCTCAACCTGCTTATATGCTACGTCTACCCCAAAGACTAGGCAAGAGCAGCAGATAATTGGGTGGACAGTGGCAAAGGTAGGATCGATGAGTCTCACTGCTAGCATGAAGTCAAACACCGGAGAATGCCACACTGGAAAATTCGAGAAGCAATCGTAGATATTGATATTTTGAGGGCGCACGCGCTGTTGTCTGCGACATCGTATACGACCGATACGGCGAGGGTCAGGTGTTGGAAGTTCAATAAAGACGGGTACTCATTGGAATGGCCTGAGTTCCGTTAATAACATGCAACACATGACCACGGTCATGGGATAATGCATCGGCCGCAAAAGCAAAAATATCAAACTTGAATACGTAGCCAGGCTGGTCGGAATGTGACGTACGTCTGACTGGTCACGAGTCTACAAAACTCAGCCGAAAGTGTTGTTGCCCCCAACACTTTGAGAACGGTACTTTAACCCACAAATGGTCGCTATATGGGCGACAAAAATAGCGGACACATCGCACGTTGCAAGTATTCGTTTGGCAGGGCAAATTTGGAGGATGTACAAGCGTATGACGGTCAGAAAACCTGAGCGTGTGTTTGATTTGCCTATGATAGATATTTGCAACATTTGCAGTCTCATGACAGTATTATGATTGCTGAGCTTACAGCTCAATGCTATCTAATCACTCACGCAACAAGAACTGTCCTTTTTCTTTATCCGTCGTCGAAGTAGCCTGAGGATCAAAGTTCTCCTTCATTTCCGAGTCGGTAGCAGTGAGATTGGGACGGCGGCCCTTGCTGGCTTTGGCCATTGCAGATTCCTTCACACTGGTCGGATTCCACCGAATTTCACATTCCGATGCTGTGCCGTTCGAAAACGACTGACTGGAAAACGACTCGTTCTTGACAGAAACATGAAAACAAATTCGAAAACAACGATGAAAACAACGACGAAAACGATTCGAAAACGCTACTGTGAACCTGGCTAATTTAACATCGGTTCATTGGTACTACGCCGTGATACATAAGTCATGCCGGTCCCGCGGCTGCACAGCGGTCCCGCCCACTTGCTAATCAAGCACATTAATACTCGGACTCTGAAGGCAGCATGGAAAGACAGGCTCACTCAGACCGGGCAATGTAAGCTATTGCCGTAGAAAGTGCAACAGTCGTTGCATTTACAATTTACGAATGATTGGATTGTGCCAGTAGAATCGCAAAAAAAGATGATGTCATTGCCATTGTTAAAATGCTTCAGTGAACGGCAATTTTCTGAATCTGTGGGTAACCATAAGCACGCAGTCCAAGGCCTGCACGTAGGCTGCAAGAGTGCTCACTGTTTTTGTCTCTTTTCCTGTCACTTTAAGCCTATGGGTGTGTCGTTGTTGCCATTTTCCTGAGATGTAGCTATTCCAGCCATCGCTGCGGCACAAATAACAATAGTGGCGAGTGAAGTGAATTTCATGGTGGAGTATTGATGGTGTTATCCAAGTCGAAACGAGTAGAATGGCTTTTATACACAATTGGTGTATGGTGCAGCCAAACACTTTCATCGTCGTATGCTCAGGGACAAACCGGATGCAAGTTCGTCATGGTGCTCCCTGAGTGATACGCAAATGCAAATAGGTGGCTTCTCGGGATGATGCATCGGACGCAAAAGCGAAAATATCAAAACTTAAACACGGGGTCAATACCGGCGAAGCGGCTCTAGAGGTAGAATTTTGCAACTGCGTAGTACTGTTATTCGCTATATCATCTTGGCAAAGGTCTTAGATGCGCACATTTAGTAGATCACTGAGGCTTTTGCGTGTATTGGTCTATGAGGGAATATAAGTACGCGAACAGTGGAACATAGGAAATGCGTAAACCAGCCTGAGCTAAAAGGGGATCAGGTAGAATGTTGCACATGTAGACATTTCAATCATCTTATGTGTTTGTCGTGTAAATCGGCGTGAGTCGGACAAGGGTACGGGGATTCTGAACGTAGAAGGAATCTTTAGACGAGGAACTGGTGTGAACACGTACGGTGTTTTTCATTGCCATTCGTCTTGCATATAAAAACTTCTTGACAACAGAATCTTGACGTGCGCAGCTCTCGAATAGTACCTTTACCCAAGATCAAGGGTGCATTCGTGTGCGAGATCCGAGGGATCCAACTTCCCCGGATGTCAAGTGACAGGGAACCTCCTTTGTGCTTCAATCACAAGGTAGCCCAACTTGGACAATTGCGACATACTGGTTTATAACGTTCTGTCAGATGAATCATCTGAAATGTGGCCCTCTGCTTGTCCCGACGATACCGATACCCACACCTCTTGCAGACCCTTTTTTGCCCGACAACTTGACACCGTTTCTGCCAAGTACTATTAATCGAAATCGAGAATTACAAACATAATCCAGAAGCTCGGGCATGTTCATCGATGATCGATGACAGGTGCAGATAGATATATCAGGTTTCCCTGTTCGAACTCTCAAGCTTGGATATCTAAATTATGTCACCTACCCGTTAATGCACTGCTGACTAGCCAAATATCTCAATTTCTTCGTGCTGAGATCTAGGGTACTGTATTAATGGATGAATTTCATGAACGAATAGGTTTAGTGTACCTAGGAGGCACAGCGACTGGATCAAGAACATTTTCTTCCTCTTCGTCGTCCTCGGATTCGTCATCATGGATGGGCTGTGGTTCCTGCTTCTTCTACTCTCTGAAACAGCTGAGGCAAAAGAAGAGTTTCGGCCTAGAGAATAAAAGCAACGCGGTCAGTCTCACCATGCCAACAGAATTGTAGAAAACAAACGTAGGTAGCTTGTCCGAGTGGAACGTAGACAACTTTGAACAGATCTTCTCGCGCCTTTTGCTTCCCTGTGTCTGACGACGACTGAATAGGATCGAAAAAGGTCTCGCCATCGGGAAAGGAAGTCGATGGGGGGCTGTGAGCACGAGTGCGATTGGGAGGTAGTAGTGATGTAGCAGAGAACTACACTGCGAGTGTTGAATAAAGTGCGAAAGAAACGAGAATAAAAAAATCCTCGTGAGGTAGATACTTCCGACTCACCTGGCTGTGATTCGTTCATGCGAGGGGTAAAAGCGAATAAGTTCGCTGAGGCGAAGAAAGGAGCTACGGGTCTCTCATAGGCTGAGATCTCTTGTAGTCATCTTCGGTATTTATCGCGCACGTTAGTTGACATGAGTAGGATGAGAGAGTGAGTCCAGGAAGATTTTGAACATCGAAGGAGGTCAAGAGCTGGCGAGACTGGAAAGTCCAGGTGTTGTTGAAGGAAGCGCTAGAACGAAGGGCTCTATTAAATGAGAGTGCTGGGCTGGTCACAGTTTTGGTGTGCCCTTCAATTGGAGTTCTAGCAGTGTCTGGTGTTGATGTGTCAAATTTATGGTGTATCATTTTCAAGTTGCATAAATTGATTGTCCAGTGCTACATAAATCTATATATCATGTTCCTCAATCCTCACATCCAAATTCTGTGATTAGACATCCCAAACCTCAAGGCACATCCCTATTACTTCACCGCATGCTTCTTCCACTATGTGGAAAATCGAATTGCGCCCACCCAACCAGTGGACGGTCCCGGAATGGACCGGCCACGATTTTGCCTGTGTCCAGGCTCCATATCCGTTCCAGTTAGTAGCGTGCTGTCCGCAGAGACATCAATGCAGTTGATCCAATCTGAGTGTCCTTCAAAGGTTCTCACAATCCCCATCTCGACCTCGCAGGCTTTCAGCTCTCCGCGACCACCATCTCCACCAGCAGTGACCGTGACAACCCATCGACTATCCCTTGAAACTGTCAATGCACATACATGCTGCTCGTCAACACCCCACGCTTCCTCAATCTCCCTGCCCGACTTCAGATCCCAAGCGGCCTTATCCTCAGATCCGGGTATCAGAATCGATTTCGTAGCTGCGGCCTTCGTCGACGTGGGGGTCATGAGTGTCTCCGTGAAAAAGACCGTGAAGTAGTACAGAGAAGGAATTATTTGGAAGCGTTCCAAGGTGAGGTCTCTTGGTGTTAGTGTGCTGTGCCAGTATGAGTGACATTGGCACCGATTCGAATATAGGCTCTCTGATAAAGTCAAACATCAGTTTATCCGCGCTGGAAGTTCAGATAAAATTTGGGTCTTACCGAGAGGTTAGCGCTTTAGCAGCGATGAAGGCCTGAAGGTGAGTGCAGTTACTGGCCTTAGGCGCCGCCCTCCATCTATATATACCCCCATGATGGCAGCTGTACATTGCGCCCGGAATTCTTCCATCACATCGCTTCTCAGTTCACAGCCATAACTAAAGTCATTGTCAGTCACAAATCACCAATCAAACTTCCATTTCCCACCCAACGATGGGCGACGAAACATTCAAATTTTGTCGTCTGTTCATCAGTTTCGCTTTGCACGTGTAGACGTTTACGAGGACCACACCTCTTCGTCCCATTACATACATCAAAATATTCTGAGTGCGCACACACGCGTTGGTTACAGAGAAGTGGATATTTCAGGAACTCTTTGTTCATTCACTACGTCACCTCCGATCCTAGATCAAGCGCTCATCCATTCCAAGATCGTCATTGATACGCTAGAAGATTGCGAATAGAAACACGATGTTTCGTGACTTGTACCCGCAATGCCTGTCGACACCAGCCTGAACTAATCACAAAAGGCCTCCGGTGCGCGGTCGAAGGTGAGACGGTAGGTTAGATGGCCAAATAATCGCATCTAGATGAGGAAGCTCTGGTACACGTAAACGACAACGGTAGCACCAGCTAGTCCGGGCATCGAGGACAGCAATTAGCTCTGGAAGTCCTCGGACATAAGTACAGACTGTATGAGAACATATCAGAGTCATACATGTTATGGCATGCACACCACTGGTTTTGACAAGTTGAGTTGTTGCTGCTTAGTATGATTATCGATACCCTACTCAAATCCACCAGCATCGCCCGCGCAGAACGAGAGTCCGAAACGTGCACTACCACCTGGATACATTTCATGTGAGCGTGGTTTAAAATGTGTTAATGTACCATCGAGCAGTTTCTTGAGACTGATTCGCATTGTTCAAGTTACCTAACATGTAGTGTGCCACACCGTGATTGTATGACTTTATGATAGACGTGACAGTAGGATGAAGGACGAGGCGGCGTAGAGGTCTGTAACTTACTGATCAATCAATCTCACAGGCTCTAACGGGTCTACTCGTCATCATGCAACGGGTTTGTACATGCCAGTACGCCTGTGGACTAAATTCACGTATTCATTTTGTGCAGGTACCTCGCCATTCCTCAGTGGGTGTTGTCAGTGGCTTTTACAGGTGGAAGTAATCACCGAGTGCTCGCTCTTTAGCAATACTCGCGTGATTAGGTGCACTCAGACATGAGATTCCAGGAGTAACTAAATACGTCAAGAGCGCCACAAAAACATTTTGATTTTCCAGTGGCGTTATGAGTTCAACGTTCCACGCAACTAAAAGTCTCAAATAGCCTCGCATCCGTCAATTACGATACTGATTTCATAAAAGCAGCGGATGGTGGTATATGTACCGCAAACGCCCTACTCATACATCCACCTTGAAATTCTCCCCGTGCTCACACCCCCTCTCAAACAGCATGACCTTGGTCTCAAATGATCCAAGTTGGTGGCCCTTCATTGTTTCGACTCGCATTTCCAGCTATATCGTAGGTTCGTGAGGAGCTGGATGACGACCGTGATGTCTCGAGCTGACATTGGCTCGGCTTTGCAGTTGCTTCCTCGGCTTTGGTGATGTATGATTGGGGTGAGCAAGATAGTATTCCAGAACCGCTTGTGTCCTTACAGTCTCCGCAGCACTGACTTTTGGACAAGAGGTAGGTTGATTCATTACAAGAGGAACCATCTCACTTAGAATGATTCCTACAGATCGAACTGGTCTGGGTGAGCGAAATCTCAAGCCACGACTACGATACAATGACAATTTATTTGTAACAGAAGCAACACTGCTCCCTTATGACCGTCCTTTATCTGAGTGTATGTAGTTTGTGACATACGTGTGCTTGGTGGATCGTGCTGACTTAACAATATCCTAGGTGCGCTACGCTGGAATTTTTCAAGCCGCGTATGTTTAGAGTGCTAAAAATTGGTATTGTTCTAATCAAAATCTCTCGCAATCAGCGTCCAGTTTCTGAGTATGTCTCCTCACACACGCCGTGTTTCTTTCCTCTGACTGGCGGCGTACAGCCAATATCCCGACGATTTTTGGGACGGATGTAGTGAGTTCTCTGCGCTAATTCCTGCCATTTGCATTCAACCAACTGCGCTGTCATGTAGGAGTGAGTAAGATTCTTGACCAACGTTTTGGTTCGATAACTTATAATGACTGCCACAGCTGTGAGCTTGTTTCGAACTCGTAATTCTTTGCGGCTGATCCCGAGCCGCATTGGTCAGGTCTGGTTATGTACGTTGCAGCAACTTGGATAATTTTTGTTGCAAATGCAATACTAGCTGGTGAGTCACGCAGCTGCATTGTCTCGGTGATGTTGACCTGACCGAAACATTTCACAAGTCATCATGATCGCTCGGTTATATGCCATGTATCAGGGATCCAGAAAGGTGCTGATGATTCTCATTGCCATCTTCCTGACTGTCTATATTGCCGTCGGACTGGTCTCCGGGATAAGCGAAGGGCACAGTTCGATCAGTAAGCTTAATACTGGATGGATGATGCCAGGCTCATGACCAATACCAGAGGAGCTCATACTTTCTGGCACCCACCAGTACATTCTTCAGGAGGAGGAACGCAGCCTGGTGCTTATGATTCTCGTGGTTTGTATACTTACTATGTGTGAAGTCATCGCACTTTGTTTTGCACTCTGGATTGCGGTAAAGCGCTGCCGTGAATTACGACGATACTCTGCAGGAGGCTTTGTCGAGGGCTTTTTGGGGGCGTTAATGAAAAGTCATATTATTCATTTTGCGAGGTGAGCTCATAATGGCAATTTTAGGTTATTCGTCCCCTGAAGGTTCGCGCGTATCAGCTTTGTTGTTATGTCTTGCTTCCAGCTCGGGTTATTATCCCACAGGATCACAGGGGTACGTCCATTTGTTACCGAACTCTGCATGCAAGCACGGTTCATCATTTCTACAGGACCCATATTTCCTTGAATATCGGGTTTATTCTGGTCTTTCTCAAACTTTCTCGCTTTTGCAACTGTTTGTGCTAGGACCACGTCTGATCATTGACGTTCGAGAATATCACGCAAAGCTCATTGCTGACTCCGATGCACCAATCGGCATGACTTCAATTGCTTTCCGGGAGCGCGTGCACGTGTCAACTAGCAGTACTGTGTAGCACGAGTGATTGACTGTTGTTGGGTACTCTGCAGGGCGTACCGTAGCCAAATAGTATCATAGTAGTAAACTAAGTTGGCGAGAACGGCACCGGAGGAATCCGTTTTGAGTTTCGGCGGCACTACTAGTCGCATGCACTAGTAGTTTCAAGTCGTGCTTCGCTTGAGTCACTGTGGTTTTGCATATTCGCGACCACCCGTAGCTAATTTTATTCAATCGAAAGTCCCACCCCCGGCCGACTGACTTTCCATTTCTATTTAGCTTCGTGTAACAGCCTCGCTTCCATCAATTACGATGCTGATATTGCTCATATAAAGCAGCGGATGGCGCTATATCATTGTGGCCCAAACACTTTACTCAGGATAACACATTCACCTTGAAGTTCACCTCACACCCCGGCCCCTTCTTAAACAGCATGATTATAATCTCAAATCATCCAAGTTGGTGGCCGTCCGTCGAATCGTATCGCATTTCCAGCTATATTATAGGTTCGTGGGGAGTTGGATGATGACCGTGATATCTCGATCTAACATTGACTCGGGTTTCGCAGTTGCTTCCTCGGTTAGGGTGATATATGATTGGGGTGAGCAGGATAGCATTCCATAACCGTTTGTGTCCTTACAGTCCCCACAGCGCTGACTTTTGGACGAGAGGTAGATCGATGCTTTTTTTGTTTAAAAAAAAAAAGAGGAATCATCTCACTCAGAATGATTCCTACAGATCGAACTGGTCTGGGTGAGTGGAGTCCTAAGTCATGAGAACAACATACTACGATACAATTACAATTCGATTCTTACAGAGGCAATGCTGCTCCCTTATGACCATCCTGTATCTGAGTGTATGTAGTCTGTGTCATATGTGTGCCTGGCGGGTCGTACTGACTTAACAATATCTAGGTGCGCTACGCTGGAATATCGTACGCTGTGTATGTTCAGAGTGCTAAACATTGGCGTTGTGCTAATCAACGATCTCTCGCAATCAGCATCCAGATTCTGGGTATGACTCTTCACATACGCCCTGTTCCTTTCCTCTGACCAGCAGTATACAGCCAATGTTCCGACAACTTTTGGGACAGGCGAAGTGAGTTCTCTGCTAATTCCTGCCATTCAGATTCAACCAACTGCTTTCTCATGCAGGGGTAAGATTCTTGACCAACTTCTTGGTTCAACATAATGACTGCCACAGCTGTAAGCTTGTTTCGAACTCGTGATTCTTTGTAGCTGATCTCAGACTTGGAAGGTCGGATTATGTCCATTCTAACAATTTGGATTAATTTGATCGTACATGCAAAACTGAGTGGTGCGTCATGCAACTGCAATATCTCGGTGATATTGATATGACTGAAACATTACACAAGTCATCATGATGGCTCGGTTATATGCCATGTATCAGGGATCCAGAAAGGTGCTGATAATTCTCATTACCATCCTCCTGGCTGTCTACATCACCGGCGGACTGGTTACCGCGATGAGCGAAAGCAACAGTTCATGGGGTAAGCTTAATTGTGGACGAACAACACCAGGCTCATTGACAAATACCAGAAGAGCTCACACTCTTTGGCACCTGTCAGTGCACTTTTGACGAGGGGGCCGGCCCACTTCTGATCCCCACCATTTTGATACTCGGTACTGTATGGGAAGTCGTTGCACTGTGTTTTGCACTCTGTGTTACTGTAAAGCACTTTCGTGAATTGCGACGATACTCGGCAGGAGGCATGGGGCTTTTTTGCTGTGTTAATGAAAACTCACATTGTTTACTTTGCGTGGTGAGCTCATAATGTAATTTTTTGGTTATTCGTCCCTGAAGATTTGCGCATGCCAGCTTTGTCGTTGACTCGTTGTGTCTTGCTCCCAATTCTGTCAGATGTTCCCCAAGGCCGTAGTGGTAGGTCTATTTTTGTCAACCTCTGTATACAAGCACGATTCATCATTTCGACAGGACTCATCCCCCTTGGAATATCTGATTTATTATGGTGTTTCTCAACTGGTTGTGCCCTGGCTATTGTTTATACTAGGACCACGTCTGATCCTTGATGTTCGAGAATATCACGTGAAGCTCGTTGGCAACTCCGATGCTTCAACTGGCATGACTTCAATTGCTTTCCAGGAGCGCGTGCATGTGTCAACTAGCAGTAGTGTGTAGCATGAGTGATTAACTGTTGTTGGGTACTCTGCAGAGAGCAGGAGGGTTTCTTTGGTCAAAAGCTTCATTGTGACTTATTTTAATATTTATCAGATCTAGACAAGCGAGTGCACATCTTGCATCACTGGTGCAGCCAACGTCTATCTACCACAGCACTTTTCTTGGTGACTTAATGCGCCGCATATGCGATTGGCATCCCCATGAAGACGGCTTTCTTGCCGTGATAATACAACAGTACGAGTGACGCAGGAATGGCGATATTCGAGTACGAGACATGGGGAACTGGAAAACGAGTGTTGAATTCGGAGGATCACCTGGAGCATGCTTCCGGGAGATTTTTTCACTCCTGTGTACAGTACTTGGTAACATCGTCCTATTTGACAAGTTTTGAACTAACGCATTGCAGCGCCTCAAACATGATTTCTACGACTTGATCTGTCCAGGATGTGTTTATGGTGTTATTGGTTTCCAACATAACATGGTTAAATGAGCATTGACCAAGTACAAATGCTAGAGTTTAGAAAAAACGTTGAATGAACGCCATGGTGTGGATTAAAGACCGGTATTAGGAGCGATATCGGTTGTGTCTCGTGCCTCCAACTAGGGTGAGCTGTAAAAGTATCGCCAGCTGTTTCCTCTATTAGCACCCCTGCTGAAAAGGCTCTGCTTCGACATTGTTGAAGTAAACTTCCCACACGCTAGAATTAGGATGCCAGTGATCGGTACCCATTTGACAGAGATTGAGTTTTTAGTGCATATGAAGAGAATGACAGACGATAGAAAACAAATCTGTTCATGCTGCAGGGATCGTCTGGGTCAATCGCTCCTGAAAATGAGTAGACGCCATGACGTGGCTGACGTACTGGAAGCTGCCGCTTCTGCTGAGGGCATAGAGGACTCTGTCTATCCGGCTGCCTGCGCCGTTTGACCAGGGTCTACAGGCAAGCCAGAATGTATCACTGCGGTAGGAAGGTGAACTGCGGGACGCTGTGGGTCTGACGAGCAGGGAAGCGTTTGTTAGAGACTGTACTGCGCGCGGAAAAACGTATTGCAGCTCCTGTCCGTACCGAGCTCAAGTGTATTCTCCTTTCAGACACATGTTCTTCATAGGGTTTTTTTCCGTTCGCTCAAGTCCATCATGCCAAAAATGGCTCGGGGCTGATGGGATAGATAATCAACCGGTGCTGCGCTGGGCACCAACGTTTGGCCGAGGGTGACGAAATGATATTATGGGTGAGATGCATTAGCCTTGAACGGTACGCATAGCCGTTCATTCGGTTTGGTTTTGGGGTTCAAGTTCATTATGCCAGCACGCCGATGCAACTCGAAAACGTGGTGGTGACTTCAGGTAACTCCTGATAGCTCCATGGACCCACAGAATTTGATGGATGCGCGTGAAAAGAAGTGCGGTATCTATGCGATCTGATGGATCGTGCCACCACGCTGCTCCACTGCTCAGGAAGGAAAATCAAGGAAAATGAGCGAAAGAAAGCAGAAACAGACACGCCATTGCAAACGAGACCACACACAGGAAAGGTATAAAAGTCTTCGTATTGTCAGCGAACAGGCAACAAAAGTTATCCTGATAAACCCCCAAAGACATTGAACATACCAATCTATCCAGCGCAATATCATGTACACCGTGAGCATTACTTCTTCCACTGCATCCACTGCATCGTCATCTTGACCTTCGTTCACAGGTCACTGAAGTCCCTGTCTCTCAGAACTGCGGCTCGAACACCTGCGCGGGCGGCAGCTCGTGAGTCGCGTTGGAATTGTGCTTTGTATGACGTCTGTCTGATTCGGAAGGTGCAGGTGCCAATGCAAGCCAGGAGAGTGCAAGTGCTGAGCACTCAGCACGAGTACTAAGCGAGTGGAGCTCTCGCACGAATTATATCAGCCTTGGCGCTTGATCAGAAGAATGGCCGTATTGTTAGGATATTTGTAACTTGTAGGAAGTTATGGTCATGAAGAAGTTGAAGTTTGAATTTGGACACTAACGTGGATGGTGCGAAGTCGCAGTGATGGGCCTGTGCATGTAGAGACTGCATAGACGGGCTGGTCACCAGTCTACTGTGCATAAGTGATCGTTGTTTCAGGCGCTTCCATCAGGAAAACATTAGTGATGTGCTCATGCAAATGATATACACACACCGGTGTAACGTTGAAACAAGCTGTAGCCTCAATATCAATTTAGCTGTGTTCAAAGTGGCCCATGTCTATAACGGACTTGGGCGGACAAAAAGTTTTCGTGGTTTTCCTTGAAACCTCCAAATAAAGATTTCACATTGCTTTGATCCACATTTTTTTTTCCAATCTGTCCAAAACCTCTTGCATAACCGCATGGTGCGAATGATATTTGTCACTGAGAGAAGTCCGATACGATCTCACTAATTGTAAATATCAAAGTTGAACTTCACGGACACCGATGTGCATGGCTGATGGCACATCACAGTGCACATCGCCTTGCACGGGCCCGTTGGTCGACATATACCGCCACAAAGCGCGCGTCACTGATTCACTCTTCAAACTTGTACAATACACAAATTGCCACTGTAAAAGAAGCAATGGCCCTTGCCTTCTTTATGTGTCGTAAGCTGGTTGGGAGCTGATCAAGCACGATCTCTGGTGGGCGTTTGAGACCCCGTACATGAACCTTCTTCCTGATGGTTTCACAGATACTGACAACGCCCCAGGTCTTTGCCTGATGTGGACTAGCATCCATCAAGGTTCGATACCAATGCTATATCACTGTACATCTGTATGGAGGCAAGCGTCCTGCATCACGATCGGGCCTTGGTTGCATTTTTAACTTATGCCCCACATAACGCCTCAGCCACTGACATACAGGTATCCGATGGCGCCACTGGTTGCTGACTTTGCAACAGTGGCGGTAGGTCATGCGTAATCCAAGCCGCACGGTTGCCTCTATACACACGGTACCAAGTGTTCATGGATGTGCTAACCGAGCTCGGATACTTACCAATGAAGCTCAGCCTTCACATAAAAGCATGACAAGATTGGTCGTAGCATTTCAAACCTCGCGTCTCAATATCCCATGATGCAACCACTCGTCCTGTATGACATTCTCTCCGAGTTACCAGGCAATAAGTTCTCACCTAACCCTGCAAAGCCGAGGTCAGTAATTCATGTTCTGTATGCCATACTTTGATATCTGACCAAAGTCTACTGCACTCAGGTCTGTTTTGAGCTACAAGGATCTTCCATTCGTGACTCTCTGGGTCGAATACTCAGACGTCTCCATCGCTATGAAGGCCATCGGTGCAAAGCCAACCAAACGCCGAGGCGGCTCGGATGTCTATACCGTCCCCGTCCTCAGCGACCCTAACACTGGCGTCCTCATCGCTGACTCCCTCGAAATCGCCTGCTACCTCGAAAAGACATATCCTGAGAAGCCCATCTTTCCCAACAACTCAGAGTCCCTGATACGCGAGTTCGACTCCGCCCATTTCAGACTCATTCAACCTGCTATTAAGTCTATCTTCGTACGCACCACAGAAATATTGAGTCCCATCAATGCCAAGTTCTTCATTGGAGCTCATTCTATAATCTTCCCGCTACCTTGGGATGCAAATTACGACGAAGACTGGGTCCTACTAGAGAAGGGGTACAATACTGCGTACGAATGGTACCAGAAGACTGACGGGAAGTGGTTGATGGGCGACACTTTTTCATATGCAGATATCATTGTTGCTTGTTGTTTGCTGTGGTTCAAACGAATTCTGAAGGAGGATGAGTGGGTCAGGATATGTTCTTGGAATGGGGGGAAATGGGCTCAAGTCCTTGCAGATGTTGAGAAGGAGTGCAAATTGGCGTAGAAGACTGCGTATAGTATAGCATTTGTTACAGAGATCCTTGAAACAATGATAAGCTCCTTCGGCAGGTCAACCGAAACCATCATTGTAGTCATGAATACATTGAGCCCGAGCTGGCTCACTGGACTCGTATAGCGAAATCGACACCAAAATCGCAGCGGCACCGGTACTCGACTCGTTTCTCTCGGTGGCCTGCACAGGGTCTACCTCGCAAAGTGGTAGTGTATCGATTCGACATGCGGGCTAAACGATGACCTTTACTCACATGATAATTAGTATACTGAAGCCAATGAGGTGAGTATTATGACACGAGTAACAAATACTGCAAGCGGGTCGTACTTCGTAGAGTACCTCAGCCCTGGACGGAAGCTGCCGCACAAACAAAGTCCGAACTTTCAAGTTCATTCCCAACGAAAAGGGTGACCCAGCCATACGTATCCCTCCGCATGTTTCTCTTCCCTTACTCGCATTGGTATATTTACGTGTGAGGGTACCGGTTCCTGAGTGGTTGCTACACAATAGCTCGCTTTCGCTACTTCCTCGTAATTTTATTATCCCTCATTGCACCATAGTACTACCGGAAACCGGAAACCGGGTTCAAAGGAACTATTTTGGAGAGTATCGCCTCTCTGTTTTTCAAAAACCATCTTACGATTAGGACGTGACGAAGGTGATGTTCGGACTTTGTTTGTGCGGCAGCTTCCGTCCAGGGCTGAGAGTTCTCTACCGGAATTTCGGAAACCAGGTTCAAAGGAACCATTTTGGAGAGGTCTGAATTAACAGGCCTTACGAGTATCGCCCCTCTGTCTTTCAAAAACCATTTTACGACTAGGACCCTTTGAACTCCCTCACAAAGGTACAAGTTGAGTATTTCCCTTATCACGACGTTCCCTTTACACTTGCGACAACGTCCCCGCTGTTCGCGTCACCATGACTCAAACCGTTCCGAAATCACCAGGCTAATAGGCACTGCCTTTACTAAATAACGTCAGTCGAATCGTAACATGAGATAGAGAACCTGATCCATATGCATCATAAAGGGACATGCACACATCACATTGGGGGTTTCAACGTTTTACCTGTAGCAATATTTCAATCAAAAGCAGGTCTGGACCTGGCCAGAGCACTCTAGAATACCTCTCAAACGTGATTTCACCAACGGCAAAAGGTGGTAAAATGCCAGTCTCCGCGCTGTGTCAATTTTTATCATGTATTTGTCACCTCTCACCGGAGCGGGAATGGATGTGGGAGTTTCGTCGTGCAGGCATGAAAGAGAGGTATTTAAATAACATAGCCTTATCGCAAGTTCAGCGAGACAGCATGAGTCTATTAAAAATTCCCTTCATTGTAGCTTCGGCCACTGGCACGCATATCTCGATGACTTCTTCAACTCTGCCCCCTTCATCTCAAGAAAGGGTGGTGCCCTCGGCATCCGAATCATTGATTCAAAATGTAATTCTAGGTCTTCGGATTCCAGGCTTGGTCAAGGTGTGTTTTTCCTGCATATCGATGTTTATCTGTATGGATCGGTGGACAATATAACAGATTATCATATGGACGATATCATTTGTTGAAGTGGCCAACATACTGGTCATGCATATCGATCCCTCGCAAATTCCAGAGGGCATCTATGGCGCTAACACTGTGCGCTTTTTGCGCACACTTCACCCCGCACCAATCACTCCCGTTTTCCTCGCTGCCAGTCTTTCTGTAACGCTAGGCGGTATGCTTAGGCGTTATTGCATGTCGACCTTGGGAAAGTTCTGGAGCTTCCATCTCAGCGTCAGAAAAGAGCACAGGATCGTGACAAGTGGGCCGTACTCTATCGTCCGCCACCCAAGTTACACTGGTTTGTTCATTCAACATATTGCGTTTTGGATCATGCACGGGAGCGAAGGGTCGTGGATAAGGCAGTCTGGCATTCTAGAACTGCCTTACATTCGAGGATTAGCAGTGATTATGTTCTTCGTGACTACAGCGGGCGCTTTGACTATGTTCAAACGATGTTCAGTGGAGGACAAGATGCTGCAGCGTGCTCTGGGAGAGGATTGGGAGAATTGGGCGAAGAAAGTGAAATATAGATTACTTCCTGGGGTTTATTGACGACATAGGCGCTGAATGCTCTGCTCGCAATATCTGCTTGGTGGATTGGTGTCGAGTATTTGATTTTCTTACCAAAATCCCATTGAGCTCAATTTAATCGAGAAATACTGGCGTGTTGCGAAGGCATCAATGGCGTCCAATGGCTTTTAAATTTCATGATTGACGAGTGACTCTGTAGATCACATGACTTCTTCACTTGGTTACTAACTAATTTTTTCTTCTTTTATTCCAGCCATTTCGCTCGGAGCATTCACTGCAGGTACCATTAGCGTGTCGACTATATCGAGACAAACGGACAGATGCGGCAGGAGTGACAGTTGGTGTTTTGTTTGGAGTTGAGAAGGTCGTGTGTACAAAGGTGCGTTATCAACTTATCATCATTAGTGCTTTACAGACGAAGGACCTTAGGCAGCTGGCTGTCACTACTGCGTCTGGTGCCATGTTGCATTGCGTTCCACCCTCACCTATAGTAGTGTTGTGGTTGGATTCCCAGACCCTATATACAACTTACTACCTGCGGGACCTGCAGAGGCTGATTTGGAAACGCGCGTGGACGACAGCTCTTTTTGTGCACGCTTATGTCCATTTCCTACGTCTGGCGACAGGATGATAGTTCCCCACCAACACGTTCTCGAATTCCTCCCTAGGTCAACTTATTCCATGTTGCATCTGCAGCTGTCGGGGACGTCGGTCCGTACGGACTGTGGCTGCGTACCCTTTGATCCGAGCTTTACTTTCGCGAGAATCCTGCCTTTCTCCTAACATTAATATTATTCTTTCACGGTTGTTGCATGTACGAATTGCCGTTCGCGACATAATATGATGAAACACGGAGATACGTTAATGGCGGTCACTTCCTGTGCTTAATTGTTATCCGTTTGATCTTTCGTACGTCTCCCTCATTGTGCCCCTCGGTTGTTATTTCCTACGAGGTAGTAATCTGTTGAACGGCTCTTTCTTAGTCGTGACCAATTCATGTCCTCATTGGCGTGCCCGGAGGATAGGTCCTCAATGTGTGGATCAGAGCATTTCTTCGGAGAACGTGGGTGATGATCGCCGTGGTTAAAAAAAACCTTGTCTGGGTGATGCCTTTCCATGCAGGTACTTAACATGTTCTGATGCAACCGGAGCTGCAAGTCTCCCGACTGCACAAAGGTGAGACTGCTTAATAATGCAGTATCATACAACGTGGTCATCTTTCCCCATATTGATGTCTGTGCCCATGTCCACGGGATGTTGCATTGCCTGGATCGTATATTTTATAGATGACCTATAGCTAAGCGAATTATCGCCATTAACCAGTATGACAGCTTCGCAAGGGTCTGAAGCTGAACTGCTTCAGTGGTCAAAGGTGAGTACAACTTCTGTAATCGAGTCAATCCTAGATGACTGACGTCTCGTCCCAGTACTATTATGGTGCGCATCTTGCTCATTTTATCAGTCGCCGTGGATTTATGTTTCTTGTCCTGTTAGTTGCATTAACATCGTTTTGGGTGAGCTATAGAATTTATCATGACCTTGCAGATACTCATCATTTTTCTTTATCAAGATATACGACTTCATACTTTGTATACCTGACTCGGCAAGTGGAACTTTACTTGAACGCCCTATGATATATGCTCTGAACTTGGATGCAGGTCGCTTTTATTCTAGATTCTCGGCGCGGGCTCGGCACATTGATTTATCTCAAATGCAGTCTCTATCCGTCTGTATTCATGCTACTGAATATGCTTGGTGAGCATTGTATTTACACCTCCATATTGTCCTCAGGGTGTGATATTCTTTAGTGACTTTTCTGCCTAGTGGCTCATACACTGTATGGTCAAATGTTGCAGACGCGTGAATTTAACTCATACCCCCCGTTGTAGCTTTGTCGTTGGATATATATAACAAACATATGTGGGCCCACCGATGGTCTACCTCGACGCATACTGACTCTGCATCTAACACCTCATTAGTTGTAGGGTTTATGACGATGCTTTATGCCGAGTGTGGGTTCACCGATTGGATTAATTGTTACTGATCCTGCGTTCTAACATCTGCACGAATTCCTGATGGTTCAGGCATCTTCATACTTAGAAAAATTGCAGTATGGGAGCGGGAGAGAAATTTCATGGTGTTCACAATCATCAATATCATTGTGAGACCAATACAAGGAGGCTGCAGTTGATTCTAGATAATATGTCTGATTCATCCTCTGCAGGCCATCGTACTTCCGATCGTGGTCTGCTTCTTTCAAGAAATCGTTCCGTCAATGGGTGGGTATATTTCTCATAGCATTTACCTGCTCAGCTCACAACCTCTGATTTATTCATAAAGGAGATTGTCCGATCCCTGGGGGCGTCAGATATGTGGATACGAAGGCAAAGTATTCAGTGATTGCCGTGTACTGCTTGCTAGTTGTTGGCGAGTTAGGTCGGTATCGAGAGTTACTACTTAAACATGAACTTGAACTGACCACTGGCACATGCCTCTGTATGCACGCTCTTTCAGAATTATTGCTGTTCGTGCTGTATCGCGCCTTCAAGAGCCATGGTGGTTGGAAGATCAAAAACCGTCTTATGCGTAGTCTCATGCATCATAATTTATTGTACTTTATCTGCAGCTTCGGTTCGTGCCCAGATCATTCTCGAACATATATTTACTTACTGAATGGCACAGCTTTCTCTCTTGGTGTCATCCTCGCCGCAATCTTTCTTCCGGTAAGTCGTCGTGCACAATAAAAGCCCCCATTAACGTGAGATGTAGTTTTTGGTGTTGCACATGATTGCGGAGTTCGTCTAATCTCGCTTGGAGGAAGCGATAATTACTAACTCTGCAGCAGGACTCAGGTCGTTGTTCTATCTCTCTTAGTCACACGGATGCACAGGGACTTCTGGAGATCAGATCGTGTTTCTTGTGGTGACGATGGAGTGGATATCTCTCTCTCAGCGTTCATGGCAGCAACCCCAGATGTCGCGTGAGTGTTACAGTAATTGCCCCTTCAAAGCATCGTGCAACTAATATACGATCGATCGAGGAAAGATTTTTAGAAAATACTAGTAGACCTGATCCCAGCGATGCATAGTGCACATAGGTGGACGCTTAAAGGCATCGTATTATGCCTACGGACTACGGACTAATTCAATGTTTTGAGACCCAATACATGATTCCACTATTTAGTATGCAGTTCGTCTCCTGGCTCTGTTCCATCAGGAAAACGTCTGGATACTTACATCACTCTTAAAGTGCCTTATTTAGCTTATTTACGACTTTAAACATTGCTTGAAATAAGACTATTAAGTAGGTCTATCTCCTTAAAATAAGGCCAAATGGCATTCAAGGCGAGTAAGCAGCACAAAAAGAATATATTAAGGTGTCGTAGATAGCCCAACATAAGCCTAAAATAAGGAGATGCACGAGTTTAAGGGAGAGCCTGGAGAGGTATATATCGTGTCCATATCATGCGATAGCTAGGAGAAACGAGCTGGGAAAGCAGGGTATATATGCAAGTCATATTGTGTGATAGCTAGGAAAAACGAATCAGGGAAGCAGGGTACTATATGTGAGTTGTCTGAGCTACCAATGTTGAATGAATGAATTCTGATAAACAAATATTAGCAGATGAAGAAAAATACAAATAAAATAAAATTACAGATGCGCAGGTGGGCGTGCTTGTTAACAGACTGGGAGGAGCCACTCTCATCCACTACTGAACAATAATTGTGATGTGGGTGTTTCATGTACTCTTCAGCATGAGTAAGAATCTCCTGGATACGTGAGTATGGCAGTTCCTTGATACTTTCCATGTACACCTTAGTGTCCATCTCCCAGTTCCCAGAGGAGAATGCCATTCCTGTGTGACTCATCTTGTTCATGGCTTCATTGATTGTTTGCAGAATCTTGTGAGTCTTGCCACCATTGTTGGAGGGGTCGCTATCAATCAGTAGATGACCTTGGACGAGGACAAGAGCACGCTCAGCTTTCAAGATTACTGGTTAATATTCTGCTGACAGAGCAAAAGGAAAAAAAAAAATTGAGCACTTACTGCTGCGGCTGCAAGCACCAATGCAGTCACATATCCAGGCTTCCCAAACTGGACCAACACATCAACCCTCACTCTCCCAGATATTGCAGTGAGGTGGGAGGTGAAAATGTGTAATATATATTCTGATAAAAATGTGCTGGGTTGCTCTTCATTTTCAGGATCTTCATATATGAAGTTGCAGTCCTGGAGTTGATACTTGGTGTATTCCTTGTGGGCTTCCTGGGTCTCATACTCGGGTGTTGAAGCAAAAAAGGCCATTAAAATGCTGATGGCAGTTGAACAGAATGTAGCACACCACTCGTGAATCCTTTGGCACACCTGGGATGTCTGAATCAGCCATATGTAAGTTGAGTAAAAATTGAAAAAATAAACCAATTGAAATGTGAAGCTGTTGACAGAAAAATCACAAGGTCCTCAATGTGAATACACTACATAGAATATATTTTTGAGGACAGTCTTGAGCTCATTCTCTGGGATGGACCATCCATTGTCATCATTACCCACCCAGTACATCAAAGAGGGAAGGAATGTCATCAGGCATTTGACTCCAGTATGACAAAGATTTAACTACCTTTAGCTGATGCATAATAATGAAAATCTGTATCATAATTACAGACCACATGATAAAGCAATAGATAGGCAGGTTACACTGGTATAATCAGCCAATGCCAGAATTTTGACAGACCTATAGTAGCAAGTTATGATCTACTAGCACATTGATGACATTCAAATAATGGTGGCTGGCTTTATATGGGCAGGTTACGGTGGCAGGGCGGGCCACCCCAAACATAATTGTTACAGGCGACAGCATCCAAATAATGGTGGCTGGCTTTATATGGGCAGGTTACGGTGGCGGGGCGGGCCACTCCAAACATAATTGTTATGGGCAACAATGTCCAAATAATGGTGGCTGGCTTTATATGGGCAGGTTACGGTGGCGGGGCAGGCCACCCCAAACATAATTGTTATGGGCAACAATGTCCAAATAATGGTGGCTGGCTTTATATGGGCAGATTATGGTGGCAGGACAGGCCACCACAAACAAAATTGCTGGGTACAACAATGGGTTATAATGTAATGGCAAGTTGCTGGTATGTTGTCAGACTCATATACTCATACATGAACTGCTTCTAATGGCATATATTGACTTAATTGCTTAGACTTGAGCCCTACCCAGGCCCTCATCGTAAGGACAGAAATTTTGTTGCCCCAAACCGCTGCCGTGAATATTCTCATTCAACTCCTGTATACTCTCAGCGAGATGGTCCCTCATGCTCCAGGTACTATCGGCCCACCTACAGGCAATGCAAGACTTCTCCTGTCATGCTTAGCGAGGATAATTCTTATCCTGGACGTCCTGCTCACTCACACTGGCAAAATCATGCTAATGATTTCAATCCAAGGTTCCAAGTAAGGGGAGCTGGTGGCTCTCGTTACCAAGACAGGCCTTCATGGTTTTGCTACTAACATTGTTTGGGCAAGAATTGTGCTGTCCACTCATTCAACTTGACTTTGCTTGCCTTCCTTTGTTCATAGTAGCGCCTCACATTTTTGTACTTTGTGTACCTCATCAGTTGTCTCTTGTGCGGATGAAGCTTTGACAGGTAATTATAGTACTCTCATGTATCAGAACAAGACAGGTCATGTCTTTCTCTCTATTGTTGACGAATTTGTAATGCAATCATGTGTGCACACTACCAACGGTGGAAAATGTGTGAAAAATAAGTTTCCACACTATATCTGTGAGAAGGTTTGGTGACGACAATGAATGGCAACATCATAATTTATCATTACATGCTACACATCTTTTTCACCAAGAGGATCCACCTTCTCTTTCCCTGGATTTTTCTGCTAAAGAAAAAACATTACCCGAAAAATTAAAATGCAGGTTGGCAGGTTCAAACTCACACCGACAATAATATACCAGTTAAACTGTGATGTTATTTAATGACATGGACGGTTTGTATGACTGACTAGGCACAAGGCCAGCATATAACAGCATACTTAGGGTGAGCAGGAAGTCCTGGATAGTAGTATAGAGGTAGATGGGAGGGCCCAACCAGTGTAATTAGGGTGAGCAGGAATGCCCAGATGGCAGTAGAGAGGTATGTGTGAGAGCCCAACCAGTGTAATTAGGGTGAGCAGGAAAGCCCAGATAGCAGTAGAGAGGTAGGTGGGACAGCCCAACCAGTGTAATTAGGGTCAGCAGGAAGGCCCAGATAGCAGTAGAGAGGTAGATGGGAGAGCCTAACCAGTGTAATTAGGGTGAGCAGGAAAGCCCAGATAGCAGTAGAGAGGTAGATGGGAGAGCCCAACCAGTGTAATTAGGGTGAGCAGGAAAGCCCAGATAGCAGTAGAGATGGGAATACCATCCTAAAACACACCCACTAGGTCCTTTGCTAGCCACAAACACATAGACCTAAGAGGTCTATTTAAGTGGTTGACTGAAGTGAAAGACATGTATTTGATGGGCAGTATAACACATGATAAAAGAATAAAGGAAATTCATATATGCTGCAGCGAGCGTCTTAGTAAAAAGTGATGGAGAAATGGATGTCCCAAAAACACGACAGAGTTCATAATGATGATGGTGCTGACACGAGTCCAGGGGCTAGTAGTCTGTGCATGAAACAATCAAGATAACTATACGGAATGTGGCAAATAAAAACCAAAAGCTAGATAAAATTCACGACAAAAATAAAACCAAGGTCATGCAGATAGCGTAGACAAATGTTGGAACGTGACAAACCACATAATGGCGAACTACGAACCGTCCGTCGTAGTCGGTAAGTCGTCGAAGCAGGCAGTAGCCATGTACTAGCATTCCACGCACACAAAATTTCCGGATAACATCTAGCAAATTTCCAGCAACCTTGTCCTATTCTCGTATTTGTCCTTGCCTCCCCTCGTTCGCCTCACCCCCAAGAAGCACTCATCGCGGCCCGTATCCATATGCAGCTTGGGGGCCTGGCGATGCTCTACCAGCACCAATGGCAGGACTCGCTGACCGCCCATCAAGTGCGTAACCCATGGCCGCCTGCGGACCTGGGGACGCGCGACCTTGCACATCATACCCCATCTGTGGACCCGGACTCCTGGTCCGGGCCATTCGTGTCATCTGAATGGTCTCTGCAGTATGGCCGTCGGAGAAGCCATCACCAAATGTATTGGGAACGGGGCCACGATAGGGATCGTAGTAGTCTGCCTGGCCGTAGGTCCCGGGGTCGTCGTGGTAAGGTTGGTTGGGGTTGAGGTGTGGAAGGGGAGGGACGGCGTATGGATCTGGCGAACTTATATAGGTTTCAGGAAGCGAGTTGGCGGCTACAGAATGGGCGTATCCACCGGGACTGGGCGCGCGTGCGAGGTTCATCTCGGAGTCATTTTCCGCACCAAAACCTGACCGGCCCGTAGATTTGGTTGGCAATGCGTGAATATCAGAACTATGGGTGTTCAGTTCTGGCCACTTGATTGCTTCATCTATTGCAGTTGTTGAAGCGTGAGGTCATGATAGATTTACAAGTCACAAATCAGAAAACGCACTGTCATCAAAGTCTGCGAAGCGCTTCCTGGTGAACTTCCAGATAAAGAATGAGATGATACCAATGACTGCAACGCCACCCGCTACAGAAAGGCCAACAATGGAGCCCGTGCCGAGGCCACTAGAACTACTAGAGCTACTGCTAGTAGGAGATAATTGTGTGCTTGACGCACTCGCGCTGGCCGTGGGTGTAATGACAACAGTGCTGGTAAGTACCTCGCCAGCAGCATTGGTGGTCGTTTGTACTGAAGTGCTCAACGGAAGGGGAGCTGTGGTCGGGGTAACGGTGGGGGTGGCAGTAGTCTGAGAAGGTGGTGTGGAAGTGGCCTGGGTGGTAGTGGGGGTCGACGATGGGGTATTCGTCGTTTGAGTTGGGGAAGTGGTAGGAGGTGTCGAGGTTGGCGTCGTTGTTGGCGTCGTTTGCGGTGTTGTAGTTGTAGGGGTCGTGGGGGGCGGCGTACTTGTGGGGGTCGTGGTTGTGGCTCCCACGGGAGGTGCAGATACAGTTAGTTGGCGCTCAAGTAGCTGATGTGGAGCATGTGCAACTGAGAGCAAAAAACAAGATGCCACTGCAAGGAGTAGCAGACATCGCGATGTTGCGCTCTTCATTGCGCTCTTCATCGTGCGGGTTCAAGCGGACTGTCTATCGCGTGACACGAAAATTAATGGGAGGTCTCTATGATATTTTTTAAGGTTAGCACGTTGTATGAGGTATCGTCGATGCTGTTTGGAGGCGTGTCGTGCGGTGAATTAATGACAACACAGGTAAATGTGAATGAAAGGAAAGTCTGGTAAAAAGCAGGCGGCAACTGATCAATTTGATGAAGTGGCAGTGGTCACTCCGTCGTAACATCACTGTAACGGTGTGACATCTTATCAAACACGCAGCAAGAGAATTTATATCTATCATATATCAACACGCAGCAAGGTACAGAACAAAGCCTGTGCACACTGCGACATGCTATAAGTAGGTCTCCATCAAGCAAACACCTATCCTCAGTCTAATGACCTCCTTCCTAGCAGTTTCGCAATCTCTCTATGTTCTCTAAGCCAATCCGAAAACCCTCTCGTCTCCCTTCCCTGCATCTCCCGCAATTCAATGAGATAGTTAGCAAACACGATCAATGTGCCATAGCGATATCTATGTGTAGTGTGCGCGCGCGTCAGGTAGCTATGTGAATAGCACATGGAAACAACTCACAGGTAATTCACCGCAACGTTCATCAGCTTCCGTTGCTTCGCGCTTCCCTTTTCTAGCGCCTCCACCTTGAGTTTGTAACTATGCTCCCCATCAACGCCATCACAAGGCATGACACAGTCCTTTGACTCACTCATATATTGACTTGCGAAGATTCTGCACGTCTTGCATAAGATCAATGGCACGATCCGTCAGCCACTTTGCAATTTTGCCGTGAGACAAAACGCCGACAAGTTGCAATATAGTCTTGTACTCCCCTATCATAGCATAATGTTAGACGTGCAATACTCAAGCCTAACTGTCGATCAGACCTTGCCGGTAAGCCTGTTCCTCTGAAGGACCATCCATGGAGTCGTATTCAATAGAGTCGGGATCTTCCTGTCCGTCAATGTAGTTCTCTTCGCCCTGCCAATTCATCGTTGTTGATATCAAGCAGGCGGTGACCATCCCCGTGGTTGTACGACCACGGCCCATCTGACAATTGAATATGAAGTCATCCGCTTCTGAATATCCCGACCGGATACGTTCCAGTAACTGTGACAGAGCATCAGGTAACGGCGCTTGTTCGTCGGTCTGTAAACTCCCATGAGCGCTTGCTTCATATAAAACCCTAGTTCCTTACGATAGCAACTCGACCATAATTGATCTATCGTACAGAATCAGCAACGGCAGACATGAGCATTCAAGAATGTCGCGCTGACCTTGAACCCTTCCTTGGCCATAAGATCGAAAACATCTCTTGGGGTCATGATATCATCTTCTTCTACTGTCTCCCATATGGGAATGATAGAGAACACGCCAGGCCGCTCCTCAAGCTCATCATGTAGGAGGATACGTCCATCACCCATTCTGACCTCACGTATTACATCCTTCTTTAAACGTCCCTCCATAGCTTCCACCATGGCTGTTGTAACCCCAGTTGCTCTGCGCGATATCAGCTTGTTGACCCACGTGGTTCATAAGCACTCACTCTACGTTTTCAAGCGGTTTGTCCACGATCCGCAGAACATGCGGGCGGCCCGCGATATAGATGACCGGTTCCTGTGTCGCTTCAGCCATGATGAAGCAAACATCAACATTCCTAGCCTCACCTCTCGCAGGGATGTCCAGTACACCATGCTGTGACCTTGTGGATCAGCATTAACGCGTGCTAGCGCTCGACGCAAGCTATAGACACGACGCAGTGAAAGTTCGTTCCATCAACACACTACAAACCTACCCTTGAACTGTAGGCATTCCACTGTAGAGCAGAGTCAGCGAACGTCAAGTATCATCCCCCAGAGAACACACCTGCCACACAACATCTTCCCGTCAGCCGGTTCTACAGGAGAAGGCGCCCGAGAAGAAGCAAGCTTCAACGTCAATGGCACGCGACGGAAATTGGGAGAGCCTTCGATCCTCCTATACAAGAAAGTCATTTCACTTCACGCTTCATTGGACCTGTGGAAGAACGTACTCGGGGAGCGACATCTTTTGCAGGTTGGAGAAGAAGTCGCTCTTGAGAATGGTGGACGCAGAGAGAATGCTCCCAGATCGGTTTACTACCACTTGCTTGACCTCGTCGGGACGAGCTACACTCTCATTTACATCCGCACGCTCAAGTGGTTTGAGGGCGTGCAAGCCTTCTGCAATGAGTTCCTTCTCGAACGTTTTGATGACTATGCCATATTGAGAAGTGAAACACTTTAGCAAGGTACAAGAATGATATCCTTACCTGGACGATTCTCAATGAAACTCTTGAATGTCTCAAACGACTTCATCGTATCTGGCTCAGTAGATCGCAGATATGCCTGAAACAGAATGAGCTCGAAGTAACGTCGTAAATTGTGCATCCCTTGATCTGTTCAATACTAGGATAAAAAGGGAAAGTGTTGTCTTTACCTTTTGAGGCATGAATGCGCTTTTGCTTCTCGTCGGTCGCTTTCTCAGCCAAAATACGCTCGTCTTCAATGGAGTCTCGGAGATTCATCACGATCGCACATCGATCAATGACCTCGTCAACAGTGTTCTTAACTGCAGGACCCTTCCGGACGATTCGAAGGAGATCTATATCTCAATCTCAGCGGTATACCTCAGGAGGAAAGGCTAATAACGTACTATTGATGACTTGGTATGAATGGTGCTTATTTGCAGGCTCATCGTGAAACATATCAGAAGTCATCGACATCGACATCGACATCGAGCGAGGCGACCACTGAGAAAGCGCCCGGCTGTCATTCAGCCATTGTTGAATGAGGACAATCAATACCTGTGTTGCAAGAACATTACTGATAGCAGTCTTTGGCTTCCACCTGTACTCACCGAAGTTAGAGTGCTCCTTCCTCGCCCAAGCTGGCAATTGACGACCATAACCGTGCTAGAGGAGTCTGTGCGAAGGACAAGGTCCATGAGCTCACTGATATCCGCGAAATCAGGAGGACGCTCGGATGTGATCGGGATCCGAACATATTGGAGATCCAAGCCATGTCTAGATTTACGGGATACCATAATGTCCTTGAGCACTGCGACGTTTGAGGACTGTACTTCCTCCCATATTGGAATCACAGATCCATCTGGGGTCTCTGTGTGAAGAAGCAATCTTCATTGTATTTATGGGTATGTAAACTGTGATCTGGAACTGCGAGTAAACATTGACGCACCTTCCCTCAAATGCTTCAAGCTCTGCAAGGACATCATCTTTCAGGCGCTCTTCTAAGACTTCCAGTCGCAATGCAGAAATTCCTCCGTAATCTATAATAGTCCAGTCCTTCAGGAACAACATCAAAGCTAAAACCTGAGCGCGCAAACCTTTCATGTTCCGGAGGGAGAAACGTTCGCGCCTTAAACAGTAAGGCGCGCCATTGACGTAAACAATGGGCTCTTCTCTCAATGTTACCCACACAACTTTGTTTGCATCAGAATGTGCCACCTTGATACGATGCACCACCTCATCAATTGCGGATTCCGTTGGTTGGCCGCTTGCATATATGTTAGTCCCAGGTATGTTACGAAAGTTGATAGCCCCGCGGACTGAGTCCGAAACACGATGAGACTCTGAAAGCCACTGGTCCGACTTGAGAAGCGTGCTATTTGATAGACACAAGAAGTCAAACACATTGCAAACGCATGATGCTGACGTACCTGTCTCGCAAAATAATTCCACTCCGGTTCTGCAGCGATTAATAAGGCCAAGTGGTATGTGTCATTCAAAAAGCGAACCTTGACAACGTGGTCGCTATACTCATCGCCGAGCAACTGTCCTCCGGCGATCTCTACATCATTTTTCCGTCCAGCCACTAGAGATTTATCTTCTGTTCCTGATCTTGACAAGAGAGAGAGGTCGTTGACGGGCGCAAAAATATTGAGTCTCGAACCGTATGTCTTGCGGAGAAACATGACTTGACTGTAAACATGTATGTCGCCATTCGATGTTTAGTCACTATACGCTCAGGATAGCTTACTTCCAAATTTCTGTTCTCGCCTAAAATTAAGACATCACCGCGACGATCGAGGGACAGTCCATCGATTATAGAGAACGTACCTTCAGCCAATCCGAAAAAGTTATCTCAAAGTCCTTGACAGAATCAACATAGCTCGCGAAGGTGATCATGAAGAAACTATTGGGTAAGCGGTAGCAATTATCAGATGTTATAGTCACAACAAACCACGTACTATTTCTCCAGCGCTCTCCGAGCCTTGGATAAAAGATCCTCTCGTTTGCTTTCATCACTATCGGCCGTTGTGAGTGAATACTTGACCCTGTAGGTGAGGATTTCTTCTCGGAGATTGGTGACATGATCACCTAAGGAATCAAGACATGGTTAGCAGCCCACTCCCAATACATAACAACGTCATTTGAAGGCACGAGATTGAAGATGCTGGAATGAAGCATGACGGTGGACCTACATGCATCTATTACGCGGTCGACTAGTCTTTTAGCTTGTAAGCCGTCATCCAAACACCCGAGTAGACTTAGTATCACTCCATAGTTGCCTTGGTGTGCTTTGCGTAAGTTCTCCAAGAGCGTGGGTTGCGCCATGAGCAGGGCAATAACAGACTGTGAATGGAGATCTGCGAGAGATAAATCGATTTCTGAGATAAGACCGTAGTGATACGTACGTTGCTGCAATACATATGTCAGTCTTAGAAGTGACTTGTTTTGGTCTTGTTGCGCACTGGCATTTTCCAGCGCTTGAGCTAGCTTCATATCAGTGGTTGCCTTAGAAAATACCAAGTTCATCTCGAGCGTAATTAGATAACGTATAGACGCCGTACCTGATTTGTAGGCTGATAGAGATGTGTCAAGGGATTTGTACGAGAAAAAATTGCAAACTTACCGTACTGATGCCCGGGCTGCCGTTAATCTTATAGGACCCGCTAGCCAGAATGCTCAAAAAAGATGACCTACTCGGGTACGGGTCTTCTAAACCTCTGGCGAGCAGCATCTTCCTCCTGACGATGACGGCGGCAACCATGGCGAATGTAGTTCGGACGGCACCCATACCACAAGAAAACACAAGGGCACTTCGTACTGGATCTGTACTTGTGATGACACGTAGGTACGCATCTAGATAGTTGTCCTGAGTGATGTAAGCGGTAAAACTATAGTTGGAAATATGACGCGCTTACTTCAATGGGACGATCGGGGGATATAGGGATACTAAAGTAATAGATCAACGATGTGACCTGGGCGCCAAAACGCATAAACAACAAACCGGTGGTACTATGATGAAGAGGGTATAGTGTGAAACTTGGAATCAGCAGAATAGATGAAAAACAGATTAAAGCATACCTCTACATTCCATCCATCTGCACGCATTTCGTCCCACAGTTCTCGTGATGTTCTTACGTTGACCTTGCCAACATGAGTCCAGGTAGGTAAAACGGCACCATCCCCACTCTCGGCAGCTGCAACAGTTGACGTTTAACATCCGATGGAAGAAAAAAATATTGTGTTGCTCACGCAATTCATTGTGGGTTAATATCAGGCCGCCATACCTTGTCAAATATAATCAGTGCTGTCATCAACAAGCGATGTCGGATGTGTATTACTTTGTTGATTCCTGTAAAATGTCATTTTTCAAACGTTCTTCTATGGCTTCCAGATTTTCGGCGCGATCGGATAATGATAGGGTTCTTCTTGGTTCAGCAGAATCGCGCAAGACGAAGGGTCGTCCTGATATATACACTAAAAGAGACAAGAGAGACGGAACAAAGGCATCACCCAGAATTGTGAATATGATGGGAGGAATTTGATGTATCAAGTTTGGGTCATGTTGATAATCTGAGGATTGCGAGGAAAACATACCGATCGGTTCCTCCCGCGTAGAAAACCAAACGACATGAGACGGACTGGCAGTACCAGGGCGACAACGCAAGATAGAGAGAATCGCTCGTAGGCCCTGTGTGCGAGGTTGGGCAACTCCGAAAACGTTTGTGTTGCGTGATGCCCTGAAATTGGGAGCACCATGGACATTCAAATCGAGATCAAGAGCTCGGCCTATTAAACTCGGTGTGAACTAACTTCACAGAATCCAATGATAATCAGGCGAACCAGACGGGTAATGATCTGTTTTCAAGATGAAGCCTCTGGATAACACGCTTCCCGTTCTCGTTTTGACAACGGATGGTTCTGCTCGCTTCAGATTGTCCATGAGATCAAGAGGTGCGACAGCTTGTTTTTCTGTCATCGATATTGTCGATTCGCTTGCGACGCGAGACTTTCTGAGAGCTTTGATGTCTCTGGGTGCTAACTGGAGAGCTGATCGATCCACCAAAGGTACTGATGCTGGACGTTCGGTCCCATCGTCTAGTGGTATCTTCGGAAGCTGGGTGATGTGCATAGCGCTTACTTCGAATGGCACAAAGCGGGGAGCTTGGTTATCTAACATACGATGTGACCAGAGACTACTAGTAGCTGGCTGAAATGCCTCGAATCGAAGTCCACAGTGACTCACACGACTCGCATAAGGACGAGTCGTGTCGTCCACGTGAAGCGTGAGAAACATCATCAATGTTACTGCCAGTGGCTAAAATGAATGACCGTGAGGCAGACTAGCTAGTGGCGGAGGCTGGCTAGCCAGCCTAGGCCATTTCCGCGCAAGCTCGGCCGACCCTTCCAGTTTCCCTTTTCTTTTCATTTACCTTTCATCGACTTTGCGATAGCGCGAGGCTTCAGTGCTACCTAATGGGTACTCGAGTAACAGAGTTCAGTTGCGGTGGCTAACGATCTGAGACAAATCTTGAGACTTGCAAGTCTCATTACTCATTTCATACTAACAGTTAGGTTTCATTCGACCTCGTCGGCGTAGACCGAATGTGTCGTCTTTCTGTGACAATCATGCTACCGGCCACTCATTCGGCCAAATCAATGAGTCGCAACTGATAGTATGATCGTACGATTCGGGACAGCGGCTGATGTGACGGGACAATGTTCAACATAGGGTCTACAATCCCAAAGGACCAAACTCTGAACTAAAAAGAATCACAGGCTTGTTTCAAGTTAATGTCAAGTTTTCGAGTCTCCACCGCCTTTTCGCCACACACATCTACTTTGCCATCATTTCGGTTTTCATCTGCTATTTGTGTTCAAGTTGGCCATCGTAAGTGGTTGTTAGTCCCTTTAATGAAGTGTCAAGCCAAGGCTCAGGCAGCTGACAGCAGCACCACTGCAGGGACTCGCAGGGATGTCTCGTGGGAGGCGGGCGTTGTTGTCGCTGACGTATCTCTTTTAATACAAGTATGTATGTTCATATCCGCATGCTGTGCCAACAGGAAATACACAGATCGGGAAATCTCTTTGAAACTTGACCTAACCTTTCCTTCATCCATTGTTGTGAGTGCAAGCCGTCATGATAGGATCTGGGCACTTGATTGCCTGTCACATCCCAGGAGGGTATGGTGTTAATATGTTTGTGGTGGAATTTTTTCTAGACTCGAATAGGATGCTTCGAAGGTATTAAAGCAGCTTTTGAGGCGCAGATACTCACCATCGCTTGAGATGTCCCCCTCTCTCATGATCTTACAAGTTTCCTTTGCCACCATATGCCTCTTTCTAGCCGTTCACCAAGCTCGGCGGAAACCTTCATCCCATCCCTCCTTTCCCCCTGGCCCCAAGGGTTTGCCGGTGCTAGGTAACCTGCTCGAATCTCGACGGCAATCAGCCATGGATCAGCTTTACTCAGTGGGCATCGACACACGGTAGAGTCCATCAATTTTTCAAGAAACAAACCTCCTTACTTTTTTAAGGGAACATTATCTACTGGAAGCTGTTCGGACGGCAAATTATTGTTCTACAATCGCAGGAAATTGCCAAAACACTGTTAGACCATCGCTCTGGTATTTATTCTGACAGGCCACCACTCTATGACACAAGGGCGTAAGGGAACCAATATCCAATTTGCTATGTCTAAATTTGACGCTTCTCATAGTGTCGGATCTGAGTTTAACAGTGCCCAGTTAAGGTATTCTGACGAATGGAGGTTGCACCGGCGAATTTACCATCAATCATTCCGACCTGAGGCGGCAAAAGATTACTTACCTCTTCAACTTCGCAAAGCTCGCCAACTATTGCAGGGTATCATAGAATCCCCCGAGCACTACCAGCACCATATCGAACTGTAAGTGATATTTTATCCTTCGGAAAGCTTAATGACAAAAAATTGGTAACCCCAGCTTCGCCTCGTCCGTCATCATGTCTGCTGTATACGATTATGAGGCCAAGCCGAAGGACGACCCGCTTTTACTTGCCGCTGAAAAGGCGATCAAGGTGTTTTTAGAGGTATCAAGCCTCCCGATTCAAGTCATCCTGGAGACATTTCCGTTTCGTAAGTTTTTATCAGTCTACGTCTCCAGAAAGTTATCTCTGACTTAGCATAGTGCTGAAACTACCTTCTTGGATGCCCGGATCGGGTTTTAAAAAACTCGCTATCCAATCACAGAAGAATGCTTCCGCCATGGTCAATATTCCATTTCACTATGCACGAGAACGAACAGTAAGCACTTACGCCCAGATATGAATCAATCCTATCAACATAATGCGTAGATGGCTGCAACTTCGAATCATTGTATGGTTTCCGAGTCGTTTAAGCGGTCAGAAATGCACAGTAATGCGAACGAGTTCGAGCTTGCGTTGAAATCGGCTTCTGCTACAGCATTCATTGGTATGACACAGCTTATTTCCTAAGCGACAATACTAACACATGCTCGTATTTAGCCGGAGTTGAAACGGTCGGTCCTGCTTATTTATATTAACGCGTCTCTCACGAATTGACGGATAACCAGACTGCATCAACCCTCGCTGTCTTTGTTCTTGCAATGATGCTCTATCCTGATGTACAGAAACGTGCACAGGAGGAGATTGACGCGGTTTTAGGCAACCAACTTCCTACCTTTGAAGACCGGCCTTCGTTGCCATATGTAGAAGCAGTCTTACGCGAGACGTTTAGGTGGCATCCTGTGTTCCCTCTTGGTGGGTTGATCTCCTGCAGCGTATATTAGGACCTTGCACTTACATATAACACATCAGGTTTACCGCATTACACTTCAGACAGTGACGTGTACAATGATTATTACATCCCCAAAGGTCTGGTATTTCATACATTACATCACTTTCGCTGCTAACCATCACGTAGGCGCAATTGTTGTGGCAAATATCTGGTGCGTCGGAGTACTTGCTAACCTTGACTTGTATTGAGGCGATTACTACAGGGCCATGTCACAAGACGAAGTGAAATATCCGAACCCTAATGAATTCAAACCAGAAAGGTTTTTAATGGCTGATGGCAAATTAAACGACGACACTATCGGCTTTATTTTCGGCTTCGGGCGCCGAGTATGTGCTGGAAGGTACTTTGCTGATGCCTCCTTGTGGATTTCTATGGTGTCTTTGCTAGCAACTTTCCGTCTTATGAAACCATTGGACAACGAAGGCAAAGAAATAGATCCTGTCTTTAAATGGACCACTGGACTAAGTTCGTAAGTATCTTGTTCCATGTCATCATCTAATGGAGTACTGTGAGCTAACCGTTGAGGGCAGACACCCCGAATCTCTTCCTTGTCGTATCGTTCCCCGACACCCGGACATGACTGCCCGCAAGCTTGCAGACATAATAGACCTCAGCGCATGAAGCGAGCTGCTTGGTCAGTTGTACGATTAGCATCTAAATGGAGGACAACATAATTTATGTACATATGTGCGCGATAAGTTTGAAATTACTTCCGATTCTGCATTTTTCTCTCTCATTTATTGTCCTTGTAGGCTAGCCCAATGTAGACAGTATATCATTGTAGTATGATACGACGAAGGGTGCTCGAGAGTGGTTTATAAATTAATATCTATTGGATTTTGCTCACTGACAAGTCAGTTCATACTTAACTCGAGCGGTATTCAGGATATGGGAGAAACAAGCGAGTATGAAACAATGCATCCTTAATACTAGTATATGTCTCGGGCACGTTGTTCTGCGCAAGTCGGCTCCTCGTTTCCGCCAATCATGATATGACGAGCTTACTAATGATGTTGTTGTTGGTCCATGTTTTTCGTTGTAATTCGGCTCGATCGTTTTGCATAAGCAATGAAATGTACACGATCAGGTTAATTCGCGGCCTTGGACAAACATGTAGTAGGATGTTTGCGAGTTCCACTGGCACCCCGCTGGAATGTATCATATTCCAGCTGGATGGTGAACTCGTTAACATCCTACGGTGATCGTTTGATCAGAGCCTTGTCTAAGTTTCCCGGTCAAGGTGATGTGACTTGCCGACCATTCGGTGCGAACTCAGGATCCCTCTGACGTACGGTAAATGTAATCAAGCGATATCTTGATACCGTTATCTGATCTGTCCTTAGATAATAAGTTTCGCCGCAAATCAATGTCCCGCTTACTCGGCGGACTGCCCACGAGTATCGTACGTAGTTCAAAACCTGACAAACAACATGGTCTCGTTTCACCATATATCTGTCAGGTTTTCGTCTACGAAAATTTTATGGTCATTGGGAGGTGGGTACTGCTATGGTTGAAACCTGAAGCAAGCTTGCATGTCTTTCTCGTAATCCATCAGGTGGCCGGTTCCTCATCAAATTGTCAATGGGACACCTAGGGCTTGGCAATAATTGGACAAAGCCTCGAGGACGGCATACAATACATGTTTTGCGATTTCGTTCCACATATGGCCGTCTAAAGCTTGGATGACTCCGTTCAAGATTGGGTTGCTCGTGAACAGTGCAAGAACATATAAAGTTTCTAGTCACAATCAGGACTCAACGTAAAAATGATTCCGCTCCGGACCTAGTTCGTAAGTAGCTCGCCTACTAGCTTGGAATTTCCAACCTATAATATGCCAAGACGCTCTTACTGGCAGTCTAAGACTCTAAGCGCAACCAAATCTGCCGCTCTGCATTTATCCATTAGGATGGCTAGCGAGCACTATGTCTATAAAGCTGACCCGACGTGACAGAGTTCCTCCCCCATTACTCCTCATCCTACGCCATGACTCGGAAGGACTCACTCGTTTTCGCATACTATTGCTCTGGGCATGGTACGCATTCAATGTTGTCTAGCGATGTCATGAGATTTCTCACTTCTTCTTTCTATAGGCTACGGCCATGCGACACGCGTCTCCGCGTTCGCCCGCCACCTTCTTAACCTCGATTCTCGGATGACGGTACACATTATCTCGTCTGCTCCAAGGCATGTTTTCAACGACAGCATTAGTCTCGGGGTCCTCTATCGTTTCGCCGAAATCGACCCAGTTGTTGTACAGCCCGTGGCGTGAGTGGTACCGGGTTACAATTGACTCATTCCATTAACCATTAGACCATCAGATACCGGGTCGATCGTCACAGGAGTGTTGAAGCTCTCAGGTCCTTTTTAGCGCGCAAGGAATCTCTTCTGGAGAAAGAGAAAAAGTGGCTGTTCGACATACAGGCTGACTGTGTTCTTAGCGATGCTGCCTTCCTTGGATGGTAAGCTCAGAATCCATCGTGGTGGACCCTTTTGCTCATTAATTATCTAGTCTTGCCGCAAATGTTGCGGGGTTGCCTTCCATCCTCATCTCAAATTTTACATTCGACTCCGTATACAGCTTCCTTTCAACAAAATTTGTGGACCAAGTCGATGTGTCTCTCGGAGATGAACTTCCGATGGATAATCACAGTCCGGACTGTCCAATCTCAGACGATGAGCTTAATCCTTTGGTTCAACAGATATATGATGGTTACCGCTGCGCGGACCTTCTTGTTCGACTTCCCGGATGTATACCTATTCCATCGTTCTCGACTTCCCCATCATTACCAGCGCCACCCTGGACTGACCAGGGCAGCAACACACTCCTAGATGAGATTGTAGATCATCTTGTCCAGAAGCCCACTACGCATCTACTCCATCCTTCGATACCTTTCGCCAATTCGCATCCTGAGAAACCGCTTGCGCGTAGCATCATCCAAGCTCCCCTTCTCGTTCGCGGTATTAGCAAGGGCCCAGACACAGTTTATTCCCCCATTGGTCGATCCCGATTTCTTTCGTCGCTTGGTGTCCCTGAACATCTACACAATCCAGATGAGACGAAGATTCTAATTGTTTCATTTGGCGGACAGGTCTTCCAGAGGCCATCATCCAGTCGTGGGAGCAGCACGGGTAACTCAAGTCCAGGATGTAGAACACCTCAAAGTTATCCTCCTACGGAGCTACAGCAAATTCCCGATAGCCCGCAAATGTCAAAGATACCTCCTTGCAATGACGCTCTCAGCAAAATGGACCGGTCATACTGTTGTTCCAGCATCCCTCGTGTCATCAAGCACGAACGGAGCCCTACGTTTGACAATTTATGCGCGATGTTGACCAAAACAAAGTCTTCTTTCAAGAATACTACCCATTCATATTCCGATCCCGATCCCTCGGTTTCGGACATGATGTTTAATCATGCTGTAGATGACTTCGACACACGGCTGTTACCGGACTCGTCATGGATCGCAATTGTATGTGGAGTGTCAAAATGGGGTCCGGATGGGGCAGACGAACAGCCTCCTGACAGGTTTTTTGTCGCCCCTAAATACGTCTACATGCCTGATCTGACAGCTGTGGCTGACGTTCTGCTCGGCAAACTAGTACGTTGTGTCATCCTATACTGATAGTTTTCTTGGTTGATGGTTTTCCCACAGGGATATGGGACGGTTTCGGAATGCGTCGATTCTTGCACGCCTTTCGTTTATGTCGCACGTCCACTTTTTGTGGAAGAGCATGGCCTGAGGCTGCTACTCGCACAGGAAGGAGTTGGAATCGAACTCCCTCGAGTCGCTTATGAGGCTGGCGACTGGGCTTCTGCTGTGGAAGAGGCATGGTCGTTGGGCCGCGATACGAAAGCGGAAATGCGTAGGAAAGGTATGTTAGGTGTTGGAATGAATAAGCGAGAAGAAGAAGGCGCGTTACTTGCGGGACAAGTGACAGATTGGGTCAGGGCTTGGCACGATTCGATAGCGCAGAGGACGATATCCGAGATCTGATGTCTGTCGCGATGGATCGCTAGAGGCGGCGGCGACCTTCATTGTCTACATTATAACATATCATACGTTAATACATACCACACCCTCAGGGCTGCGTTTGCATAATACATTGACACCAATTAGAATTCTGTCGTACTATCACTCACTTAAGACATCATGTGCTGCATGGAGCTACAATGAGCACGAAGACCCTGTTTTTGCATTCCGATTGACTGGGCGGTTGATTATCTCCGACTGGAATGCCCTCAGCTGTCAGAGTTGTTGGTTACCTGCTGCTACAATCTGATTGATCAAGACAGCCAGCTGGCCGGCAGATCGAACCTGAGGAAGTCATGGCCGTAAAACAAAGATCTGTCATCTGGAAGGACGTACTGGCTCACGCTCCGCATAGTATAACCATCGGGAATAATCTAGATTAACTGCGGGGTGTCGTTTGCTGATTTTGTTTGTTAGGACCTGATATCATGATGAAAGAAGAGATCTCCTGGCAGCAGCTAGTCGGGATTCAATCGGAGCTTACCATAAATTACAGTAAGCCACCCCTACCCAGTGGACTCTCGGCATGCTATGGGGGCGGCGGCCCATGCAGAGAGTCCATAGAGACCAAGAAGTATAACTTCAAAGCGCTATTTCTTCAAGTAGCCCAGAAAATTTCTGTAGATCGCTGGAAGAATAGCGCTTGGTTGATCTCTGTGGGCTCTCTTACACAATCGTCCGGTCTTAATTCTGATACCGGGTTGTGCGTGTTCTGCTCACAATCTCAGAACCTGTGCGAGGGGCGCACCCAGCTAGTACTGCATGATCGAAGAGCTAGAGGACGTGAAGAGCTAGAGGATATGTAAAAAACGGTTGGTATCGTGATTTGTCACAGTCTGTCACTGAGTTAAAACGAAGCGGCATCACCGTGAAATTCCTTCCGACCAACTTGAATGTCTGGCTACGCACGAGCGACTGGCCTTGTATATGATCACATACGCGTTCTTCAGAATATAGTGGATTAAAAAGTATCATTACAAACATGCCCTAGACCAAGGATAACAAACCACAAGCCCGAGTTCCAAAACTAAAAAAAAGATCACTCTTGTTGCGTGAATATCCAAGGATTTTGTAGTCGTGAAATATCTGAGGATGAATGAGTCAAATGAATGCTGTATGTCTATGTATAATGATTAGTGCGTGCTGGGTGTTTCGTTGTCCTTCAGACTGTAAAACGTGCCGATTATCACGATTGCCCACAGTCTCCTGAATTTACCGCTGCTGGTGTGAGTGTCGACGTGGGTTTGGCTGCACGTCGACCCATCGCAACGGACGACTTGCTTGTTTCCGTTGCTATCGGAGCAGCAGCAAGTGTTCGCCACTGCTCCAAAAGTTGTTGACCCACCCCAGGTTCAACCTCCGTACCATCCCGCGAGACTTTGATCTCCCGGTCCTGGTTCCAAGGATTTCGAAGGTGTCGAGTAGAATGGAAAGGAAGACGGTCAGTACAGAGCCATTCCACCTTGAACGGCTGCCCCCAAGTCTGTTGTTCATCGCTCCCAGCGTTCTCTGTCATCGATGGCATCGCATCATCTTTCGGTTTTTCTCCCCCATCATCGCCATCATTGCTACTTATACTATTATTCTCCTCCTCCACGGATTGCAAGGCAGATACCACCGACTTAGTGCCATCCATGCTCCCCTCATTCCGTATTGCCCGGATTGGTGCATTCTTGTCGAGCACAATTTCGGGAGTCGCATTTACAAAATCCTTGGATATCAATCCAGCAACTGGCATAGCCTTCCCGCTTTCACGAAGGCTCAACTTCTTAATTGGGGACTCTGCTGAAAATTCCTGTCGTGGGTGAGGCCCGAGTGCAGCTGGTGCAGATGATCGGTGGGGCTCCATAGGAGAGGGTTTGTTGCTCAAGTTCCCTCCAGAATGAGGAGTAAAAGGCATCGGCGACTCCTCCACGAGACGATTTTCTGATGGCGTGAAGAAAGTCTGATCGGGCGCAACAAGTGGGCTAGAACTACTAGGCTCGCGCTGAGGCGAGGATATAGAGGTGGCCGAGGGATCTGCGTGCGAAGCCCACGAAACTCTATGTTTGCCCTTCAATATCCGACCAGCCATTCTTGTGTCGAGAAAATCAGTACTGAAAAGACAACATGGAACTTTACACACCGTGCATATCCATAGAACTCCCCGCTCTTGTTCACGCTAAATATCAAGATAACGTCGCTGCTAGTGCGGTAAGCCTGGTCAAGAATGGCCTCGTTATGCTTTTGAGTTGCCCATAATCCATTTTCAACACTCAAGTCTAGGTCGAACTAAAAGGTCAAAGTATCAAAAGCAAATCAGGACTAGTCATCCTCTTGAAACACGAACCTGCGTCAAAGACTTGAGAATGAAAAAGCGTTTTGGAAAATGCCGGGACAAAAAACTGGAGTTTGTCGACGCATAGGAGCTACTTGATTGAGTCTTGACACTATCTCCATGTTGCGAACATTGGTGGGCTCTGGCAGCCTCCTCGTCACTCGACTGTAATGACGCAGCCACAGCCAGCGGATGCTCTGATTCATTCGATAAACTCGAACGGCGACCAGGAGAAGATGACTGATCATCTTCACTTGGAGCAACCTGCTTATCTATTTGTCCCTGCTGAGATTGCTCACGGACATAGCGAGTGTGCATTCCCACTCCCCGTTGTCCACCTACCCCAGCACGCAGATCATCTTCTTTGCGACGTACTCGACAAACAAGTCGTGGACCCCGCCGGTCATGTGGATGGAGCTGTTGCCCATTAAACTGCACAATCGCGCGGCGTAAGTGCTCTTCCGTGTCAAAGTTGACAAATGCGCAGTTTGACCGGGAGATTAAGAAAATCGACAAAACTCCATTGTCTTCAGACTCAAACGAGTTATCATCCACGGAAAGAGGGCGTTTTAGGAACCTCCAGAGTTCGTCGTGGGTAGTCCCGCTTGGAACATTCCCTACCCACATCACCCATTCGGATCTGTGAGAGGGGGGGTTGGGATGATGAGGTCGACGTACAACGGGACGTTCGGAATGAGGGCAAGATGGAGAAGTTACTGTTGGTGGGGGTGAAGCATGGCTTTCTGTGCGGGTGAATGTTACGGGAGAATTTGATGCTGATGATGACGGAGGAGCTGTTATTGTAACCTGATGTGGATGCCTTGCAGGCAGAGTCGCCGGTTGAGCAGTCGACTGCACAGGTGAATTAGGTCTGCCATGAATGGATACTTGAGAGAATTGTGCCTCCAGATCGGGCGAATGAGAATCCTGCAAGGGTGCGAAGTTTATTGGGTACTGAAGTTGATAATGCATGGGGATTCCCTCGTTAAATCCGGGCAGGACAGGCGAACTGTAGTGCCACTGGTATGGGCTTGGCTGATACGCGTGGTTGTAACGGTAAGGAGTGTATGGACCCGGATAATGCACAGGCTGGTATTGTGATATGCTATGTGAAACAGAGGTGCCCGGAAAAGGTTGATGCACAGGTAGCGGAGAGTGAGTTGTGGGACTATTTGCAGCGGAGTGCATTCCAGAATTACCACTCGACGGATAAGAAAGCGCGCCCACATTATGTAATGAGCGTGTTTGCATCATAGGTCGGAATCCTGGTAGATTGTGTTGATACGGGCCAGATTCCAGAGGAAAGTGTGGTCCGTATCCATGAGCGTGTGTGTATTGTGGATAGGTTGGTGGCTGCGCGGTTGGATATGAGGGAAGTTGCTGGGATAATGTGTATTGGCCCGGATAGTTATTTGGCTGGAATGACGATGGGGGGTAGTGTCGCAGCGGACTTCCTATGGATGTTAATGGTGGTACGTTGCTTCCTTGCGACACATTCAGGCAAGGAATATTGCCAGCATGCATCCCGGATGCGTCCTGTGAAGCTTGTGTTTGCGTCTGGACTTCACTAGAGCTCGAAGGGAGGGACTGGACATGACTAGTCTGGATAGATGCTAGCAATGGATGACGTGATGTGCTGGGAGGGTGATGTACCTGATGTTGCGAGTGTTGCTGCTGGGGATGCATGCGTATGCGATCGGCACTATCGAGAATATTGTCGGTACTCATGGAAGTCCTCGCGTTATGTTGGTAAAGAGAAGAACCAGCTAGAAAGCCCCTTGAATTCTGATATTTGTAGCAAAAATGATGCTACTCACGAGATTAAAGTTCGTGTTTCTGCTTTATAGGATATGTTGCGGTATGAACTGTCCAATCAATGACACGGGGAATGATACAGGCACCTCTCTATCATTCCAGCTCTCCTTAAGAACTTTAAGATTAATGTCACAATCTGGAAGAGCGCATGCCGTGAGAACATGATGTCATACAAAACTCTCCAACCTTCTCGTCGCTCCTGTAGGAGTCCTGACGTCTACACCCATGAGATTGGCGACACGTTGAGTACTGCCTCCGCTTTCGCTGACTCGTGCAGCCGGTCCACAGGCCTCGGCTCCGCCTATCACGAGTCAGACTTGGACGAGCCAAGGGTATCTGACACTCACTTGATTTCAACTTTCTCCATCTGTTCATGGTCTGGCCCTGGCTGGCCGGAAGATTAAACGCCTTGAAGTGGAACGATAAAATTATAGTCCATAGGCATTATCCGTCCAGGATGACATGCCGAGGTTCAACCGTTTGAACCCGCGGGCCATGCCGTGCCGCTCCAAGCCACAGCACTGAAAGCACTCCTCTTCACCCAGGACGATACAGGAGCATGTTGGAGCCTTTGTACCGCTCATTCAACAATAACATGGATATTGGCTGTCCTGCAGGAGCAAGAAGGCAATACAACACGTGTCAAGTGGGGTCACAGTCATAGTACACAGCACTTACTCCATGCAGGAAAATGATTGGTAGGCTGCTTGATTGAACCTTGGATAATCTTCCTAGTAAATTTACTGAGCGATGCACAGTGGAAGTACTGTCTAATTATTCGATACGTACTACACACCCCGATTTCAGTAGCTCAACTCCTTCTGATGCCGTTAACCATGTGACACATGGTCACAGAATGTGACAACCAATATTTTGTGGTGTCTATAATTTTAAATCTCCCATAACTAAGTGTACGGCTAGCTGTGTACTCATGGGTGTGCCACTCACGCCGAAGCTGACTTCGTATCTCTCACCAACCTGACTGCGTTCCTTATCTTGGATTTTTAATGGGTCGACCCCGACTTCATGCAACAGCTGAAGAAAGAGCTGCTGCTGCGCGAAAATATAGACAGGATTACTACGAAAGGCCAGTTTATCATTCTCGTGCCGCAATCAACTGACATTCGTTACAGAAACAAGAAAACAATAAGTATGAAAATGGCAGCCAAATACAAAGCACGACGTACGGGTAAGCCGAGCAGAGAAAAGAATGAGCTTGCGAAGACCACACAGTTGTGAGTGGCATAGTTGTTTTTGTGGTTTCATGTCCTCTTATCGATACCAAGCATCGGACATTCTACGCAGCCTGAGAGGCATGGTACTGAACAAGATACATCCGTATCCGATAGCGAGAGTGAACACGAGTCCCTGCCGGATGGTACTACTTCCCATCGCATCGATTTACTACAGTATGTATTCGGCTCCCGCTGCTTGCCTATTCCAACAATGACAGATTAAAATTCAGACAACGCATGCAAGACATTCGAACAGCGGTAGCAGAAACCATTGCTCTTCACGCTGAGGGCTACTTTGAGCATCTCTACTCCAGCCTAACAAAGAACTCGAATAATTATCAACTCCGACTATCAATAATTTCGGACGCCCTGAAACTTTTAGAAGGACATAGTTTGCAATCCCGCACGTTGGAGTCAGATATTGTGCAAGCGAACAGGGTCGGGAAATTGCTATCCCAAGTACAAGAGCTTACCCAGACATTACGGGATATGACGGGAGCTGCTGAAGAGCTTTGGTGCTTCATCGTAGACGACCCAGATGCTACGAAGCTCATACAACAATACTCTCGAGGGGAATTGCGATTTCAACAGTCAAATGTAGACAAATGATCGCTTCGCTTTTGATTCTTGACATTAATGATATACATAGGCGCCGACTGTTGAGCGGTAGTATACTTTGTTGTGTACTGCGTAGTATAATGATGATGGCAGAGATTATTCGGAGAAGCAAAGTGATCACAGAACCGAACATTTTTCTTTCTAAGCAATACCATGCACGTCGAACTATGAAGCTTATGAAGGCTCGCGTCTGTTAGTAGGAAACGACAATCCTTTAACACATTTAGCTTATCTACATCCGTGTCACGTCATCGAGGGATGATCCAACCTGGGAAGTTCACGGGACGCCTGCAAGTCTTCAGTACTACACGCGCCAGTGCTTGTAAAGGCTACACCCACACACGTGTGTGGGCTCAGCCTCCATCCCCAAATGAGAGTGACGTGATTAACATTCAAGTTGCGGGATGATGTGAATAATCGTTCCGTTTGAATTCAAATGGAAGTTATGGAACGGGGTACCTGATTGCATCGTGTGTCATGGCCTTGTGAACAACAGTGATTGTGAGAAGAGAACTAATTGTCGTATTTGTCGGTATCAGCTAGTCGTCAGAATAGGTTGCTGATTGAGACCATGTAAAGCAAGGAATTATCCTTTTGGCTTTCGATTCACCTTTCGGGATAAAACATCCATTATACACATCGTCGGTCACAGCAGCATGAGGTACGCCCAAGAGAATGCTCATCAATGGGTCCAGGGGCCTTAGCGTTATAATAGACATGACAATGAATTGATGGTATATTCCTAAAATATGTGGTACATGAGCAACGCCAAGCAGTGTACAATCCATGGTTACCTGTTCCTACGCCACGCATCACTGTAGCTTTGTGCGACCGTTCGAAATGTAATATGAAATCTCAAGGAGCAGCAGAATAAATAGGCCTCAAAACCAAAATTGGATTACTTGCAGTTATATTGTAGCAAAACGGGGTCTGTCGGAATGACTGCGTGAGCGCTTCTCAAGAAACGCTCGTGCTATCTTCACGATGATCTGAGTTGACGGTACGGAACATATGATGTGGCCTAGAGCTCTGTCAGATTTGTCAGGTGTCAAACAAGTGCAGAAGTAAAAGCAGCCATAGATAATCACTCCATTCATTGTATCCAAAAAAGTCGGCGCTCATGTGATGCAAATTGCCAAGGATATGAAGGTCTGGGGGCTTTAGAAATAGAGGTAAAGGAAGTTGTCCTCGAGGCTTGCGCTGGTAAAACTTGACGAATCGCCCTTAATAAGGCGAGGAGAGCCAAGAACAAAGCTTTGTATTAGGTCCGTGAGAGAAGAGCGCTCTAAGGTGGATGGACCGTGGGCCTCGGCCCGGCTTTTTTTCCCAAAGAAGAAGGTGACGGACCACCTTCAGGGAGCCGCAGCATGCATTTCCAAGCGTCACATGATCCGTTTAAAGGTGACGTTCACACGCTATTAATTGGGGAAACTTTATTGGTCCTGGATCTGGTCGTGCACAGTTTTCCATGTTCCATCTCGAGCGCGTAAGGAATAGTCTGAAGAATGTAAACTTAAAGATGAAACTAATCTGAGCCTTAGACAGTAGCGAAATAAAATTTGACTAGCGATGGCAGTGTTAGTACTTTCTCCTGATATGGTTCCGGCCCAAGGCCGTATGACTTACTCTGCTTTTCAGCTCACTACTTTCTTGGACTGGTACCACCACCATCACCACCACGCTCACTAACTCTCTCTATATCTATGTCATCAAAGCCAGTCAATATCGGCAGTCCAAGACAGGATAATGCCTTTCATTCAGGAACACCAACACCAACTGGCACGCCCGATCTCCGCGCTTGGCGGGCGCAGTATACTGGAACACCTCCAGTGCCTAATATTCCTGCGCGGTTTACACCAGAAGGCTTCACCAGTGGCTCTCCAGGCCTGCTTCCACAAAGCGAATTTCTGGGCAAGGCCTATCGTTTACCTTCTACTGGAATCAGTCCAGGACCCTCAAGCACCTTTATACCTGGAACTGGCATCGATCCTGGTGCTCTTGACTTTGGCACTCCCCCAGATGATCACAAGGCCAGGGTTATCAGGCGTCATCTTTTAATGCGAGAGGAGAGGCAGAACCGAGGAGACGTGAACTCAATATCCGGCTCCGAATTTGATGGTCGTGTCCTCAACGATGATACCCCATCTGCAGGTTCCTCTACTCCGCCTCCAGCAACTGTCAGAGAGACCACCGAGGTCTTTCCTATACCCTACGAAGCTCCAGGTGCAGATATTACGTGAGTCCGCTCTAATTGCTCAAGGACATGGGGTTCCTTCTGAAATCTAACAACTGCATTCAAGTCACGACATTTACAAGTGGCATACCGATCAACGCCGTCAGGCTGCACGCCCCCGTGCTTCTTCCTTCTCAGGCTCTGTCACACCATCAAATCCTGCCTTCGAGCACATACACGAGCCTGGAGGTTTTAGACGGAACTATGTTTTGATGCGTGCGAATGAGAATGGTGCAGAGGAGCTACGTCCGACTAACAACTTCATCGATTTCCTGTACATATATGGTCAATTCGTAAGTTTTTATTTTCACGTACCATCTCAATGCTCATCGTCAGCAAACAGGCTGGGGAAGATCTCGAGGAAGAAGAGGAAGACGGGGCTGATGATGAAGAAGCCACCATTCGTGCCGCTCCTTCTGAGCTCGATGCTCACGTAGTCGATGAAACCCAACCTTTGCTCAAGCCTCGTTCATTGTCGCGCTCCAGACGAAGAGCTGCTTCTGTCAGTCCTCATGGAGATGCAACAGTCACACAAGCTGTTCTGATGGCAAGTCTCATCTATTCTCTATGAGGGGTGTAGTTTATTTAGCTTGTTTTCAGCTTCTGAAAGCGTTTGTTGGTACCGGCATTCTATTTCTTGGCAAAGCGTACGTGTTTTTATCGGTGTTTCCCTCTCATATGCTCAGAATTATTCTTCAGCTTCGCCAATGGTGGTCTCTTGTTCTCGATTATCATGATTTCTGTGGTTGCACTCGTTTCCTTATACTCGTTCCTACTCCTCGTCAAGACCAAGTTTGTCGTCTCTGGATCTTTCGGAGGTCAGTTGAATTTTATGTGAATTGACTTTGTCTCACTCTGCGATAAAGATATTGGCGGTGCTCTATATGGTCCTTGGATGCGTTATTTGATATTATTCTCTATCGTAGTTTCCCAGATTGGGTTTGTCTCTGCATACACTATCTTTGTAGCCGAGAATCTAAAGGTGAGGATATCATGTTTCATGAATTGCCGTCACTGAACTCGACTTGCGTGCAGGCGTTCGTGCTTGCAATCACGAAATGCGAGACGGATTGGCCTGTGCAATACTTCATCCTTGTGCAACTCTTCATTTTTCTTCCTTTGGCTCTTATCCGCAATCTTGCGAAGCTCAGCACATCTGCCCTCATTGCGGATGCATTTATCCTTGCTGGACTGGTTTACATATTTAGCAGTGAGATGGCATTCATTGGAAAACGGGGTATTGCCGAAGTGCAGATGTTCAACCCCAAGGACTTCCCCTTGTTTGTTGGGTGAGTTACCCTCTTAGAGTGTTTAACTGGATTCTGAAGAATGGTCATAGAACTGCCGTATTTTCCTTCGAGGGCATTGGTTTGGTAAGTTATCCTGTTCCATTCTGGAACGCAGAGACGTTGATGGTCTGGGTTAGGTTATTCCCATTACTGACGCCATGCGTGAGCCACGCAAGTTCCCCAAGGTACTGACAGGCGTCATGGTCGCATTGCTTTGTGGGCACCTTTTCAATGTTTTGTTATCTGTTGGGCCTCACCGTGCATTTTCAGTCCTATTTGGTGGTGCTGGCGCATTGTCGTACCTGACTTTCGGTTCGGATGTGAACACCGTGGTTCTGGTCAACCTTGACCAAACAAGCAAGCTAACACAATCTGTAAGCCTATCACAGTAATTTCGTCGATGGAATCTCACGTATTCTCTCGATTTCAAGGTTCAATTCTTGTACTCGCTCGCCATCCTCCTCTCTATACCCCTCCAGTTCTTCCCAGCCGTGCGAATTCTTGAGAATGGGCTTTTCGTGCGAAGTGGAAAGCAAGATCCTCGTGTGAAATGGCTCAAGAACCTATTCCGTTTCGGGCTAGTCGCAATCTCTACCGTCATTAGCTGGGTTGGTGCCGCGGACCTCGACAAATTTGTCTCGCTGATCGGTAGCTTTGCCTGGTAAGTGCCACAAAGATGCTCATTTGAGAATGACGATGGATTAACGATGGTTGCAGCGTCCCTTTGTGTTTTGTATACCCAGCGATGCTACACTACAAGGCAGTTGCCAAAACGCGCACGGAGAAGATCGGGGATATCGTTCTTGGCGTATTTGGTATGGCCGCAATGATATACACCACTGCGTTGACCATCAAGGTATCAAGTTGTCCTTTGTTTATGTGATAATCTCGTGCTGATTTGATGCACGCAGCTGATGGCAGAGCCTGAACCATCTGCTGACCTTCCTAGCTCATGTTGAATATCGAAAGACAAAGACCCTGTGTTGTGTCAGTAGATAAGTAAAACATGTCCAGGGACACCCATGCCTGACCAAGGGATAAATTAATAGATCCCAGACCTTTCTAATAATATGATGTTCTGCTTATGCCAGATGTCATCAACATGTCTACATTCTTACACGACTGTGGGAAGATGATCAGGGCCGTTGCAGCTTGTTGCAGTTGTGAACCACGTCAACATTATCATTGTTCTAGGTGAAGGTTTTGTTGATCCACGACTTTGTTGCGGTTTGGACTCGCTTCTTCGCCGTGTATATAGCTAATAACAGGTATCGCACGGAACGTTGGTTTGGAAGTGGCTATCTTGGGAATCGTCGGAATCGATCGTATTTGACGAGTACTAATCCCGTACTTAGATCACCATTTGTTCACCGTTGACAGAGCAGAGCACATTCAGGTATAGGCGATAAAGAGACATTGTCAAGCGACGGAAGTGAGGCTACCGCGCTGCAGACGACGGCCTTCTCCATAGTCCCCTCAACATGCGCTGCACACGTGTTTTCTGATCATCATGCCATAGTTCTACCGATCTTAAAGCCCTCATCGAAAACACGCTGATCACCACATAAATGCCCTTCGCATAGAGTTGACATTCTTTGCTTTCCCCTCCAGCTGGAGCTCGCCAGTCGTGTCATCTGGCCACCCTCTCTCATTCAAGTCGGCGATCATCATTTAACACTATTGTTCCCTTTGTTCTATTATGCCTGTAGCAACTAATGTATCCATTCCACAGCCACGTTCCATGGTCCGGCGCAAGCCAGCGCCAAGCATTGTGCTAGATGCACGCTATCCCTGTCCTGACCCCGATGACCCATTCGCTCCCCTCTCCGTCCTTCGCACCAGAACTGCCAGCACCCTCGGCCTTCTCACATTCACTGGTGACTCAACATCACAACTTCCAACTCTTCCGTATACCGGCGGCCCGTTTCCCCCTGATCCATATCAAGCCACACCGCCGGCGAGCCCCGATGTCACGGCTTCTCCTGACAAAAAACTCGAGTTCCTTACGACATTCAGCACTAGAAGCAGCCTTGATATCGCACAAAACCTCAATGACACCGCCGAGTCGGGTCGATGGCCGCCGCAATTTTCACGATGTGATTCGCCAAGCATTCGTACTTTGCCGACTCCCCAGCGCAGGCGCTCTCGATCAGCCGTCTCGCGAAAAGAAGCACGAGCTAACACGTGTCCCGTATCACCCGGGACGTCACCGTACGGGCATACAAATCTGCAGGCATATGTGTTGGCTAGCTCCAGATTTCCCTCTCCTACGCATTCTTCTCAGCCTCTTCGGATGCAGCACGTCGGTCATGGAAGCGAGAGCTTGCTCCCCCTTGTTATCCCGATCACTCGGCATGACTCGGCCCCAGTGCTATCGCTCATGTCTGCAACGAGTAGTAGTAGGGGGTCACCCGAGCCAACGCACACTTCGCGCTCTCGTGTGGGAAAGCTTGCGCGTTTTCTTCCTAGGAAAAGCCGTAGCGGTCTCAGTCTCGCTGAGTTTCCAAGTGAGACGGGGAACGCGAAACGCCATCACCATCATCGCCCGTTCCCATCCATGACCGTTACTCTCGGGGGAAGTTCCGAGCGCTCATCCAAAGAGAAACACGTTCCAGAAGAGAACACGTTTCGCCCGCGCCGTAAATCATCAATGTCGATGCTATTTCCGGCGGTCGTTGCTGCGAACATGCAATCGCTTGATGTATCTTATCCCTCCACAGCAACTTCTATTTATGACTCCCCTACAAGTGCTGAGCCTGGTTACATGTCTGAACCCAGTAGCTCTACCTTGTATTCCCCTTCCGGTATCGCGTCTGGCACCTCTGAGCCAGCACCTCTCACTCCGAAGAAACCTAGACCTCAGACGATGCAACTTCAGCAGCGACTTATCGCTTCAAATGAGCATTCGCATCCGCCATGCAAAAAGTTGTCGTCGCGTCCCTCCACCGCTCCTTCCAACTTCGCACATGTTTTCGACGAGAACGTCCTTCCAACAAAGAGGCAGCTGCTAGATGCAGCGGCTTGTGTTGTTGTGGCTGAGAACGGCATTAGGGTTCCATTTGGCGACCTCTTCCGGGATCAGAAGACAGTCGTTATATTTATCAGACACTTTTGGTGAGATCCCAAGTCGATCTTGAACGCGCTTGAGCTTATTGCGTCATGGCAGGTGTCCGCTGTGCCAAGACTATATGTTTTCAATCACCAATACTGTAGATCCACAAGTTCTCAAGCAGTCAGGCGTAAACCTTGTCATCATCAGCAATGGCTCGTACAACATGATCAAGTCTTACCGACGTAAGCATGTCGCTCTTCGTTTCGTTCAACCTATGCTCATTTTCCCAAGAGATCTTCAGGACGCCCTTTGCGGTGTATACCGATCCTTCTTCTCGTATCTATGGCATTCTTGGGATGACTATGAAGTCGGTTGAGTCAAAAGCCGAACCACGTCGTAGTGGCTACGTCCGACATAGTCGCGCGGGAGGCATTGCTATGGTGATCGCAAACGTTCTACGTGTCGGCATGCCTGTTTGGGAGAAAGCCGGCGATCCCACTCAGCTTGGTGGCGAGTTCGTCCTCGGACCAGGGTGAGTCCACTTTCCAGACGTTCTGCTGATACAAACTTATCCGTGTCATAGAATGACAGCATCGTATGCGCACCGAATGCGAAGTCGTAGCTCGCATGCGCCTATCGTTCGGGTGCTCACAGCTGCAGGGGTGCATGTTTATCTCCATAGTGAGAAGCCGAAACCAGTCGTCTCATCCGATCCCGCCGGCCGGGCCTCTCTCGTTCTTGAGGTGGATGAGGAACAATGGATGGAAGAGCGACGCCAAAGTCTTGCCAGGATCCGCGAGCGGAAACAGGCTCGGAGATTAGGTGTCAGCATACCTCCTTACAGCGACTCCAGCTCTGATACGGAACGTCAGATCAGACATGTTGCGAGTCACATGACTCGAACTGACAGCATTGTGGAGGAAGATGAAGAGTATGTTATTCCGATCCTGAGGTCAAAGGCTGGGGCCACCATCGGCAGCCCTCTGAGAGGCGCTGATGCTGATGCGTCGAGCGATTCTGCTGAGGACGACACCGATGATTCATCTGTAGATACGCGGTCAATGACGGGCTCCGACACTGGATCTGAGAAAGGTCGTGTTGGGCTGAGCAACAAACCTGGCGCTGTCGAATTTATTCATGAACTTTCGCCACCCATACCGCTCCTTATATAATACAAACTCATCTTTTTGGATATCTTCTAATCTTACCAGAATATAACGCGTAGCATCCACTTTCTAGTAGGTCCAGCAGCTGCAGGAGACTTGGTTCAAAAGTCAAAATCACTCGCCTAAGGTTATGTGTGCTGTGTTGGGACTATCGTCAAGCGTTAGTGGTGTACCGGTAACATTGGGTCTTCCCATGGCCTAGCACCGGGTTCGACTCCCGGCTGACGCATGATTTGAGTTGTGTAAATTACACAATTCGCAACTTTTTCACTCACTCACAGTGGGCGAACGGCGAGGCTTTCCAATTCAAGCTGATTGATTGAAGACCCCCGCCTTTCTCCCACTTTGCTTGATAAAGACACGCTGCTTGAATTCTTTCGAACCCACGATAATTTAGGCCCTTGGGCCAATCCTTTTTGCTCTTTCGTTCAACACTGTTCACTGCAAATTCTTCAACTGGCTACCGTATATGCGAAACCAGTTAATATAATCTTGTCTATAAGTACCCAACATCCTTAGTTCAAATTATCGTAATGACCTCAGTGGGTGTGTTCAGCCATGATTTTATATCGCAGTAAGGGGCTTCTTCATCCTCGTAGAACTTCCCATCAACATGGAATAGGCCCACGCGACGGAACTCTCCTGCGCCCCCTGCAGGAACGACAATCAAGCCCATTAAGTGGTCAGGGTCCTCCCCTTTATTTGAGCCGACTACGATAGCTTTTCCCTTGTCAGTTCCTACATTGTCATAGTCAAAATACCCGTAACCAATGTGTCGTTCCTGCCCCTTTGAAGGCACAGTAACGTCATTGGACTGGCACCTTTTTGCATGATTGTTTGAACCCATGCGATCAGGCTCTCCTCCGGAAGGTACGCATCCTATTTCGATAACTTCTGTCGATGCCACAACCCTGTCCGTGTTAGCTGGATGGTCCTGCGGTGTCATCGCTTCCACCCGAATGACATTTACATTGGTGTCATTGCCAGAGATCTGGCCGGAGGTGGCAGGTGCGGTTTCTGTAATATGCGTGTTCTTCCGGCGCACAAGACATGGCACCAATTTAAAGAACAAATTTGTTATGAAGGAATGTCCTATCTTTACTGCCTCCAATGCCTTTTTGCCAAGTTCGCCATTGCACATTCGAATATCGGCATATTCTACCGGAGAAGCAGAAGTAGGCACGGTGTTTGGCCCGGGAAAAGTGGCGATTTCAATTTCATCTGAACCATTGACCGCTAGCCCCCTATCAACAGTGATATCAGCTGCAGCTCGCAAGCTTCGGATGTTGCAAGCTTCGTCGCGTTCTTCAGGCTCATCACCTGTTTTCGCTACCGAAACACAAGGTCGTTTTAGCTCAAATAGCTCAGGCTCCGCGGGATCCCAGGTCACGTCTCTCGCGATAGCTCTAACAATTAATCTCCCGCCTTTCACCTGGCCAAGAGGGTGATTGTCGGAAACTGGGATCGTGTTGCATGATTGCACTTCCCATATGATGTTTCCGACTCTTTTATCCCACCCGGCAACGATGTATCCAATCGTAGCAGCCCAAGACCACGAGGGTGCAAGATATTTGCCTGTAACGAGACTTCCGTCGGATGGACGATTTCTGTACCACAGGAGGTCGATGGACAAATTGCGTTCCCATAACCCAGCAATGTAACGATTGGTATTTCCCCACCAATACTGGAAAAGCTGAGCGATGCCTGAGATCGCCACGAGCCTGTCAGAGGGTTCTGAAACAACACGTCGCGTGTAGTCGGATAGAACATTCTGCCAGGCTGTCAGCAATGCCTCCACGTCATTGCTCGAAAGCACCCTACTCGGTGTGCGCGAGACCATCATATCTGGCAAGCGCAATTCACCCAGTTTATTCGAGGGAAGGTAATTCCAGATGTCTCCGATCTCGTTCATTGCCGTCTGGCACTGATACTGGAGAGTGTGCGAAGCGTACACCAAGGTCCTAGGGGAGAGGAGGCGCTCTTGGAAACACCAACCTCGGCAATTCACTGGTTCTTTTGATGGATCTGCACCATTATCTTCATCAACCGAAATGGTACCGAGCTTCCCATCCGGACACCAGAATGGCAGCAGCGTTTCAACTGGTCTTTTGCGGTTATGGAGAAATCCTTCGCTGACTTTCCGCGAGCTGGCTGCGATGATTGTGACGTATGCACATTGGTATATATCGCACATCTGTGGAATCTCGCGCTGCTTGTCTTCGTCCGAATCTTGCAAAATGCACAAGGTATCGGCCCAAAGATAACGGAGATTGAGATTGTAGGTGCAAAAGATAGCATCTCTGATGGTTTTCGGAAGGAGGAGTATGTCGATTGATTCCAGGTATGTAGAGAGTTTTGCGGTGCAGACGCTGTGCGGTTGTGGTTCACCCCAGACATAACTGAGTGCTGCATAAAAGCCTCGCACGCCTTTGGTGAGGACAAGCTTTAGCCGTTCTGGATCCGAGCAGTCTATTACACGGGTTGGAAGGCTTGTTTCCTGAGGTTTTGGACAATTATGACGAAGCGTGCATTGTGCGAGGCAGTCTAAGGCGAGTTTGAAGGCTTGAGGAGATGCGACCTGCCACACCAGCTTTCTGCCAGGGACAAAGGCGGCAGCATTGTCGTCTAGCAAAAACAGAGGTTCGTCATATCGCACGAAAAAACAACAGGAGACTACGTACCTGCGTCGCACCGCACTTGATACCTGAGCGACCAGTCGTCTTCAACCATAACTTTCAGGACAATTTCATCTTCTGAATTTCGTTTCTCGAAGCGTACAGTTATTTTGAAAGTCTCCTCTGGCATAGGCAATTCTCTTTTCTTGCGGTGCTGATACCAAAACGGAATCTCTCCCCAAAGAATATCACACCAATTACATCCCTTATTTTCTCCATCATCGATCTCCTGCCAAGTTTGAGTGATATATGAGAAGCCTGCTTTAGGATCTGACGAGTCCTTTGCAGTCCATGCAATCTGAAATGGCTCGAATATAAAAACTGTGCTGGAGCAGTAATCGCAGACGAGGGAACCGTTGCGCAACCCCATGACTCGGATGGCTACGAACACCAATGTTTGATCAATGCTCATGAAGAATTTAGACGGGCTCCGGTACGTACATTATTTCACAACTTCGAGAACAGACCACGTACGGTTGCTTGCCCCAGCCAACGTTGACGAGAGGATGAATGCACGATTCCTGCCATGCCTGGCTGTTAAACATGTGGTACCGTCAAGGCAGCGGCGAGGTGCGGCGAAAGCTGTGAATTTACAACTGCGTCAAATGACGCATTGGTTGCCATCATCTACTAAATTGACCGCCTAGTAATTAACAACATGGTAGGCAACAGCAATCAGGTTTTGTGCTGGGTCCATAAAGACATGGAGGTTGTATGAGTTTGGAGCTGAAACACAAGGAATGTCTCGATTGAGTCTAAGAGAGCGCCACTCGGCAATTCGGTCCGCAGCAGATGTTCCAGCGTGAAGTCTGCTCGTCCTCTAAGTACGTGCACGTCCCGTTTGAACAGGCTGACTGCTCCGATAGACTCACCGATGTCTCAGGTCCACCGTGCTGCACATCTCGCCAAGTTTACTGAATATGCCAGTTATTGGACTTGGACCTCTGTTGTACAGTACGTAGTTGAATAAAAACCTGTTTCTTCTGATCCCCTCCACACGAGCTCTCTGGCCACTACAGTATATAGCTCTGTGCTGGAGCGTACACTTCCCTGGTTCCCAGCAGGTGCCTCTTCTTCGCTTCTCGTTCTACACCCACCAGTGGACACAGGTAGCACGGTTCCGCGAGCGATCAAGATTTCTTGAGCAGAACAATTGTCTTCTATCCACAGGTCTATGTATGCGCTGGGCTTTTTTGTTGGTTTTTCAATTCAACTCCTCGATCGCACACTCATATCAAATCATCTCCAACTCACTCACCTTGTAGGTTGGACATACGTACGACACGCATCATTGGTGCTATCCCGCTTTACCTGTCCAAAATAACAATGAACGTTTTCGACGCCTACCTTCGTCTCGATACTCTTCACTATAGCCAACAATCGTGCATCGACCAATAACAGTGGTACGACGAGCCTTGTCGGGCGGATTGTTCAGCTTCTCATGTGCTCCCACGGCTGATCTTCTCCCTCTCCATATATTTTCCGACACTCATCGAGTCCTCTGAAGATTTAATGTCCGGCTCAAACGATGACACAACACGCTGTCCACGGTTCTACTATGATACCAGATACCATCTTCTGGCACAATTCACCCTGCGTTCTTGGATAACCCCGGAAGGCGATGTCGAATATCGAGTTCGATCCTCCAGTAACAAGTTGCGCCGACGAATGAGAAGTACCTACCATCATCTCATACCCAAAATGATATTGGTGAATTTTGTAGGCTCGCCATAAGAGACCGGGTATGTTTTTTTTTTTTTTTACTTCAGTCTGCCGATTGGCACGTCCGTCTACTACAGACATACATCAATGAATATTAATTATGCTTACTCGTAACCTCCAAGCTGAACTCTTTGGCATCAACCGCACAGTCTCGATTTCGTCAAGGATGCAGGCGACAGTTGACAGGTACCAACCAGTATACGCAATGGAAATTGTGTCACATCTCAGGAAGTTGATTCGGATCCCACCCTGCTCGCAGACTCGCCTACGAAAGTTGCCCTGCAGGAACGATCAGAACTTCATGCTAACGGTAGCTCACTACCGTTCCAGCCTGGCAGAGTATCTAAGGAGCCTTGAAAGAGGCATCCTCCGTCTGTCATATTACCAGCGTGCACTGAGCAGGCCGAAGTTCCTTCATTGCAAGTGTTTTCATCACATTTAAGACACGAGTATGAGTCGATTGGCACGTCCTTGTTACTAGACGTGCGAGGTTGTAGTCACTTAATCACATACACGACTGCAACTGCCATGAGAACCTCCAGTTTGAGAATAATCTTCTAATCACTGAGGTGATATCTTAAAACGGAGCGTCTACCCGTGGATTTCGAAGGGCACAAACACATCTGTAATGAAATTAGTTTTCGATGCATGCTCTTATGATTCATGAATCAATAGCAACATTTTGAGTTTCGCCTAGTCTGCTTTTCAGCGCATCGTGCAGTCGGACAATCGTAAATTCAGACTCGGTCCTACATATAAAATAGACAAGGAATCGAAGAATCAGATGGTACACCCGACATTGTAGCAATAGAATCATCCTTGCGTGGAGCTAGCAAGATTGATGTTAGCAACAGCGAATGCAGATGGTAAAGACGAAAAACTCACGCATCTCGGCAACTCGACCAGCGTGTTCCATGTGCCATGCGGCTCAAATCAAGCTCGACGCCTCCTCTGGGGATCACCATTGCAGTGCCAGGAGTATAAAAAGGGTGTCGGGAACCTGGAGGTACCCAGAAAATGAGCTGGTGATTGGGGCCCATCATCCACCCATCGCCCTGCAGCAAGAAAGGGGTTGAATTAGAATCATGATGAGAGGTAGGTTCGAGCAAGTCAGCGGAGTTGAGCAGAGCGTGTTCCAGTTTGGAAGAGAAGGAAATGAGGTGATCGTTGCAAGTGTTGGGCGGAATGATACAGCTTCCTTGAGTGGGAGTGCATGGGTGTAGCGAAAATGTGGAGGGATCTGAATCCCTGGGCTGGGAGAATGGCTGCACTGTCACTGCATTCCACACCCGCACAGTCTTATCGTGCGAACCAGACGCGATGCGAGTACCATCCGGTGAGAACGAGACTGACCAAACCCGGGCCAGTGTGCCCCTCCAAGGGCTCACCCAATGACTTTCCCGTCGCTGCATCCCACACCCGCACAGTGTTATCCCACGAACCAGACGCGATGCGAGTACCATCCGGTGAGAACGAGACTGAGTAAAACACTGCCAGTGTGCCCCTCCAAGGGCTCACCCAATGACTTTCCTGTCGCTGCATCCCACACCCGCACAGTGTTATCGTCCGAACCAGACGCGATGCGAGTACCATCCGGTGAGAACGAGACTGAGTAAACACTGCCAGTGTGCCCCTCCAAGGGCTCACCCAATGACTTTCCTGTCGCTGCATCCCACACCCGCACAGTGTTATCGTCCGAACCAGACGCGATGCGAGTACCATCCGGTGTGAACGAGACTGACCAAACGGTTCCAGTGTGCCCCTCCAAGGGCTCACCCAATGACTTTCCTGTCGCTGCATCCCACACCCGCACAGTGTTATCCCACGAACCAGACGCGATGCGAGTACCATCCGGTGAGAACGAGACTGACTGAACCCAGCCAGTGTGCCCCTTCAAGGGCTCACCCAATGACTTTCCTGTCGCTGCATCCCACACCCGCACAGTGTTATCCCACGAACCAGACGCGATGCGAGTACCATCCGGTGAGAACGAGACTGACCAAACGGTTCCAGTGTGCCCCTTCAAGGGCTCACCCAATGTCTTTCCTGTCGCTGCATCCCACACCCGCACAGTGTTATCCGACGAACCAGACGCGATGCGAGTACCATCCGGTGAGAACGAGACTGAGTTAACCCAGTCAGTGTGCCCCTCCAAGGGCTCACCCAATGACTTTCCCGTCGCTGCATCCCACACCCGCACAGTCTTATCGTGCGAACCAGACGCGATGCGAGTACCATCCGGTGAGAACGAGACTGACCAAACCGGGCCAGTGTGCCCCTCCAAGGGCTCACCCAATGACTTTCCCGTCGCTGCATCCCACACCCGCACAGTGTTATCCGACGAACCAGACGCGATGCGAGTACCATCCGGTGAGAACGAGACTGAGTTAACCCTGCCAGTGTGCCCCTCCAAGGGCTCACCCAATGACTTTCCTGTCGCTGCATCCCACACCCGCACAGTGTTATCGTCCGAACCAGACGCGATGCGAGTACCATCCGGTGAGAACGAGACTGAGTAAACACTGCCAGTGTGCCCCTCCAAGGGCTCACCCAATGACTTTCCTGTCGCTGCATCCCACACCCGCACAGTTTTATCGTACGAACCAGACGCGATGCGAGTACCATCCGGTGAGAACGAGACTGAGTTAACCCAGCCAGTGTGCCCCTCCAAGGGCTCACCCAATGACTTTCCCGTCGCTGCATCCCACACCCGCACAGTGTTATCCGACGAACCAGACGCGATGCGAGTACCATCCGGTGAGAACGAGACTGAGTTAACCCAGCCAGTGTGCCCCTCCAAGGGCTCACCCAATGACTTTCCTGTCGCTGCATCCCACACCCGCACAGTGTTATCGTCCGAACCAGACGCGATGCGAGTACCATCCGGTGTGAACGAGACTGACCAAACGGTTCCAGTGTGCCCCTCCAAGGGCTCACCCAATGACTTTCCTGTCGCTGCATCCCACACCCGCACAGTGTTATCCCACGAACCAGACGCGATGCGAGTACCATCCGGTGAGAATGCGACCGAGTTAACTGGGCCAGTGTGCCCATTCATCACGGCCTGAACAACCGTCCAGTTCAAATCACGGCCAGATGCCAAACGAAGGTTATTCGGAAACCTTGCCGTAAATTTCGTAGCAATGGTGGAGTTCACGGGCGAGAATGGGAGCGCTGACAAGTACAGATGCGGCGTGCTGTGCAAAATCATGCCGCCAAACACTTGGAGGAATCTTTGTACATCCATCGTGCTGGACCGCAAATCTTCGTATCCAGAATGGCCCTGTATTTATTTATGAGCTGTTCGTCCGACGCTGCATCGTAGTCATGTGCTCACCTTCAGCCACTTGGCAACAAGTGGGAGCACCGTGATTGCACCCTTGATTGCATTGAGAAGCCCGAGTGCTTCAATCCAGAACATCAGCCGCTCGTCGTCGAAGAGTGATCTTATTTCCTCTGCGAGTTTATCGTCAAAGTCCGTTGATTGAACATGGGTGGCCCAATATCGACAGGAATAGGAGAGATGTGGGGGAATGGATGTCTTGACTCGTTGAGGCAGCTCTGCGTCTTGGGAGTTGGGGAGGTATGACGACTTTAAACTGCAGATATTGAAGCGAAGGCCATCGTTCTGGGCCATCATTACTCGCAGTGACGCAAATGCAAGGTCGCACTGTTGCGCCTTCGTTCTCTCGACGAAGAAGTCTTTGCTGGATGATTCGTCCGTCAGAAATTCTTGAAAGGTCGCATGAAGGGGTCTGATGGGGGTGTGTGGATCGGTGGTGCCGCTGAGGAGGGATCCCATGCGTTTGATCACTACATCTACTCCGTAACGGTCGCGGTCCTCTGGGAAATGGTTTCGCATAGCTTGCAGTGAGACTAAAGGGAGGGGTTCGGCAGTGGCAAGTATTTGTCCCATCACGGAACGAAATCTTGCCATTGCTTGGGCTTTTGGATACTTATCCTTTGGCGTGATTTCTTCTAAAATAAGCCGATACATATCATACAACAAGTTTTTCCGCTGCTCAGGATCGCGGTTCACGACAGTATTGAAACAATCCATCGAGGATAAGCCGAGTTCGGGTTCCTTGATGTATCCGCACGCGAGACGCGCCCACTCGAAGAGTCCATCGGATTTTGCAGCGAGTGTTGCAAGGTGTTTGTCTTCAAAATCTGATAGCTCTTTCAGCTCTTCGGATATGAAGGCTTGAATGTCGCGCTCCACGACCTCTGGTGGAATATCGTCCATGGACAACCGTAGAATATGATCAGCACCATCAAACCCCTTTTCGATGTCGGAAAGCGGGCGAGATGTGACGAGAATCCGAAAGTTGGAAGGGAGTTCGGTGATTTTGGGAAGTCCTTGAAGTCTACCGGAAAGTATGCGGAGGAGGTTACGCCGCGTCTCCGCTCCACCACTCTCATCCAGTGCTTCGATCACGATCAACACAGGCCCCACGCTTGACGCAGAGAACTTCTTTAGCGGTTCCATGAGAAGCTCGCGCCACTGCTGGATGATGTCCGTCGTATTCTTCAGCGAGTTTGAATTTTTGACTGCATCCGCTAACGCTCGTTTCATCCCTGGGTCACGATCAGCAAGATCGCGCGCGATGGTGGAGAAAATCTTTTCGTGGCGTCGGTCTGCCTCTCTGTTCCGATCAAAACAAAAGCATGAACCAAGACCTCCTGTTGTCTTGAACCAGTTGGCAATCGTGTGGGCGATGGCTGATTTGCCCTTGCCTGCAGGGCCGGATAGCCACATTACGCGCGAAACAGAATCTCCACTGCTGTTTATCCACTCGGTGATTTGGGAGAGAATGTCCGTGCGAGTGCCTGGCAGACACTGCTTCCCAGTGTCTAGTCCCGCGCCCGCCGCATAAGCCATGCCGTTGAGATCGAGTGTTTCGCCTTCAAGGGTATGAGTAGATCTAAAGGCGAAGGTATGTGTGAATCCTTACCCGCAAACTGGACAAAGATGGCTGTGTCCCGATGAGTTTGATCCCGGAATCGCTGCATAAGCCCGTCCAAGGCATCATTGTACCGTGTGATCATGTCATTCGTTTCCTTGAATATGTTTTTACCGGTTCTCTTCCCTATGATCATAATAAGCGTAAGATTAATGTGCGAATGCGATGTTCCGATGACTCACAGAAGTTCTTCGTCTCCGAGTATTCCCTAATGAAACGGGCACACTCGAGAGTCTGCTGAGCAATCTTTCCGATGACATCGTGCATCGATTCAACCTTGGAAAGATTCTCGTCTTGGGTAATGAAGTTGTAAACTTCATCTATTTTCTGGAGAAGGCGATCTACCGATTCGTCGCGCTCCGCTTGAGTAAGAATTATCTACACAGAACCATGACTTCTGAGCCGGAGGCAGATCTCCGGGAAACATAGAACCTACTTTAGCTGCAGCGGAAAGTATGCCCAACGCCATCTTTGCGTATGGATGCACCTATGGGTTGATTAGTTTCGCTACCAAGCAAGGATAACACCTCATACATTTGAAAGCGTCCCAATGACAGTGTCGAAAATCTTCAGGGGTTGGAGGTAAGTGGTCTGGAAATTATCCATCGCAGCGAGACCTGCTTGGGCTTTGTTAGGGACGGATGCCACAGACTTCGCGTGTCCCCCGACTGTATCCATATGTTCTACAGCCTGGTGGGCATGCTGAAGTTCATCACCGACTAATTTTGAACCAGGAATTTCCTCTATACTAGAGAGCTTGTCCGCACCCTGCGCGACAACAAAAATTAGAGACGAAAACTATGATTTGATGCAAGTACCTTCGAAGTAGGTTCTCCGGATGTGCCTTGGTTGACGCATCCACTAGGATTTTCAGATGAGGCTGGATGATTATTGTCGGCGGAGAGATGCGGATGTGACATGTCCTGGGCGCCTCTGATAAAAAAAGGACTGGGATTACGAATTCGAGCACCTACCTCGATATTTTGATTCGATGAAGCACCTTGAAGGTCGGTATTCTGGACTGCAGAAGTGGGGTTGCGGGAACGCTTGAACCATTTCTGCACAAATGTCAGCCATGTTCAGAATCAGGAAAAACAGTAGTTCACTTACAGAAAGTTTTTTGATGAAGCCTTTCGCAAATTTCTGAATAGCTTGCTTGACTCGACTACGGGGTTGGCTCTGGACGAAGAATACATCAGAGGCAGTGATCGACTTCATGAGCGCTTATCTACGGTGAGTAAGCCCTTGAGACTGCTTACCGAGCTTTCACCAACGGTTGCATTGCAGGTTTCTGGAGGAGGACCTGGTCTATGGTCTTCACTCATCGCGGCGAGTGGTCAATTACTGTGAGCAAAGTGGAGGTGCAAGAAATATGGGAGAAGGGAGAAGTCTCTGGCACGAGCTTAATACCCTTAACCGGCGCAAGCTTCGAAGTATGGCCCACACGTTCTTGAAGGTTTGATCCACTAATAATAGTTATCAGCGATGGGAGGGCGCAAGGCACGAGACCGTGTCATGGAAGTGATCAAAATACGTGGTATGGCATTTGAATGATGGTCATGTACCTAGGCCTAGTGCACCATTGAAATTTATTAGTAGTATACCACAACTTATGGATTACATGCGAGAATTCTAGATGGTTGGTTCACGTTCAGAATCATGAAGAGCGAGAACAGCTTCAACACCACCTGAGAACTTCAATTAGTAAGCATTTGTCACACAACTGCTCAGATTTGATACCATCCCGTGATCTCATGGCAACTCGGTTTCCTATACTCAAGCGACGATTATCTAGAAGATCTCCTGAAGGAGTGAGTATGACTTATTGACATTGCTTCAGACTTTTTTTTCACGATCGTCATCTCGTCGAATACGAGGACTCTTCATTTTGACGCGCGGCTATGCATGGCTTATCAGTCGACATGTCTGTTCGTGCGCGGTATTAACATTACCCTCTTTCACCTGCTATTTTTGTAGCATTAGATACATGCGTACCACGCACTCGTGCAATAGATCAGTGCATACTCATTTACGCAGGATATAATTTATACCACACATTCATACTATCGGCGCTAAATAAGAAGACGCAGTGCCCGCATGACAAGTCACGAGCAAATTATACTTCGGCAATCTCTGGCGCAGCCATAGACATACTGTCATCACGTCCAGAGGCCTGTCACAATGCCAATGCTGTTTCATGGTGTCTTACGAAATCTACGCAATGGTGTGTTTGTGATCCCTGCCGAGGAGCAGAGATCCCGTGCTCCGCACTGTGTTTGTTGGTCGCCCCTAATAGTCAGTTCAAACAAGGCAGTAGAACGACATCCTCCGAGGCGGTTCGTCTTTCAGAGGAGTCGATCCGTGCAATTTCAGATGTAAGAAGCAGCGAGCGTGACAAGCAGTGTACACTTGACATGGACCACCTACATCCACATGGAAGTGTCGCACAATTCAGTCGGACAACCGTAAATTCAGGCTAGGTCCTGGGTACAAAATTAACAAGGAATTAAAGAATCAAACGGTACACTCGATATTGCAGCAACAAAACTATCGTTACATGGCGCTAGAAGGATCAATGTTAGCAACCGCGAGGATGGGTGGTGAAAATTAACTACTAACAACTCATGTATCTCGGCAACTCGACCAGCTGTCATCGCGATTAGGGAGGTATGATGACTCTAAATTGAAACGAAGGCCATGTTCCATTACTTGAAATGACGCCAACGCCAAGTCGTGGTGTTGCGCCTTCGTCGCCTCAATGAAAAAGTCTCCGCTGAATGATTTGCCTGTAAGGAGCTCCTGGAAGGATGCATGAAGGGGTCTGACTGGGATACACGAGTCCGTCGTACCGCTGAGGCGGGATCCCATTTGTTGTATAATGTCCAGCTTGTAATGTTTGTTTGGTTTGGAAAATAGTTCCGCATGGCGTTGAAGGAATCGAATGGGAGCGGTTCGGCCGGGCTGAGTATTTGTCCCATCTCGGCACGAAACCCCACCAGTGCTTCCTGATACTCGACATCGCCATACCAATGTCGTGGCCAGATTTCTGCCAAAATACGCCGATACATATCATACAACTTGTTCGTCCATTTCCCAAGATCGCGGTTCACGAGAGTTTCAAAGCGAAACATTGGGTTTACGCCGGGAAGATCTTCCTTGATGTATTCGCATGCAAGACGTGCCCACTCGAAAAATCCATCAGCTTTCGCAGCGAGTTTTGCAAACTCTTGGCGCCCAAAACGCGGCAGCCCTTGTAGCTTGTCAGATACAAAAATGCTGATGTCATGTTCCGCCACTGCCGCTGGAATTTCATCCATGGATAACCGTAGAATATGCTGAGCACCGTGAAATGCACCTTCGATATCATGAAGTGGACGAGAGGTAACGAGAACCCGAAGGTTGGATGGGAGTTCTGTGATTTGGGGAAAACCTTTGTTTTGAAGCTTATTGCCAAGTATGCAGAGAAGGTCTCGGTGTCTCCGCTCCGCCGCTCTCGTCCAGCGCCTCGATCACAATCAAGACAGGTTCCACTACTGAAAAATATCTTTTGAGTTCTTGAGTGACGTTGAAATTTTGACTGCATCCGCCAATGATCGTCTCATGTTTGGATCATGATCAGACACCATACGAACTCAAGATTAGTCCCACGGAAATAGAAACCATCGAACCAATACGCCACTACCCAAAGTGGATCCCGAACGTGAGACTCAGTATCGCGAAGAAGTCAGAAGAAGCACACCACGAAGAACTGACAGTGGGCGGAGAAATCAGAGCATACTCGGACGAATCAGCGGTGCGTGAAGGAGTATGGGGAGCGGCAATAGTCATGGACGGAGAGGATGATAAGAGAGACGCTTCCATCTGGGTAGCGACAGGGACCACACAGTGTACGAGGGCAAAATTGTTGGGATGATATTGGTAGTCCAGCTGATAAAGGAGGAGCTCAAGTGGAGGGGAGGAGAGGCAGATCACGCACCATGGCATCAACTCTATTTTGCCAAGACTGTATCATGAAGCGGTAAACTTCAGCCAATTTCTCGAGAAGACGATGAACTGATTGATCGCGTTCTGCTTGAGCAATGATAGTCTACAACTTCTGAGAGGGACAGATCCCTGGGACGAACCGAACGTACTTTGGATGCAGCAGACAGCACACCCAGCATCATTTTGCGTAAGCATGTATCTATACAACTTGATTAGTTCGTTTCCCATCAACGAGAATCACCCATATATTTGTAATCTTCTCGTGAACAGTATCGACAATATTTAGAGGTTGAAGAAATGTCGTCTCGAAATAACCCATGGCAGTGAGACCTGCTGGGAAATTGCTGGCGGCGGACGCCACAAAGGTCGCATGTCTCCCGAGTAGCCTCATGCTTTCCGTACCCTCACGGGCGCCCTGAAGTTCAGCATCAATTAATCAGGACCTTCCTCCACGCCAGAGGGAGAAGCCTGAACCTGCGTGACCGCTAAAATTTAGAGAAGGAAAAACAAATCATCAGAGGAAAATACCTGTAAAATAGCTACTCCTGACGACCCTTGTTTCACGGAGTCACTTGTGGTGTTATGCGACATGTCCTACGCGCCTCTAAGAAAACTGAAGGACTAGTATACAAGTTCGAGAACCTACCTTGACTTTTAACTTGAGGAAGCGCCTTCAAGGTCGATGTTCTGGTCCTCAATAATGCGGTTGCGCTAGCCCTGTAAGAACTTCTGCGCCATCTCAGTCATATCCAGGACAATCAGCATTGCCATCTACGCACAAGAAGTTTTCTTGTTAACCCATTTTTCAACTTCCACAGAGACTGACGGACTCCTCTAAGAGGTTCAGCACTCTGGACAAAAAATACATGAGAGTCACCAGCAGTGAATTACAAGAGACCACGTATCTGACTTTTACTCGCCTAGATCTGCAGGCTTCTGGAGGAGGATAATGCCTAAGATCTTCACTCATCGCAAGTGGTCATACATTTAGATCAATGTGAGAGAAATGGTGGGGTACACTAGTACTGTGAGAAGGGTTAATGGGCGTCTGATCCCAGGCAGAAGCATAGCCAACGCGTTATGTAAGCTAAATCGCGTCGGTACATGTCGGCAGGTCATTAATAGAGACTCTGTCCCGTTTGAACGTGTGGCTACAATGTTACTGAACTCAAGACGGAATATGCGAGTGAAACCCGGTTTCTTCCGATCCCGTCTGGCGCTTGTGCATGAGTTCTCCAACTGGCTACCGTGGGTTACCGTACGCGTGAGCCGGAACGCGATATAATCTTTCTAGTGTGTTATTTTTGGACAATGGACGCGACCGGGTGGCCACACATGATCCTCATCCCAATGGATACACGGATCGGAGAGCGCGTACTCGGAAGGCCATGATGTGCACACTGGAGAACGGTAAGCCCACACAAGTACTGTCTGTGTGTTCCGATTGTAGTAGGACAGCTTACGCCCCGAACTCCCTATAAAAATCCTGGACTTTCGTCGACACAAGGACTCATTATCCACCCACTCTCCCAACTACACATCTTTCTTCAGTCCTCAGAAACTCAGCCATGAAGGTAGGGTGAACCCCCTGTCATCAATGACAAGATCTGACGCGCTTGCGCTTCTACTAGGTCTTAGCTATCCTCTACAAGGGCGGTAATGCTGCTACGAGCGAGCCCCGTCTCCTTGGTACTGTGGAGAACCAGGTTAGTCTCGTTGAGAATTCTAGATTATCTTCGACAAACTTACTCATGCTTTCCATATAGCTCGGTATCCGCAAGTGGCTTGAGTCTCAAGGCCACGAGTACATCGTATGTGTCGAAGTTTCTGTTGACATGCTTACGCGGTCACCTAATCTACTCATTTGTGTAGGTTTCGGACTCAAAGGAGGGCGCTGACAGCGACTTCCAGAAGCACATCGCTGATGTACGTCCAAACCTCACTACTGTACATATATCCACGCGTACTTACTTTCCTTTTTAGGCTGAGATCTTGATCACAACTCCATTCCACCCCGGGTACCTCACTAGTGACTTGATCTCGAAGGTATGATGATCGCTGAGTTATCGATTGAACGGTTCATCCATACTTTTGATAGGCCAAGAACCTCAAGCTCTGTGTCACCGCTGGTGTTGGCTCTGACCACATTGACCTCAACGCCGCCGTCAAAAATGGTATTCAGGTCCTGGAGGTCTCAGGATCCAATGTCGTCTCAGTCGCTGAGCACGTCGTGATGTCCATTCTCCTCCTCGTCAGGAACTTTGTTCCAGCACACGAGGTATGTTGACCCGCTGACGTGCGCTTCCCTTTGTTAATTGTTTGCCATCCTCAGATGATCGAGCGTGGAGACTGGATGGTCTCTGACATTGCTCGCAACGCCTTCGATCTCGAGGGCAAGGTTGTCGGCACTATTGGTGCTGGTCGTATCGGCTACCGTGTCCTTCAGCGTCTGCTGCCCTTCGACTGCAAGGAGCTTATCTACTACGACTATGCTCCCCTACCTGAAGGTTTGTACCGCACTATTTTCGGTTTCATGCGGTTTGACTGATGCAATTACAGCTGCTTCCAAGGCCGTCAACGCTCGTCGCGTCGAAGACCTCAAGAAATTCGTCTCGCAATGCGATGTCATCACCATCAACTGCCCTCTTCACGAGGGTACACTCGGCCTCGTCAACGCCGAGCTTCTCAAACACTTCAAGAAGGGTGCATGGCTCGTCAACACCGCTCGTGGTGCTATCTGTGACAAGGACGCCGTAGCTGCTGCCCTTGCAAGTGGTCACCTGAACGGTTCGTGACCCCCCACCACCTAATATCTGCCCGTCGAGCTTACATTGCAAACAGGTTATGCCGGTGATGTTTGGAACGTCCAGCCAGCACCCAAAGACCACGTCTTGCGGACGGCTAAGAACGCACTTGGCGGCGGTAACGGCATGGTACCCCATTACTCTGGCACCACCCTCGATGCTCAGGCTCGTTACGCAAGCGGCACCAAGAGCATCATCGCCAACTACCTCTCTGGCAAGGCCCAGGAGCCTCAAAACATCATCGTCGGTATTGGCAAGTACGAGACCAAGGCTTGTGAGTACCTGTTTATACATGTTGCCCGTCGGTCTTGTCTGACATATTCTTTTAGACGGTCAGCGTTGAACGTCAAACTGCGGATGCGCCTGCCTAAGACCCTTACTAATATCATCATGTATACAAAACTTATATGCACCTGTATGTCTATGGGAATAACAATGTATAATACTGATAGTAGGAAATACCGAAATGTTTGATATATATATGAATTCCACACTTGCACGAGTTAACTGAGTATCTCTTACTGGAGACTGGCTGGTACGCTGGGATATGAAAGGCTGCATATAATACAAACTTGATCATCAAGACTGGCCATGCGAAATTTGACGCCATGCCAGTAGTGGGTATACTATGTCGACCACACCACGTCTGATACTGGCTTTTAGAATTTGGGATGGCAAGTGAAGTCAACGCATGGTCACTTAACTAGAAACTTTAGTCCATGAGCACAAGTTCAAGGTCAATGGGCCATTCCACGGACTAGCGTGCCTATCCGGACTCCGTCTTACACATGCCTGCACATTCTTCTTTCCGAGCTTGACTTTGGTCGAATAGATCCTGGTCAAAAATACATAAGCAATGAAAATGAAGAAAACTATCTTCAAAAACATGACAAGAGTGGGATTTGAACCCACGCCCTCTTACGAGGATGAGAAACCTGAACCTATCAGGCAAGCTTTCGCTTGAGTCACACGCCATAGACCGCTCGGCCATCTTGCCATTACTTGTCGTTTGATCTGCGACTTGCCAATGACATGGTGCCCATCCCTTGGACCATTAGAAAGATTCAGATAGTTCATGCACGACCGAATTGCATTCATAACTGCGTGGGGGAACAAGGAGATCGATCAACTGCAAGCTGGAGTGACAGGCTGCAAAACACGAGTACTTATACAGAGTCGATGCTTATAATTAGCGGACGTCATTGACACACGTTCGGGCGGTACTCACATTTGTCAAAACTGCCAAAGGTTATCATGGAATTGACAAAGAACATCATGGTTGGCGTTCATCCTGAAGTGGGTTGCAGCACTATACAGTTGCACAAATTATATCAATCGATATCATCCATCGTTGGCATTGTCATTGGCCAGAGCCATAGGCAGAATGGCCAACCGACACAAATGCGTGAGTAGCAAGTCCAGACCTTGTCGTGAGGGGAAATGCCCAAGGCAAGATTGGTCGAGGGTGGCACATTATAATTGCCATCACGAGACATGACCAGACATTCGAACGGCATGATCAGGCGTGACAGTGGAGAGGTTATGTGTATTGGGCCACGCTTATCTGAATAAATAGCTGCATTGTAGCATACACGCGGCTCTACAACTCAAGGGTTATGCGAAAGAGTACAGTGAAATGAATGATTACGGAGAACTATAATGTTAGGGGCAACGGAAGGGAAGCAAGAGACTGTAGACGTCAGTGAGGCAACGGCCTGAAAGAAGAAATAAACATACATGATGCACTAATCGTCGCTGACCTCGCCGGTATTCTCGGCGTCACTTGACGGTGGTGGGGTCTGCTTCTTCTTGCGGCTAGCTTTAGGTGCGCCAGCTGCAGCCTTTGGCTTTCTGGGTTTTGGCTCCTTGCCACGATTTGGATTCTCGGGTGCTTCCCGCCACATTGCTGCAATCTTGGGGGCGCGTCAGACATGAAAGGGACGCATATATGCGCATATACACACCTCGGTCATGGCTTCTTTGATGGGTGCACCGGGATGTGCCTCCTTCCATTCTTTCATATGAGCTTGTACGAAGAGGTTGTATGCGCTTGGTGCGCGCTTTGGTTTGTCCTCCTTGTCTGTGACGAAGTGAGTAGGACGAAGAAGAAATATAAAGGGACGACGAACCAGCCTTAGAGGTCTTGGCGTTAGCACGTTTTGTTGCAGCCTTTGTTCGTTGATTCTTTACGATGATGAGGGGATGTTTAAATTAAAAGACGCGTTGAACTGACCTGTTGCTGACTTTGCCATGATGGTTAGGATGAGGGTGAATTTTGCTGATTGATTTGAGGGTTATCGATCTTTAAACGTAGTCGCGTCGGGGTTTAAACGCGACGTGTTATTTGTCACGTGGTGGGGTGGTCAGTGCACCTTGGCTAACCGAAACCTATTTGAGGAGATGTGATCGCATCAAAGTTGTCTTCCAATTCTCTTTATTTCCCTAGCGCTCGTCGTCCAAATTAGTCCTTAATCATCACCCGACACTCCATTAGAGACCATGTCTCCGTCCGCTCTTTCTGCCCTCTTCGCTGTTGCAGCCATTACTTTTGTTCGCGCTCAGCCTGACCCTGCTGACCCCACTCCTCTCGTTGATAAGCACTATGCCTACCCGTCTGGTATCGTGAGTGTACTTTGCAGCCTGCGGCGGTGTATAGTAGAATGGTACTCATCATATATCAGCCTTACCAAGTCGACTATAATACTGCTGCTCTTCGCGGTCCCCAAGTCGGCTATAATATTTGCAACTCCACAACCGAGAACCAGAGTTCAATGTGTCAAACTTCGTTCGTGAACCACATAGACGGTCAGTTCCGCCGTCTTTTAAACTGTTTCCGGGTTCTAAAATCATACAGACTTCTGCCTCTGGGCTCCCCCACAGCCCAACTCCACCATTGGTGACACTGAAGGTCAGGAAGTTGCCTGGTGTACAAAGCCAGGACATGGTACTCGTCTCATCCCCGCCGGTGCTCTCCAAGGCGTACAGCTCATCAAGACCCCCAACTACATCCAAATCGCCGGTTTTATTGATCAAACTCAGATCAACATCGCTGCTAATGACTACGGAGGCGAGTTAGATCCTCACGGTGCTGATCTGGTGAGCAGAAAAAATTGCTGCGACATTTCCCATGGGTGGAGCATTAACGTGACGTGTAGCGCGGTAACCCTCTTGGCGGTCTCATGTATTCCAATGCGTTCCCCAGCAACGGCGGTAACAACAACTCGTATCAACAGGTTATTGACTGGACAAAGTGTGTTTTTTCCCACCCTATGTCAACATGTCTCATTTGCCTTTCAGCTTCATGGGTGGCGACGGTTTCTGTATGAAGATCTGCGACCCCGCTGGCCAGAACCAACAGGCCCTCTGTCAAAACATCTATGACCGTCTTGGATGCGCATACAACGCACCCAACAACGCACAGAAGGGTGTTTTCGAAGTCTGCGATGGTGACGATATGTCCCCTGTCGGTGTTTACACTACCAACGGCGCTACTTCGACCTACTTCCAACCTCCCGAATCTCTTGGCCCCATCACCACCGTGCCATACACCCCCACACCTGCTGCAAGCTCGAACTGCGTGACGTACACAAGCTCGGCACTGTACACTGGTCAGCCGACGCCAACAGGCGCGACCGCAAGTTCAGGTGCAAGCGGAGCAAAGTCAACAGCAAGCAGCACCAATTCCAGCGCATCACCAGCTAAGACTGGTGGTGCTGCCACCATGGGTGTATCACTTGGCGCTGGGCTTGCTGGTGTGGTGTTCGCGATGGCGTTCTTATCGTAAGGTAGTCCAGGTGTCATTGTTGACGCGGAGAGGGGACGTTGTATTCGCATTTTTCCGAACGATCATTTTGTCATTACTTCATAATCCTACATGCATATTGGTTGACATGGACACGCGGATACAGACGGACGGACAACATTCAAGTTGGTCGCTTATTCGTTCATTGCATCGAGATTAGAGTAATATAGTCATGTCTTTAATATCATTGATACACGTATAGGGAGCCTGCTTTGGGCCTGCTTCATTTGTGGTGGACAAGGCATGGGAGGCAAGACTATTCATTGGCTACATAGGATAAGTCATCTGGAGATCATATCCCACGGTGTGTAATACTTGATGTAGAATTTCAATTTTAAACTCTGCAGCTTGTCACCGATTACCTTTCATCCTAGTACGACACCTTCGACTTGCGAATCGGAGTCACGAGAGTGTACGTGCGTGCGTGGAGCCCATATCCACGGTACCAGTACAAACTTAGAGTGGACCACAAATTTCGGCGAAATGAAGTCTAACGCTGGGCCCGTGTTTCTCTCTCTTGCTGAGGAACTCCAGCTCTACATTCTGCGTTTCCTTCCATACCGAGACATTCTTCGTTGCGCATCTGTGAGCCGCAATCCAGTTGCTATATAATTACCATCCAAGATGGTATTCTAATCTGACAATTCTCGTGCAGGTATGTAGGGCTCTTCGCCAGACGTATGTATCCTCCTCCTCGCTTCAGTACATCGTTGAACTGGGCGGCCAACATTTGCTTCCCATATCCAACGCGGACGACCACACACCTATTTCCGAGCGCCTACAGTGCTTGAAGGACAAAGCTCACGCTTGGTTCAGAGTTGACATCCACTCTGCCAAGACAATTTCTATCCCATACCAGACACTCTACTGGGAGAGTTTCATGGCCGATAGACATCTTTACTTATACCAAAATGACTGGGCTACGATCATTCCAATACTCCCCAAGCCCTCACAACGATCAATCGAGCGTAACTGGCATCCAGGAATGATGTCTAAAGTTCCCGACTCAATTAACCTCTGCACATTCATGGACCCAGCACAAAACCTGTTTGCTGTCGCCTATGTTGATCAGATTCACGAGACATTTTTCATTGACCTTACAACCCTGGATAATGGTAGTTTTCACCCCCAAGCTGCTGGACCAACGTTGTTTCTATCGGAGTTTCTATCGGAATTTCCCGGATACGAGGACGGCAGGGATTCGGAAAATGTGAAGCTCAAGACTGTGGGGAGGTATATCGCTTTGCAGCGTGCTTCGTCGGAACATAGGAGGTGGCAGCTGCAAATTTGGGACTGGCAGCACTCAACAACATCAGATGTGAGTTTTGCTCAGGGACCGTTCAAATACTTCACAGCTGACTTTCAATTTAGAGTGTCCTCCGAATCAGCGACAAATATTCCCGTAATATCGAATTTTGTTTCCTCGGAAACGATAGACTTCTCGTTGTTGCTCACAATTTGGAACTCTATTCAATTGAGGATATGTCCCATACACCGCAATTGCTGGCGTCTTTTGTGCTGCCCGTCCGACTGAGGGGCAGAACAACATGTCTCCTTCCAGTGGATGGCGTGGCGTGTAGCTCACAGATGCAAGCCCAACAAACAACATACACCTCAGATCCTAAACACCGACTACTCTGCATTAACATGGCCTTGTTCGCGGATTTTTTTATCGTCTACATCATTTCTACCAGGATTTTCTTCGATCTTCCTGAAATAGCAGTAGCGATGCCAATTCCGTGGAAATGCTGGGGACCTTCAAATACTCGCATTATCTGGCACTTAATGTCATACGACGAATGCAAAGTTCACCTTAGCGGGAATCGAGTTTTGCTGCTATTCCAAGACCACGAACCAATCCCAATCTCGGAACGCAAATGTAAATTATGTATCATGGACTTCAGCCCGCTAGCTGTAACGAACAGGCGGGGTCTAGGAAAAGTGGTGATAAAGCCATCTACCTTGGACGCCACTTATATAAGGTGCTCACGCGACGATTGTGAGGATCTCTTGACGACTTTCCTGCCCTACGTCGAGGTCGTATTGGACAGAAAGTTCGGTATGCACGAGTTGAAGAACATATGGATAGATCAGGATAGGATTTATCTCCTCTCGAAGAAGCTAAATATTGAGATCATTGACGTTTAGAACAGTCTACGATCTTGTACTGGACTTCTAATACATATGTGCGATTTGATGTCGGACTTCCCTAAGATCATGTCTTTGCATTTCCAGTCACTCAGCTCATTTACACGAAATGCTTATCAGATGCTCTCACAGGTGTGTTAGACACGGTCTATGTTCAAGCCTGTCGACAATCTATCTTTATAACGGTACAGCTATTAATCAGTCGTCCCCGCTCTAAACATTCATGCCTCGAGCGCGGTCAACGGACACACCTAACTCGTGTCGAGTAAATTCTGTCCTAGTCGATCCATGTTTTCATGTCGTCAACGCTGAACTTTCTATATATGATATCAAATATGACCTCAACATGAGGTAGGGACATTGAAATTGTCGAGCTCTCCAGTTGTCACTGTACGTCTGGCCAGGGGCCTTGCATACCTGCAAGAAGATTGTCTGTATGAACGCCTATTACAATAGCAATAACAAAATCATAACTCACGGACGTGTTGAGCATACGGGGGCCGCCAGGAACAATTACCGTCACACAGAGACAAGAAAGACCTGTGGGTGGACAGCTAGTAGTATCAGTAGAGATATTCAGGATATTGGTTTAAACATCGTCATCATGTATAGCAAAACACTTGACTAGATACTGCGATGAAACATTGGCCAGACCAACTTGAATGTCTCCTGGAAATCTACTTCAGAATAAGTATAGCTAGGCTCGGCTGACGCACCTTTTTAGTCGTTACAAGTCGGCTCGGTGACTCCTCAGTGTCCTCACAATCACAGTTTGCAACCACGAAAAAATGAGCAAGAAACAGTAAATATTAGGTGGTAAAACTACTAAGAGACAGATGTATACGTATAGAACGGCGAAATAAAATAATGACACTGAAAGGTATTTCAACCAATTGCATGAGTGCGTTACTGAAGTCGTAAGCGTTCGTAAGTGTCCGTAATAACATGCTTATATCAAGCCTTCATTTTTAGTGGCTTCGCAGAGCCTTTCATCCTAGTACGACACCTTCGACTTACAACGACTCGGAGTCACGAAGGTGTACGACCACAAATTTTGGCGAAATGAAGTCTAACGATGGGCCCGTGTTTCTCTCTATCGCTGAGGAACTCCGGTTCTACATTCTACGTTTCCTTCCATACCGAGACATTCTTCGTTGCGCATCTGTGAGCCGCAATCCAGTTGCTATATAATTACCATCCAAGATGGTATTCTAATGTGACAATTCTTGTGCAGGTATGTAAGGCTCTTCGCCAGACGTATGTATCCTCCTCCTCGCTTCAGTACATCGTTGAACTGGGCGGCCAACATTTGCTTCCCATATCCAACGCGGACGACCACACACCTATTTCCGAGCGCCTACAGTGCTTGAAGGACAAAGCTCACGCTTGGTTCAGAGTTGACATCCGCTCTGCCAAGACAATTTCTATACCACATCAGGCACTCTACTGGGAGAGTTTCATGGCCGATAGACATCTTTTCTTGTGGGACAAACTTGAAGTTGACACGGCCACCATCATTCCAATACTGACAAAGCCTTCACAACGATCAGTCGAGCGTGACTGGCATCCAGGAACGATGTGTAAAGTTCCCAACTCAACCAACATCTGTACATTCATGGACCCAGCACAAAACCTGTTTGCTGTCGCCTATGTTGATCAGATTCACGAGACATTCTTCATCAACCTTACAACCCTGGATAATGGTAGTTTTCACCCCCAAGCTGCTGGACCAACGTTGTTTCTATCAGAGTTTTTCGAATACGAGGACAGTGATTCGGGAGCTGTGAGGCTCAAGGTTATGGGGAGGTATATCGCTTTGCAGCGTGCTTCGTCGGAATTTGGGACGTGGCAGCTGCAGATTTGGGACTGGCAACACTCAATAACATCAGATGTGAGTTTTGCTCAGGGACCGTTCAAATATTTCACAGCTGACTTTTGATTTAGAATGTCCTCCGAATCAGCGACGGATATCCGCATAGTATTGAATTTTGTTTCCTCGGAAACGATAGACTCCTCGTTGTCGCTGACAATTTGAAACTCTATTCAATTGAGGATATGTCCCACACACCGCAATTGCTGGCGTCTTTTGTGCTGCCCATCCGACTGTTGGGCAGCACAGCATGTATCCTTCCGGTGGATGGTATGGAGTGTAGCTCACAACTGCAGATGCAAGCCCAACAAACAGTGCACACCTCAGATCCTAAACACCGGCTACTCTGCATTACCATGACCAAGTTTTCGCGTGCTTTTATCATCTATATCATTTCTACCAGGATTTTCTTCGATCTTCCTGAAATGGCAGGAGCGATGCCAATCCCGTGGCAATGCTGGGGTCCTTCAAATACTCGTGTTGACTGGCACCCGATAGCAAACGGAGAATGCAAAGTTCACCTTAGCAGGAATCGAGTTTTACTGTTAGTCCCAGACTACGAGGAAATCAGGGACAGCAAATGCAAATTATGTATCATGGACTTCAGCCCGCTAGCTGTAACGAACAGGCGGGGTCTAGGAAAAGTGGTGATAGAGCCGTCTCCCGTAAACGTCAATAATATAATGTGCGTACACAACGGCATTCAGAAGCGCTTGTCGACTTTCCTGCCTTACGTCGAGGTCGTATTGGACAGAAAGTTCGGTATGCACGAATTGAAGAACATATGGATGGATGAGGATGGGATTTATTTGCTCTCGGAGAAGCTAATCGAGGTCATTGACGTTTAGGATAGATCTTGTCTAGACTCTAGCTCTAATACCTATGTAGACTTCCCTGAGATCATCATGCCTTGCATTTCCAACATGGAACGTTAGATGCTAACAGGTGAGTCCAACGCAGTACTTGTTTAAACTCGAAGCCTGTCGACGATCTATCTTTATAACGGTACCGGCTAGTGATCAGTTGTCCTCGCTCTAAACATTGATGAGCTGGAGCGCGATCAACGGACGGACCTCGAGCCTCATTTGTGTCAAATAAATTCTATCCCGGTCGATCCATGGTTTTCAAGTTGTCAACGCTAAACTTAAATATGATATCAAATACGACCTCAACATAAGGTAGGGATATTGAAATTGCTGAGCTCTCCGCATACTCGCCACTGGGTGAAATTCATGCTAGATGTCTCTTTCCCTGGTGGCACCACTCGTCATAGACCCCGCCTGTTCGTCGCAGCTAGCGGGGTGATAGTATATACTCTGTGATTCCGAGTCGGGTATGGCTCGTGGACTGGGAATGCCTGCAAAACTCAATTGCCGCGTACGTCTGGCCAAGGGCCTTACAAGAAGGTTGTCTGTATGAACACCTATTAGAACAGCAATAACAAAATCATGACTCACCGATGTACAGCATGGAATATCTCGGCAAGGAATAGAAAAAGTATGAATGCCCAACCAACCGCAGGGACGATTACCGTCACACAGAGACAAGAAAGACCTGTGGTTGCTACAAGTGTGGGTGGGCAGCTGGTAGTGTCGGTAGAGATACCCAGGATATCGGTTTAAACATCGTCATCATGTATAGCAAAACACTTGACTAAAAATTGCGATGAAACACTAGCCAGACCCATGTCTCCTCGAAATCTACTTCAAAATACCAAATAAAATTAATCAATACCATTCCGAAAGTAAGTAAGAATAAATAAAAGCAAATTCCCATGCTTCCTATGGAGCACCAGACACCCGTCAACTCGACCGAGCATCACACACTACCGCTGGTTGATATGCGCACGCGCTCCTGGAAAGCCATCGAGGTCATACCAGTCGCCGAGTCAGAATCGACCACGAGCTTAGCATGATACTCTCGAATACTAAGTATCAGGCGGGGTCCCAGCAAAAACATCTGCACGACTGTCAAAATCTCAAGAAACCCAGCATAAAGCAGAGTGTCCAAGGAATTTTCCTAGAGAAACGATAAACGATAATAGCATGCAGAGGTAAGCGAAAGATCGATGTACCGTTGAGAGTGTTGGAGAAAAATTGGTAATGAGCTGGAAGCAGGAAACAGCAACAAAGCTACCGCGTTCGGCCCTTCAGTGGGGAAAAGGAAACGATGGTCACAATATGAACTTGCCTCGCAAAGTAAAGCACGTGAGTTTTCATCAATACCATGAAACAATCCTCCATAATCCTTCCTGCCGAAAAGGGCCGCAGTTCATGGAAGTGTTTGACAGCAATCCGAACTGCGAGGCATAGTGCGAGGACCTCCCACACAGTGCTGAGTATCCAAGTAATAGAATCTAGATGTGAGATGTCTTCAGGATAGCTAACCGAGCACTGATAAGTGTCGGAGAGAACGGGTTTCTCTGGTATTCATCAATGAGCCCCATGCATGTTTGTTTTCATCCACAATTGAGCGTACCAGCTGAAACATGCATCGTCATCAGTACGGCGACTACTCCTTCAAAAATGTTGACAGCCAGGAAGGTGACAATGAGAAATATCAGGATCTTTCTGGACCTTTGATACATGGCATGCAGCCGAGTGATGATGATGACTTGTAGCATGTTTTAGTCGAGTCGATATCACTGAAGTCTTACAAGTGTCAAACTCACCACCCAACATTGGAAATACCAAAACACTCGTCCAAATCTGTATAACGTACATAGTAAAGCCTGAGGAATCTAGTCAGTGACCAAGGTCGGGTAGCACGCACTCCGAACAGACTCACATCTGTAGCAGTATAACGCGACAAGCATTAGTGAACCAAGAAGTCAGTAAGGAATCACACCGACTTCTACAAGAAACCACGGTTAATTGGAGGGAAATAGTACTAGGCATCTGTACAGAAGACTCACTGTATCAGTCAGTGAGATATTCCCAACGTCGCCTGTATGCCGTTGGTCAGACGAAGCGAAGACAGTGAATGTGCTAAGGGGGACGCACTCAGCACAGACAGGCTGATTGTGAGAGATAAACAATTAGTATGGCATCGATCGTTTAGCCCTCCAAACATACATAGCGAGTAAGATACCAAGGTAGCGCACCTAAGATACTTTCACGTCAGCACAACATGGCAACCGCGACAAACAAGCCGACATACACTGAGATACAGAGCTGTAATTAGGGACCAGCGTTGCCTCTAGAATTAAGTATACTTTCATGTATGTTCCTCTGACACGAGACTCTACTCACCCAGATCAGTTCGACCTATAAACCCATTCTTAGCGAGATGCTCCGGTCAAATCATTGACATACCTCTCGTCCGAATGTAAGTACTAAAAATACTCGTAAGATATCAGCATTCTTTTAATATCATTATCATATTCACCCCAATCATATGATACTCCCACAAAGGCGGCAACTGCAAGACCGTAGTCAAAATCAGATCAGCATCGATATCCGACTACGCTCCACAAACCTGCAAAATAGCTGGAAACACCATGTATATTGATGGTCGGCCACAAAGTGGGATCATTCGAGACTATGGTCATATTGGCAGAGAATGGGTGTGGGGGAGCGGCGAACTTGGCGGACGTATGGCATCGGTGCTAATACCATCATGATCGTCCAGTGCTCGGCAAGTATTTGGGCCACCGAAGCGAGATTGATGATCGTTCCTACTTTGATTAGCCGAAGTGAGTATTTTTACACGAAGAAAGATAGGCGCTCAGCGGCTCAACATAGAATCTTGTGGTGCCATCGTGAAGCGGCGAAATACATGAGCATGCGCACTGCAAGAGATTAAAGAACTTCAACATGCATGCGTACAGCTTGAACTTCTTGCTGCCTTGATATCGGACTTTTGTCTCACAGATGCCAAAATTGGGTAAGTGCAGAATCTTCAATTCGCAACGTGGTACAGCAGTACACGCATCACTTCTTACAGCCAGAAACGTACTAGCTGAACTGCGATGATAACAGGCATCAGTTTACACAGCCAGGAGCATTCTAGTTGAAAATCCATGATTGGTATCTAGTGAAGTTACGATGGCATCCCTGAATTGAGACGGCACTGAGAGATGATATGGAGAAAGAAGACTCGGACGCGCTGATATGATTGCATGAAGGCTGGTTCTTCAAACTATACTGGCTGATGCCGTAAAGCCTGATCGTCAAGCTTCAGCAAATGACTATACCCCAGGGCTCTTATGACTCACCGCGGCCACACCACGTACAGCTTTGTCTAAAAACGACCTAGGTGTGATGTGACTTAGAAAAAAGAAGCTTTCCATCGCAATGACCTCTCTATGGGCATCAGCATTCACAGGCCCGAACATGACAGCACCCCCGAGGTCGTTCAATGAGAGGGGCTTGCGACTCGGATGGAATGTAGAACAAGGAAGATTCAAATGGAACAGACAAATGACTCACCTGTACAACCCCTTCAAGCACAACTTTCAATGCCCCTGCTCCGCCGTGTCTTAAGCCTGTAGACGTAGCCCCTCACCTCGGTCATCAGCTATCTGTATCATAGGCATGGTAAGTATAGAACTGATACAAGGCGCACCACACATCAATTTGTCACAGCCTGATTGAAGATCCGTTGTTGATACGCAGAGAATATAACAGAATCCCTGACTGACACGTTACTAGGTCTGAAACGTCGAGTGCTTGACGTATTGTCCGTGATGTATAAGCCGGGCTGGTCACGAGCCTATGAGTGCTCAACATGAGTACAACTGAGTCCAGGGTTGCTCTACCTATTGTGAGTCATTCTGTTATGCCAGTGGAGCCTCCCAGGAGGGTGAGAATGAAAGTTTTGGGATCTGAGTGGAGTTACTAGTCACCGCCGCTATCACTGGCACAGAATCGCGAGGCGGCTGGTCTTCTGGAACACTATAAGTGCGCGAAGCTGAGATTGATCGAATTATGTACTAATTTGTCCTCCAAGGAGCTTGAGGACTGAGTCAAAGGATCTATGCCGCATCAGCTGTGGAGACAATTAAATTGAAGCTTATAGGGACTGTTGAATAGTTACATAATTCAAAGATGCGCCCATTTCCATGCTGCGTAAGCACCTCACCAACGCCATTAGCTTCGAGTGACTAACCCAGGACCCTAGTCATCATGCATCAAAGTTCAACATCAGCCTGAGGTAACATAGATTCTGGGCTGCGCTGAGATTCTAGTCCAAGAACTTTCAAGACCCTTGGTGCTTCGTACTAATAATCCATCGAGTGCCTCTGTTGAATACAAAGTTCAGTGGTCCCATTTTTCTTCCCACAGATCAGGGACAGGTTCACAGCCTCCATCGATATCGCTAGGGTAATCCTATCAATGATGCATCATTCATGTCAAAATTGTTTCCGTGCCTTGGCAAAGAAGAATGGATCAGCTAAGCATCGACTGTCTTCGGAACTTTCTGACATTGAAGCGTACTGATGGCGCACGCATAATCGTAATATAAAGGCACCAGTACTCGGTTCTCGCTGTAGGAATCAATAATCCCCCCGTTCGTGTCCCTCTCCTCACCGTAAGTACAAACAGCTCGAAAGTCCTCCGTTTTTCTCATCCTTACATAAATCTGAGAACAGGATCGGCCAGGATGCGACTCTGGCCCAAGCTCCCAGTCACTACGCAAGACGTAACTATAACTTGTTACGATGACTTGGGTAATCCAAAAACGCACGGTCTAGAGCAGAGATATGTCAGCCCTACTACTGGGATCTGTCGAAAACTCGTCGTGCAAGCTATCGCTCCCTCTGGAAAATTCGAAGTCCCCATCAGCAACCACACCAATCAGGCAAGCAAAATCGCCATATGGCTGCTAGCTAATTCCCCCGTACGAGGGTGGATCATTCTTAAATGGATAACCGTGTGGTTGTGGTTTACCTTGAAGCTCTTCTGGTCAGTCGTATGGCTGCTCGCGCAGCTTTTCTCCCCCATCGACTTGGCAGATGACACTGGGGAAGATACCGACTTGTTTAACACCGGATACTACAAATCGTACGCTCGCGGCTTCCAGGGTCAGCTATGGGCAGCCCGTTCGCCTATGGAGCATTCTTCCCGCATTATCGAGGAGGGTGAGATGGATGTTCCTACGCATACCCTTTATCCTCGACTCCTTATCATCCGCGACCCGTTCCGAAATGTGTGGACCCCATGTACAGATCGTGATATCATCATCCGTACAAAATTCATCGCCATCTCTTTCCGCGCCCTTGATGCCTACACTCGAGGCGCAGATGACGAGGCGATTCAAAAAGCTCAGTTCATTGAGGAGGTTCGTGCAGCTGTGATCGAACAAAAATACAACGCGTATTGGCTCGACTTGGAGTGTATAGGAGAGACGCCGTCAGAGAAGAATCTGGATTTGTACTGCATGGCGGACGTCTACCGTGGAGCAGATTTGACTTTGATCATGCTCGGAAAATCTGCAGCTGGGGAGGACGAGTGCTGGAGAGGCTGGGGCCAACGGGTGTGGACTATGCCCGAGGCCCTCCTGAGCTCTCGCCTTTGCTACAAGTTCCGAGATCGGGAAGCGACTACGCCCTTGTCGTTGTTTGAGTTGGCTAACCTAGCCTATACAAACTACGATATCGAACAAGCTATCATCAACGCATACAGCGGCAAGGATCCGCTTGAGAGGTTGGAGCGCTTAACGCTGTTGAAATCAGCTATATGGCGTCGCGGCACAGCAGCTCTAGCATCAGGTATTGCTCCTCCCCCACCAAAGCTGGATATGATAGGCGACTCCGAGAAGCCTGTCGTCAGCGGGGCGTACAAAGCTGAGCGTGTGTATGCGCTGATGGGCTTTTTTGAACACCGGATCCAGCCAAACCGTTCAGAGGACGATTTGCGCGCTCTTGTGAGGCTGTCAATGGCTAACGACAATGACCGTATCGCTGAGCGCATGGTATCCATGCTCCCTTCGACCATCACCCAGACAGCGTGTTGGTACTCTGACGATGATATATACCGCGCCAACCTTTGGGATATCGTACCGGAGATCCAGGTGGCTGGTGTCACGGAGAATGGAGCGCTTGTGGTTGACGGGTGTCGGGCGGCATCCATCAGATGGAAAGATTTCCCCGAGGTTGCGTTTGTGACCACAGATTCATTGAGGAGGACCATCATCGGTTTCGTTCCCTATCTCTCATGGCCGACTCTTATCATCGGGCTAGGCATTTTCATGATGAACAGAGTGGGAGGCATCACGCTCATCGTAATCGGAATCGTGCTTCTTATCATTTCCCCCCGACTTTTCGTTTTCAGTCAATCCGGGCGTATCGTCAGCGCACAACCATGGTTCATCGGAGTAAAAGGCGTCATCAGCATCAAAGAGGTAGAGAGCCACTTGTACGGCGGTGCCAGAGGACACTTCCCAAGAATGTATTTCACGCCGAGCGGATCGCAGTTCTCGATTCCAGAACGAGGCTTGGACCGGGGAGGTTCGTTCAGACAGTACGACTATGCAAAACTAGCAGATAGTGGACCTGATGCGGGACATATCTATACGCTCATCGACACGTGCTCGTCGACGATGTACTATTTCCGTGCGGAGCGACCGCCGACTGTGTGTATATTTGCCGGGCGGGAAGGAGGGCTTGGGAGGTTTGTGCTGTGTTCGGAGAGGTGTGGTATCAATGAGCTACATAAGGAGACCGTGTTGAGGATGCCGACGGAGATCAGTCAGAAGATGGAGCTGTGTGGATGGGTCGCGCTTGGATGAGATCGTTCTGCTGGGAACCTTGCACTTTCCTTTATTAATTTATGTACTTTTACTGACGCTGTTTAGTGTTATAGCCACATATTACCGAGGATGCACTGTAGAGTGTTATCGCTTGAGGTTATTCTTGTTAGGACCAACCTTCGTTATAAAGCTTAAGTTCCTGTCTCTTGCCGAAGAACTTCGGGCCCGTATTCCAGGCTGCCTTTCTTGCATTCGTTGCAAATCCGTGGGTCATTACTAAATATATCTTGACCCGAGCTGTGCACGGAGGTTGTTCATGCATGCTCGCTCTCCCTTGAACAATGCTCTCCCGGGTCAATATCAAATTTGATTTTAACCATAGACAAGCTGAGACTTGCAATCGGGGTATGGCTATCACTGACAGTAGTGGACTGTGTACTTTGTCATAATCCTCCAAGTACTGTCCCCGACCTGCACCGTGCACACACATAAGCTTGATCTACAGCCTATCAATTTTGACGCGCGCACCGCGCAGAGATTTCTAAAAGGTGTGGTCAAAACTCGAATGCTTAGCGCTCGCAACACTGCCTCGAGGCTTCCCTGAGGCATGTAATGATGTCCTTGTATAGATGACCAACCCAAGACCTTTATTCTACTTCGCTTCAACTGCCATTCACAATGAGCGTACGAAACCACTCATCAAGGACTCAGCCAACCAACACATCTAGCGAAGCAGCAGCTCGTGGAAACTCGGTACGTGGCTCATGAAGATCACTTAGTTCACTCCAAATACTGACATCAACGCATCTTTCGTCTAGCATCGACCTCGTAGCAAAATCGGTCGGTTTCTGAAGAAGCTTAAGGAGGATGCGAAAAAGTCAAGGACGGTGAGTCCACGAACATGCATAATGAGCGTACCGAAACACGACTAACATTACCACAAGCGCTTGAAGGATTCCCGCAGCACTGGCCCTCCTCCCGAAAATGTCGTTCATGACGAACGTGCTTCGTCAAACCCAAATATCGAGGTGGGTTCTCATGCTTTCCCTTCAGTCTCTGTTCTCTAAATTCTGGCGGTCGCGCAGGTTCAGGCTGGTCCGTCTACTGTAAAACCAGAGCCTGATATCCAATCGGCGCTTAGGGATGCACAGGATGCTACAAAGCACATGCATTCACTTCCGGGACCTGCGATAACTGTGGCGTCTGCTGGTCAGAATGCACAAGCGGATCTCGATACTGCAGGCAAGTTTGAGGACACGTATCTCAAACCCCTCAAGATATTCGATACTGTTATCGGAGAGATTGCGAATGTATGGGTCTTCTTCTCGATCAGAACCGAACTAATCCCGTTCCACAGGTCCATCCATATGCAAAGATGGCATTGGGAGTGTTGTCTTGTGCAGCCAAAGTATGTCTTATCCTTATCTCTTCCTATCTTGCATCGATCAGTAATCATTTGTGCAGATTGTTCTAGCTCAAGTAGATCGCGACAAAGCAGTACTCAAGCTTGTCAATAAGCTGTGCCAAGTTTACAGTTTTATAACACAAGACAAAGATCGGATGCTTGGCCAAATCCCGTCGATGCGCATTATCCTTGGACAGATTTCTCAGCAGACCCTCGAATGCGCTCAATTCATTCAAAACTATTCGGAGACCAAGAACTTTTGTGAGTCTAAACAAGCTGTTGTGCTTTGCACCATCTCAAGTTTCTGCCGTGATAACAGGGAAGAGACTCACACAGAACGTCGCCTCAGAAACGAAAGATACCATCGAACAGTACAGTAACGTGTTGGATACGCTCATGCAAAACTTTCGGAACCAAGTCGCTCACGACGTAGCCTTATACGTCCACCGTACGGGTAGGCTTTCGGACGTGCTTGCGATTTGATATATATTCACACTTTTCCAGGAGAAATACAGGATCTCAGTGGCATGACTTACGCAGCTGGCGCAGGCCTAGATACCAGGAAACAATGCCTCGAAGGAACGCGCATGGAAATCCTTTCCCAGATCACGGATTGGGTCAACCGCACTGGTAACGACGTTCAACCCGTGCTGTGGCTATCTGGCCCTGCAGGCAAGGGGAAATCGGCCATCGCCCACACCATTGCCAAGTGGTTCAAGGACGTGGGAGGGCTTGGTTTGTGCTACTGCTTTGACCGCGAGCAGGAAGCAGCTCGTCGCCATGAAAAGATCTTTTCCACGATCGCGCGCGACCTGGCTGACCGTGACCCGGAGATGAGACGGGCGTTAGCAGATGCAGTTCAGAACGCGAATGATCTTAAGAATACGGCGGATATCACCCAGCAGTGGCAGAAGCTTCTCATCGAGCCACTAGGAAAGTCATCTGGGTCTACTGATAAACCCATCGTGATTGTGATCGATGCACTGGACGAAAGCGGCGGAGCAGAGACGCGGAGAGACCTCCTCCGTATTCTAGCTGGCAAACATCGAAACCCCGACGTTCCCAAAATAACAGACCTCCCGAACAACTTCCGCTTCATCATCACTTCTCGGCCGCTCGGTGACATCCATAATGAGTTTCACGATGTTCGGCATATTCGACAGATGTCGATGGACGATATTCCACCAGAGTTCGCAGAGCGCGACATCCGTGCTTACGTATCCAAGGAGTTAGAAGGGCTGAATTTCCAGGATGATGAGTTCGCAATCCTCGCTGAGAAAGCTGATGGACTTTTCGAGTGGGCGCGTCTCGCCTGCGGATATATCCAAGAGCCTCATTTTGGGATATCTCCAATTGATTGCTATAAGGCTGTAGTGTCACACAATCCTGTCGAGAGAAGCATGCTGTTGTACAGCATGTATGATCTCATTTTAACAAATATTTTGCCCAAGAATACATCCACACATGTCCAGCATTCGCAGAATCTACGTTCGACGGCGCTAGCCAGATTCCACTCAGTGATGGGGCAAATACTGGCCACAGCCGAACCCCTTCCTATAGCTTCCCTGAACGCCATGAGGCACCATTTCCCAACACGAGAGAACAATTTCGACGTGGAGCTTGTGGTCAAAAGCATGGGCTCTCTTCTCAGCGGCACCACCAATCCAGGTTCCCCAATCCGACCCCTTCATGCATCCTTCCGCGATTTCTTGACGGACAAACAGTCCAGCGGAGAGTTTTTCATTGACCTGTCAATGGTGCAACGCGACCTGGCATTCGCGTCGCTTAGAACTATGGAACACAACCTGCGCTTCAATATTTGCGATTTAAAGTCGTCGTATCTGCCTAACAGTGAAGATCCCGGACTGCAAGAACGAGTCAAAAAATGCATCCCCCCACATTTATCATATTCCTCTAGATTTTGGACGTCGCACGTACGAACTACAGCGTTCGACAAGGAGCTCGCGAAAGAGGTGAAATCGTTCTTCGACCACGAGCGGCTGTTTTTCTGGCTCGAGGTGCTCGCCCTGATCAATGCTCTTAGCGGTGCAGTTCGTGCCCTTGCGCTCATCCCCCAGTGGCTAAAGGTGAGCACACTGCTACAGGGCCAGACAAAAACTCACGCGCAAGCCCAGGGTCATTCCGAATTCAAAGATGTCTCGTCGACTGCAATGGATGTACAGAGGTTCATTCAAGTGTTTGGCGGCATCATTTTACACAGCACACCACATCTCTATGTATCAGCACTTCCATTCTTGCCTGCCAACTCTCCGCTATCAAGAGAGCTTTCTACACAATTTCCGAACATTCTTCGTGTAGCATCTGGACGTATTATGAACTGGCCGGCTGTTCAGGCCGTGCTCAGGGGGCACGCTTCCCAAGTTTTATCGGTCTCGTTCTCGCCGGACGGCACTCGCATCGTCAGTGGTTCTTCGGATAACACTGTTCGGCTGTGGGATGCTGCGACGGGTCAGCCAGTCGGTGAGCCCTTGCAGGGGCACACTAATACAGTTTCCTCGGTCTCGTTCTCGCCGGACGGCACTCGCATCGTCAGTGGTTCTTCGGATAACACTGTTCGGCTGTGGGATGCTGCGACGGGTCAGCCAGTCGGTGAGCCCTTGCAGGGGCACACTTATACAGTTTCCTCGGTCTCGTTCTCGCCGGACGGCACTCGCATCGTCAGTGGTTCTTGGGATAACACTGTTCGGCTGTGGAATGCTGCGACGGGTCAGCCAGTCGGTGAGCCCTTGCAGGGGCACACTAATACAGTTTCCTCGGTCTCGTTCTCACCGGACGGCACTCGCATCGTCAGTGGTTCTCATGATAACACTGTTCGGCTGTGGGATGCTGCAACGGGTCAGCCAGTCGGTGAGCCATTGCGGGGGCACACTTCTTCCGTTTCCTCGGTCTCGTTCTCGCCGGACGGCACTCGCATCGTCAGTGGTTCTTATGATAAGACTGTTCGGCTGTGGGATGCTGCAACGGGTCAGCCAGTCGGTGAGCCATTGCGGGGGCACGCTTCTTACGTTTCCTCGGTCTCGTTCTCGCCGGACGGCACTCGCATCGTCAGTGGTTCGGATGATGAGACTGTCCGGCTGTGGGATGCTGCGACGAGGCAGCCATTGCAACAGTGTGCCGAGTCAAATCATCCATTATTTTCCGATGAACATCGCACGATAGAGTCTACCCCTACCGTTCCATTGAATACATGGAAACACCACTTTATTTGCTTCTCGCCCAGCTCCACCCATGCGCTGCGCAAAACTTCTGATTTGATGGAAGGCGCATTCCATGACGACCGCAGTTCGACCCACTTTTTCCTGGATCGTAGCAGTGGATGGATGGTAGGGCCCAATCGTCGGCTGTTATTCTGGGTACCACCCACTTCTCGAGAGTCATTTTATAGCCCTCGAACCACATTAGTGATACCAAGAGGAGGTCCTGAGCTTGATATGAGCCGCATGGCACACGGACAACACTGGCAAAAGTGCCGAGAGGGGTTAGTCTCTTCAAAGTCCTCTCCCTTCCTCGCACGTACTAAAATCTACTTGCAGACCTTGATACCGACGATGACCACAGCATTGGATCCATTTTGGAGATTGCAGATACAATTTATATGTGACCGAGTGTACACTGGATCGTACTTCGTATTTCATTCCATACCCAGCATCTCACTTGTTGCGCCTTTTGCGGAGAGCGGGAGAATTCTTCTATTTAGCTGCGGACATCTGGAGCGGCCATTCACGTAAACGATATATAGCCCAAGATTTACTGTTTCGATCGATTGAAGGAAATATATAGGAAACGCACAAATCCATATCCAGTCAATCTGCAAGACCTGAGCTTAGCTAGGGACGCATCATGTCATACCCAGGGGTGGCAAAGGAGAGGAAATAAACTCATGATCCCCAAGGTGCACAACACCGATAAAATGACCTAGAAACTTGATAAGAGTAATCAACCACTTTTCTGATCGCTCCAATCGCCAAGTCCGAACATACACATCATTCTGCAGCATTTGAGCGCTTAATACGTACATACAATAATTATAAATTGCGATCGTTAATGAAATTTATCTGGCAAACGCAACAGCAGATTCATCAGACTCAGATCCAACCTGCAGTAGCGAAGCAGAACTCCAGCTCTGCACTGTTCCAAGATCGTCCTCAAGTCTTGGGTATCTAGCCAAATTCATGGCAGCTTCATCAATTCGCTCCAAGATACCCCCATGGACTTTACCCCATCAAACAAAGCGCCAGTTTCTTCAAGAGTGCGAGCTGAAGAAGAAAAAACAGTTCACGAGAGCTCGACGAGGCGAGGAGATAAACGATCACCTCTGGTCTCGATGATATACACCATCACGAACAGGAGTTCCAAGATAAGTCATCCACAGTAAAAGAGGTACTATACGAAAAAAGGTCGATCGATCACATGAATGAGATTTGACGACGTACATATGTCCGTCCTATGGTGTTCAGTGCCACAGGATTGAGGAACGAGTTAAAAGCGATGATCGAACAGAGAGCCATATTCTGTACGTGACGTCAGGCAGCATTCGAAGACAGAGCGAAAGAGGCCGATCATAATTGCAAACCATTTGGCACAAATGATATAAGGCAAAATTTCGAGCGTATACATCACAAGCATCGACGTATACGGAAAGTCGTAGAATAGATAGTAGATAAAAATGAGAGGCGTGATAGCTGTTTGAGCTTGATCATTAGCTTGCACCCGTTTAGACGCAAGGTGTTGAACATGCCTTTCGCATCTACCACATTCCCGGACTGACTAAAAAGAGCGATCGCGACCGTCCACATAGAGAAGGCTGGACAGATGATAAGCCTTCAATTCAGCACCACAAAACAGTACTGACCTTTCAGCATGCCAATGTTTGAAATCAAGGATATTTTCCTCCTCCCTGATTTGTCCACCACCATCATGCCCACCAGCTAGTTAGATTGAGAATCTGAACGCGTAAAATGCGCATTAATTTTGAGTTCTGCTTCTGAGAGACCATGGATGAACCTGCAGACCGCGTCAATGACTGCTTTCGTTCTAGTCCGGGTGATCCCGCTGTTGAAATGTCTGTTAGATTATGGACCCATCTGAAATCATCGATGACGTACACCCTCTCCACGACCGTGTTGATATAATACGACACCAGACCATTACCGCTGAGACGAACGTCACAAACCTCCACTGTGAGAATACCGCGATCCATATAAACACGCTGTCTGTTGCTGGGAGTCGAGAAGCATCTCAGAGGATTTGCCGGAGGTAAACTCCCGTTCGAGGCCCGTTCAAAGCATGTCAGATTTGAGCCAGCTCGAAAGCTACTAGAGGGTTGCCGCGGTTCGTCCTCTATTTCAGCTGTTTGAACTTCCAGGCAAGACTCGGATCACGTTTTAGGCGCTGACTAAATCGGAAAATTTACTTCGAATTTTCATAACCTCCCACTCACTCATATCCGTGTTAACCGCCGTGTCAAGAGTATGGAGTACGAAATCAAGCCTAAACCACTATTCCTATCCCTTGCCGAAGAACTCCGGATCTATATTCTAAGCTTTCTTTCTTGCAGAGATATCCTCCGTTGCACATCCGTGGGTCATTGTCATTGTCCTAAACAGAATTTCATACTGAGTCACCAGTCCTTTCAGGTATGCAAGGCCCTTCGACAGACATACATATCGTCTTCCGAACTCCAGTACACCGTCGAACTCAGCGGTCAATGCTTACTCCCTGTCTCCACGAACGATCACACCCCTATTTCTGAGCGCCTATGGCGCTTGAGGGATAAAGCTCACGCATGGTTCAAGTTTAATGCTTATGCTTTCCGAACGGTCACCCCACCAGTCTTGTATCCTGAGAGGCTAAAACACATCACCGGTGAACATCTCTACTCGTGGGACCACCAAAACAACTTGGTCACCGTCAGCACAATGCCATCCAAACTCTCACAACGAACGATCAAGCACAACTGGTCACCAAGAACGTTGTGTCCATTTCCTTTGCAAGTGAAGCAGAATACATTGATGGATCCAGCACAAAATCTGTTCGCCATCATGCATGTTATCAACGGGGTAACCTACATTTATCTAGCAACTCTGGATGGTCGTGTTCACCCTCACGCTGCTGAACCGGCGCTGGTTCTAGAGTCGCCCGTATATGAATGGCAGGCGAAGCTCAAGTGTTATGGGAGGCATATCGCTGTGTGGCACGACTCTTGCATTGATGCTTTGAGGTCTTTGACGACGTGGCAGCTGCACATTTGGGACTGGCAGCAGTCGACAACATCCAGCGTGAGTGTTCAGCTTGAGTCGCAAATGGTTGAAGAATTTAAAATTGAATTCTAATTTAGAGTGTCCTCAGCAGCGGAGTACAAGGTCCAGGTTGCATCCCCGCCAGCTTTTGTTTTCTCGGAAACGACAGGTTGCTCGTCGTCGGCGAAGATTTGAAGCTGTATTCGATCGAGGATATGTCCAGGACGCCACAATTGCTGGCGTGTTTCCTGTTGCCTTTCCCGTTGGTGGACTTGGAGCACTTCTTTCAGGGTGAGCATAGCTCACATCCGCGGACGCAAGCCCAGTTGGTGTACACCCCAGACCCTGAACATAGACTGCTATGCCTCACCTCGTCAAAATTTGATGACGAACCAACAATCTTCTTCATCTCCACAAAGATCTTCTTCGACATCGACCAAGCGGAGGCACCAACGCCATTACCATGGGATCATTGGGGCCCTAGACATGTTCGCGTTTTCAAGTATAAAGACCGATCCGAATTCACAGTTCACGTCAGCGGCAATCGAGTTTTGCTGGTGAACGAGATAATGCCAATGACAAAGGAATATGAGTTGCGTATGATGGACTTTAGCCCGCTGGCCGTGACGAATAGGCGAGGTTTAGGACGAGTGGTGGAAGAGCGATCTACCGTGTCGGTGGTCCATGGTGGTTCCAGTGATGGGTCGCATGGATACAGTAGCAATTGGTGCTCGACGATTGAAACGTCTTTGCCTTACGTTGAGGTTGTATCGGATAGGAAGATTGTTGGTGGGTGGTTGCAGAATGTATGGATGGATGATGATAGGGTATATTTGCTGCTTGCGTTCGGGGCTGTGAACGGACCATATATAGGGCCGTTTGAACCTAATAAGCTCGAGGTTATTGATATTTAGGGCTTGGTGTAGCACGAGCGGAAACCCACGATCATTTATTTTCACTAGCGGCATGACGTTCGTAATGGCAGCTGATTATCACGCTTAACTTGAAGCTGCTTAAACCCTTTGGGCCACAGCTGCTGCCTTTCTTTCATCTCCATTTACACCTCCTCGTTTATTTTTGACTTGAAACAGTACACACCGGTAGCACTGTTTGGCGTGGCTGTCCAACAACGCTGGCACCTAGGAGAGGAGTTTCTCGTAACCTGACAGCTTCTAGCTGTGCCACAGGAGGTCCTCGGGCCTCTATATCAACCCTGAACTCCTCCGAGTCTTGTCGTCCTTTTCAACTATTAGCCCGACATCGTCGTTGGACTCGTCAAAACTCATCTCACTACCACCACCGTAACTCAATATGGCACCGGCCGTGCCCAAGAAAGCCCAAAAACTTGGGCGCGCCCTCAAATCCGCAGCCCGCTTCCCGGGCCGTGGTAGCGGCCGAAACCACTTCTCTCCATCCCCAGGCGAACAACCAGTCGTCTTCCTTCGCGTTCAAGTAATTGGTTGTCGTAACCTCGCCAGGGCTCGAAATGGCGCACAAGCAAAAGAGGGCGACCTCAATCCGTGAGTCCGACTCTGCTACTCTCGTCATCATACACGACGACCCTGACTTCTTATGATCATGTGATTATAGTTTAGTCGTCGTTTCCCTACTCAATAATCGACACCACACTCCTGTCCTCAAACGCACTCCTAACCCGTCCTATGCTGCTAAAGACGCCACCTTCGACTTTCCTATCTATCTATCTCTTGCTGATAGGCTAGGGTCCGTCGAACTAGTCGTCTGGGACAGGGACACCTTGAAATTGAAGAAAGAATACGTCGGAGAAGTCGCGCTTACTCTCGAGTCCTGGTTTCGGGACGGTGATGAAAATCTGCTTGTCGATAGCCTAGGTTTCTCAGCTGAAACTAATCAGGTGCGTTCCCCTCTTCCATATCCATACAGCTCCGTATCAATACGAAGCTGTAGCCACGCCCTGTAAGCCTCGTATCGACACGTGCAAACACACATGCATCTGGAATGGCAGTAGTCAAACTTGGTTTCGTTGCACCTCCTGGTGTACAATCCCCAATGGCTTTTGAACGTGTCTTTGCTGAGCTCGTAAAACGATCCCGCCCGAGTCTCGTTTCTGCCCCTCCAGTACGTCTCGCGTGTTTCTTCTTCCTTTCCCGATTAAATATTTCTCATAGACAGAAGGTATCGGCACCATGCGATCTCATTTGTCAGGCCCAGCATACGAAGACGATGGTGGAATCAGTTCTGATGAAGAAGACCAGGATGATGATGATGTTGTAGAGGAAGGAGAAGTAGAGGATGAAGGCCTCTACCTCTCCCATCTTTACCTCTTTCCATATCTCTCACAAGATGAGACTCACGAGATCCGAGAACCCGAGATAGCACGTCCCACAGCGGCACCCTACGACCTCCCGCGTCTTCATCTTCCTTCCCCGACATTCTCCCCTGTCCAATCCCAGGAACAGGAACCTGAGACAGCGCGTCCGTTACCTCCTGTTCCGCCCACTACGCCCACCACCACAATTCCACCTGTTATGCCCAGCACCACGTCTACATCGAAAAGCAGACTCCCAAAACTTTTCCCCCGTCGGCCCAACCTCCTCACTTCACCATCCTACGACACGAATGCTCCTCCTACGAACCGCTTACACCGACGATCAGTGAGTGCGGGTGCTCTTGCTCCTCTCCCCTCTCCTGCATCACCGGGTCCTTCTAGTGCCGTCAGTCAGACACAGAAAAAGAGGTTCCGAACATCTTGGGCAAGCAAAAAAGTAGACTACAACTTCTCCACTTCAAACTCAAACGACATAGTCGGGATCGTGATGCTCGAGATACAAGGCGCGACTGATTTGCCTAGGTTGAAGAACAGTGCGTTACTTATTGTCGTTTACGTCCGTCGTTGACTCTTTGTAGTGACCCGCACCGGCTTTGACATGGATCCCTTCGTAGTGATCTCTTTCTCCAAAAAGATTTTTCGTACGCGTATCATCCGGCATTCCCTCAACCCCACCTGGGACGAGAAACTCCTCTTCCACGTACGTCGATACGAGACGTCATTCAAGGTCCAAATGACGGTCCTTGACTGGGATAAGTTATCGAGTAACGATCACGTAGGCGATGTCTGGTTAGACGTCGGCGAACTGGTCAGAGATGCGCCGCAGCCTGATCCGCGGACAGGGTTGTATGCAGGTGTGTGCGGGAAGAACAATGCAGAAGGAACCGGAGAAGGAAGGGAGATGAAGCAGTTTTGTATGCCCTTGACGACGGCGAAAGAGATGGCTTGGGAGGCGAAGCATAATCCTACTATTTCCTTCCGGTACGCTCGTCTTATCGCCTACTATCTTCATCTCTCAAGTTTTGTGACAGTGCAAAATTCCAACCCTATGCCGAGCTTCGTCAGCGATTTTGGGCACAGTATCTGAAGCAGTACGACACAGATGATACTGGTGCCATATCGCGCGTGGAACTCACCTCTATGCTTGATTCTCTTGGCTCGACACTCTCTGCGCAGACTATCGACTCCTTCTTCACTCGTCACCTGCAAACGACCAGCAGAAGACGAACTAACCTTGGAAGAATCGATCCAATGTCTAGAAACAGAGCTCGTGCGGCCCGCATGCGAAAAGAAGAGGATCGACACTGTAGATGCCTTCATGGACAGAGATATCAGTGCATCTGCATCAGAGTCGATCACGCCTGGAGAAGAAAACCTAACGCTTGGGCGGCCGTTCTTGGGCGGCCTGGATTTCTCAGGTCCGCCCTTGAGCGCAATATTCGGGGAGGAGTCGCCTACGGATTTGGCAGGGTTGTTTGTGACGGAGCCGAGTGATAGACCGTTATTGCGTGTCTGTGTCCCGGAGCCGTCGTCTACAGCGTCGACGTCTGGTGGCTCTAGATCCAATAACTCGAGGCAGGACTCTGCTTCGTCGTCTGATCCCGACGATGTAACTTCAACCCAGGTGTCCTCCTCAGACACCTTTGAGCGGGTTATCAATATCAAGAATTGCCCGTTGTGCCATCGACCACGATTGAACTCAAAAGCGGAGATGGACATCATCACACATCTGGCTATATGTGCTAGTCAGGACTGGGCGAAGGTGGATAAGATTGTTGTGGGGAACTTCGTGACTGCGAGTCAGGCACAGAGGAAGTGGTATACGAAGGTTATTTCGAAGGTGTCGAATGGGAACTATAGGATTGGAGCTGTGAGTCGCAATAGCTGTCGTGTTGCTTGGTTGGGTCGTGCTGATTATGTATCTCTTAGAACTCGGCGAACATCATTGTGCAGAATCGGATGACGGGGCAGCTGCAGGAAGAGAAGATGCAGGTGTATGTTCGGCTCGGAATTCGGTTATTGTATAAAGGTGCCAGAGGGAGGATGGAGGGTGCACGAGGTTCGCACATCTATATTCATATCTGTTGTTCTTCCAACATGTCTTATTTTAGCTCGTCGACTTCTCAAGTCGTTATCCATCAAACAAGGCGCTAAATACGACTCGCCAGAATCTGCTCGCGATATTCCAGGTTTCATCGAGTTCCATGGGCTTCAAGTCAATGAGATCTTGGAGCCGATAAGCTCTTTCAGTATGATTTTTTTTTACCTCCCCTATGCGTATCCCCACTGACTTTATTTTGGTTTGTCAGAAACCTTTAATGATTTCTTCTACCGTAAACTCAAGCCCTCCGCCAGACCCACCGAAAGCCCCGACGATCCCCGCCGTCTCGTTAGTGCCGCCGACTGTCGTCTCATGGTATTTGAAACTGTCTCGGAAGCTACAAAGCTTTGGATCAAAGGCCGCGAGTTCAGCATTGCGAGATTACTGGGCGATGCGTACCGTGATGAGGCGGAGAGATATGTGGGTGGGCCTCTGGCGATTTTCAGACTCGCACCTCAGGATTATCATCGGTTCCATGTTCCTGTGGATGGCAGGATTGGGGAGATCAGGGATGTGAAGGGGGAGTATTATACTGTGAACGTGGGTGTTTTTGCCTTTGTTTTGATTGAGTGGGGACTAATGCGCGGTGACGTGATTAGCCCCAAGCAATTCGGAGCGCACTAGATGTCTATGGAGAAAACGTGAGAAAGATCATACCTATCGATAGTCCACAAGTTGGGCGGGTCATGGTGGTTTGCGTTGGTGCGATGATGGTGGGGAGTATCAAGGTGACTGTTGAAGAGGGGCAGGATGTCAAGCGCGGTCAAGAACTTGGATATTTTGCTTTCGGTGCGCAATCTCTCTGTATTCCGTGTACTCGTTTTCTGAATGAATGTGTCGATACAGGGGGCTCGACGATCGTCGTCTTATTCGAGCGGGGAACTGTGGAATGGGATGAGGATCTAGTGATCAATGGGAGAGCGTGTTTGGAGACGTTGGTCCGAGTGGGGATGGGGATTGGAACTTGTAAGCGGCACAGTCCAAGTCACAGTCACAGCGGTAGGGTATGACCTTGAATTATTTTTTGTGAACGATATTACTAGTATACATGATGATCTTATAGTTGGTTATATATCTATCGTATTCACTAGAGATGGGGCAGTGATATTTATAGCTTCCGTCAGATATTGTTCATTTCCAATTCAAGAAGTACTGAAACAGTGTATAGCCTCATCACCAGGTACTACAGGCTATGTCCCCAAAACAGCCTCGAGCTCCAGCTTACTTATATTTAGCGGTGATATCGAATCCTCCTTTCCACAATTTCCATCTTCTGATCTTCTAAATCATTCTCATGGTGAGCCAATTCTATATCATTCATCTTCCTACTAATCACTTTCAGTTTCACCAACGCGAAGAACGTCTCCGTGATCGCCGCGAACAATTCGAAGAGCGTCTCAATGATCGCCGCGAAGCGCTCGAGGAGCGTCGATTCGGACATGGATGTCACAGAGACCATTCAGAGGAGCGCCGATTCGAACATGGACGCCACAGAGATCATTCAGAGGAGCGTCGACATGAACGACATGAAGACCATCGCCGCGACCCAGATCAGCGCCAGTACTCGCCCCCATCAGGAGGATTAAGCCGGGCGGATTTCGTCTCTGATGAGGAATTTCAGAGGATGATGCATGGAGGCGGCGGGTTCGCACAACCGCGCATGGGAGGTGATCATATCGGTCGTGAGGACTTTGGTGAATGGGATCGTCAGAGGTGAGTTTATCTGATTTGTGTGGCACGATATGAACTGATGATGGGGGATTCGACTAGACCACCTCAGGACGACGGTTACCAAGCATCATATCCGCAGCAGTCCGCCCCTTACGAACAGCGCACATCTGGCTATGAGAGCGGTGCATATTCTCAGCCTTCTCGTAATCAGTATGCTGTCCCAGAATCGCTAGAGCCGCACCATGGAAGCAACGTGTACGCATCACCTACTGGTGCTCCTGGTGGACCACCCAGTCGTGCCCCAGCGGGAGGTTATGCTCCGCCTCCCGGGCCACCGCCTTCAGCTACTAGACCTTCATATGGATACGATGCTCCTCCTCAAGGAGGATCGGGACAAGGCGCTGCGAGTGATTATTACAACGGACCTCCGCCAGGTATGATTAGACTATCTAGTATCGCTTCTCTTAAATTAACGGCGGAGCAGGCCGATCACCACAGCCATACTCGCGCACCCCAGATAACGCAACCGCTTATGATGACTCCCCTAACCCACCTCCCTACCACCCTCAATCCTCGGGCGGGTTCGACGAGGAGAATTACCAATCTCACTTCTCTGCTCACGATCAGGCGTATGGGTAGGTCATTTCTAATAAATTTCCTATCGAATCGAGCTAAATTTAAATGTCATTTCTTGTAGTTCTGGTCATGATGACAGGCCGATGGCGAGTGATGCTATCGGTGCAGCTGCCGCTATCGAAGCGCTGAAGATCACAGCTGCAAATAATCAGTCAGGTGACAGGCCGCAGCAGGGAGGTAGACCACAAGGTGGATTCCATCCCGATGCGGACGCTCCGCATGCGAGACCATCTGCCGGCCTTGCTTCTGGTGCGCACCAGTCATCAGACATGGGTGGGAGACCGAGTGGTGGAAAGCCTCAGGGGCGGCCGCAGAATGCGGAATATGACGACGAGGACGAGGATGAAAGCCCGGCTGATAAAGCACAGGCTCCTAAGGGAGGTGGTGGCATGCAGGACAAAGTCGTAAGTTTCTTTACTATCTTTAGGGTTATATGCTCAACCACGCAGATTGCCCTGGCGATGGCTCAGGCAGGTAAGCTTTTCGACAAGAAGGGCGGAGGGGACAGCCAAGGAAAGTCGCAAGGTGAGTTTTGCTGCCTGATATTCCATCGCTTGCGCTGATGACATGCCACCAATAGCTATGCAATCAGCTGCGGCGACTGCAATGCGCTTAATGGGAGAGTACAAATCGACGGGTAAGGTAAACATGGAGCCAGGGGAGATGCAGAAGCTTATGGGGCTTGCAATGTCGCTGTTTTGAAGTGAAAGGGGCACAGAATTCGTGATTGATCTTGCAGTTATATAACTACAACTCGAAGACATTTGATACGGTCTCGGTTTTTGAGCAGTCTGATTATACACGATGAGCTTCATGCATGATTTAACAAAGTTGTTGGTTTTTTGCTTGGTGCTACGTTCGTCCGATCACCATGTTGCCAGGGAGTTGTGCGTCACATTGAGGCATAAACAAAGTGACTCTTAAGTTGGGCCCGTCTCATTGAGCACATGGAGTCCAAGGCTCGGGGTTTTGTCAACTGCCTGGTTGATCGCAAGTCAAGTCAATTAGCCTGAGGTCTAGGATTCGATCTCTCCCTACTACAAGCAAATAACAGATCAGACCCAGATAGCACCCAATCACAGAACTTGACATACCACCATCTAGCGATGTCTGTAATCCTCGAAACTGGCGCCTACGTTGGAGCGCGCTCCAAGCCGCGACGAGACGGGTGCATATTTGTGCTGGCCGTAACTGCATCCACGCGGCCGCAGGTGACCTGGAACTAGTAACGCGGGCGCCGCCTGGAGCTCGACCGTTAGATACTGATAATGCAAAGCACAAAGACGTCAGCTCCTTTCCGCGTCGATGTTAGTTCAAACCTGTAACAATTTTTCAGACGAGTGGTACACATCCAAAAGTAATTCCATCGTTGTTGTAGATTCCATGTTGATCGATAGGGTGAAGGAGTGATATCCGAATGAACATACACGAGGCTGACTGAGCAGGAACATTGAAGGTGTTGTTGCACAGGTACGATGAAGCTTGGAATGGAGACAAAACACGAATTTTCCTGCTTCCTGCAGAGCACCAAATAACCATCAACATCTCGTGTCACACACTACTGCTAGCTGATACATGCACGCGCTCTTGAAAAGCGATTGAGGTCATACCAGTTGCTGCGTCGGAGTCGGCCACGAGCTTAGCGTGGTATTCGCGAATGCCAAGGATCAGGCGTGGTCCCAGCACAAACGACTGCATGTCCGCCGAGATCTGAAGAAAGTTATAAAAAGTCTCAACCCCTAGGGAATTTTGGTCCTACAGAAATGATTGATTATGGTCCCATTCTGAGGTAAGGGAAATATTGACATACCGCTGAGATTATTGGAGATAAATAATCAATGAGGGCAAAGCAAGAAACAGCAAGAGCGCTACCACATCCGATCCTTCAGCTAAAAAGGGAACCATGATCACAATATCAGCTTACCTCGCAAAGTAAACCATCTGAATTTTGATCAACATCGTGAAACAGTCCCCGATAATACCTCCTGCCGAATGACGTCGCAGTTCGCGGAAGTGTTTTATAGCAATCCAAACTGCGAGGCATAGTGCGAGGACCTCCCACACGGTACCGAGTATCCAAGTCATGGAATACAGAAGTAAGACATCTCCCACAAAGTTAATCTGACACAGATAAGTGCCAAAGAGAATAAGTTCCTCTGGTATCTATCAATGAGCCCCATGCGCATTTTTTATCCACAATCGAGCGTACCCTCTGAAGTATGCATCGTTGCTATCACGATGACCACTCCAATCAAAAATGTTGATAGCCAGAAAGGCGACAACAAGGAATATCAGGATCTTTCTGGATCCCTTGATACATGGCATGTAACTGAGTGATGATGATGACTCGTAGTATGTTTGCAGTCAAGTCAGTATCACTGAGTTCTCGCAATGCACTGAGCTCACCCCATAGCATCGCAAATACCAAACATGCTCGTCCAACTCTGTACGGCAAACATAATCCTGGCCTGATGAATGCAGTCAGTGACCAGTCTCGGGTAGCACAACTCCAAACAGACTCACATCTGTGGCAGTATAGCATGGCGGTCATTAGCGAACCAGTAAGTTAGTTAACAGATACACCCACTGCTACAGGGCACCGCAATTAATTGAAGGTGGATAGCAGGCATGTGTGCAGAAGACTCACTATATCTGTCAGTGAGACACTCGGAGCACCGTCTGTATGCCATTGGTCAGAAGAAGCAAAGACAGTGAATGTAATAAAAAGACATACTTAGTACGGACATGCTGATCATGAGAGATAAACAATTAGCACGTCGTCGACTGTTTAGCCTTCTGAACATACGCAGAATATAAGATTCCAAGGTAGCGCGCCTAGGATACTTTCAAGTCAGCACGACATGGCAACCGCGACAAACAAGATACATACACCAAGATACAGAAATGTCATTAACGACCAACGTTGCCTCTGTAATTAAATGTACTTGAATGTGTCTTCCTTTGACATGGGACTCTACACACCCAGACCAATTCGACCTATAAAATCGTTCTTAGAGAAATGGCCGCTCTGGTAATAGCATTGACATACCTCTTGTCCAAAAGCGAGTGCTGAAAATAATTGTAGGGTATCAGCAGTCCCTTAATATCATCATGCTCACCCCAATCATAGGTCACTCCAACAAAGGCGGCAGCTGCGAAAATGTAGTCAAGGTCAGATTGAGACATCTTTAACATCCGACTGCCCTCCACGAACTTGCATAATAGCTGTAAACCCGATTTGCATCGATGATCGGCCACCAAGTGGGATCATTTGAGACTATGGTCATATTAGTACTAGAGAATGTGTGTGAGTGAGAGGTAAATTTGGTTAATGTATGACGATGGCATTCGTGCTAGTTATACCACCATCCAGTGCATAGATCACCGAAACGACACCAGCTGAGGGATGAATCGATGATGACCGTTCTTGTTTTGATTGGATTGACCGAAGTAGATATTTTCATGCGGTAAGTCAACCCACATAATAGATATCGGTCACGATATATCTGCACGATAGAAGCACTCGAACACCGCAAAAGATTGATCAAACATCAAGAACTGCCATCGCCTCGTTTCCACCGTCATTCTCGATATCTTTGCTACACGTGTTTGACATATACTGATCATGGCGCATCCATCAAAAAGGCTGTTCCCTTTCTTTGTCTCGCTGCATCGTTATCGGCATGATGTTAGATTAGGGATGTTAGCTATTATAAACAGGGGAGATTCACAGGAAGCATCACATCCTTGTACCTTGGCTATTGATACCTCCCTGCGAGTACATCTCAAAATTTGATCTCATCTTTGAGCCGTCTGTCGCTTCATGCGCATCCTCCCAGCTTTCCCTCGGGAATTGGGCTATCGTATCATCAGGATGCTAGAAATGGTGAGCGCATGATAGTCCATTTGCATCATGGCGTTGGCGCGGCAGTGAGAAGCTCCAGGTTTCATCAGAGATGTCCTGGTTGATATCCCGTGATTGATGTGAGATGAAGATAAAACATCACCCCTAGATAAAAAGAGCGTTGGGATAGGACAGAGATAAAACAATGCTCAGACGTACAATGGCTGCAGGGGGGGAACGTTCTGTCCTCACACCATCAGAAAGTTAGAGATTTTAATAACTCGCCGTGTCATAGAGCTACCAATGGGGACCATCAATACTTATTTCAATGAAAACCGATCTAAAAGGTGCCAAACTGAGACCATCATGCGACTGATGCCTTTCCTTGACTCACGCTTTCGTAGGGTAGGTGGATTGAAACGCCGTCTAGATTTCACATGAATCAGCTACCATAACGATGCCAGAGATAACACCAATGAACACCAATGTCTCGGAACTCCTACTGACAATCAACGGATAATGGCGAGCGAATCTCAGAATGCACAGGTTGTGTTGTTCTTTGGTGTAGATGGTAAATATCGCTTTCTGGTGAGCGCACCAGAATAAGAAAATAACAGAAATAGAGCACTGAGAGAAAAGAAAGTCGAACACACCACAGAAAGCCCGATGCTCATTTTGTAGTTGATAACTCACTGCGGATACTCACATTGTTCCGAAATGAACATCAGCCGCGTCTCTGCCTTCATCTGGGGACTTGAGTCTAGGAACGCAGTTAGGGCCTAGGATTAGCCTAGGGCGGCTGATTGAAAACTAACGCAAATTTAACGCACCACGGTCCACGCTAGATTGTACAGTCATTCCCCAATTGATGTTTTGAATTGGTGTGGTGGGCGGTGTAGCCCGTGAAAATGCTTGCCTACGATATAATCTCATGACCAAATGTCTTGAGGGTACGCGAGGAAGTGAAGGTTGGTGCGATCCAAGAAATTTGACTGGTCGTCACCGCTATAACACGGCCTGGGGAATGCAAATTGAAATGTGTAGACATTTTGCTAGTGACTCGGGGACTCGGATGCTAACTGGTACAAAGCACGACATCGATGATCAGATAGCTATGTTTCATGGATAATCAAGAAGGAATTAGTATTCGGTTGGTGGACAATGAGGAGTGTGTACTCGCTTAGTCAGGACCACTTATATTAGACCTGCCCTGAAGAATACAACAGTATCGATTTTGCACCTCAGGCACCCCTCTTGGTTTGATGTGCTCTTCCTTCGAATGATAGGATGTGGCGCAGAAGCGCGGACCATTAAGATTTATGTAGGCAGTGGTCTCGGACGCGCCGCTTGAATTGGTTTTCAATCCCTTCGAACAGGACAACTTCAGAGTTTTGATCACTTTACATTAACACGTTCCGCCATGTCAACACCACAGGACCTTCCCATGACACCCCTGCCGCTCACATCGCAACAACGCGATGAGATTGATCGAGACTTACTCGAGGCCACTAGCACCTTCCTGAAGATTATCAATGAAGATAAAGAGGCCACCACATCGGATTTCATGTTCATGGCGATCATATCACAAACTCTCTTCAGGACCAGTATATTACTCAATCGCGAAAACATGAAGGACAATCTTGATCTGGACATGGCACTGGAGGAAACACTACAGAAACACCCTCAATTACGGGCAATCATCCGCCACGCCTGTCAGACGCGCTCGTTCTCTCGCATCGCTGACCTGAGTGAGCGTTCGTGTCAGTACCATAGATGTCTCTCTGTTGACAGTCACCGTAAATGCAGAAATATTCCAAAAACACCAAGCTAGCGATCCCGTGCAGTCGTCTCAAGGTGAGAGACTTTTATCTTATAACATCTGCAGTCACATCTCAGGTCAGTTGTATCCTAGTTGAGGACCGGCCAGACCTTCTTTACGATTCATTCGTCAGACCTTACGTTGGCAAGGCTGTGGACGGTTTCTATGAGTACCTGAAAAATAACGACATGAAGTTCACGGACGGTGGCATGCAGAGGCCATACTATGCTAAGTTCTGTTCGATCGTCCAAAGTTCTGGTACAGGAAAATCAAGACTGATGACAGAGGTCAGCGTTTTACACTTCATGGTCGTATCAGGTGGTTAAAGCATCGAATCTAGCTCCGGAACAAAGGCGTTATTGTTTTGTACATGAACATTCGTGATTCAAGGGATCGGGGCTTCCCTACGCGAGACCTAGTGCCCGCGCGTATATTGACGGAAGACACGGACTGCACTCAAGCCGAGTATACCGCTCGTTGTTGCGCCTTCTTTACAGCCATATTTGAGACGCTTCGGGAAGATCTGGACAGTAAACTGCCTCGGCTGCGCTCCAGCAATCCTGATCCTGTAGTCAAATCATGGAATGACCAGATGTGCGATATGCGCTCAAACGCCCGTTCCGAGTTCTTTCAGAAAGTTCATTCTCGATATCAGGAGGTGAGCAGGGAAAATCGTAGTCTCTTGACAGATCGACTAAAGAAGTTCGCAACAGACCCTTGCGAAGATAAAAATACCAAATCCCGGAGAGAAAATCGATGTGAACCCCGCTGCACCAACGGCGGAGGAGACCGCCCTAAAGTTAGGAAGTATGTCTCTCGCAGGTAATTGCTGTAATATTATGCGCAATCCGGCCATCCAAGCTGACGCTGCGTAAACAGACGAGAATATAATGGCGCCGAAATTGGAAGGCGAATCGTTCGTCACGACATCTTATGACAACATGCTGATGGTTCTGCAACGCATATTTACCGAGAAGAAGGGTGAGGTTTCGAAAAATGATCCCAAACTCGTGATAGCATTTGACGAGGCCCACCCTCTGAGCAACATGAGCAGAAAGGGCTTTCGTCCATTGCATATAATTGGCAGGATGATCAACTGCTACTCCAACAGAACCATTGCACCGGTCTGGGTCGTCTTTGCATCCACGACCTCGCAAGTGGTAGATTTTTCAGCGCCCCAGTCGATCCGTAAGTACCTGCCATACGCTGCCTGTTTCCAACCTTGAATAATCTGGCAGATGATTCTCTGCGCGTAGCGGTAGGCGGCCAACTCACCTATCCGCCCTATACCCATCTTGGTTGGGACCAGAATGCAGATCCTCTGTTTGGTACATCGGCGAATAATGTTGCGAGCTTTGATCACATCGTTGGATTCGGTCGCCCACTGTTTGTCCTTATGTTTTGTATTCTCATTTTCAATCTCTTTGATGACCATGAATAGATGGAAGTCAATCGCAGGGAAACATGCTACCACCAATATTTTGGAACTGGCTGCCCAGAAACTCTGCAAATCGAAGGGATTTGACGCGAATGATGCGAACCAGGCTCTTGCTATTCTGTCCCAGAGATTCGGTCTTGACATTTGCTTCGGTCACCCCGACGCTGTGTCGTATCTCGAAAAAGCAGTAGCTAGCTATCTGCGTATATGCTTCTCGACGACCGAAGATAGGATGTGGACCTTCACCGGTTATCCATCAGAACCCATTCTATCTTGCGTCGCAGCAATTAAACTCCATGGGAAGCCTCAAGATCTGAATGACGTTTTGGGGACCTTGAACAAAAAAGTTGATGGTGGGATGGTCGAGATAGGGCAGAGCGGGGAGTTGGTCAGCAGGCTTTTGCTGCTTCTCGCTAAGGATCTCTTTGTCCGCAAGGACCCTCCCGAAGGCGTGATCCGGGATTTATACTATGACGGAAGTGGGGATGCGGAACTGATAGACTGCAGAAAGGTCTCCGTCATCGATTTCCTCGAGTACTTATTTGGCCAGACGTTCTGGTCGAGGACGGTTGAGGAGGCCAAGGCAGCTTTTCAGCATGCTTACATCAATTTCTCGCACTGGATATCTATGACAGAGTTCATCTCACCGCCAGTTCCCGATCAAATTGATGCTGATTCGTTGAGGTGAGCAAGCTTCCAGGCATTGCGATATTACATTCTAAGACCATCACCTCTGTATAGCGCTAGATGCAGCGCCAAAGAGTGGACTTTGCGACACTGGCATCGCACAAGCGCGGTCCAATGCTGTCATCTGCAGCCGCTCGTCGACAAGATGATTCCAATCTATTTTGACGATCCTGCCCTCGGCTCCGATGATCTCAATCGCGTCTCACAGATGTTCATTTCCGACAAGGCGGGGAAGAATTGCCATGAGCATGACTTGGGGTTGGTCACTCGCACGCATGATTCGATCCAGTGCCTATCGAATCTCCCCTACATCGCTCTTCTTCTTGACCTGAATGTGAAACCAAAGCTCAGTGTCACGTTCCCAGAGAAGGAGCCAAATCACGCTGAAACGGATCGATGTCTGCGGATCTACGCTTCGGGAATAAGCCAAACCACATTTCCATTCTTGAACCAACATCCCGAAGTTGCAAGCCGGCTGCGTGGGCTTATCTCTCGGCAGAAGGAGGCACCATCCCAAACCACTCTCGAAGCCCTGGTGAAATTTGGGAGTACTGCTAGGCTACGCAACTTGCAGTGGGAATTACAAGATGCATGATAATTCAATACAACTGGGATAATAACTAAACGATTGCACGTATGTTTCTGTGTATAATAGATCATGATTGTAGTGCTGCTGGTCTGTTCGATCTTTGTGACCTTGTAGTTTTACGATTCTTCATTTCACCTTTTCACTTCATCAGCTGTTGCAATCCTCTACTCGGTGATTGGTCACCACAACTGAGTCGTTATGGAACTAGACGCATTCCACAAATGGCGTGTTGCGCGAACCATAAATACAGCTATCACTGCTGAAACGAGAAAATGACCAGACCCTATCTGGACGTGGTTAAGCCGCATCTGCTTTGTAAAATGCAGTGGGACCAAGATATTGGTTGAAATATTATTAATGCCAGGACCTATAGCAAATGATTCGAATAAATACTACGACGAAAATATTGCCCAGACTCACTACACATGTCTCATCGAAATGATCTACTTCAGGACACCAAATACTTTAACTATGATACACAAATACTGCGACGAGGCCGGCATAGAGACAAAACACGAATTTCCTGCTTTCTGCAGAGCACCAGATATCCATGAACATCCTTTTTTTTTTTTTTTTTTTAATTCATATTTATTGTCCTTTGGGGTCGAAGACCCTATGTCGGACATAGCCCTTTTCGCGGGGGGCTTACTCCCGCCTATCTATCGTATGTCATGAACATCTTGTGTGTCACACACTACTGCTAGTCGATACATGCACACGTTCCTGGAAAGCGATCGAGATCATACCAGTTGCTGCGTCAGAGTCGGCAATCGAGCTTAGCGTGGTATTCGCGAATGCCAAGAATCAGGCGTGGTCCCAGCACAAACGACTGCACGACTGTCATGATCTGAAGGAAGCCATTTTCTAGCGAAATTTCGGTCCTGTAGAAATGATGAATCACCGTCGCATGCAGAGATAAGGGCAAGATTGACATACCGCTGAGAGTGTTGGAGAGAAAATAAGAATGAGCTCGAAGCAAGAAACAGCAACAAAGCTAACACGTCCGATCCTTCAGCGAAAAGAAGACAATGATCACAAGATGGACTTACCTCACAAAGTAAACTATGTGAGTTTTGATCAACACCACGAAAGAGTCTCTCCCTGCTGGATTACGTCGCAGTTCACGAAAGTGATTTACAGTAATCCAAACTGCAAGACATAGTGCGAGGACCTCCCACACAGTTCCGAGTATCCAAGTATTAGAATCCAGAATTAAGATATATTCCGCATCGTAAATCTGGCACTGATAAGTGCCGGAGAGAATAAATTCCTCTGGTATTCATCAATGAGCCCCATGCACGTTTGTTTTTATCGACAATCAAGCGTACCTCCTGAAGTATACATCGTTGTAATTACGCTTACCACTACGTCGTAAATATTGACAGCCAGGAAGGTGACAATGAGAAATATGAGGATTTTTCTGGATCGTTGATACATGGCATACAACCGAGTTATGATGATGACTTGCAGCGTGTTTCAGTCAGGTGAATATATCCCTGAGGCGCAAATACCGAGCTCACCCCACAGCATCGCAAATACCAAAACACCCGTCCAATCCTGTATGGCATACATAATCTGGCCTGATGAATGCAGTCAGTGACCAGTCTCGGGTAGCACACTCGAAACAGACTCACATCTGTGGTAGTATAATGTGGCAATCATTAGTGAACCAAGAAGTTGCTGAACAACCACACCCACTGCTACAGGGCACCACGATCAAATATGGGTGAAGAGCAGGCATCCGTGAAGAAGACTCACTGTATCTGTCAGCGAGACAGTCGGAACATCGACTGAATGTTGTTGGTCAGAGGAAGTGAAGATAGTAAATGTAATATGGAGACGTACACAACATGTACATGCTTATTATGAGAGATAGGCAATCAGCACGACACTGACTGTTTAGCCTTCCGAACATACTTACGCAGACATTAAGATCCCGAGGTAGCGCACCTAGGATGTTTTAAGTTAGTACAGAGTGGGAACCGCGACAAACAGGATGCATACACTAAGATACAGAACTGTCATTAGAGACCAGCGTTGCCTCTAGAATTAAGCGTATTGTCATGTGTGTTTGTGTTCCCTTGACATGGGACTCCACTCACCCAGATTAATTCGACCTATAAAACCATTCTTAGCGAGATGCCTGCTCCGGTCATAGCATTGACATACCTCTTGGCCGAATGTAAGTGCTGAAAATACTTGTAGGATATCAGCAGTCCTTTTATATGATCATGCTCACCCCAATCATACGTCAGTCCAGCAAAGGAGGCAACTGTGAAACCGCAGCCGAGGTTAGATTGTGCCAGCATCAACATCCGACTGTTCTCTACGAACCCACAAAATAGCTTTCAATACGATTTGCATTGATGGTCGGCCACCAAGTGGGATCATTTGAGACTATGGTCATGTTGGTGGAGAATGGGTGTGGGTGAGAAGCAAAATCAAATTACGTATGATGATGGCCCATCCGCGCTGGTTATAACAAATTTAAGTAGATATTTTTGCATGAAACAAGCTATGTAGAAGATGTCAAAACGTATTCAGAGGTTCACGCTCTGAAACCTGTTTTGAACACCTGTGACCCCATGTATATAATTGAGACGTAAGCTGGCGTGAGGACATCGGCGCTAACGCAGCCTATCCTGCATCCGCCGTGCGAACCTTTGTGCTCGTCATACACGATGAGCACAAACATATCGGAGGCGCGTTTCCACAGTTGCTAATATGAAAATGTTGGTAAAATATTCACAACAATTACATAACAATTCAACACGTGCACCGTGCTCAACTGACATTAAAAATTCAGGCATTTGCAGAGTACCTAAAGTTATGGCTTATAAGCCAATATGACACATAATACTGCCAGCATCAGAAGTCGCACGACACTGATCTGGCAGACACATTTTGCGATGAACATAATAGTCGAATGTCCGAATTTTGTAACGGTGGAGGTATTGAATAAACTGGCCACGCTCCGCATCAGATCGGGAATGAATCATTGAGTCAAGGCGTGAATCATAGAGAATAATTGAACAGTGTCGTAAAACGTATGCACTGTGTGTCAGAAGAACGAGATAGATGAATTTGCCATCGGGTGGGTATGAGCCATACTCCAAATTTCTATGTTTGGTTGGCATACTCAAATGGATTGGAAGGCCGGCGAAGCCAGTCGATTCCTGCGTTGATTTCTGTAGATATTGGTGAGTCAATAGCTTCTAAGGTGAAGATGGCTTGCTGAGGCGCCAGAGAGGTTAATATCTTCCATACGCATATTCATGGATTCGCCTGCTCACAAAAAGTAATGTCCGACATGCCAGATTCCCCACAAGGGTTGTTCGATTACGACGGATCGTATGATGCATAATATTTCAGTGTCTGTGCTGAGGCTACTGGCTCGTCGACAGAATCTTAGGGTGGTTGGGCTGGTCTGAGGGTAGCTCGGGTAGGACGCGTGCAGCTAGAGCTGCCTGGTGTGTAGGACTGATCGCGAATTCGATCGTGTCAGACCGGCAAAACTTTGAATAATACTTGCCTCAAACATAATTTGGTTGTTCTATGATATGCGCCACTATGTACGTGATCGCGATGAAATAAACAGGTCATTTCATTAAGAAGGGAGAGGCGATTGGTTGTGAAAGAATATTTGGAGCGAGAATGAGGGGGTGAAGGTGGTGGGAACGAAGAAGAGAGATCAGGCTGCGCTCAGCTCGACGCGTGATGCTAGAAACTTCCACAGGCTCCGTCCTAAAGCAACTTTCTGTTCTGGTGTGCGCGATGTGTCGATGACGTTGAACATTTTGAGAATTAGGTTTTCATATGTCTAATGCCCAAGGGTACCATCAGCGACATATCCCCAATACCTTTTACGACTTGCTATTCTCCAGCTCTTCCCCCACTTGATAACAATGAGGAAAGTCATCGTAATGGCAAGCCCGACGAAGCCCGCAGATATGAACGTGTTCTGGTAACCCATGTCAAGCCAAGGGGTGATCCCATATCCCTGTAAGAATACGCGTCAAAATGTTAAGGTGAAGAAAGTGTTTGAACCTACAATAGCAAATGAAAGGGTGTTCTGCGTTCAAGGAAACCCATATTCGGTATGAGTGCAAAATGCGACGAGTTGGCGTACTTACGCGAACAAGGATCACAGCCATCATCACCTCCCCACTCATATCTTTATATGAATCTAGGGCGTAGTTTATAGAGAGTGAAGAGCCAATACCAGTCGAGCAAGAAATAATGCCCATGCCAAAAACGAGGCCAACCCAGCTGATGCCCTTGGACGCACCAACTCCCCAGAGGATGAGAGAAGCTGGACACAAAAGAAGCGATACGACCATGAGCCAAAGGCGATGCTCTGGCTCTCGGATACCCCCTGTTCGACGAGCATATCTCACAGCAAATCGATCACCCACCCACCCGCTATAGAATGTTCTGCGCCAATGTCAGAGATATTACTAGCGCAACTCAGAAAAATTTACCCAATAAACATGCCAATCAAAGGGCCAAGGTATGTCAATCCGACAAAGCTTGCTCTGAAGTTATAGGGTTGTTCACTGAGGATCAGTGAACAAGTGGCATTTAGGACGTTATACCACACGAGACATGTTCCATACTGAAACCCTGCCCTATTGAAAAGTTAATTCACGTTCTCATCATTTCCAACGGACAGCTTACCAGAAAATGACAGGGAAGCGCAGCAGAATCACAGGACGGTACGTCATCGTGAAGAGCAGCTTGTTTGAAGCATACCGCCCACCGAATAAAGCGAGCCGTTGCGAATATGTTTTAGGTGTGCCTGACAAATCCCCAGAGGAGACAGGAGATGAAGTAGTCGACACCTTGTCGTCTTTCTCGGTACCTGCTTTGGTGCTGAAGTGTACGGCTTCTGTCGCTTCGCTCGTGTTGCGTATGAAGTTGGTCTACACTTAAGCATCAGCAATAATCAGAACTAATTACATATGGCGTACCTCTTCCATAAAGAAAAACAATACTATGAGGGAGCCGAAGTTTATGATCGCAGCCCAGTACATCACCCAATGCCATCCTTGGCCATCGTATATGAACTTGTTCAAAGATTAGGACAAAACTCAGAAATCGATATGAAATTCAATACCCACACCAGCGATGAGTGGTGCAAAGTAGTTCGACCTACTCGCGAGGTCAGCACAAGTCAAAGTTATACACTCAAGACCGACCCAAACAGGAAAAGCGTGTAAATTCCAATATACGTTCCACGCTCATGCGCAAAAAACTATTTGGGTGAAATCAGCTTTGAAAAACAGACATCATGGCGTGCTTACCACATCTGCAATGCTGACTTCGCATAGACTCTCGACAGGAGTGCAGAGATAACCCTGCACAATTTTGCTGGCGATCCTGGTGGAAAATGATCGAGATCACCGAGTGGCTTTTTGGCTAAAAATGTGCTGCATACCACTGGCCTTCCGTCTTAATGTACGGCGTCAACAAACAAATGGCCTACAAAAAATTATTCAACCTTCAAGTCGTCGTCATCTCGTTGTCGCAGGCTCTTACAGTGTTGCCAAGGACTGAAATCAGATATATAGCACGCTTTCCGAAGGTAAGAGCGAGTGGTTGATTTATCAGCGCTCCCCAGCCTAAGACTGGTATTTCAACGTCATCTGACCGATCACGAGGGACAAAAGATGACGACTTACAAAGAAACACTTTTCATGCCAACGACGATACTATTGAATATAAACGTGGTAAGAAATGTGGAGACAAGCTCACTGTATCCTGTACCAGCATTAAGTGTTGCAAGAGGTATTCCTGTATCATTGGAAATAGGCTGCAAGATAGAGTACAGCACGGTCGTCCCGATGCCAATAGCGCTTGTGTCTGTAGACCGAGTAAGAATTCAATACATCATCTGTCAGTCCTTAAAACACACATATCATCACGCAGATGATCTGCAGAAGTTTCCGACCTCTACTCCAGTTCAGGGGATCATTGATATCATTGGAGGGCGTCGGACTGAGCACAATGGCACTATCATTCCCTGCGTGCGCAACCGTCGTTTTCTCCTGGACGTCGACAAGGTAAACTGATCCAGGCACTACGGAATCATCGATGTCGTGCATGATGAAAAACGAAGCGGGGAAACCTTCCAAGTCGAAATTTTTTGACAGCGGTGAACAACTTCATTATATGAGCGAGCCGATAAGAAGCTAAATTCGGGAGAAGCATAAATCTAACTTTAGACCGTGACTAGAGATAAGTATTCTCGTAATGGACTGACGGAGGGCTTTCGCGGCTGCTAGTGCTGAAAGCACTATATGCTGGAGCATATATGAGCCTCCTAAGAATGCATGGCATTTCCTTAGTTGCAATATCTGATATATATCGCACATATCAATGAGAGGAGACTCGAGTCACTCTGAACGATCTGTCCTCGACGGAAACAAAACTTTTATCATCACTACTATGGAGAAAAGATATGAGACGCACAGTTTACAGCACTTCTCCTGCGGCAGTGCACATGAGAGTGACATGACATCACTTGAATAGACGGGTGGATGTTCCTTCGGAGTTCCATGAGAATCGGGGTATTAACAAGTAGAAGATAAGGTGTGCAGCATGCTTCAATCAGCCAACGATAGCGGAGGATAGCGGGCTAATGTCAGAACTGTGGGATGAAGTTCTGATGAACGCGTGTTCGGTTCTGCAAAAGTTGGTCAAGTGCAACGCATAACAAGCACACACAACCACCAAAAACCGAAAACCGTGCCACTTGAGATCATGAGTTAAGGAACGCTCAAAGTTGGCACACATCGCACACCGCATACGACGGCAGAGGCAGTGCCTAGCAGAGACCCGGTCTGGATTCGGCACTGGTATCATCACTACGTTTCCTGTTTCAAATGTTCAAGCCAACACAATAATCTCACACCTTGCTCAAACCAGGACTGTAGTAGGTCATACAGACACAAGAAATGGTTGTTTCAAAGTACTGGGGGCTTAGTCTACGATGCAATGATCTCAGTGACTTCAGCATCCAGCTTCAATCTGCGTGAATCCCTAGGAGCATGATGGCGTCTACAATGAGGGCTTCATACGTTTGTTTTGAGTTTGGTTGATGATTAGGGCTTCTCATGCGAATCAGACAGCGATAATCCTTCAAGCTTCAAGTCAAACTTGATTTCAAAGAGTGGAAAGCATCCGTCACTGATGAACGGGGAAGCAGAGCTAAGTGTTTCTGTATTGTCATCGATTTTATCTCTAATACCTTCATCTCAAGCGTTGAACACCTTCCAGAAGTGATTCTTAGTGATTTCGCGCCCATGATCTTGGGTGTGTACCACCCTCGTTTGTTTCTCGTGACAACCCCATCACATGAGTTCAACACGCATTTCAGCCCTCCTGGCTTCCCTGATCCTACGAAACGCAGAGACAGGGTGTTTAGGCTCCACGACCAATGGACGGTCGAGGAGTTCCAGGAGTGGTGTGCCGGCATCGCACAGGAATGGGGGTACGATTTGGATACTATTGGCCATACACAGGAGATTGGTCAGTGGGGCCAGGGGATGTGAGCCAGGTCGCTGTTTTTGAGCGTCTTGAAGTCGAGGCTGGGCTATGACACGTGAGTATACAGATGAAAGAAAGGTCAGAAAACCAAAAGGAGCAAAGGAGCATCATCTGTTGAAAACCTTCACTACGACGCGCATGCATGTTTGGCAGGTTGGCCGAGGAGATCGAGGCTATCAAAGCAAGGGCCAGATAATGGGAGATTGGCAGATGCTGCTAGATGGAGGTAGGCCTGGGGAGAAGAAGAGGATATCAGAATGTGCTCCGGAAGAACCGGCAGATGATTTGTTTGAGAGAGTCCTGTAGTCGGCGGAAGGATGACGACCGACCCGGGATTCGACTGAGGAAGCGGTTTGTATTCTTCCGACTCTGGCGTTGATCTTTTGTGGGACATCAGCAGGGACGGCAATGCATGGGGGAAGGAGTCCAATGCTTGGACAGGCGAGTCTTATGAAGACGACTTAGTTGACTGGAGCAGATGGAGCACTTTGTCCGCAGCTTGGGACTTTGATAGACCAGCCTGAGAATGAATAAGACTTGGTGCAATTCATTGGTATTAGTAATAGACATAAATCGGTTTGCTCAACGCTCGGTGGCGGCACCCTGTCCGTTCGGTACACTGCTCGATCAAGACCCATAAAGATTATTCGAATAAATACTACGACAAAAATATTGCCCAGACCTACTAACGTCTCATCGAAATCTACTTCGGGACACTGTTTTACAGCAATCCAAATTGCGAGACATAGTGCGAGGATCCGATCTCCCACGTACGTGATTCCAAGTATCCAAGTAATGGAACTCAGGAGTAGGATATCTTCCGCATAGTTAATCTGGCACCCGTGATCAGTGCCGGAAAAGATCAATGAGCCCCATACACGTTTATTCTCGTCGACAATCAAGCACGTGCATGAATCATTATGGCTACCACTCCAGGAATATGGCAATAAAAATATCTATATCCTTGATACATGGCATGCGACTGAGTGATGATGACTCCTCGTAACATGTTTCAGTCAAGTCAACATCACTGAGGTTGTCGAGCTCAACACCCAGCATTGGAAATACCAAAGCACTCGTCCAGCTCTGTACGAAGTGCATAATGCGGCTTGAAGAAAAGAATCAGTGACCAGCCTCAGGTAGCACACACTCCAAACAGACTCACGTCTGTAACAGTATAGGCAGCCATCAGTGAACCAAGAAGTTAGTAGAGAATCATACCCAATCCTACAGAACACCGCGATCAATTGGAGCAGAATAGCAGGCGTCTGTGCGGAAGAATATTTGTCAGCGAGACAGTCGGAAGAAGAAACAAAGACAGCGAATGTACTCTGGAGACATACTACCACGCATGCTGAGTGTGAGAGATAGATGATCAGCACGACATCGACTGTTTGACCTTCCAAACATACGCAGCAAATGTGACTGATCATATTGGTAGAGGATGGGCGTAGGTTGTTCTGTGATATGCGCCACCATATACACGATCGGGATGAAATAAAACCAATTGTTCATAAAACAGAGAATTGGAAGGGAGCGGCGAGTGGGTGTGAAAGGAGATTCGAAACGATAATGAGCTTGAGCTCGAGGCGATGAAGTTGGTGGGAACAAAGAAGAGAAATCAGACTGCGCTCAGTTCGACGTGTGGTGCCAGAAACTTCCGCAAGCTCCGTTTGCCGGCACCCTAAAGCAACTTTCGGTCCGATTTGCGCGATATGTTGATGACGTCGAGCATTTGAGAATGAGCTTGTTATGTGATGTGACTAATGCCCAAGGGTACCATCAGCGACATATTCCCAATACCTTTTACGACTTGCTATTCTCCAACTCTTTCCCCACTTGATAACAATGAGGAAAGTCATCGTAATGGCAAGCCCGACGAAGCCCGCAGATATGAACGCGTTCTGGTAATCCATGTCAAGCCAAGGGGTGATCCCATATCCCTGTAAGAACACGCGTCAAGATGTTAAGGTGAAGAAAGTGTTTGAACCTACAATAGCAAATGAAAGGGTGTTCTGCGTTCAAGGAAACCCATATTCAGTATGGGTGCAAAGTGTGACGAGTTGGCGTACTTACGCGAACAAGGATCACAGCCATCATCACCTCCCCACTCATATCTTTATATGAATCTAGGGCGTAGTTTATAGAGAGTGAAGAGCCAATACCGGTTGAGCAAGAAATGATGCCCATGCCAAAAACGAGGCCGACCCAGCTGATGCCCTTGGACGCACCAACTCCCCAGAGGATGAGAGAAGCTGGACACAAAAGAAGCGATACGACCATGAGCCAAAGGCGATGCTCTGGCTCTCGGATACCCCCCGTTCGACGAGCATATCTCACAGCGAATCGATCACCCACCCACCCGCTATAGAATGTTCTGCGCCAACGTCAGATATATTACTAGGTCAAGTCAGAAGAAACTTGCCCAATAAACATGCCAATCAAAGGGCCGAGGTATGTCAATCCGACAAAGCTTGCTCTGAAGTTATAGGGTTGTTCACTGAGGATCAGTGAACAAGTGGCATTCAGGACGTTATACCACACGAGACATGTGCCATACTGAAACCCTGCCCTATTGAAAAGTTAATTCGCGTTCTCGTCATTTCCAACAGACAGCTTACCAAAAAATGACAGGGAAGCGCAGCAGAATCACAGGACGGTACGTCATCGTGAAGAGCAGCTTGTTTGAAGCATACCGCCCACCGAATAAAGCGAGCCGTTGCAAATACGTTTTAGGTATGCCTGACAAATCCCCAGAAGGGGGAGATGAAATAGTTGACACCTTGTCGTCTTTCTCGGTACCTGCTTTGGTGCTGAAGTGTACGGCTTCTGTCGCTTCGTTCGTGTTGCGTATGAAGTTCGTCTATACTTAGGCATAAGCAGTCACCAGTACTATCACATATAGCATACCTCTTCCATAAAGAAAAATAATACTACGAGGGAGCCGAAGTTTATGATCGCACCCCAGTACATCACCCAATGCCATCCTTGGCCATCGTATATGAACTTGGTCAAAAATTAGCACAAAATTATAATAGACGTGCAATTTGGTACCTACACCAGCGATGAGTGGTGCAAAATAGTTCGACCTACTCGCGAGGTCAGCACAAGTCAAAGTTTACACACTCAAGACCGACCCAAACAGAAAGAGCGTGTAAAGTCCAATATACGTTCCACGCTCATGCGCAAAGAACTATTGAATGAAATCAGCTTGTTTGAATAAAACAGAAATCTTGGTGTGCTTACCACGTCTGCAATGCTGACTTCGCACAAACTTTCGATAGGAGTGCAGAGATAACCCTGCACAATTTTGCTGGCGATCCTGGTGGGGAATGATTGAGATCGTCGAGTGGCCTTTCAGCTAACATACCACTGGCTTTCCGTCCTAATGTACGGCGTCAATAGACAGATGGCCTAGCAAACATTAGTCAAACTTCAAGTTGTCGATTTCTCGTTGTTGCAGGCTCTTACAGTGTTGCCAAGGACTGAAATCAAGTATATGACACGCTTTCCAAAGGTAAGAGCGAGCGGTTGATTTATCAGCGCTCCCCAACCTGAGACTGGTATTTCGACGTTATCTAACCGATCATGAGGGACAATGATGACGACCTACAAAGAAACACTTTTCATGACAACAATGATACTGTTGAATATAGACATGGTGAGAAATGTGGAGACAAACTCACTGTATCCTGTGCCCGCATTAAGCGTTGCAAGAGGTATCCCCGTATCATTCGAAATAGGCTGCAAGATCGAGTACAGCATGGTCGTCCCGATGCCAATAGCACTTGTGTCTGTAGACCGAGTAAGAATTCGATACATCATCTGTCAGTCCTTAAAACACACATATCATCACGCAGACGATCTGCAGAAGTTTCCGACCTCTACTCCAGTTCAGGGGATCATTGATATCATTGGAGGGCGTCGGACTGAGCACAATGGCACTATCATTTCCTGCGTGCACAACCGTCGTTTTCTCCTGGACGTCGACAAGGTAAACTGATCCAGGCACTACGGAATCATCGATGTCGCGCATGATGAAAAACGAAGCAGGGAGACCTTCCAAGCAAACATTTTTTGACAGTGACAACCAACTTCATTATATGAACGTGGAGCCGATAAGGAGCTAGATTCGGACGAAGCACATATCTAACTTTAGACCGCGACTATATGAATCGACTAACGGAATGCTCTCGCGGCTGCTAGCCTTGCAAGTACGCTGAAGAATCTGACAAGCCTGCTGAGAATGCGTGGCGTTTCCTCAGTTGCAATGTTCGATATACGTCACATGGTATGCGGAGAATTGAGTCACTCCAGCACGATCTGTGCCTCTTGTCGTCGATGAAACCAAAAATCATCATCACTACTATGGAGAAAAGATATGGGAACGCACAGTTTACAGTTCTTCTCCTACGGCGGCGCACATGACACATCACATGAACAGACAAATGGACGTTCTTTCGGAGTTCTATGAGAAAGCGGACATTAACGAGCAGAAGACAAGGTGTGCAGCATGCTTCAATCAACCAGTGATGGTGGGTCAATGTCAGAAGTGTGGGATGAAGTTCTGATGAACGCATGTTCGGTTCTGCAAAAGTCGGTCAAGTGCAACGCAAAACAAGCGCACACAACCAACCAAAAACCGTGCCATGAGCTCATGAGTTGGGTTTATTGTGTAAAATACAGCCATTGCAGGATACCGTGCGGTTAAGTGAAAGTAAATCTAGTTATGCAAGTGCGCAATCAGATAGAAAAGCGATCAATCGGCCACTCGTCGATCGATCGAACGAAATAGAATAAGTAACGATGCAGCAGAGGATCAAACTATAACGATAACGTATCCTTCCACCGTTCAACAATATCTTGACCTCGGAACACTTCATACAGGACTTCCCGTACGTCTTCGACATATACGAAGCGGATTCCTGTCTTAACACTCTCCGGGACGTTCTCTTCGATATCAGCGCGGTTCGCTGCGGGGGCTAGAATCGTCTTTATACCTGCGCGATGAGCAGCCAGGATCTTCTCCTTGAGACCGCCGACAGGAAGCACTTGGCCGACGAGCGATATCTCCCCAGTCATGGCTGATAAATGAGAAATGTGAGTCGCTGGAAATAAAACTTAGCAATACAACGTACCGATGTCTGGGTGGATCTTCGTCTTGGTGAAGAGAGACACAAAGGCTGATAAGATAGCAGTCCCAGCACTGGGACCTTCTTTTCCGATACTCCCCTCAGGCATGTGGACGTGGATATCACGGTCCGTGAGGAATTGTTCCTCGGGAGTCTTGGTGATACCAAGTTCGTATGCGTGTGCCTTGACCCAACTAAGCCCAATCTGCGCACTCTCGCGAATAACTTCGCCGAGTTTACCAGTCAACTGCAACCCACCCTTACCAGGCATGCTCTGTAAAGGACAATGAGCATAATTTGCATATTAACGTAAAGAATGGACAGACAGTGGCCTCGACGGGCATAACAGCGCCCGACCCGTTGCCCAAGTATCCTAGACCAGTGCTGACACCTGGAGGTGGAGGAGACACGTACATCCTGTCTTTGTGATAGACAGGTGGACCAACGTAGTCTTTCAAGTTCTCCGGCGTAATGCGGACGTGGATATCATCAGGAATCTGTAATGGCTTGCGTTCCTGTGTTGTCACAGTTTTGCGGTCGCTAGATTCATTGCCTGTACTCTCTTCCGACGTGACCTCATTGGGCTGGTTGGCAAGTGGTTCTTGAGACTCCACAGTCTTGTTCTGAGGATCGGCAGGACTCGATGGGGTAGATGCACTGGTAGATGCAGCTGAGACTGGCTCAGGGAAGACAGTTTCGCCAAGGTCGAGGATGAGTTTCAGTGCAGCCTTCCGGTAGATCTACAGCACCCATGAGTTATGCACGTAGTACACTGGCGCAGTCCTTACCTTATCAATATGCTTCTTCAAATTCCGCACACCGCTTTCTCGGCAGTAATACTTGATGAGCACATCGACGGTGGAGGGCTCGAGTACAATGTCAGTGTCCTTCAAACCTGACGCTTCCTTTGCCTGCGGTCCAAGGTACTTTTCGGCAATAACACATTTCTCTTCGGAGACATAACCGCTAACCTCAAGGACCTCCATACGGTCGAGGAGAGGTGCTGGAATCGTGTCGAGGTTGTTAGCTGAAAGATGTGTTAGCACAAGTACGAGCAACACGGAATATCCTCCGGATGACCCACCTGTGCAGACGAACAGAACGCGTGACAAATCGACAGGAACATCCATGCTTAGAAAGATGAATATAAGTTGTGAAGTGAAATGATGAAAAACACTCACTAGTGATCCAAGAATCCGTTGTTTTGTTCAGGGTCCAACATCTCAAGCAGCGCGCTAGCAGGATCCCCATTGATGCCTCGCCCGATCTTATCCACTTCATCAATCAAGACCAACGGATTCTCAGTTCCTACCCTCTTTAACGCCTGGATGATCTTTCCAGGAAGGGCACCGACATATGTCCTCCGGTGGCCCTTGATCTCTGCTACATCCGTCAAACCACCAACCGAGAAGCGGAAAAATTGTCTGTTAAGCGCGCGGGCAATTGATTTGCCGATAGATGTCTTGCCAACGCCTGGAGGCCCAACAAGGCAAATAATTTTGCCTTGGACGGTTCCCCGAAGCTTACCAACAGCAAGAAACTCCAGTATGCGGTCTTTGACGTCTTTGAGGCCATAATGGTCTTCATCAAGAACTTTCTGGGCGTGTGTAATGGAGTAGTTCTCAGGTGTGTGCTGGCCCCATGGTATCTGTAATGCGGGTGTCAGTACAAAAAATGAATGTTAGCAAAATGCGTACCTGAGTAAGCCATTCAAGGTAATTTCGTGTCACATTCGCCTCTGAAGCAGCAGGTTCCAGTCCCATCAATTTGTTGAGCTCCTCGTCAAAAACCTTCCGGACGCCCTCTGGCATCTTTAATGAGGCGGCACGCTCCTTGAATTTTTCAATGAGCTTGTCCTTTCCATCTGATTCCATACCGAGTTCCTTTTTGATCCCTTTGAGCTGCTCCATCAGGTAGTACTCGCGTTGACGCTTCGCAATCTTGCTATCCACGTCACGTGAGAGTTTACTCTGGAGCTGAGCATTAATAAGCTCTTTCTTGAGAACAAGGAGGGCCTTGCGGAGACGGTCATCGACGACGAGACTCTCGAGCACGTCTTGAAGTTCTCCGACCTCACCAGAGGATACAGCAGCCGCAAAATCTGCGAGCTTGTCCGGCTCGTCAAAGACATTGGACGCAACCTGGTTGATAGAGAAATTGGTGATTTGGTCGCGGAAGAGAGGGTTGAGCTGGGCAATATCCTTGAAGACGGAAACAATTTCAGACATAAAGGCACGAATGTACTGGTCGTCTTTGTTGTATGGTTGTGTTACGAGGTTGTCTACCTGAACAATGGAGATGGCATGATTGTGTAGGAATGAGGTCTGAACAGGACCTGAAAAGAACACTGAATTATTTGATGCCATGAGTTGTAATAAACATACCTTGTGGTATCTTGGCGACATCACCTTCAGTGGGCGTGGGAGGAGGGGTAACCGTTTGCGTCTCTTCCTGCACTTGAGCGGTACTAGTATTTTCACCAGCCTTGATTAGTTCCGTTATCTTGATTCTACGATGTGGATACAAAACAGCGGTGAGACCCTCTTCCTTGTCATCACCAGTACCATTGTTCGCAGCAAACACGCTGGTAATCTGAGCAAAGACACCAACTGGATGAACCGAATTAATATCCGTAATGACGTCGCTATCCGTATGCTCGTCCTTTAGTAAGAAAGCGCCAAGATAAGGTTGACCTCGCTTCATCATCTCCTTGATAGCGGCAACGACAGCTGGATTACGAACAACGACAGCCTTGTAAAATCCCGGAAAGAGAGGACGTCGTGCGATGGGGAGAGCAAGAACCTGGGGATAGACCTCCGGTACAGATTGTTTAGCTATTGAGCTGGGAGTAGGTGTCGGCTGTGGAGAAGGTGGTGGTGGTGAATCGGAACCGTCGTTACTATCTCCGCCGGAGGAAGAAGACGGTGGAGTTGATGACTGGGAAGATGAGCCTGCCGGACTTTCGTCATCTGCACCGTCAAGCTTAGCAGAATTGCTACTCGATTCTGCCGCGTCATTCTCGGGTTCGGATGGTGCTGGAGGGGTGGGTTTATTATTGCCTGGCCAGCGGGGAGAGGATATAAGAGGAGATGAACGAGCAGGAGTAACGAGAGATGTCGAAAAATGTCTTGAGCTAGCTAACCTAGCAGCTATTTGAGTACCCAATCCCTGTGACGATCGTAGAACAGTCGTGTGCAATGCTCGGGTGAAATTTGAGCGTAATTGTTTAGCGCAAGACGTGCTATTTGCCCTAAGGCTACCTGCAAAAACCATTGGGAGACCAGTTCCTTCTCACTAATTAAAGTGAACCCAGCCGCTCCTACGGAAGAAAAATGAGTGTGCGTGTGCGGGTTAGTTGTTATACATTGAAATTCGTCAGATCAAACCTTTCTAGACGAATTAGTCAGCATAAAGTAATCACGTGGTCATGTAAATCAATATAGACTCGGATTTAGTCAAGATTTAGTCAAGATTTAGTCACCTAAACCTTTAAATATCTGATCTTTACTACAGAGCCCTCTTCCACCAACGTGGGAGTCGGGGACTTAGTGGTGACTTGTCAAGTCTAGTATCAAATATTAGTACCACGTCTTGTGGACATGCTGCCCTCCACCGCCGTTCGCATTGCCAAGTCGCATCATCTGCACAGGACATTCACCACTCTTAACCCCATCCCAGCCACCTTCCTTCGTGGAGGAACATCGAAAGGCGTATTCTTGAACAAGGCTCATCTTCCAGAAGACCAATCGCAATGGGGCCCCATCTTCCTCGGTATTATGGGCTCCCCGGATACAGCCAATGGTCTCCAGATTAATGGCATGGGAGGTGGTATATCGAGCCTGTCCAAGATATGCGTCGTTGGCTCAGCCTCTGCGGAACAGCGGGCGCAAGGCATCGATGCCGAGTACACTTTTGTTCAAGTGGGCATCCGTGATACCACCATCGATCTCTCTGGAAACTGTGGAAACCTTTCTAGTATGATTGGTGTATTCGCTATGGACGAAGGATTATGTTCCCGGTCTCCTTCTACTCTATCCGGGACCACCACTACCATTCGAGTTCATAATACGAATACAAATAAAACAATTGATACCACATTTTCTGTATCCTTTTCTGGCGATATCCTACATCCAAAACTAGACCTACCCCAAACCACAATGGCAGGGGTCCCGGGAAAGGCTTCACAAATAACCCTCGAATTTATTTCTCCAGCAGGTGCGCGAACCGGCAAACTACTTCCGACAGGGAAGCCACTCGACTTCGTGAACACACATGACCAAGAAATCCCAGTCTCACTCGTTGACGCAACGAATCCCACAGTGTTTGTAACATATGCGGACTTGTGTCATGTTCTTCGCCCTCCGTCCCTCGTTGATTTCTCAGCGTCTAATTCGCGGGAAATGATGGAAGCCATCAGACGGGCCGGTGCAATTAAGATGGGCCTTGATCCTAACATGCAAGCCCAGCCAAAAATTGCAGTGCTGTCACCATCATGTGACCAAGATCATGACATTGGTATTCATGCATTCTCGATGGGCGTCCTGCATAAAGCCGTACCCATGACAGTCGGTCTGTGCCTTGGTGTTGCCGCAAAAGTTGAGGGTACGCTGGCTTGGGATTTGACCGAGTCAATGCGTCTCGGGAAGGTAAAGCAGGGCGAGTTCATTAGAATCAAACATCCAAGCGGCATCGTAGAGGTGGGAGCAGATTTTGGATCAGATGGTGAGGTCTTGAAAGCGAAGGTAGTCAGAACGGGAAGGAGAATCATGAAGGGAGCCGTCTGGTGGTAGATATTGATAAGGGAACTTACGGTTTATGTTTATTCATACTTATGCTCACACCGCCCGCACCATATCGCTATCAGCAAGGAAATTATTCGATTTCGGTAGTATAGATATCTTGCTATTTAAGGACCACAGCGCACTGGAGAATCGTACCAAGCAACTGCAAAAAAGTGGTTCAGCTGAGGATCGAACTCAGAACCTTCTGTGTGTGAGACAGAAATCATAACCATTAGACCACTGAACCGCTGTTGCGTCTGTCGACCTTGACAACATGATCCAAGAAGTACTTGTATCTCAGCTGAATAACGTCTACAATGCCTGCTCCCTAGTGTAATTTAACCGCTATTTCTTCGACTTGTCGGGTCCAAAGAAATTTAAAAGACCAGCAGGTTTCGGTGCCTTCCCAGCCTTAGTTTTAGTCCCGCGTAAGGAGCTCGTCTCCTTGATCTTTGAATTAGCCTGTACCGGCTTATTCCCAGCCTCATCCTTCAACTTTGATTCTGCCTTTTTCTTGCCTTTCAACTTTTTCGCATCATCAGGCGCAGCTTCTACAGCTTCATCTTCAACGACAGATTCATACGAAGAGTATTCTTCCGTGTCTGGAAAAACCTAATGAGAAATAATGCATTTATCACTTTGGAATGATCAACATACGAGTGTAACCTTTGGCATCAGTGGTGGTGCGATTTTTAACGACACGACGTTTCTTCAAACCGTTGCGCCCGACGGGAACCACTTTCCTAGATTTCCTCTTTTTCGCTTCCTCGGGCACAGCTTCCTCTTCGCTGACGGATTCATACGAAGAATAATCTTCCGTTTCTGGGAAACTATCATAAGAATAGCATATTTATCACTTAAGAATCGTGAGCGTACGCATGTAGCCTTTGGCATCGGTGGTGGTGCGACTTTTTAAAACGCGACGCTTCTTCAAACCGTTGCGCCCGACGGGGACTACTTTCTTAGTTTTCCTCTTCTTAGGTTGCGGCTTGACGTCCTCTTCCTCTTCCTCGCCGAGGCTAGATATTAGAGCGTCAAGGTCAGTCTGGTCGACCTCGTCTCCAGTATCGTCTACCTCATCATCGGTGCGACGAGAGGACAAGCGGGATGCTCTGACAACTTGATCTACTGGCTGATTAGTATAGCATCAGGGATGGTCTGTGACAACGCACCATCATCAATATCCATCATTGCCGCAAGGCTCCTCTCAGAGTCTGAAGTCGATCGGGTGATATTTTTGCGTGACTTGCTCGGCACTTCCTCATTCTCATCATCTGACAACACAACACCCCTTTTCACCCTTGCATTACTCGTTGCGGAAGACATCACCTTCCGGTCTTTTGGCATTAGTTTGTGTTCGACATCTGAGTCTGATGGATTAGGTGATTTGCGCTTAGTAGCTCGCTGGAGTCAAATGACGATCAATTATAGACCCTAGAAATAATATTACTGACGTACCTTTGGTTCGACTGCAAGTGTCTTCTTCATCGATTGTAGACCCGCATCACTACTACCCGACGGTTTATCAGCCAGTTTTGCAGAAGACGACGAAGTTTTAGTATCCTGTTTGAATTGAAGCTTGGCCTTGTCCTTGACGCGTGCCCCTGATGTAGTGTCCTGCTCCTTATTCTTACCCTTACTCCAATCTAGTTTACCACTCGGCTTGATTTGTTCTTTCGTCGCAGCAAGTGGTTTTGCATGCTCCTTGTCCCTTTGACACTTCGTTCCGCTTACCCTTGTCCATCGTCTGCTCAGATTTTTGTGGTAAGATATGTGGCTGGGGGATAACTGGTTTCCTCGCATCTAACGTTGTCTTTGATGATGATGCCGCAGAAACATTTTTGGGATTCCTGATCTATGTCATTGTGAGTCTGTAAAGAGAAACTAAAATATTCGATAAAAACCTTCACGTGTTCACCGATTATCTTCCCATTGAGCGCAGGATTGCCCTTTATGTCGGCATTCCGGACGCTGACAGTCGGATGGCAAATCAAACCAGCATCCTGCACAGACATGAGCGTGTTTGGTCCTGCCCTTGCATGAAGCACCTACGCGTAAAACTGAGGGCGACAAGCTGTATACATAGACGGAATGTATACGGGTGAATTGAGCTTTCGCATCTGTGGCAAACCCCTCTCGTCAGCGTCAAGGCGCGTAGAAGAGCAAACGACACGGACCTCGCAGATTATCGCAGTCCACTAAAACTATCTTAGAACACGTTACAGATTGGTGTGTACTATGAGTGGCGTCCATTGCATCGACCTGGCTTCCATTGCTGTGCGGCGGAGCGATTTCACCAGAGACCATGTACGTTGCAAATGATGTGCCGGTGTTTGCAGTGTCCGCTAGATACGCGGCAAGCTCACTATGCAGATGTAGCACTCCATTCAATACGAAGTTATCGGGGTGGCTTACTTCTTGGCGTCATTGACGTGAATGCCGAGCTCGCGACTCAAAGACCGGAATGTGACCTGGAAAATATAATCACGTCGACGTTCAACATTCTGGGTACACGTCCCTCGTACCACATTTTTTTGAATGAACAGTTCTTTAGTGAGGAAGTCCTTGGCTCGCGTGGATGTCATGGAAGACGTGAAGCTATCGGAGTCGTGAGAATAATTGACACGGACGCGTTGACAGAACTCAAAAGTTGTTGAATATCTAACTTGAAGTAATGGTAAGGACCACCTCACTTGTCGACATGGCCCTAGTCTAATAAATGACAATAGCCTCAAACTTAAAAGGTTTCGACGGTGTATGTCGGCCGCCCGTAGTATCGATATCCTCACAACCAAACAACAAATAAATCCTATCATCATCTATCCATTGTCTTATTCACCAGCAAAACCCAATTCCCGTCGACGTGAACTTTGATTTCGTCTCGTGCTTTATGCTTCAAAGAGCGAATATGTCCAGGGCCCAAATGCTTCCATGGTAATGGCATTGTTGCCGCCGCTTGGTCGATGTCGAAGAAAATCTTCGTGGAGATGAAGAAATTTGGATCATTAATCACCGAGGAAACGCATAGCAGTCTATGGTTAGGGTCTGAGGTGTACACCGACTGGGCTTGCGTCTGCGTCTCCGGCTGTGAGCTATACTCATTCTCCAAGTCCACCGACTGGAAAGGCAACAGGAAACATGCCAGCAATTGTGGCATCTGACATATCCTCAATCGAATACAACTTCAAATCAATATTATCGGCGAAAAACGAGCAACCTGTCGTTTCCGAGAAAACAAAAACTGGTGGGAATGAAATTTGGACCTTGCATGCTACTGCTGACGGCGCTCTAAAGTCGAAATCATTTTTACTCAAGCTTGAAGATTCACGCTGAATGTTGTTGAGTGCTGCCAGTCCCAAATTTGCAGGTGCCACGTCTTCGAAGGCCTCGAAGTCCAACGGCAAGAGTCGCGCCACAAAGCGATATGCATCCTATAACCCCTGAGCTTCACATCGAATGCATACACGAGCAACTCCACGACCATCATCCAGAATTGTTAGGTAAATGACGTTCTGTTTAGGACAATGACAACGACCCACAGGTGTGCGACGAAGATTATCTCTGCCCTAGAATGTAAACCCAGGGTTCTTCGGCAAGAGATAGGAATACCGATTTATGCTTTATTTCGTGGTTCATTCTCTTGACAAGGCGATCAACTATTTGGATGAGTGAGGAGGTAGGAAAAGTTGCGGGACATCAGCGCAAATTTCCAATTGGACCGGCACGAGGCCTACAGTTTATAGGGGAGAAATGGCTGGAGGATGAGAATAAAATGTGGTTTACGATGGGCCGAGTTTCGAGGTAAGCGATGTTATCGTTGACCTATAAGCTCGATGCTCATTGGGAGAGAGTTGCTGACCCCGAGCTGAAGGCTAAGTTCAAACGGATGTCCACTCTTGCCAGTAATCGCCATGTGTTCCGGTCAATGTTTCTGACGTGGAATCCAAAGCACGTTCGATTACGAGCTCCTGCATCACAACGTGCACATACCATCACACATCGCAATTTATCCCGAAGAAATTGCCAGGCAGGGCTCGTCCCCAGGGCCAACATGTAATAAGCAAGATCAGACAAGCGTTCAACTTGCCGCCGCAAGCAGTCGATCTTCATCCCCGATGCGTGAATCAGCGACTAAAATCGAGCCACCCCGTTTGCAGGTCGCGATTCAACGCGGGGTAGATTGTGGGTTTGTCGTGGGCGGCGATGATATATTGAAAGAGTTCGGAATAGCCAACATAAGCCGCTGCCCAATGCTGATTACCAGGTCCACCTGTTCTGCGACCAATGAGCAGTAAGAAACGTCAAGTTCCTATTTGTGATGTTATACAAGTAAACTATGAGTGAACTGGCCCCAGGCCTCAGAGAGTAGTGGTGCGTAATCGAAATCAAAGTCTGGAAAAGTCATCCAAAGAAATATACACTTTAGTTTACTTCGATCGCGGCGTTTACATTCGTATCGTTGGGCTTTTCGCTGCAGGTCGTCGTCTTGTGTGATATAGAATTCGTGGGGTCGTCATACTTTGGTTGGGGTTTGTGGTCCGTACTGCGGTCGTAAAAGATTGCTATCAAAATGAATTGGAGAGCGACAATTCCAAGGAGGAACCAAAACGACGCAGCTCTTCCGGCGTACTCGTAGGAACCCCCATGAGTGGCCTCCACGGATGTCTCTATCGAGGTTATAGCAGCGAGGCCGATTGCGGATCCAAATTGAAGAGCGCCGTTGAACATGGCACCAACTGTGCCTGACATGGATGAAGGCGCTGCTTGGAAAATGGCAATGCTGTGAAGCAAGTAAATCGTGTTCGGAAGATTGCTATTACATATTTGAAACTTACTTCGTATGTGAAAAAGCCACCATGACTCCGGCGCTGCCGAGTACAAATGCTGGGAACACATACGGCCAATAGTTTTCGGGCTTTCCCCCGCCAAGCGCTAGCAATAGGGTGGCGACTATGCACAACGATAGACCGATAAGAATAATCCACTTCGGGCTGTAGATGCGAGAAAGTGATCCCGTGCAGCTCGCAGCGGATGCTACGATACCAAGTGGCAACCTAGAGAGTAAAGAATCTTGATGGTTGGCGATATGAAGTGACAACGAACACCTTACATGTGGACGGCTGTCGACATCACGGACCAATGGAACACATCTTGCCACATGATGCTAAAAATAAACATAACCCCACTCCACCATAAAGATGGCAAAAGTGCAGTGGCGAACAGAACAGAGAAGTTGTTGTAGAACCATGTCCGTGGTGGTCTGGTACAGGATAAGCCAATGATTAACCCCAGAATTTCCGTTGACATACATGGCAGCTTGGTCCACAGGTAAAAGTGTTTCCCAGTAGAAAAACCCAACTACCATCCCAATCGAAACGATTAGGAAGATCAATACTACCGGGGATTTCCAACCATCAGTGGAACCGGATGTCACGGCGAAAATGAATAAGATGAAGGCAACTATCAAACCTCATGAGCGACACAAAGATAGTAATTATGCTGAAAAAATTCGTACCAGTCAAGATGCTTACGCCAACTAAATCAAGATGTTTCCACTTCGCCGCTTTGGGCTTATGAATGCCTGTAGTCTTCCCGATATGTGCTGGTATCATGAAGATACAAACCAGAGCCACCGGAAAAGCCGCGCATGCAACAGACCAAAAAACCCAATGGTAAGACGCCCATTGAACGAACATTGCACCGATCACAAGACCGCTCACTATGTAAAGAACCATGAGGGTCGGCTTACGATATGCAAGATGCTCACCGTTGGCCACCGCACCGCATCCTGCGAAGAACCCTACTGCCCGAGCTTGTTCGAGAGGGTCTGGGAATACCTTGACCAGGAGCTTTAGGGCAGAGGGAATAGTCATTGCAGAAGCTAAGAAGCGACCTTCGTCAGTCAAAAACAATACATCAGCGAGAATGATCACCTATTCCAGCCATTGCTCTGAGAATAAGGAAAGGGACTGTGGCGTTAACAAACCCTGCGCACAGCGAGAGAATGCCAAGACTTGATGTTCCTCCGATGAATATAATTTCTGCGTGCCATTCAGCATGTATCTCAAGCATGAACAGCGATGAAAGCACTAACTTGAGTTGTATACATCACTGAGACGGCCACTCTGAAACAATACGTTGAAGTGTAAGTCAGGATTTCACGGGATGAACACGCACGATAAGCAGGAATGATGAAAAAGTTAATCGGAATCCGCTAAATACCCAAGTGGATTGAATTTCAGTCATACCCGTGGACGCCTCAAGTGCAGGGACCGCAGATAAGAGAGCCGAGATATTCACGATATCTATGAATTGAGTAAGACTAAACATAACTAACAAGACAAGCTTGCGGGTAAGAGAAAGTCTTTTGGGTTCATCATTATCCAGGAAAAGGGGCAAAGGTGTTGACATCGTCCTGGAAACCTGAAGACAACAAAGAACCGTTGCAGACTGTATCACAGTATTATAACCAGACAGTTCAGGAACGCACTAGCTAGTAGATGGTTAGTAATGATCAACCAATCAAGCCAGAACTTGAACCCTGAGACATGATGCAAGGTTCTCTACGTCAGGGGCGAATGAGTGGATGATCATTTACTAATCGAACCTAGCCTGTAGGCTCGAAGTTCAAAACGTGGGTCGAACGAGGCGCTATGCCATAGATGATCACGAATAATGAGGATGATTGTGTCTACACCCGTAGCCTGGTATCGTGCCGGGATGCAAAAGCTTTGCACAACACGAAAGTCTGAATATGAGCCGCAGTTGGAGCTGGACATCATTTGGGAGGACAGCCTGTGGATGAACCATTTCGCCAGAGCGAGTACTATTAGTAGATCTGTAACTTGTACTAACACTGCGCTTCCGAGGCACGATGCGTGATGCGCCGTGATGCACGAAGGAATTGTGACGTACTGTATAGTCCGATGGTGGTATAAGCCAGCCTGGATATCTATCGCCGCAGTACTTCAAGTTGCCGCATATAGTAATGCCGCACCAAATAAAATACTTATCCAGAATTTTATGTAAATTACATAATTGATTGTACTATATTTTGTAAAAATACAACACCAAACGACTTGGACCGGTGTAAGCCCGCAAACCGTGCAGTAATGATATCGATGCAAGAACAGATCGTGCCGATGACTGGGAACGTGAGTTCAAGTTCAACGAATTCGAAGCACACATACGACGCAGCAATTTACATAACTTTCCCCCTCGTGTATCAATGACCTACTGCTAAGTACGTATGACATTAGCCTGTTCAAGAATCCCTCCGTCACTCACCAAATAGGTGCGTCGTAGCACTACAAGCTTCCGAAAACACACTTGATTGGCTGACTATGCTACAGAAAATACGCTGATCAGAAATGCACCAGTACTACATAAGGATCAATTACAAAAATACTAATTATAACGAACCATTCATGACCGCAACTACGATCGCCTCCATAATGACTCCGTCGGTTCAGACGTGCAAAAAGCAAGCGTGGTCTTCACCCAGTCCTCACGCTTCTGTCTGCAAGAAGCAAGATGACCAAGTTGCACAGGCGTGGGATGATGGGCGTGGAGAACAAACATGTAATCTGACATGTCGCTCTGTTGGACCATCGAAAAGGCATTTTCTCCGCTTCTGATAAATGCGGAGATATCAACGCAATTGTCTGGAGTAACCTGCCAAATGATTATTTCGACAGTTTGCAAGTACGTGCAGTAATACTCACGAAAATAGGCGGAGCTAGTGGAATAATAAAATCCTTCCCATCCCGCTTGGTCTGCAGTGAAAGGTCCCCAGTTGTGGGCCACGAGCATTGAGAATTCATCGTAAGTTTCTCAAATGGAGTAGGTTGATCATCTTCTGGTGGATTGGGCAAAAGACTGGGAAGATGATAGCAAGCAAACGACACACAGACACTTTGCTCCAAATCTCTGTGAACCGCTGAATACGTGAATAAAGGCGAGAAAAGGACACATACGTTGGTGACGACTTGCGCTTAGCCCACCGAGCAATTTGGAGATAGAGTGTATGATCAAGATTGAAAGTAACGTTGATCGTCCCGCGAGGTGAAAGTCCTTGCCGAAACATCATCACAGCCATCTCCCCTCCAAATCTCGCACAAGTGACTTGCGGACAGGTATGATCTACTGGAGGTAACAATATTTCGTCTCCTTGGCTTTTTACACCCACATCTGATGATATCGCAGGTGGCTGCCTTGGAGCTGGAGAATCTATATCTTGTTCTGGCGACGGTGTTGTGAGCTCGGGGGCGACATTTCCTGGCGTACCCAACACTGTTTCTAAACCTTGAGGCACGTTTCCTGTTTGTGGGTCGTTCATGACAACATCAGCTACCACGGATGGAATTTCTTGTTTGACTTCTTTGGCAACTGTTGGCGCTGAAACCTCGGTGGAAGGCAAGGCACTCGTCAGATCAGCGCCATTCGCAGGGGCTGCAGGTTCGGTTGCTGTCGTCAGCTCAGTAAATGCCGGTTGTGGAGGTATCCTCCCTGGCATCCGAGATGGCCGTATCTTCTCTGCAGGCGGCTCCGTCACATCATTTGAAAACTTAAGCGCGCCGGGTGGAGCAGGACTTGAAGGCTTTGAATCAGAAGCAGCCGCAGGTTGATGTTGTGACTTGAACCATTCGATGTCACGGTGTTTGAGGTGCTCAGATAGTGAAGATGTCACAGCTTGGCGCTTTGGCTGAGGTTTTGGAAGGGCTCTCGGGGTGGAGGTACTGGTTGGGAGATCCGGACGAGTATCTGGTGTAGACGAGGTCGAAATCTGCGCTGTAGTCTATGAATTTATATATGAGATCATGAATAAACAGCGCGTGTACATCTTACAGGCGATTGAACTGATTCCACTTGGGCGATACTAGGAAACATTAGTTGCGTGCTTGGAGTCGCATCTCGGGTGGTTGTGATCATTGAGGTAGCGTCCCTAAACGAGAGCATCGTGGTGATGTTTAGACCTAACAAATGCCTACTTACTTGTATTCTTGAGCTGCAGTATCGCCTTCAGCCCGGACAGGATATACGAAATTATTTGAAAGCTGAGAAGAACTTTGGATCAAGTCATGGAGTCGGACTACATAACACGATCGACACAGCCGTACACTTGGCAAGATTACCACGTACGTTGCAGGTCCTCCTCTGTGAAAAACCGTAAGAAAGGAATTACGGCGCGAATTAAGGCCTGGTATATATCCATCACAGCAAATGCTGACTGTTCTGTTTGGAGAAACCTTTTCGTGAAGGTCTGATGGGCAATCTGTCGAGTACAGGATGAGATAATAGAGCAGGGAGCGGCGTATGTACACACCTCGAGGAGCAAAACGATCTGATGTTAAGAATCAAAGGTAGGTATTGAGTTTCATTTCTGTCAAGCTGAACCAGGATTGCAATACTTACATTACGTAGGGCGTCAGGATAGTACGCTTTCTCGGAGCCCAACCAGTTCTTCAGCTTTTTGGCAGTGTTTATGTACTCGCTGATGTCGTGTGATGCGAGCCTGTTTGCAAAGACCGGGAAGATCTTCGCGTTGGCGACAACAGCGGCGGTGTGTGGGCGAGTACTCATTATGAAGTCGTTCAAGTTGGACGCCGATGCGTCTGTGAAATATTTAAAGGCTTAGACGGCCCACCAACCTTGTGGTGGTATTATTGATTATCATACCAAAGGAGTTCAAGTTGTGGGTGTCACAAATTTGTGCTTGTAAGTTTTTGAAACGCCACATTTGCTAAGTCGCAACAAAGGCAAACACAAACGTTAACGTTGTGCAGCGCCGACGGTCGAAATCCAACAAAATTGGCATCTGAACATCTGATCTCATTGCACTACCAGTCTGTATAGTCCTCTCCAGCCAAGGAACTCGGATAGCGGTAAGCGAGACATTTCTTGATACTCCCTATCGATGACAGGTTGTACTACTTATTAATTAGTGACCCAAGTCTGTAGGCTTTTCTAGCGTGTACCCTCTATCCGCAAGTCACGGTATATTCCTGGATAAACTCCAATATATGTATTGTATGTTTTTTGCATGTTCACGACGTATCGTCGGCAATCATAGCCATTCTACAGTCTAAAAATGAAATCAGCATTGACACAGGTGAGACAAAGCGACAGAGCTTACGGCGGGAGGCTTAGAAGAGATATCATAAGTGACACGATTGATCCCCTTCACTTCGTTTGTGATGCGGGACGATATCCGACGCAAGATTTCGGGAGGGAACGCATACCTGAAATATAAAGTTAGCATTGAACAAGACCAAAATAAAAGATAAAGCCCACCAATCTGCAGTCATGAAGTCTTCCGACGTCACCGCCCTCAGAGCAATTACCTGTAAAATACGGTGAGGCAGCGCACACGAGAGAATACTGTCCTTCCAACCTGTTCGTATGTGCGCTTGTCACCCATCACGCCGACAGCCTTCACAGGAAGTAAGATAGCCATGGCCTGACTAATTTGATTGTAGAGATTCGCCTTGCGAATCTCCTCGATGTAGATATGATCTGCTTGTTGCAGTATCTTCACTTGTTCGCGCGTGACAGGACCCAAAATACGAATAGCCAGACCAGGACCTGGGAAAGGATGACGTTGAACTAGAGGTGCTGGTATCGACAAGAGTCTCCCAAGTGCACGGACTTCATCTACATAAAACAGTGAGTGCAACCGGCAATATAGGATTCCATTAATAAAACCTTTGAAAAGCTCGCGCAGAGGTTCGATCAACTTCAATTTCATGTCCTTCAGAAGCCCACCGACGTTGTGGTGGGTCTTGATAGTCGCGCTAGGGCCCTTAAAGCTGATACTCTCGATAACATCTGGATATAGGGTTCCTTGCAATAGCCATTCGATCTTCCCCTTTTCCTTCGCCCCGTTTTCTTCGTTTTCGGCCGCTTCCTCGATCTTCGCTGCTTCTGTCTCGAAGACGTTGATGAAAGTATTCCCGATAATCTTTCTTTTCTGCTCCGGATCCTCGACACCATCAAGTCGGGAGAGAAAGAGGTCAGAAGCATCTACTACGGTCAGGTTGACTCCCAGATCTTTGTTCAACATGTCATTGACTTGTTGTGCTTCGTTCAGACGAAGCACGCCGTTGTCCACCATGATGGCGTGGAACCTGGTACGTGAGTAAGACATGAATTATGAAAAAAAAAAAAACATGACGACACACCTGTCGCCAATTGCCTCGTGCATTAACTTGGCTGCAACAGTGCTGTCAACGCCTCCGCTGACCGCGCCAATCACACGACCTTTCGGACCACATATTTCGCGGATGCGGACGATTTCCTTGCCAATGAATTCTTCCTGTAATCGCAGTGAGTATGACAACAACGTAACATAGCAATCGCTTCACCATTGTCCAATTCGCTCTACATTGGCATATATTCAACACAAATCGACCAATGAGTTGCCTTCCTTGCGGGGAATGTGTTACCTCTGGATGGAATTGAATGCCATATAACGGCTTGGAGTTATGTGCAATGGCGGCATAGGGAGCAGTGCTCGTCCGTCCAATTACATGGAAGTCAGAAGGCATAACAGATAGTTGATCTCCATGTGACATCCAGACCTTTTCGAAGATCAATTTGGCATACGATAGATAAAACGAAAACACGGACCTGCATCTGATCACCGAGTCCTTCGAACAAGGCATCGACAGAGTTTCCAGATTCGCCGAACCTGCTAATCTGAACCTCTGCAAGTCCGTATTCGCGATGATCGCATTTTGCTACATGCCCCTTGTGATTCCAGCAGATCTCCTGCATCTCCCGTGAGTTAGTGTCCATCGAGATGTTCGAGAAAACCAGACCTGGAGGCCATAGCAAATGCCAAGGATAGGGACACCTAAAGAGTATATACCGGGGTCTGCATGAGGTGCATCGTCGTCGTATACAGAGTATGGAGATCCAGAGAGGATGATCCCTGAAATTTGTGTCAGAAACGAGTTTCTCGCTTTATTACATGAGCGAACGAACCTTTAGGCTTGAATTTAAGATCTGCTAGCTTTGATGTACACGGCATAAGCTCTGCGTATACATTCAACTCGCGGCATCTCCTTGTTATGAGGTGACTGTACTAAACCGGCCATCATTGTCAATACACAAGGTGGTTTGAGTTAGAGCAAGGATCCCGAACCTGCGAACCGAAGTCAAGAATAAGGATGGTATCGAACTGATCATGTATTTCGGCCATGTTTTGTGATTGAAGACTGGAAGCGATCAAGCGATCTTTTGCTTTGGATGATTTGAAAATTAAGATATTCCGTATTTGGTAATTTTATATACCACTATTAGCGCTCCGTCTTGTCCTTCATCGGCTTACCGACGTGAGGGTACGTTTCATTATTCTGACTCTGGATGCTACATAGACACCGATATTATCATGATTGACTGAAGAGCTCCAGACCGCTATTATAATAGGGCAGAAGACGGTGTCAACGTGGGCTCACCATCGAGGCAGCGAGTCGCAGCGTTTACAGCGGTACGGATAACATCGGTGTGGGCGTCAAACCTAAACGCCAATATGATTTCAAGTTTACGAAGAATGTCCCCGACAAGCAGCGCAATAATTATCTCGACAAAGATCCTGCCAGGGTCAGGATTCTTAAACGTCAGTCTCTCGTATACATATCTTCGGGAACTAGAATAATCAGTCTCGCAAGCGTTCATCGTGTCCAGGCATTTCCATTTCTTGCGCAGAAACCGCCTGTTATTGTGCTTTAGCTGGAAGGGGAGGCTAGCAGACTCTCTTCCAGCCGCAATCATCCAATGTCATTCGGCTCGTGCAGATTGACACTGCCCTCTTTGCATTCGAGCCGGTCTTGAAGGCTCTGCAGAAGACGCAAGCCATTTCGCTGTCAGAGTAGCTCTTGTTCTGGAAGGACGGGAACATCATCCGTAGCGCTGCGGTAACTGCCGCTCAGGTTCCCTGTCCACTTGCTATGAATCCGCCTATGATTTGAAACAGCTTCAGGGCTTTCATCTAGTGTCGTCTTTGATAAGTCGCAGGCAGCATCGTTATTGGCACGACTTACGCAGAGGTTTTATCTCATTCAAGGCCATCCAGGTAGCGTTCATCAGCCACCCATTCATATCCATCTTGTTGACATCCCAAATGGACTGCAAAATCAGTCATTCATGCGCTGCTCGCGAAGGCCATCTACGGTCACACCGAGCAGAAGATACTTGTAATCTGTTATACGAAACATGTCCTAGATCAATTCTTGGAAGATCTCATGAAGATTGGGATGTTGAACATCAGCATGGTCCGCCTCGGCGGCAGAGCAATGCACAGGTCGCCCATCTTGGCATTGCGGGCCAGAGGGAAAAGCGTTTTATGCGATCCAAAGCTGATTGGATTATTATCGATAATTTGAAGCAGTCGATGTCACTGCAAACTGCCATGGACAGCTTCATAGCTTCGAATATTGGCAAGTAATACGCGAGTCGATCTTGGATTTCAGTATATCTCGCTGAAGTTCACTGCTCACAGGAAATTGTGTCCCAAAGTCAACAACTCCAAGCTGACTGTTGAAAAGGGTGATGGGTTTGAGCTCAAAATATCACTATTCGAGCGCCTGGTTCTCAAGGGCTTTCCTCACGATACTCTGATCGCCTACCATCATATGCGTCTAGACATCCCGGCGTTTATAAGGAGACTTACGTACCCTGACCTCAAGGATGCTCCCAAGATGCAGGGCTGTAACAATATTCTTCGTCTGGGTTGAAATAGAATGCATCTGAAGTAGGAAGATCGCACGCTACCTCGTCCAGCAAAGCTACGGGACGGAGAAGCGAGTCCTTGCGCCATATCTCGGGCAGCTCTCGAGGTTTCGAGATGTTCTAAAGAGGGACAGTGACCCTGTGCTCAATGACCTCGATTCGCACGATCTCATCCGCGGCGGACTTATGCCTGTTAGGGGTTCGTGAAGATATGCCTTCTAATTATATTCAGGTTCGTCATGCAAATAGCTTCTATGTTTTACCAATGATCTGATTCTTATCATGTATATATAACGAACCTGTGATATACAGCAATTGACGTTGCAGTAACCATCTTGGTGGACCATCCTTGCGGTAGATGATCCGTGAGACGCCCAACCTTTGGTGCGGCACATTGGTCACGGTAGTGCCACATGCGTATTTATACGAGTGGTGCATCACAAATCCTCAGTATGCATCCTGTGTGCTCGGGATTCATGTAAACGTTGCGTCTCGGATGCTCGTCGTACGTACCTTTGACATGTCCGCCAGTTCCAACCATTCAACAACATGTTCAAGTTGCTCAAGCTTTGGTGTGCGAGATCTCGAGCACTCGCACTGCTAGACTTCGATATGACGAATCACAACCATCATCAGGCCGATGTTAATGGAGTCTGAGAGACCGTGAGAAGTGGAATTATCCCTATCAAGCAGTGTTTGGGGGTTTGACGAAACAAATACCATGTTGGCTTAGCCACTCGGAAGCCGAACGCTTTCTATACTATAGGTGAACGCTGTGCACTTCATGCGGCACAATGCACGATAACTACTTATGAGTCGATAACGTGATTCTTATCGTATATATATAATGATACGTAGATGCGGCAGCCAGTAGCAGAGCTACTCACTTACCCCATCATAACACCTCCTAAGCATAATCATCTTCCATGACCACTTTCGAGTCATCAACAGGCATGCCACTGGATGCCGCTACCTTGATGTCAACAATTCTGGAAGGCATTTTATATGGTGAGTATCGCAATTGGTTGCTCCATGCATCCTGTGGCTATAGAGCGCTGAAAGGCTTGCAGGCTTTTCACTCCTTATGTTTATTGGTACCATGTGGATATTCACCTACAAACGTCGCATGCGGGACACCAATTGGCCTACCATTGCGGTTGCCACCCTGCTGTTCCTACTGAGTACTGCGGTTAGCCTCCCGCCGCTTGCAGACAACGTCATTTGCTGAATAATCAAAAGCACATGGTTGTAGGTATTATTTATGTTGAAAATGGGCTGGTGAGTTATCGCGACACGTTTCCGGGCGGTCCAGTGGCATACTTTGCGGACCTTCTCCAAGGATTGTTTGTGGTGAAGAATGCGATACTCGTCTTGCAAACTCTCCTCGGCGACGGAGTAGTGGTAAGTTTATTTTTTATCTGCCAGTTTGACACCCTTGTGGCTCATAGGAATCCTCATGATGAAAAAAAGATATATCGATGTTACGTTGTTTGGCAATCTGTCCGGATTATTATCCTACCATGCATAATGTGGTGCGGTGTTGCAGGTTAGGTTGCAATCACAGCCAGGAAGTCGTGCGTTCTAATTTCTCTTAAAGTTTTTGGTGTCTGTATGGTCTACAGCATGTCCCAACCGCAGGTTAACGATTCCACGAATTTTTTCCTGGACGCGACCACACAATGGATCACGACATTCATTTCCTTCACAATCGCAACTAATTTGTTGAGTTCAGGTAAGCACACTTTTGCGCACTGTTGAGGCCTCATACTAACTTGAATATATTAGGGTTATTGGCATATCGCGTCTGGACTATCGAACGCAGAGTCTCTACATCTCGCACCACGAAAAACAAGATACCCATATTGCGCGTGTTTGTGGATGCCGCTGTTTTGTACTCTGCGGCGGTGTGCTCTTCGCTCATCTCTTTTGTATGCTCGAGCAGTGGGATGTATGTTATGGCAGACCTGGTGATTCAGTCATCAATACCTGTTTGAAAAACTAACGAGCTTCGATGAACTACATAGGTCATCCCAATCATTCCGATTGCCTTCTATATGGTGTTTATTCGCATCGCGATGAGTCAGAACAGTCAGGCTTACACCCCAAATGTTCATGGTGGGACGGCTGAGGCAGAAAGACGAAATTCGCATTATCCTGTGCAGCCTTTGCACACCATCAGATTACACAGGAAGAGCAGCAATATTTCCTTACCTGATAGCCCAAAGATGTAAGGACAGATGCGCACGACGTATCAAACACTTTGGCAACGCCCTGTTTCTTTCATTTCCTTTTCATACACTCTTTACTGTTTCACATTTTTACACTTATCTCGTATCTTTTACCATTTAATAGCCCTCATCGTATATAAAAACCCGCATATGTATAGTGTATCGACCATATCTCTCAAACTCCCACCATCAAGTCTTCATTTCCCTTCGAGCTCGGCATTCGAGTGACGCACGTTGTACTATCTCCATTTTACAAAGTATGCTCAGCTGGATGAAGCCCATAGTCGTATCCATCCTGCTCAGTATACTTCTGTGGAGCTACTCTCACACTTTGAGGAAGCCGTCACGCAAACATTTGGTTACTACCAACGCATAGTACCTCGTCTGCTTTTATAATCCTCCGCGTAAGATTTCGCCTGCTGATCGTGAATGTCATATTCCTCAGTGACTCTGATGCAGAATTGAAATCTCAACGGAATATGACATCCACTGGACCACTGCTGTAGAACCTCGTAGTACCCACTGAAACGATTACTTCTGCAACCAACAGAAGTGACAAGCTTCGAATCCCGTTGTCTACCACAGCCAATAGAACATAAATGATTTTTCGATTGTCTTAAGTACATTGTACACAGGTTTCGAACGTCAACTAGACCTCTCGGTGGTCCCTGATGTACATGACTTGCTTACACGAAAAAACATACAGCCCAATCAAGCAGTATTAAATACACAGATCCCAGCTCTCATCCTCAAAAAGAGGTTCAATATAGAATAGCATTGCCACTACGTGGTATGAGACGACACTTGAATGGCAATGGAAGGCTGTCAGGTCGTTATTAGTGAAATGTAATAACAAGTGCATGAAACGGCTGCGAACCTCACAAAACTTGATGTATATTCCATGACAACCTCTTCTTCATTGCCATCGTCTCCCAACGGCGGTCTAATTTCGAAAGTAGCCAGAAATTGGACGACGAATAGGAAGATCTGTGCATTGGCAAGGCTCAATCCAGGGCATATCCTTGACGACTGCTTAGCAAATGCAAGATAAGAATGATGCGTCGTTTGCCTACCTCTTTCCAAATCCAAACGTGAAATCTCGGGGATCCTTCGCGCTGCTTTCATGCCCCAGAGGCAGATGACGCTCGGGTAGAAATTTATGAGGATCTGGGTATATGTTTGCGTCGTGAGTCATTGCCCTAAAACAAACATTATGTTCAACAATGACTTCCTCTCAGAGCCTAGTGGCTGACCTACCAAATGTTGAACATCACCCAGGTATCTTGGGGAATACGGTAGCCCTTGTATGAGTCGGTTTGAACGGGCGATCTTGGAATCATAGGTGTCACGGGATTAAAGCGATGAACTTCCCTTATTACCGCATCGATGTACGGCAACGCAGTCATGTCAGACAGCAGGGGTTGCCTGGTAGACTCAGTGACGCTCGTAATCTCTCGGTAAGCCCTTTGTTGGACATCTTGGTGCGCCATCATCAATATCAAGAAGTCCATAAATACCGCGTATGTCTGTAAAAAGGTTCGCACTGTTTCAAATGTCAGACAGCACAAACAACTTACAGTCTCTATTGCAGCTAGCGGTAGTATAAGAGAATGACTCGTCCTTTATGATAAATTTACACACCCGTATAGATGCTCGATGCTGCAGAAACGAGCTCTTCCTCCTTATATTTTGACGCGCCTGTAATGATGTCGCTGAGTGCGTCAGGCACCATTCCCCGCGTCTCAGTACCGTTAAGCTTTGTGTCATGTTCATTATAAGTAGCATATAACACAGCAGATAAACGTACGACGGAACTGCGTGCCTCTTGGAAAGGTCGCGCAGTATACTCGATGAACTTTGTCCTAGCATCCCTGGCCCATCCTTTGAAAGCCATTCCAGGGAACCAGTCTGGTAAATACAATACTGAAAAGTTCGATAAGACCGTGTGTCATCGGAAAAACATGCTTTACCTAGAGGAATAGTATCAGCAAGCCAGCGTCCAGGCCGCAAAGCCTGTTGGGTGTGAACAGAGATTTCGTCCCCTAATTTGAGTGCAACATCGTCCACTTTTGTCCCATACGTGAATCGAGTGATAAAAGACCCAAGATACCTTGACATCAACGGAAAGACGTCACAAATTGACTGCGATGTTAGATAGAATTCGCACCTTCGAATATGCTGCTTGAATAACTCCGGAGATTGTGCCATCTGCAACATTAAGTTGGTAGTCTCTTCCTCAAGGACTGGGCCCCAAGACTTTTGCGCTCTTGGATTAAAAGCACCTTGAAGGAGTGTTCGGGCCTTTTTCTGCCTCTCATTATGATCCATGAATGCGATATTGTCTTTCCGTCCGGTGAGAGCCACCATTGACCGAGTTGGACGGCGTGCATAAAGCGTGGACTTGGTTTCCAACAGGTCCGTGGCCGCACTAGCTTCGTTGACGATGAGGATGTCCCGACCAAAGGCATAGAGGTAAATCAAGGGCCCTAAAAATAATGAGCTCGCGATGCATCAGTCGAGGAAGAGATCATACCAAATGTTTTGGACCAGATAACAAACTCTTTCCATGGATGAACCCAAGGCAATATCTCCTCGTTTCCAAACCAAAACTTTCTTGGTGGACCTGTATCACCGGCGTCACTTTATGCGTTTGGAGAATCAGCACAGCACATTCAACAAATACCTGGGGGAAGAGGTAACCGTCGGGATCTTGCAACGGCCCAACTCGCCAAAGCCAGGGCACAAAAACATGAACAGATGCCTAAAGCGAACATCTTCAAGAATCTTCGGACATACTAGAACCTGAATGGACCCGCATTCTCAATTTTATGCTCAACTTCTCGGCGTTAGCCCTCAGGCTGTGAGACTGACACGGCCGCGTTGATTCTGTTTATTGTTCTGATTTGAGAGCAGTACGGATATTATATATGTCCAATGGGCTAAAGCTGCGGATTTGATGATGTGGCTGAGCGTTGATGCTGAGAGTCTGAGACTGATCAGTTAGCATATTGGTAATTACGTGTCTAGGCTAGACTCCTAGTACTCGTCGAACTCGTGGTCTTCACTCACACCATTCTCTGCTATTTTTTACAACGCTATAAGTGTCCGTGAACCTGCCTATATCTCTTTCCTGCTGCCGTTACCGTTGGTCGATTTCTTTTTTGGAACCGTCCTAGCGCCGCGGCTCGCGAATCGCGATTGATGCTCCCTCGTTGCCTCTCGGGTGTGATTCTACTGCATCCTGGAAAGCCTGAGCTTCCTCGTTACACGCTATCTAACTATACTTAGTATACGTATACTAGTACTAGTACTATCAGTACATGTGGCATGTCCTATCATTGGTAGTCACATCATAATCCCAATCCATCCTCATCTCGCCCCTGCAGCAAATCAAAACATTGTCAAGGAGATCCCCGCCCAAGCTCTGTGTTGTTGTTCTAAAATTCCCACCCTGTGGGGAGCCGATCTATCTCGAGTCCTCGACAAGCACACTGGATTTCAACCTGAAACAGCTTCTCCATGGGTTCTTCCGCTCCTTCCTGATCTTTGTCGCAGCGTCTGATGGTACCACATGCACTGCTCACACGCGCCCGAGGCGCAAACTGCTAGATTAGTATTGGTTCATCGTCGTGTCACTAGCATGCTAAATATGACGATATCATTCCAGGATCTAGTATATGGGGTTCAGATCTTATCACACAACCTGCTATCCGATGGATGCACCCATGGATATTTTGGTATTTCTGAATTCACAAGCACCGTGAACTGGGTCGCTGTCAAGCCGCGCTGACAGGCGAAGTTGGACTTAGAGTGCCACATTGCATCATCACGTTTGCGATTAAGATATTCTCGCGCAGATTGATCCGGTGATCAATATCCAATCACGCCTCGAGCACCCTCTCAGCGCCTGTGTCTCTATAAGAACAGCTTTAAATCTTATTTCTCCTTACTAGCAGAGCAATGTTGACCTCCGTCGATGGAATTAAAGATCAAGTCTTTGACTATATCATCATCGGTGCGCTCTGTATCAAATCTTAAAGTGCTTTGGAGTAGCTCACCTTGCTTCTAGGTGGTGGAGTAAGAAGGATCATTTGCCGGCTCTTACTGACTTGAAAGCTAACCCATGACCCCTAGACTACTGGCCTCGTCTTAGCGACGCGTTTATCAGAAAACCCATCGACTTCAGTACTCGTCTTGGAGGCAGGCAGCGCTCATATTGATGATGCCACTCTCCGTCAGTCTGTCAGAATACCTGTGAATTATCGCTGACATCAAGTCTAGTGATACCTCAACAACGTTGGTTGTTTATGGGCAAAGCTGAATACGACTGGAGCTTTAAAACTGTTAGTATCCCTGACCATATCCTCGTAATCGCAACTAAACAGCGCGAAGGAAACACAACATCACGCCAGAGACAGAGTATTCACGTGGCCTAGGTCAGTTTGTGATCCTTGACTCCGAGGAGTCATTGCTGCTCTGACTAATGGCTCTTGTTTACAGGGGAAAGGGACTTGGAGGCAGTTCCGCTATCAACAATCTCCTCTGGAATAAGCCAGCGCGTCAGCACATTGATGGTGAGCCTTATTTGCCCACATTGACACCTCCTTAATACACCAACAGCATGGGGTGCGCTTGGCAATGATGGTTGGACTTGGGAAAACTTTCAGGCATATTCCAAGAAATCTGAGAGGTCAACGATATCAATATGCTAGATGGGGTTGCGAGACTAATCACCTCCCAGGTTTGTGAAGCCGAACCATAACACGGATGTTTTGACGTATGATACCAAACTTCACGGGGAGCATGGTGTGTCACTCCACTGGCAGTATAACGAGTTTTGCTCATATTTTCTTAGGCCCCATCTTCACATCCTTTCCTCCTGTTATTTCAAACCTCGAGAAAGATTTCAGGAAGGTATTGCTTGTATCTTAAGGATGTCATATCCTATCTCACATCGCTGGTCAGGCAATGGAGGCCCACAATGTCCCGACTATTCAAGACGCAGTAAGTTCGTCATAATGATACTCTTGTATATTCTGAAAGAGTTTCGCATCCAGTCTTCGGGGGAGGTAAACACTTGATTCGCTCACGACTTTTCCACCTAATTTTCACTCAGATCCGCGGAACATCTCCTTCTCTGTCCAATTTGGACCCATCGACGCATCATCGAGCTTACGCTACTAACGTAGGTGCACCAAAGCTCTAGTCTCAGTTGAACTGATTCTTCACAATCGCTCAGATGTATTATCAACCGGTCGCAGGCCGTACCAACCTAAAGGTTCTCGTCGATGCCTACGTCACCGAGATTATTACAACGGAAGTCAACGGATTGATCACCGCTACTGGTGTCAAATTTGTCGAAAGTGACAATTCCTACATAGCAAATGTCGCTGGCGAAGTGTGTCTGACGGCCGGGTAAGCTCTTTACTATCTAAGTTGCTGCAGCTAAACACCTCGTCAGTGCAATTATGTCTCCGAAGGTTCGGATACTTCATGTTTTAGCTGCCTGGATATGGAATAATTTTCTACATAGATACTTGAGATGTCTGGCATCGGCGATCCTGCTGTTCTTGAACGGGCGGGTATCGAGGTAAAACTTGACCTCCCTGGCGTTGGAATGAATGTTCAGGAACATCTATACACCGGAGTAACCTTCGGTGCGTCGCGTAATACTGACCCAGTGTATGGTCGTTGACTTGCCCTGACTTCAGAATTGACGGATCACTTTTCGGGCGAGCAGGAGGTCAATACTTTTGATTCCCTTGCCACAAACCTTGGCTTGCAAAAAGAGCTTCAGTAAGCTAGATTATCAGTCGATTGGATCGTGTCGGCTGAACAGGACATTACTAGTGCAAGTGGCAAAGGCACTTTGAACCTTAACACTGTCGATATCGCATTTGTTGCATTGGCTGATATTTCACCCGAGCTCAATGCAAAAGTGATTGCATCCCTGCAAAGTGAGAAAGACGCAGGACTCGCCGCGCAGTACAAGGTACAAGCAGAGCATCTTCGGCAGAACGTCCCTAGTCTCGAAATTATACTAGCTCCAGGACCATCAAAGCGTATGCATCACGATTGTCGTTTGCGTTTAGGCTGATCTTGATACTTGTTGCATTGCAGCACCCTTGCAGGGGTTCGATGCCTCGAAAAAGCATGTTTCGATCTGTTTTGCCGCCAACTGTCCGCTTTCTCGTGGAACCATAGTAAGCAGCACATTTACCATCGAGTTCTTCGCCAATGCATTTGATAGCATGTTACATCCAAAGATTCGCTTGCGATTGACCCACATGTTTTCGAGAACAAATTTGGTAAGGCAAACGTTTCTCGTATGACCATTGACCACTCTAACACACCCTGTCGATCTCAAGACCTGGACACCATGGTTGAATTAGTCAAGTTTTGCAGGAGGCTAGCTCAGACACCTCCCTTGAAAGGAGAAGGAGAAGGCCGACTCAAAGGTAGGCGTCGTTTTTACACCTTGTGAAACAGACTCATACTGCATGCATTTCAGAGATTCATCCCGGACCAGATTGTAAAGATGATGCCGCCATCGCAGGTTCTGTCATGATTCATTTTTTCAAGGATAATCGCTCACCCGAATTTAGAATGGATTTGCAACAATGTCAACACAACCTTTCGTAAGTTCTTTCTGCTTGTCTGCATGAACGACGGTGCTAGATCATTGCATGTCAGATACTGCTAGTTCATGTTCAATGCTTCCGAAGGAATTGAACGGCGTCGTTGACCCTCAACTCAAGGTAGTGCTTAGAGAGAGAATCATTTGCCGTGTTAACTATCGACCTATAGGTATGGGGCACCCATAATATCAGAGTTGCCGACTTGTCGGTCATTCCGCTCCATGTTGGCAGCCACACTCAATGTGAATACATCGCCTCTTGCTTTACCATGACACCTAACATCATCTTTCCAGCTGTGGCATATGCTCTAGCAGAACAAGGTATGCTCTGATTCGTTCTGAAACTGCTCGTTCTCATCAAGGGTTGGTGATCTTAGCTGCGGACATCATCAAGGCGTCTCACAAGTAGTTGAACTCGACCGTACTATAGTCACTTGTACCAATAGGTGTACTTCTTGAGAATTCCAGCCTTTTCGGAACTGTTTCATTTGGCACGTTGAAGTAAATCGATGACATTCAAAGTATCTTTAAGGCCGATTTCATGCACATTGGTCAGTCAAAGTTAACGTTCAAGCCTTGTGTGGATTTCCAGACGTGAGGATACTATGGCATAACTTACGATTCATAATTACTATGCTTACACAAGATAAGTACACACGGATTCGCTCATCCTCTCGCTACAGATTGCTGCGGCACTTCGTCGCCATTCTTAGATATTTCCCTAGCCCTGGCTTGGAGCTCTGCTGCTAGCTGCTCAGAGCGGGGAACTATACGAACTTGGAACGATTCAGGGAACCTTACCCATTTATTATGAGTAAAGCATTCAAGTAGTGCGTGACCTAACTGACCTCATCAAACCCTGTCTAAACGGCGCCCTCAAAAGGGAGTCCCTTCCATCTGATCCAACAGTCGGAGATATAACGAAGGTAGACACGAGGCCGGTTACAAATAAAAATACACTGTTATCCGCAAAAAACCTGCCGGGACATATCCTTGAGGGAGATTAGCATCAGAACATCCAACAAGTATCGTCACCACATCACGCACCTCCTACCAAATCCAAAAGCGTATGAATATGGGTCCAATGCTGTCCTTTCGACGCAATCGTCCAGAAAACGCTCTGGTGCAAATTCGTCAGGAGAAATTCCGCTGATGTCATCCCTAGAGAATGCCCTATGAACGGAATAAACACTCCGTAGAACCTACATAAGCTGCATGACACTGACCAAATATTCGGAAAAACAACTGTTCCCTTAGGCACGCGGAACCCTTGAAAGAAGAAATGGCTCGACAAATGCTTGCTGATACAAAGGATTGCTCGGACCTTGGTATACGTCTTCCTTGCTGGTAAAATGAGGAACACATAAAGGAACTACTGGATTCCATCGCATTGTTTCTTTGATAGCAGCATTCGCGTAAGGTAAGCGGGAGCGATCATCCAATGTCGGGAGCTGCCCATGACCGACGACGCGATCGAGCTCCATCCTTATCTTGGTCTGAATATCAGGGTACAAGGCCATGGCGAGAATGAAAGCCAGAATTGTGCCCATAGTCTACATCTCGAAATGTCAGGACAACACGTATGACCAACGTATTGAAATCTTGCCGTTTCGCTACCAGCTAATAAGAGTCAATGTCAAATTAGAATGTCAAAGACTTCAGCCCACCCCCATACATCGAACCAGCAGCCCACAGTATGTGATGTTCCATGTCAGTAGCGCCTTCCACCTGAAGACAAGTAGCGATGAAGGATGTGGCTGGCGAAGGTGACGAGGCTTGTTGCTTCGCGTATTCAAAAGGTAGTCCAACAACATGAAGAAGGCGCATGCGGCCTTCTTTAGCAATGGCATGAATGTTATTGAATGGGATCCAAGAAGGGATATATCTGACTGTAACCATGCAGATGCTATGTCAGTACTTCTTCTGAGGTTAGTGTCACAGTATTTACTGACGCCATGGAAATGCATCGACAAGGTATGCTCCTGGCATCATTCCTTTGCCTATGGTGGCCATCATGATCTCCAGCTCAGCAATAAACTAGATGGAGGGAAGAAGAATGTAAAACATAAGTCTATCGTTAACCGAGTAAAGCGCACAAACATTCATCGTCTGCGGGCTTTTTACTGGGACACCATATGTCATGGACAACACAATGCGGCCTGCAGCCCTTGAATTACCTTCTGTGAGTTGAAAGATGCTATTACGAAGTGCACCACTTACAACCGAAGCTGAGATATGAAATCACTTGGGGTTTCAACAAGACTGTCCAGAAACAACACGACGGCCTCCGATTGCAACTTGCTGTATTCTTTGATGGCGCCAGCGCTCAGAGCCAAATGAGCAAACTTCCTCTGGTGTTTCCACGCAGCGCAGTATCGGAGTAAAGGAAAGCTCTGACACGCAACAAAGAACGAATTTAGAACATCAATGACGGCAACGTCCCGACGCCACCTACCTGGTCAAGACCCATGAGCTCTCCCAGCATTATAGGTACCGGACGATCAGAATAGGATTTCTTGGATAAAAGTTCGTTAGCATGTTCGAAGGAGTTAAGCACCATAATCCGTTGGTGCAATGCCTCAAGATAGATTATGTCGCCTATGAAAAGAATGTTTACCAAAAGTAGTTGTACGATAAAACACGCGGACAACTCACCATGCAAGCTTTTCCATTCTGCGAACACTTTTGCCATGTCAACTAATGGAATATCAAGGAGGTTTCCTATGATTGGCATTTTTTTAGGACCAGGGGGTAACGGTATGAACTGCTGCATGTCCTTTGGCTCGCATCGCCTGAGTCTTTTGCGAATGACCTGGCCTAAATAAACGGCGAATGCACCGGCCAAACATGCAAAACCTATCAGGTTGGAATACATGTCGATGGAATACAAAACCGAAGCACTTTGAAGGACATTGATGACATATTCAGCCTAAATATCAGCGCCGGAATTCAGGCTGTGTGAGTGTCATTGTTGAAGCTTGCCTTGGCGCGGCTATCACTGGTTATACCGAATACACGTCGGAGTACTCCGATGGCCCTCCATGTCTATAATTAAACCTTACCCACCCATCTTCCAAAAACAAAATGGTGTACTTGGTTTCCAATTGGGCGCCGTGATCTGATGAGGCTGAAACTGATGGGCTTTCAGATCAGCGTGCTGATATCGACTTCTATTCTCAAAGTGTCTGGGGGCTCACACGCGCCAGAGCATATTGAGTACTTCACCACAACTGACAGAAATTCACGTCTCAGATCATCTACTGATGAATTCCTCAGCTTGTACTTTACCAGACAGTTTCGTGCAATTCTGCAACGATAAACCAGCTTCTACGTTTTGTTGGAATGTCAAGGCTGATAGTGATTCGACGCTCCTAATTTCCGATAAAACGAGGAGAGACTTGATCCAGGACGCTACTACGACCGCACACCGATTCTTGCGTTCTGGCCCTTCACAAAGGCAATGCGGAACACCGCTAGTCAATGTATGCTTCTTCGGGCGCAGTGGCTATGATCTCTTTGTAGGGTTCCTCGCTGCCTTAATCAACAGATGGACTGTGTGTCTGAACTTTCTTCTTTACCTGCGTATAGAGTCTGATGATTTCAAGCCGACATTGATATCTGACAAAAATAGTCCTGAAGGTGTAATACACCTTGTTCGTGCCTCCGGTTCTCAGTGTCTTTTCGTTGACGCTACTCATCCCGACCTCGTCGATCTCGTACAACGTCAAGTCCTAAATCTTCAAATTATTCCTCTGAAGAGTGATGATGGGTCGACTGTACAAACCCCCGTCACTTTCCCTCCCATCAATCAAGACCACGACTTAGATCTAGATGTTGTCGCATATAATCTTCATACTTCAGGATCAACAGGTCTGTAGTATCGTCTCTTCGTGTCAATGTAATCTCTTGACCTTCAGTCTATTGCAGGACACCCTAAATTAATACCAGTTACTCACAGACAATGGTACGACCAAACTATGCGATTGACATCATTTCCGGGCCGTGCAGTGTGTACCCCTATGCCTATGTTCCATGTGAATCCATCCCTTAAAGTTTCGTCGGTTTACTCATGCACATCTGTAGACGGTGGGGCTTACTTGTTTAACCAAGCTCACTATTGGTGCAGGCTGCATACCAACAATCATTGAATCTACACGACCTTGCACAGGAGAATTACTGTGCCAAATTCTCAACCGCTTCAATGGTGCAATTTGTGTCACCCCTCCGTCCCTACTTGAACAAATCTCCTTGATGGGAGAAGGAGCAATACAAGTGCTTGCTTCTACACATATGGTCTTGTTTGCTGGCGCGCCCCTGCAAGAGCCTGTCGGTAACAAATTGGCAAGTTATGGTGTGAAAATTATCTCGGCCTTCGGAACGTCAGTGTACTCTGCTTATACCATTGATGATACTGCTTTCTGATCTCTGCATGCAGTACTGAGACCGGACAATTAACTGTGGCAGACATCAGCTCTGATGATCCCCTCGACTGGCCTTATGTCCGATTCATCGATCCGTCTGAAATAATACTGGTAGATGTACCAAATTCCAGCGATCTGCGGCGTTTAGTGGTCAAGGTATTTATTTATTTTTTCGAAAAGTTTAACCTGACTTCATTTGACCGTACTATCCAGCCAGGTCGTTTTGTGTCTTCTGACCTCATCAATCATCACAATCCTGATGGCTTCAGCCCTGGAGATCTATGGCGGGAGCATCCAACAAGAAAAGGTATCTCTAATAATTCACACGCAAGTTGCTTCATTAACATGACGGTACAGGGCTTTGGAAACACGCGGGAAGAATGAGTAGTGTGGTTAGTATAGCTTCTTTTTGAGGGAATGTTGCATGCTAATATCTTTTCCCCAAGACCGTGCTCTGCAATGGAGAGAAGACTGACAACGAACAGCTTGGTAAGGCATTTCATGATCTCGTCAAAGGTCAGACAGTAATTCTGAACTTGGATATAGAGTCACTTGTACTCAAAAATGCTTTCATGGAACGTGCGGTTGTCTTTGGCGAAGGACGTCTGCAGAATGGGCTACTTGTACTTCCAAAAACCATATCATTGCGTAATGCTGATTTTGCGACATCCTTACAATCAACTGTTCAGCACATGAATTCTGTTATTCCGAAACATTCTCGCGTCGTAGAAGCCCTCGTTGTCCTCGGAGATCCGAAAAAGCCTTTCGTTCTGACAGACAAAGGGACCATCCGGCGCCACGAGACACTTGCTCTTTACTCCAAAGAGATTCAGGAAGCGTATGCGGCTCTGGAGTCTGGGACTCCTTTTAGACCTCTACCTTTAAAGGATGATGATGAGGGCATTCTAATGTACATTCAAGCGATCGCATCTCGTGTACTTGGGGTGGAGCCTGCTGTTGAAGATGACCTTTTCTCTCGTGGTTGGTATTCTTTCATTTTACGTAGTAGCTGGTTGATATCTTTTTAGGCATGGATTCCTTATCAGCAGCGAATTTTGCAGCCTACCTGACGCCGCTTTGGAAACTCGTTAGGGACACAGAGTTGCCTCGTAATATCGTCTACAAGCATTCATCCATCGATGGTCTGCATCGAGTAATCACCGGGAGAACATCGTACATCATGCATCGCAATAATGCAGAACACATCGATGCGATAATTAAGAAGTGGTCATTTTCGATTAGAAGTCGTTCATCGTATTTGGAACACGCATCCGTCGATATGGACGACGGTCGCATGACTGTGCTCCTCACAGGATCAACAGGCATGTTCGGTAGCCACGTTTTGTCAGAGCTCGTACGGAGAGGGGTCCACGCTGTGTACTGCTTAGACCGCGCGAATCGTCGTTCATCGGGTACTCATGCTCAACGAATAAGATCCGAAGCTGCATCAGGCAAAGGTGACACAAAGGTCGAGTTTTGGTCTATGGAACTCGGAGAAATCGACTTGGGCTTAGATTCAGGAACCGTTCAGAAGGTCAGTGTCTTGAATCTTTGTGGATTTCAGCTTTGATAAGTTCTCACGCATATCAGATTCGTAGAGACGTTACCCACATCGTTCATTGCGCATGGGACGTGAATTTCAACCACGAGTTGGAACATTTTCTCGATCCCCATGTTCGTGCCCTACACACGATACTCGAACTATCTGCTTCCAGTGTTCGCACAAAGGCACCGCGCATCTATTTTATCTCCAGCGTTTCTGCTGTTGCAAACTACTCGGGGCCCGGACATATTATCCCTGAAGTTCCTTTTGACTCGTCGAGTTTACCACTTGACCAGGGTTACGCGCAATCGAAGTATGTTGCAGAAAGGGTTCTAATTGATGCGTCACATGCCGCAAGCATACCAGTAACGATTGTGCGTGCTGGACAACTCGCTGGTGATACTACCCTAGGCGCATGGAATGCGATGGAACATATCCCTATTTTCATTCAGGCTTGTTTCTCTCTGAAGCTTATGCCCTCTCAGATTCCGGTTCGTGGTGCAAGTAACCCCCACGCTTCACTAATGACCTGATTCTCATTATAGAACTTGTCATGGACGCCGATCGATGTTGCATCAGCCATTTTGGTAGACGTCATGCTAAATGACCCTCACCGTGATGTGACCGATCTTTTAGTGCGGCACATCGATAGTCCCAAAGAACTCACTAGCTCGGATTTCCTACAATGGATGGTTGATGCATCAGGGAATTCGATAGTTCTTGTATCCAACGAGAAATGGCTCGACTCGGTGCGAAGTAGCCCAATGGTCTTGAAGGCGAAGCACCTCCTACCATTCTTCGAACAATGGCTGTCCAACGCAGCTCAATGCAGGCATCGTGTACTCAGCGTACAAGATACGAAGCTTTTGTCTGGAGGTTTTTCTCGAGCACAGATAACCCCAGAACTTTTCAGAAAGTACGTGGACTTTATTCTCAGGTCAAACAGTTTATCGAGTAGTGTATAAATAATGTACATCGGTCTGGACAATCAAATTGTCAAATGGAATTCGATTATCGCTCTTTCTTCACGTCTGAATGAAGGTTGATTTCTTGTAGCAATACAGGAAAGATCAATGGCCCGGATCTCATCCGAAACATTGAGAAAGATTATAGTCTAACTAGTGTCGTTAATAAGGTTTCATTCTATAAGTATAATTTGAGTTTAGCGTCGTCCGCCCATGTCGTCGCTATGTAAGAAGATAATCTTGATATCGGAAGTACCGCCAATAGCCCGGCAGCATATGCACTGCCGACAACCACACCTAACAAAATCTCAGCGCAAAGGCAATGCACGGATGAGTCAGGACTGACGTTGTATAGAAGGAATGATGTTTGGTCCGCTGTCCTGCTTCTCAATAACAAGAATCGAGTGCCAATCAGCACAGACAAGCAGAGAAGCAGAATAGTCCAAGCCCATGTCAACTCCCACACGAAGCTGACAACAATAGACCAAATTGCAAGAAGTGGCAAGATCGAAGCACGACCCACTTGCGGTGATACAATCGGCAAGGTCGTTCTGCCCATCAATCTGTCTCCTTCCTCATCTTTGAAATCTTGGGTATGTATAGTGGTAGCAAACACCGCTGTGCTTATCACAACAGATAGACATCCCACAGCGTCCATGCGCGACGTATCACAACCTTGAGTATTCATTAGCCAATCTGTATTAGACCATAAAAATACTCACTCGCCTGCAATCAACGTTCCTCCTACTTCAAACGAAGCAAAACCTAAGGCAGTTACTATATTTTTTGTGAGCCAGTGACGGTGTGCTTGTAACTCGTTGTATAATATGGTAAACAGCACGAGAGTCACGCTAGAAAATAGCACCGGACCACCGTGTAAGACGGATCCGATCCAGCAAGCTGGGACTAAGCCCCAGCGAAGAATGGTGGCATGTCTCAGCGAGATTCGACCCGCTGGCAATGGACGAATGGGTTTGTTTTTTGCATCTTCCTCAACATCCTGTATCTGATTGGATGTGTCGAACTGTAGGAGATGCAAAAATATCCACCAAACCAGTGGGAAAATGCGATTCGGGGTGCAAAGGGGAGCTGAACTGATACTCAATATTGTCTGGATGTAGGGTATGATGCAGATGGATCAGTGTCTCAAATACCACGAATCAATGACTTACGATTGGAATCAACGTAGTCTTGATGTCTGACTTGACAAATAGAAAAATTGTCAAAAGAAAGCCGAACAATGTATCACGTAGCGCGAAAGCGCTGGTCCGCATCGTGGCTAACAGACGGTTCAAGAGCAAAGTATACATCGGGGTTCCAGCTCGAGGAAATTGTAGTAGCTATGAACAGGGCTGTACAAATGCTTGTTCACTTCTTTGGGCTTATAGGTTGCTATTAGCGACTTATCATCACGATTATGGCCAAACCTTTGATCCTGACCGATCTGGTCGTCTTGATAAACCGGGCTGAAACGTGTGCAATATAGTCAATTAGTTCAAGGCCTTAGCGCCGCGCAGAACCTTTAAGAGGTTGTGAGCATCAGTGCCACAACATCTGATGGTGGGACATACCAAACCATCATCATACCACTAATCACATGCACCATGTATAGCCGGCAACAGCTATACTAGTAGCTAGTGTGAAAGCTCGTTACAAATTTTATGCGACGAATTGCAAGGGCGCCGACGAAACTTGAACCTGAGGTCCGAGTCAACGGTCTCGTTTTATGTAAAAAGCGGAGTGATAAGATATCTGAACACAAAGGTGTGAGTAGGTTAGTGCGAATAAATATCGTAGCCAGTGATGTTAGTGAGTTCACTTGACATATATTAGGGCACGGTGAGAAATACATGCGTATGTCTTTACTCAGGGACATGGCGAATTTCAAAGGACATATTATGTAATACTATTGGAAAATTAAATTCTTGTAAGCACGGTTTACTAAGAGTTCCCATAATGTACATAAATACTGTCCACCGCGGCAATACTGAAAACACAAGCTTTAACCCATCGCGTAGTTCTCACCAGCCGTGACTCAACTCTCAAGGCATGGTCCCAACTTCGATACAGTATCACCGTGATGGTTGAACGTTGAGCGGACGACAGTCTCAACTACCTACAATTCTTACAGAAAAGATAGAAGGTAGAGGTTTTCACAGTTTCAGCTAGACTGTCCATTAGATATGTGCGTACTGGTAACATTAAAGATATCATCGACAGCACTATAGAAACGTCCTTGGAAGCAAAAGCGGTGCGTTCATATCAAACAAGCGCAGGTGCAAACCGAGACCTGGCACGTAACGTGGGCCCATAGCTGTGTTCAAAAGATAATCAATCACAAGGTTCTCCAGGGAAAAATCAGATGCCAAACCGTTTCAGCACAATAGGGATGGGAATCATCATGCAGGCAATACAGCCAAGTAAAGTTGAAGCCCATCGGGGGTCGAGGGCAGTGTACATCTGTGACGCAAATAGCTGCAAGGGAATCATGCACTGACCGTTAGTATTACAAACGAGGAGACTTACAGGAAATACTGCGCCTGCAGCACTTCTAAAAACAGTGTTCGCAGCAAGGGCAGATGCAGCAGCAATGAGATAGACGTCTATACAAAACTGAGTAAATGAGGAACGAAAGATTTCTGGCCGCACCAATGATGTAGTTGAATAATGCAAGCTAGAAAGCGCGATCGACTCATTAAGGTATGAAATTTGATATGAAAGACAGTTCTCACAAAAATCCAAATCGAAGAGAGTCCCATTAAAGTACCTGCCATCATTGGCGCCCAGTATGAAATTGATGGATAAGATGTCCATCTACAAAGAAATGTGAGTTTGCAAGACTACTTGGGTATCAACCGGGCTTACCCGAACCAAAAGAAGGTGATGGCGAATAGGGGCGCTCCAGACATAGCCAGATTAAGACGTATCTCTGGAGAAACCAGTCCTGCTTTGTGCCTGTCCATGGCTGCCGCGTACTGAGGGTGAAATATCAAGAGATACTACGAAAAGTCAGATGGGGATAAACGGCAAAAAATGCATGACCCACTCCAAAAACGCCCATTATGCTGCCCGCGACCAAAGGTAGGTAAGTCAACCCCAAAACGCCTAGGGCAAAGATCAATACAAATTGAGTCATAAACTTAATAAAATACCTGGCTGAAAGCCGTGTCCTACCGTGAACACTACAGGATATGCTTCGAACAGCAGGTATACACATCCATAGACGAACTGCATGACAGTCAAGTCAAAGTAGATATAAGAGATGAGAGCTTACACTCATGTAAGCGGTGACTGCGATGAGCATTGGTTCGCAAATGAAAATTTTAAAAGGCCTGGTGAGGCTATCTTCAAGTCGCTTGTATAGCTGCTTTGCTTGGATCAGCTCCAGAGGAGCATGATATCGGTGATCGCCCGTTTTCAAACGAATCTGCTCCGCTTTGTGCAGAAGGATAATGGGACTGAGTGTACGAAGTCAGCGTGGTATCCAATGAATATTAGTAATTATATCGGCTAACGCATATGTCTCTGGTAGAGTGAAGTAGATCAACACAAAACACACTGCAGCCTATGAAAGGTCGGTGAATATACTCGTTCCTCGTTAAGTGACTTACGAATATGGTGAGAATCCAGAACAACCAAGGCCATGGCGTCCCCGACTGAGCAATATAACCCCCAACCAGTGGTCCACTGAGGAAAAATCTTATATAAGTAGTTCTTGTCAAGTGAATCATGCGCCCGCTTACAGGGCTGGTCCAACAAACGGTGCAAGAGTGAATAGAGCCAACGCCTTCCCTCGTGTTTTTGCGTCCCAGCTATGCGACTTTTTTAGCCATGGAAAAGGGAAGGCTAATTTATACGTACATGTCTGATATCAGGGCACTAGGGAGCTATCGGTCAAGAAGAATTAAATCGACAAATTGAGCTCGTACCCGCTATTGGTCAACGGCGCGGCAGCGAACAGACCGCCAAGCAAACGAAATATGATAATGGATGCTGTATTCTTCGATAGTGCACAACCAATTTGGAAACACTGACGAATCGAATGCATCAAATGTCTTGATGATTGGATGCGATTGCCACTTACAACGTATACCGGAAAGGTGACAAGGAATATCAACCTTCTGCCATACTGGTAACTCGTCAAGAAAATCTTGTACCAAAATGCAGAGTTGGCGTACCTGCTCTGATAGTGGGCCCCAGAAAAGGGGTCCAACACAATATCCCGCTACAAAAAGCGAGATCGTCAATGCAGCTACCTCTTCAGAGAGCTTGAACTGAGCCATCAGTTGTGTAGCAATGCCGGAAGGCGCCGAAGAAGCAAATGTGCTAAATTATATCGTTGGACTTGCAACATTCAAGCTCGAGAAGAGGAAGGACCAACGCATTAAATCCCAATAGGCCCGCGAAATATGTCAGATACCAACGTCTGCGTCTGCTCCAGTTCTGAAGTTGGTTATGCAAGACGAACTTCGTTTTAAATATCCAACGCTACCTTTGGGTTTTCCTTGTCGTCTGGTGCAAATTGTACCAGGTAGGGATCCACGTTCTCCTGTGCCATGAATATGCGAGTTATTCGATGAACTATGTGGGTACACTTTCCAACTGTCAACAGCTGGTATGAGACTCAGAGAGTAATGTTAAAGGATTGAACAGCCCAGTTAGTTAGGTTATTACTATTGTATTTCGATTCGCAGCCATCGAAGCAAAAATAGTTAATCATACCCTTTTGAAGGAAAGACCGCCTCCCCGTTGCAGCGGCTTTCGCATCGGAGCTTGTGAAATGCAGTACCATGCGATGATATCAAAATTCCCTGTTTCGTCTAATTTAAGTATAAATTGTTCACGTGTATGTAATTATGTAATACTAATAATTATAAACACAACTGAGGTCTGACAGCGATGGGTCCTGAGCTCGGAGCAACATGGCCGCTAGTATCATCACAGTGCCCCACTCCACCGTATGGTCACCAGCGGCCGCTTGGCACATCAAGGGATTTTACCGGCTTATAAGACGCATGTTTCGAACCCCCCGGACGATATCACCTGCATCACATCATGATGTTACGCCTTCTATTCCTTTCTGGACTAGCATTCCGCAGTTTCGTTACAGCTACCCTATACACAGATCCAACTGAGTTGCCGATGAGAGAATATGACTTTGTTGTGGTTGGAGGTAAAGCGTTTTTCTTCGTCTGCCCGTCAATGCTAAATTGTTCCGTCGCATATCAGCGGGAACAGCAGGCAGTGTTATCGCAGCCAGGCTATCAGAGAATCCCTCTTTCTCCGTCCTCGTGATAGAAGCTGGTCCAAGGTAGGTCGTATCTAATAATTAATTTACCTGCCTTTCACTCCCTAATTTTTTCGAAGCAACCAAAACATCCTAGCCGCTGAAGTGCCATTCTTGGGTTCTACTCTCTCCCCGAACACCGCCGTTACTTGGAATTATACCACCACACCTCAAATAGGTCTCAATAATAGGACTATATCATATCCGAGAGGATACGTCTTGGGCGGCTCGAGTACAATCAGTAAGTCCACCATTTTCTTATATATACACCATCTAATAAGGTTTCAGATTTTGAGATATGGACCAGAGGCTCCGTAGATGATTATGACCGATTCGCGATTGTGTCCTCCGATCCTGGCTGGTCATGGCCCGAAATGTTTCATTACATGAAGAAAGTAAATACTCCCATCTTGCCGACCTGGCTCTATTATAACTGACGGTAGAGCGAACACTTGGTGCCTCCTACCGACAACCGTTCTGTGTTCGGAGAGGTCGATCCCTTTGTACATGGTATGAAGGGGCCAGTTCAAGTAAGCCTGGGTGGCTTCGTCGGTGACGTAGATCAACGTGTCATTGACACAACGGGAGACTTTGACTCCGAGTTCCCTTACAACATAGACATGAATTCAGGTTATCCTCTGGGAATCGGTTAGGCAATGCTATTTAGCACCAAGAACAAACGCTCACTAGTCTTAGGATGGACACAGAACTCCGTGAGCTCGAAAGGTTTTCGCAGCAGCTCAGCTACAGCATACTTGGCACCTGCGATGGAAAGAGATAACCTGGATATCCTCATCCAAACTCGTGTCACAAAACTTGTAGCGGTTTCTCATGCAGATGGTGTCCCGACATTTGGTCAAGTAGAGGTGGCCCAAACCCCAACAGGTGGCTGTAGTGTTTCTGCGTCCTAGTATTCTCGACTCATGCCCTCGTAAGGTCCACGATTGTTGTTCAATGCAAGCAAAGAAGTCATTCTATCTGGCGGATCGATCAATACACCCCAGCTTCTGCAGCTGAGCGGTGTCGGTGACTCGGCGTTGCTTGCATCATTGAATATAACTACTGTTCTTAATCTTGGAGACGTCGGCAAGAATCTTTCAGACCATCCTTTCTTGAGCAATCACTGGCTCGTCAATTCGACTTCTACATTCGAAGAAGTTGGCCGAAATGTAACTTTAGCTGCTGATCTGCTCGCACAATGGAATGCGACTGGCACAGGACTTTTCTCGGACCCCGGTGCCAACCAAATTGGCTGGATGCGACTTCCGCCAAACTCGAGTATCTTCCAACAGTATCCTGACCCGTCTGCTGGCCCAGCATCTGCTCACTATGAACTTCTACCCGCCGTAGGTCCATCTTCTTCGTTTCTTTCGTGTAATCTAACGATTTGCATTATAGAACGGATTCGTGTCATTTGTTGAAAGTACCCCAGCGACAGGTTTTTTCTTATCTGTTGTGACAAACGTAGCTTCTCCACTATCTCGTGCGTAATCCCGAGCATACCGCGTGCTCAGTCATTGATTGATCTCAAGGTGGTTCGGTGACGTTGGCGTCGAGCGATCCTTTTGACAATCCACTCATCGATCCTGCATTCCTGGAAAGCCCATTCGATATCTTTGTAATGGTAGAGGCCATTAAAACTGCAAAGCGATTCGTCGAGGCGCCCGCTTGGAAAGGCTACATTATCGAAGCCGTTGGTGCTCTCAATTCCACGTCAGACGAAGACTTGGCAGAGTATGCTCGAAACTCAACGTCGACGGTTTTTCATCCAGTCGGAACTGCTCGAATGACATCCTACTCCAGCCAGGATGGCGTGGTCAACCCAGATCTACTTGTCAAAGGGAGCTCCGGACTGCGAATCGTTGATGCATCTGTTTTGGTGAGTCGCAGCTTGACGTTATGAACGTCTCTGACATCTGTCCAGCCATATATACCGGCTGCGCATCCTCAAGCATGCATTTATGCATTTGCTGAAAGAGCAGCGGATTTGATCAAAGCTGCATGGTCGTGAGGCTGATTGACATGAACCGCGCAATCTCGATTTCGGGCCACTGTTGATGGGTACCAGCGTAAACGACAGAAATTGTGTCGTATTCCAGGCTTTATTCCTTTGTTCCCAACCCCCTTACAGACTCGCCTGATTCCCGTAGGAATTGAACTGAAACCTTAAGCTAACCCACTACTGAGAGCCTGGCGATATATGTAGAGAGTCATGGGAGAGTCATCCTTCGTCTGTCACGATACCAGCTTGCAGCACGCTGAAGTTCCTCCACTGCGAATGTTCTCGTCAGATTTCAGATGTGAGAATGAATCGATCAGTACGTCTTTAGTCACTAGTCGTACCTCTGGATAGAGAGCTTAGGATCTGGGTAATTTTTGCGTGAAATTTAGAAAATATTAATTGCACTTGAAGGCTACACCGTCACAAATGTCGTTCGTATCAAATAGGGTGATTCAGAAACCTTTTTTTCTTCCTGCAGGCAGGTGGAGTGCTTAAAGTTATTCGTTTTTTCCACTGCGCATCAGATCAGTGTGTCAGGTGCCCGCAGCTGCCCGTCTTACGTGGGCTTAACCCTGTCTTGTTTCAGCCAGATCTATGGTCCATAGAATCCCGTATACGTTACTGACTCCTTTGAGAACAATTACATCACCATCACTACCCCAGTTGATCCTTGAAGCTCAAGCGTTCAGAAATTTGATCATCATACGCACACCGCGCACATTAAGACTATAATAAGATATCGGGATGGCAGTGTATCATCACCCTAAGACCATCCAAAGCTTGCCCACGCACCGCAAGTTTCGTATTCAGGTACTCAGGCTACCATAGCGTCTGTGGGGGTGCACGCCGATGTGACCGGTTGTACATCAAGCATTATGACGACTTGATCGTAGACAACATGAAGCAGGAGTCGCCTCCCACTGACCAGGTCGCGAAGCTAAATCACGAGTCTGGACTCGATCAGGATCGCGCACTATAAATAAGTTTATTTGAAGCAAAGAGGGGGACGAATGATGCTGGAGGTCTTGTTCTGTATATTTGACATGTAAATCAGATCAGTGTTTTCATATTGCCTTCGCCCCCATATTCACTGCAAGTGAAGTCAGTGACTGGGAGGAAAAACGTCCAGCTCATCGACTTCGACATAGATTTCCCCTTCACTGACTCCCCTCCTCCATTGAACACGGCTAAGTTCTGCATGGTTAAGCAACCATGCAGGATCGACATGGTAGGTTGCAGCCAACGAGCGAATGCTCAGCATCGCGCGACAGACGGAGACGACTGTTGTTCCTACTGCCAATCTGGAGAATATTAACTGTGAGTCTTCAGTCAACAACATGGACGACATGACCTTACCCTCCCCCAAGGGCTGGATAGTAGATCTGGAACCGATTTTCAGCTGTAGTGTTTGCAGCTATAGTGATAGAACTTACAGATGTGTCTCCAGTCATGGAAAGGCTGATGATTTCGTATAGTAGCGTTGCTATCATTTACTTCAGAATCTGTCATATGAGAATAATCGAGGTATATGCACCGGCAGCGAATGCATACATAAACATCCCTCTAATCAAACATGAGTAACTAGTTTGCAACCGACAAGGGAACCTACTCTTTTAAAAACCGGTGAATAATTCCGTGTTCTTGCAAAGCTCTTGAGCTGGCGCTAAAGCGATACATGGTCAATGAAAACATGACCGTATGAACGATCAAGGATGGCAAGTAGATTGTGAATATCACTGGAGGACTCCTGTTCGAATTCGCAGATGAGGTGGCGATCTCGTAGGCATTCTTGACGTCGTAAAAACTGACGCCGCCGACAAATGCAGTTCCTATCACAGAACCGATGAAAACAGCGGCCGCAAGCCATCTAATGAAGTAGCTCCGATGGAATAAATGCCATACTCGCAATGTTACGACACCTGTAGACTCGCCATTAGTAAAGGCAATTATATACGGTAGTTAAGCAGGAGTAATGAAAGACAGACATTGGCAGAGCACCATAACCAAGAATGCGAGGAGGTAATCAACAACAAATAGTTGGCTAGCACTAGTATTTTTACGTGAGTTGGTCTTTCTGGAATTTTGTCAGCTGTACCAACTCACGCCTGTAGAAGATTGCGTGTAAGTCTCCGACGATAATATGCGCAACTTATGAATACCCACAGGAGGACCGAGGCTCTTGGTATCTGCTATTCGGATATTAGTTTCCGGAGCCACTACAAGAGATATTCAAGCTGACGGACCAAAAAGGACCAAGCTATTCGATTTCGTCAGCAAGTGCACCTTTATGTGACGGAGTCAAAAACGTACAATACTTGTGTCACAGCCAGGTATCGGATCTGTAAACCTACGATTAATCACGATGAAATGGAATATATCGACGGTATTACGCTGAGATATAGTATTCTCGAAGCTGACCATGGCCCAGACCAGAAGAAGTTTATCTGGAATGATAACGGCGGATCAGTTACTAGAATTTATGAAGCCAACAATATTACCTCTTCAGCAAACGTGATAAGATGGTCGTACAGCACAAGGGTAAATGATGCCAGAGCCAATTCCTTAGAAGAAACTTGAGCCGACAAGTCCGTCAGTGTGGGCATGACCTCGAGAAGTGCTTTACGGAGAGGGAATTAGGGAATTGATGCGGGCGGCATACTACTTATTGTTCACTTGAGCTGATGGCATCTCATATTTGTATCATGTACTCACATTGTTTTGACTTGCTCGACGGAGCGTTCCGTGTTTAGGCCTGGGGATATAGAAAATTTGAATTGCAGTACGACCGTCTAACCTTTGTTAGGTCGCACACGAGACCTCCAGATGCTGTGCACGTCATTCCATCATGCACCGTGCTGAATGGTTTTTCTATCCAATGTCCCCCAAGTTGTTTCAGCAACACTCCCCCGCAGGCAGCTAGGAGTCAAGGTGGTACTACGTACGTTGGTACTGCGATGACTATTGAAATGCATATTTTTGTTGTGTGAGTGAGTGTGAGCTTATGTAATAACCAACGTTCTAATTCCAACCTTGATATTAATTGATCATCTCCACATGCTACACACGTCCAAAGTTAGCGACGAATAGAGAACTGAAACACATGTGCATGCGTCCTTATTCACAGCTTATATATTAACATCCACCCGATACTCAGGCTGGCAGGGTCAAGCGCTGTACCGTGTGTAGTCAGAAATTCTCGTTTCGGATCTATTCCGAGTCTAATCTCACACAGCCAAATCTCGCTTACTTTTGTTACTTTGTCATACGAATCGGCGATGTGGCCTCACAAGAATCCTAGCAAAAAGAGTACTAGGGCACATTGAAGACACGAGGTTGTCATAGATTCACCGGGTTACCGCAGGGGATGGTATAACAAAAAATAGACATGTTCATCTGATTCTGAACGTAAGTTGATCGCATAGCTGCCGTGCGCTCAAGTTGAACTTACTTCCGAGTTGAGGCAAGTTTGCACACAGGAAGCAACTCGGAGAATTGAAAACCCACTCAGGGCCGAGGTTATCGAAGCTCGACGCCGAGGTTGCAGTTCCCAATTTCCAATTGCGCTCATTGGCTGGCTTCTTTATTTACTTGAGGTGACGATATAAATCGTGGACTTGCATGTGTCAACACTCACTGACTCCGTACAATGGCAGACGTCCCACCAATAGTACAGCTGTAAGTAATACGAACCTTTTTCACCTACCACGCTTCTACTCATGGATTATAGAACAGGTCCTTTGGTAGGCTTATTCGGGTAGCCTGAAGGTTATCAAGCCTCATGTACTCGTAGGTTCTAGGATACCAGTTTAATTGGGGCTTGTATGGTGTTTTGACAACTCAGCTTTGTGAGTAACAATCGATGTCGTTGACATATACCTTGTGACGGAACTGTAACTCTGTACAAGACACCTATCATCAAGCAGGTTTTCGGGACAATCGATTGATCAAGTCCATTGTATACGGACTTTTTATTATTGAAACTCTACAACTCATCATGGCCACACACGACTCTTTTCACACTCTCGCATTAGGATGGGGAAATGATACAGACTTGTTGGACGTTTGGTTCTCTTGGTTTGATCTTCCGTTCCTAACGGGCATAAGTGCGTCTTCTCTGACCTCTACCAAACGAGAGAAACCGTATACTCATATGTCGTATCTTACCTGTAGCCAGCGCTACGATCCAGTGTTTCTATGCGTGGCGCCTCTACATCCTCAGCAAGTCGTATGTGTTAGCAATAACGATCGCAGCTGTGAGACCCAGTCAGATATGTCTTGTTAGTGTACTGAACGCTTCTGGTCCAGGTTGCATTAGTGCAGGGCTCCGCTGCAATGGCTGAAGGTCTCCAAATATTCATATCACAAAACGTACCAGGAACCCAGGTAGACACCTTCAAAACAACTGCAGTATGTGTTCTCTCTGTATTAGGAGGTTATATCCTTACTTGTCCACAGGTGTGGCTTGGGGGAACTGCGTTCTGCGATATCATAATTTGCTGCGGCATGTTCTATTTTGTAAGTTCCCAGTACCTACTCTCAAGTGCTATGTGTGACTTTGCCGCAAGCTTTCAAAAAGCCGTACTGGTTTTCGTACCACGGACTCACTGCTCAACAAGTTGATTAGGACAACTATAGAGACCGGCATGGTCACTGGTATGTTTCAACATCTTTTTCGTGTCTGTATTATTCACCGCTGACGATATAGCCGTGATTGCGATTATCGAGCTCACTCTATTTTTGACATTCGAGCACAATTTCTACCATGTGGTACCAGCATTTATGCTCTCGAAATTGTACAGCAATTCCTTCCTCGTCCTTCTTAATAGCCGCAGACGTAGTAATAAACGGTCAACATCAACCTCGGAAAGCTTTAATTCATTGCCGCAATTCTCCTCTTCAAGAGAGACTAACAGGACTGGCGCAATGAAAGTAGAATTTGCTCAACGGGCCTCCTCAGAGGATCTTGGAATGGTTAGCCTCTCAGAGACCGAAGTGCGACTTCCAAGTTGCCCTCCTCCCACACTGACTTATGCACTTCCATAGAATATCGACAAGCACCATAGAAATCCACCTCTTGATGGCGTGCTCTGCGATGTGTAACATACGCATACCATCAAACAAATCATACCTACATTCATATCTGGTCGTTCCCAGCCAGTTACAACTACTTGAACATGGATGATACAGAAATCCATGCAGTACTGATAGTACTGGATCACTTTTGTGACCCTTCCGCTTTCCTCATTTTTGGTCACTGTTTATTGTCCGTTTAACAATGTGATAGGATAGGTATTGTGTTCATGTACTAGTACGTGTGTTGCTTTCGATGACACCAAAAAATCTTGGCTTACACGAAGTTCTGATTGGTTAAACAACATGTGTCTGTCACATGTCGATTCAATGTCTACTGTTTATGGAAAATTTTCGTGCGTTTTATATTTTTGGACGATTCCTATGGTACCCGGGGCCCCAGGCTCCCAGCCCTACACGACACGCAAAGATCATATTAGAAGTTAGTGACACATCAGCACACTGCTGGCATCGTCAAAGACAAAACAGACCTGAGCGTTATGCGATCATCGAAAAAACCTGCTATCTCCACGAGCATCGACAGTTCATCCGCCGCCTCGCTGGCTCAGTCCACGGAACATATTAGCCTATAGCCTAATCCGAGGTCAAGCAGTCTCTTACTATGGTATCGATGATCAACAATATCATCGGGGAAAGCCGCAAACACCTCCAAGCCAACAGTCGCCTCATGCTACTCCTCGTTCTCTGCCCCGGTCATCGGGCTAAAATGCCACAAGGAAGCAAAAGACACGAACGGTAGGACATCCCGTGAGACGGTGCACGTATGAAGAGTAAAGATAGGGTTGCTCTATGAAAAAATACCATTCTTTGTTCATACCGACGGGAAGGTAGGGACGCCGTTGTAATCGGTTGGGTAGCAGAGGCCCAATTCCTTCTGAGGAATTTGCAAGGTCTTGTGCGCTAAGGTGGCCTCATATGGTCCAAGGAAAGGTGGGGTACGAATCGTACGATATTTGCAGCGTTGAAGCTTCGGTGAAGCCGGGTTAACTTTGTAATCGGATTAGTCCTGGTTGAAACATCGCTAGTTCAATTATAGTAGGTAAAAACGACTCACAAGCCCAAAGCACCATGATTTCGTAGTGTGATTGGCGTTGCCAGTGTGCCTATAAATAAGGATTGAAGCTATATACTGAGGCTGTCCGATGTCCAAGTCTCTGGAATCGTCCAGGACCACCCTAAGACCACCCCAAGTTCCTTGATGTAATCACTCTGAAACTGCATACGCGTGATTCACAGAGGATTTATCTCCTGGGAAGGAGAGAAGCATGGTGAAGGTCGGCGCTGCGTCGCTGACAAAAATTGTTCAGGCTCCCAGAATTGGTGATTCTGTCAGATTTTCTGACCACCTAACAATAAGCACTGCGGACGCCGTATACCGAGTAACCTTCCCGGTAATTGATGATCGAATCAATCACTCTTTGCGCAGTGCGCAATGCTGCTGAGTGGGCCGTACGGTGAAGGTTTGATCAATATTTGATGTACTTGGCTGTGCCGCGCGGCGCTTACGTAATAACACTCCCCCTTCTCAACCTCAATCGTCGCCGATCCTCAGTAACTGTACTCTTCCTTTCCTTGCTATGGGTATGTCTGTTTTCTAAGTTTTCTATACATGCTCACAGTTTTGCAACCTCTAGGAATCCCCAAGGTTCGTGCTTTCTTTATCCGTGAGATGTACATTCAAAGAGCTGAACGTCCTTCGCGCTGCAGTTTTTCCGTTATATTTCGTGAGTCAGGAGTTTATTATATGACCATGGAGTCTAAATTCTCGGCAGTGAGCGGTATCCGCTTACCTCGCAGTTGATCGAGGAGAACAAGATACCAGAATTCGGTGAGTTATCATGCTTACTCGGTATTCGCGCGCTGAAGTCTTCGAATAGACAACCTTTATCTTGACTTCAATGGAATCATTCATAACTGTGATTATTCCTTTGAGATACGGTTTAGACTGGTGTTCAAATTTTATTTTAGGCTCGCATCCAAACGATGAAGATGCGCACTTCCGGATGTCCGAAGAGCAAATATTCACCGCAATATTTGCATATGTAGATCTGCTATTTGGTAAGATAAAGCCAAAGAAACTTTTTTTTATGGCAGTGGACGGCGTAGCTCCACGGGCAAAGATGAACCAGCAACGAAGTCGCCGGTTTCGCACTGCCAAGGAAGCGAAGGAAATCAGAGAGAAGGCAGAGTCAAAAGGAGAAAAACTACCGGATGAGAAAGCGTTTGATAGTAATTGTATTACACCAGGTGCGCTCTGCGTTGTTTCAGATGGCACCACATCATTTATTCCGTCTTAGGTACTCCTTTCATGGTCAGGCTATCCGCGCAGCTACGATATTTTGTCAACAAGAAGATTACTGAAGATGCTAATTGGCGTGGCGTGCAAGTTGTACTATCCGGTCACGAGGTGCCGGGTGAAGGTGAACACAAGATCATGGAATACATTCGACTATCGAGAGCTCAACCTGATTATAATCCGAACGTGCGGCATTGTTTGTATGGTCTTGATGCCGACCTCATCATGCTTGGCCTTCTGAGTCATGATCCGCACTTCTGTCTCTTGCGAGAGGAAGTAAAATTTGGGCCGGCTGCGAAGAAAAAGGGTAACATCAGGTATTTCGTAGTTTTCGTCCATAGACAGATTAACTGAACGAAAGTGCAAGCCTGGAGAACCTCAACTTCTATCTTCTACATCTCTCGCTGATGCGTGAATACCTGGACCTTGAGTTTCGTGATATAGAAGACATTCTCACATTTGAATACAGTCTAGAGCGAGTCATCGATGACTTCATTCTACTGGCCGTCTTCGTCGGAAATGATTTTCTACCTAATCTTCCGGACTTACACATTCACGAGAATGGACTGGAGCGCCTGTTTGACGTGTACAAGAAGGTCTTACCGTCGCTGGGTGAGTCCCGAATTTCATTCCGTCGCACATTGGCTCACCGTTTTAGATGGTTATATAAACGAGGGTGGTGTCATTAACACCAAGCGACTGCAGGTCGTCCTGGACGAAATGACTATATGGGAGCGAGAGATATTCGAGAAAGAATACGCGGACTCGAACTGGTTCAAGGGAAAACGGAGCAAACACGTCCAAGAAATGGAACTTGCGCGCAAGCGTGCTAATCTTGGTGCAGTCCTCTACTCTTCCTATCGACAACCAACAATTAACACATATTAGTTCTTACGCGCCCTCAACGAGACATTTTCGATCAAGTACAGCAGTTTGTCTTGCAACATCGCGGGAAACCGTCACAGCACCGAACTACAACCCTGACAATGCCTAATACGTTTCCCGCTCGGGAACGGAAGTTCATTAGCACTTTGGCGGAGGAGTTGCACCTGTCTGTTACTTGGGATGAGTATGATGAGGACGACCAGAATCTTGTCACATGGCGACTTCCCGGAGTTTTAGACGAACCGACTGCAGAACTTGATGTCGAGCGTGTTAATGGAGACGGAAATAGTGAGGGTGAGTGGGAAGATGTGGACGAGGAAGATGAAGAAGGCAGGGCTGCAGTGGATCGAGTGTTGAAGAAATTCGACAAAGCACCTGTGATGGATGATGATGAAGGTGGAGGTTTTGACGCTCGACACGAACAATCCATCAATGACAAAATGGCGGAATGGAAGAGAGGGTATTACAAGGTGCGTTCCCGCACCGTATCATGTTTGTTAGACCGATCGTTTGAATGGTAGGAGAAACTTGGGATCTCCTATGACGACCCCAAAGAAATGCACGACCTGATATACCGCTATGCAGAGGGCCTACAATGGGTTATGCATTACTATTACAGTGGGATCGCCTCCTGGGGATGGTTTTACAATTACCATTACGCACCCCGCATATCTGGTACTTTTTGCATTCATTGTCCTCGTTGCACTGCGTTCACAATTTCTTCAAGATTTATGCGGCCTTGGCGACATGTTGTTCTCATTCGAACTAGGAAAACCTTTCCATCCTTTTGAACAACTCATGGGCGTCCTTCCGTCCGCAAGCATGGAACATATTCCGATGGCATATCAAGTATGTTTAGTAGCCAATGTCGTGCATTAGACTAATCGTCCATAGGACCTAATGTACGATCTAAACTCGCCGATATTGGACTTCTACCCCCTCGAATTCGAGCAAGACCTAAATGGGAAAAAGCAAGAATGGGAAGCGATTGTCAAGATTCCCTTCATTGACGAGAAGCGGCTGTTACGAGCAATGAATTGTGAGTGGCAAGTTCCGCTTTTTTGCTGTGATTCATCATTATTCCATGCATGCAGCCCGAGAACATAGGTTGACGCCAGAAGAACGCCGCCGCAATGGCTTCGGAACCAGCACAAGATTTATCTTCAATCCTGGAGAGTTCACAGTCTACCCTTCATCATTGCCGGATTTCTTCCCTCCCATATATCGTTGCACATGCAAGATGGAATCTTTTGATCTACCAACTCTTGACGGACTGCATCTCGTGCCGGGACTATGCGAAGGTGTATGTCTCGGTGCGGAAGCCCTCGCTGGATTCCCCTCCCTGGATACATTACCCCACACAGCGCAATTAGGATTCCACGGCGTCAATGTACACGGTTCCGAAAGCCGCAATAAGTCAATGATAGTTCATATACAAAATCCTCACGAAAACCGCAAGGTAGAGGACATTGCCAAGGAAATGGTTGGCAAACGCACTTTCATCGGATGGCCATTCTTGCAAGAGGGGCTAGTCACCGCCGTGTCCGATTCGTTGTTTAAATACGAGAAGTTGGTAATCGTGCCCGGCACCCCGGCAAAGGTTGTTTCAAATCCACATTCCAACCAGGGCTTGAGCCATTGGAAGGGCAAAGCTGAGCGGATCGACTCGGTATATTCAAAGAAATGTGGAGTGATCACTGGTGACATCGATGTCCTAGTGCACGTTCGTCCGCTAAAAGGTGCGTGCTGGTTCTTTCTGGACGTTCGTTTTTACATATTCGTGCAGGTTTGAAACGTTTGGAATCGGGCGCATTAGTTAAGGACTACGAAGGACCTGAAAAGGAACTCGAACAAGCCGTCCAGATGGTCATCTCAGAAGTTGCTTCTGAAGATCCCAGGTTCCTCGAGCAGGATGCTCCACCCTTGTCAGAGGAATTTCCTGATGGAACGAACATTTTCTTCCTGGGCGAACACGCGTATGGCGCGGCTGCCCAGGTGTCTTCAACTACCGACAGCGCTTTGTCTATTGTTTTGGCAGTATGTCGCAATGCCCTACCACAATCTATCTCTCTAAATGACCTCGTAGTTCTTCCCTTCAGATAAAACAGAGAATCAAAAGTTCAAGACTATTGTGGACAGTCGTGTTTCCCAGTATTACTTGCCATCGTTCAAAGCAGCTTCCGCAATCGGAATGTCACCCAGAGCACTCTCGAAGATCACATCAAGCTTCATGGTTCTAACATCCGATCATCAAAAGAACAATCTCGGACTAAGCATCAAGTTCGAGGCCAAGAGCTTGAAGGTTGTTGACTACTCGCGGAAGACTGGTCGCTATTGGGAATTTAGTGAGAAGGCAGTTGATCTCATTCGTGAATATAAAGTTGGTCTTATTCAAATCGCATTTGAATTGGAACTCAGTCCTTTCAGGATAAATTCCCAGAAATCTTCGCGGTTCTGGACCAAGGGGGCGACGGTAAGAGGTTAGAATAGCCCAATAATTTCTTGATCTCAACTCCAGGATGATAGATATGGCCCGCGATACGGACATCTTTGACTCTCACGCTGATGCCAGGGTCAAGGAAGTAAAGTCGTGGCTCAAATCGAAGGGGGTCCGAGATCTTGAGCCAGTTTCCCTCTTCTCGGACAGCCTAGCAAAGGTATGTCAGAATCACTGTTTATACCGTGTCGTGTTTCACTCAAAACTGCCTTTAGAGTACCGTCAAAGAAATCGAAGCGGTTGCCGATGACATCAATAAGAACAGATCCAAAGCAACAATCAAAAAAGCTATTGTGAAGAACATCCCCTCGCCACGCAGTTCTAAAACCATCGCACGCTATTTATCGACTCCAGAACCAGCGCTTTTCTCTGGGAGACAGGGTTATTATGGTTCAAGATTCGGGTGGAGTTCCGTTGTCTGCCAAGGGTGTTGTTGTTGGGTTGAACTCGAAGTCGATGGATGTCGTGTGGGATGTGCCATTTATGTCTGGTACAACGCTCGGGGACAGGTAGGTGGAACACTTCTTCTGGCTTGGGACATCTAAACTTGTAATTTGTAGATGTTCTCAGTATCGAGGTTCGACTGTGGAGTTCAATTCATGTCTAAACCTAAGCGACCACCAATTCATTGCTTCTACTTCCCCTGGCTCAACTTATCCTCATCGTCCAAATGTTCCTTTCAAACCCCGACCTGGTGCGTATCCAGCCATCCACCCTGCTTCCTGGGCATCAAGCTGTTGCTGGATTCCGTTCTGCTGCACAGAGGTGACGTTCTTACGCTCACGGGTTATATACAATGCTGACTTCCGCCCAGTCAACATCAACCACCTGTGGCAATTATGTCCAATCCAAACCGGGGCCGAGGAGGGCTTGTTGCTCGCGTACCTCGTGGAGGCCCTCCCTTCAATGGCCACGCAGGACCACCAAATGGGCGTGGTGGACCTACAGCAAGCGGTCATCCTGCATTGATAACAGAAGGCAGCTCAGGAGGCGAAGCTTCTGGATCGATATCGCAACCTGCCATGAACGCTAACCATGACAATGGTGCACCAAGCAGAGGCGTTGCGGTCCATCGTCCATATCTACATCCCAGAGGTAGTTCGCGAGGACGAGGGTTTGTGCCGCATTTTGATCGTGGGAGAGGAAGGAGTTACCGAGGAAGGGGACGAGGTGCTGTCGTTCACTCCGAGTCTTCATGAGCTCCATGTATTTTCACCTACCTATCTGTAGCCTTGCTTTTCCTTCATGTAATTTGATTTGCACTGTGTTATTCGCTCGATGTGGTTTTCGATGATACTCACTTGACCACGTCACTCATACTATCATTACTATGTCCACCAGGGAAGTTCGCGTTTTGGCCGCAAGGACAATACCTCGACGTTTGCACGGAAAAATGTTATCTTTTGACGGATCGATAGTCTAATATCTAAACACCCAACAAACTTTGCCTCCTTGCCAAACAGCAAAACTGATGGCAGTCATGGGTATCATCTTCAAGTAACCTATTCCTAATCCGACATAGAAACCTCTCCACCCTCCACTTGAGTACACAGCACGTACAGTCTCTCCCCACCGTAGCCACCTATCTGGTCTAGTTAAACCTCCAACTTGCATTCGCCGACGAACGACCTCAAAAGGATACGACACAGTCTGCGAAATTGCACCAGAAACAGCACCAATGGCAAGATTTGCCAAGGAGTGAGGTCGCTTGGAGTGGTCATCTATTACTGGGAAGAAATGCGCTCGCAAGAAATCCCAAGTGAGAAATGCCGTGCCAGCGTAGGGAATCATGCCCACCATGGTCACGGTGAAGCCACGGTAAAATTTGAGGACGGGAAAGCGCTCAAAGATTTGCACCGTTGTGGTCCGCGTTACAGGGGAAGGTGGGGAACCTTCGTTATATATGACGCGCATAGCTCTGAGAAATGAGGGACGCGTCTGGCCAGCAGAAAGACTAGATAGGCGACTATGGAATGCCATGCGTACGCGGACCAACTCGAGTGGATAAGTAAAAGTAACGCAGGTCATGCCTGTGGGAAATGCGATTGTATGAAAGGACATGACTGAGGGCCTGGCTCACCTGCAAGAGCGCCAGCAGCAAACCGTCGAAAATTTGTTTCTTTATCCCTATTAGGTATCACAAGCTGCATCGTACAGTAAGCAAGGGTGTACAGGAGTGGAATAGTGGACGTACCGCTCTCCATTGGTCATAGGTCATAAACTTTATGGCTGCGTACGGAAATATGCGTATAAGAGTCGCAGAGTGGCCTTGCAGCAATCCTCTGGCACCTCCATCTCTGTATATTGCGAGTCCGGCTCGATAAGCTCCGGTCCAGGTTCCTTTGGAGGTATGAAGTCAGTCTAGAGGTAGATGCAGAGATACGCTGTCTAGTATACACACCGGCATACTTCTGGAAATCAGGGTTTGAAGCTTGGAAGAGGATCTTGACTCTGTCAAGGGGGGCGACTGCCGTCTTCGCCTATAGATGCGGTGTCAATTGACTGCAGAGAGAATGAGAAAAACAAGGCATACGATACATCCTGCCAAACCACCAGCAATTCCAGAGCGAATAGCATAGTCGAATGAACTTTTGTCTCGCTGGCGAGAGACAGTAGAACTCATGAATACCCCAAGCGCTGTTGTTATGTGTGGACGACGCACTCATGCAGGGAGCGGAGGATGAGTTACTCCCCGAAGCAAAGCCGAAACGGACAAAATCACAAGCGATGTCCTTTACACGTGACTCCAAAGCGTCACTGACCGGGCCGTGACCCATCATCAACTTGAACATCGCTTTCACATCGTCAATGGCTAGCAAAGCGAAAGGCTCAGATGTAAAGGTCCTCAAAGGTCAAGAAGGTGAGGCCCAATTGCTACTATCTCATACATGTCTCACTTCGCATCAGCCGAAGATGCAATATTACAATATCTGAAAAGAGTGACCCAGAAAAAGGCGCATATATGCGCTATACTGACATGAAATGCAACAGATGAACCGTCCTTTTGGTGCTGTAGATGTCGCTGCCAACCTCAAAGGTGCAGTGCCAAAGGCTACAACGCAGAAGATCCTCGTCGCTCTAGCAGAAAAGGGGGAGATTGTGCAGAAAACATATGGTGCGTATAGCTTTATAAACAAGAATTTCTTGCATTTACGACCTATCGAGGGAAAACGAGCTTCTTCGTTGCAAATCAGGCTAGCATTGACACGGTTCCTGCTGACAAGCTTACAGAACTCGAGCTCGAGTGCAAGACGGTCGAGGACACTAACAATGCATTCGCAGTAGAGGTCAAAGCTATAACAGCAGGTAAACGCTAAACGAAAGCAACCGCAACCATCTTATATATAATCTCAACCGCGAAAGAAATATCAAAACTCAAAAATTGTCCAACGGACGAAGAACTCGAGGCCCAGATTGGGAGCACGAAAATGAAGTCAGTAAACGACTCTCACTTGTTTTGAAAGAACCAATATGACCTACTTTTGTCCCAACAAAGATAGCGCAACTCACCGACAGACTCGTCCCACTGCGCTCTGGTGCACCGCTCATTTCTGCTGAGGAACTTGTCAAGATCGACGCCGACTGGACAAAGTGGCGAGCAGAATGGATTCGACGAAGAAAAGTATTCATGACGTTAGTTCTTTACTCACCCACTGACACTTCCAGGCCATTAAAGCATCCAATACATAAAAACGTTTTACTAATCACCAAGATAGTTTTTGGCAGCTTGCAACAGATTCACTCCCACCCCAAGAAGCCGAGACGCTCCTCGAAGATTTAGGGATGGAGTTTGATACTACAGAACACAAGATACTCGAGAAGGGACCGTTGTGTGCTATGCAAGGTGCAAACGTGCGTGGTAACCTCAAGAGGAAGCGGGAATAGTCATTCATCTCAGCGTCTTGCACACCTATCCGTTTATTCATGTGCTTGTAAACATACATAATGAAGACTGAGAAAGAAATGAAAAGTATACAACGATCGATGATTAGAAATCGAATGCTGGACTCTGCCATCCCCTCCGCTTCTCCTCCTCCCTCTTCTTATGTTCGACGCTTTCCTTGAAACTCTGCACCTGCTTTAAACCTTCCTTGCCGACCTGCTCTACCTGTTCAACGGCAGTCGTCGCACCTTCCAAGACACCTCCGACTTCCGCACCATGAATCCTTTCTGCAAGCGGCTCTGCATGAGTTCCCAAGGGACCTCTCTTCTCCCCCGCAAGAATCTGTGGTTCCGCGCCCATCGCGATCTTTGCGTTGCCAGCCAAATCATCCTTGACAATTCCTGTCCCAGTTGCTCTCCAACCAGATAGCAAGCCACTCTCCATCCGCCGGAGCTTCCCTATCTCGCTCCACATTGCAGCAACGACAGATGACGTAGTCCCAAGTCCAGCATCCTCGAACACCTCTGAGCGTCGTCCAATATCAAACGCCAAAGCATCGGCAGTATCGAACAACCCCCGTATTTGCTCTTCGAGGGTGCGTGAAATCGCCTCGCGGAAACGAAGCATGATGACAGGCCTGAAGACGGATGCGAGGATGGGATGGTTGGACTGCTTGACTTGCAAGTTGATATCTTCCGCCACGTTCACCTCGATGCGCTCGATCTTAAAGAAGCGTCCAAGAAGCTCACGCTCCCGGAGACCTTCGGGCGTGTTTGGGATCAAGCGGAACTTGAGATCGATATCGATACCCTTTGGTGGCAGACTAAACTCCATGAGACCTGTGAAGTCCTTGGGCCCGACAATAGCAGTCTTGTCCCTGTAGAAGAATGATACCTCTTGAAGCGCGAGCTGGACTGCTTGCATCCGGATGTGTGTGAGTGTGCCAATGGCAGTGGTGGTTGACTGCGGCCCAGCGGGGGCAGTGATGTCGACGTCAGTGATATTGCGAATGTAGACGTGCCCAGGAAGCAAGCTCAACGACGAGATGTTGAAATTCTCGAGCACAAATTCGATCTCATTATCAACATACTCGGTTCTATCAAGCTCGTCAACGAATGCTGAAAACGCGAGTTACCTCAGGAACTCACCGTGGAGTCGGAATGTCCTCGATAACGCGCAAGAGGCGTGGTGCATAAACGTTGAACACGTCCTGCCAGAACCATGAGGCCTGATCGAGGGCAAACTGCATACCAATGCGTCCGCCCGTGCCAACGCTCTGCGCCAAGTCTTGACCAAACGTAGCATGTGCCTTCCGCACACGCTGCAGGTCTACATCTCTTGAGATCGCCTGTTGGAACTCATGAAGCTCCTCCCTGAGAGCCTGCACATCCTCTTTCCACTTGCGCGCTGCATTTGAGTCTTGGTCAAGAAGCTGCCTCCAGCGCTCCCCTAGCTGTTGGTGCATGTGACGAGCTTCTTCTGATCGTGCATAGGCAGGTTCATCGAGACTCTTCCGGACATGAGCGAAGAAATCGTTGAACCACTTCTTTAGGTCCTCGTCATTCCTGACGTGTACAGCGCACAGACGGGCCTTGGCGATGACGTCATTCAAGGACTTACCACCAGCGGCGCGCTCGACGAGAGTGCGTATGCCATGAAGGGCTTTAAGCACATGCTTATCTTTTGATGGATCGTCAATGAGGGACTCGAGCGACGTAGACTGATTCGTAGACTGATTAATATTAGCAGCAGTGTCAAGAGATTTGTTGATCCACTTCGACACGATGTTGAAAAGTGTGGAGATGGCGCGGTGATAGTCTTCGTCCTTCTGCGCACGTTCACAGATCTGCGCAAAATACTGTGAGCACTGTAAGGTCTGACCAAAGAAAAAACAAACATTATAATAGGTCTCCTGCAGGCGAATACGTGTGCGCTCAGCCATTTCTTCAGCGGATGCCTTCACCTTTTGCCCAACGCCTATACCCTTGAGTCCGGCCTCTTTTGCGGTATCCATCGTGTTCTCAAATTTCGCCTTCATGTCCTCCTCGCGCTCCCGCTCAATTTCTTCAGGGGTCTTTAGCTTGCGCCCCAGATTGTCCCGTTCACCTTGCTGCACCTCTGTATCGAGCTCGCGTATGCTTTGCTTGGTGTAAACGGCTCCGGTTTCAATACCCCCTGCGAGGTCAGCCATCGCCAGACGCGCAAAGGACGCAAAGTCATTCAGGAGGACATTTCCTTCATCGCTGACGTTTGTCCACAGAATGTGTAGAAGAGTACGAATGGTGGAGCGGATGGAATGGATATCGGAAGAAGCTTCATCTATATCAATTGCTTCTACACGCATGTCTGAGAAATCTCCCTCAGAGAGGTGCCAGAGAACTTGTTGCAAGAGGTTGTCATCTGTACCGCAATCAGATTTGAGGATTGAGGGAAGTTGAAATGCTCACAATTTTTATTGTTCCCAAGTTTTTTATAGGCAATGAGGAGGTCTTGTATAGCGCGCGCAAGAACTTTGCCCGGCTCGCTGATCTTTCCTGTTTCGGGAGATTCGACGCTGGCGACAATATTCTGGAGTGTCCAGTCGATTGCAGTATCCACCTGCTTCTGGGTGGGGAGCTTGCCTGCGGCGAGAGCAGCAATAACAGAAGATAATTTGTCCATGGTGTGAAGTTGACGGTGAGGAGAGTGGGGCCGGTGGAGTGTTATAAAGACCCAAACTTTATAGGGGCTCGTGATAGAAAGGAGGAATGACGCACATGAATACATGACGTGTTGTCGAACTGGTGTGATGACACAGGAGCAGCTCGCAGAATACCATAGCTATAAGCTCATTGATGACCCACTGTTGAACGATCCACGACTTCTTTACATAAACGACATCATTGATCAGTCGCATCCACGATGCAGGTAAGTGTATACCATAAATTTGAGGCCACATTATTGTGAGCACACTCTGCAGGACGAACAAGCACGTAGGAGGCCTCAGAGCACACTCTGCAGGACGAACAAGCATGTAGGAAGCCTCATGAACGGTGACGTGATCTAAGTATAGCAGTCCCTGTTCTATTTCCGGTGTCTAAAATTATTTTTGAGCCTTGGATATATAATAACCGAGTGCGTGTTTTGCCCCATTTTTTTTTACTCGCTTCCTAACTCCATTATAAAACCAGAACGTTCTTTGTTTCCTCACCACCATTGACTTTGAGACATGTCTCGCTCCACTCTTTCCGTCCTTCTAGCCATCGCCGCGACTTCAAAATTCGTTTCTGCTCAACCTGATCCGGCCGACCCAACACCACTTGTCGACAAAACTTATGCATACCCGTCAGGAATCGTGAGCTTCAGGTCCTCTTTCGTTATGCACTGTGTTCACATAGGATCAAATTTTCAAGCCTTACCAAGTCGACTACAACACCGCTGCTATCCGTGGCCCTCAGACAGGCTACAACATCTGTAACTCCACCACAGAGAACCAGAATTCCTTGTGCCAAACCTCAATGGTGAACCACATCGACGGTGCGTTCTCTTGTCAACAACACTGCATGTGTTCATTCGTAACGTCCACATTATTTTTTAGATTTCTGCTTATGGGCACCACCCATCCCCAACTCCACTATCGGCGATACTGAACAGGAGGAGGTTGCATGGTGCACAAAGCCTGGTCACGGCACTCGTCTCATTCCCAATGGTGCCCTTCAGGGTGTTCAGTATCTCGTCACATCGGAGTACATTCAAATCGCTGGTTTTATCGACCAGACTCAGGTTAACATGAACGCTCAAGACTATGGAGGAGAACTCGACCCTCATGGTGCTGACCTTGTGAGTCTTCCACATTTGTCGATTAGAGTTGAACTGACTTGGTCATTCAGCGTGGGAATCCTCTCGGAGGTTTGATGTACTCCAACGCGTTCCCAAGCAACGGTGGCAACAACAACTCCTACCAGCAAGTTATCGACTGGACGAAGTAAGTCGTTGAACTCGGGTCAGTTCTCTTTTTCGTGCTCACGAACCACAGCTTCATGGGTGGCGATGCCTTTTGTATCACAATCTGTGATCCTGCTTCTAGCAGCGCAAACCAGTCCGCTTACTGCCAGAACATCTACGACCGCATGGGATGTTCTTACAACATGCCCAACAATGCCCAGAACGGTACCTTCGAGGTTTGCGACTCCGACCTGAAGATTCCTGCTGGTCTCTACGTCACCGGCGGCGTTACCATGACTTACACTCAACCAAATTCCGGCGTCGTCGACCCACCCTACACCGCTTTCACTCCCGCCTCGTCCAACTGCGTGACTTACGCCAGCTCCGCCCTCTATACTGGCCTCGCCACAGTCACCCCTACCGGTGTCTCCGCTTCAGCGAGCGGCGCTACCGCTAAGGCCTCTTCGACTGGCTCGAACACGGCTGGTGCTGCCGCTGCAACCCACAGCGGCGGTGCTGTCGCTCTTGGCGTTTCGACCCTTGCCGGTGTCACTGGTACCCTCTTCGCCATGATCTTCCTCTCATGAATCCACTGTGCTGCTGACTATATCCTTTAGCCTTGCATATGCTAATATACCTGTACACTGACATTCATGATAGTAGTGGGTTATCTGTGTTACCTTCACTGAGACGATTGTTGTTGCATGCAACGATGGACTTGTTCATTTTTACCTTCGGAGTGACTCATGATGTTTGTTATTACTGTTTGGACCATAACGCACGAACTGGAATATAACAACTTGGTTACTGTCTCATTTGGTGTGTTTGCCCTCCATGTACGTGATGAGGGCGGATGAAACGGCGGTGATCATAAATCTTGAACTTGATATATCCGTCCCCTATTGTCAAGGTGGGTACTGTCTGGTCATTTTCTCGTTTCCGCAGTGGTAGCTGTGTTTATGGTTCGCGCAACACGCCATTTGGGGAATGCGTCTAGTAACTCTAGTTTGTATCATAGCGACTCAGTTGTGATGACCAATCACCGAGTTGCGGTGGGTGTTTAATTAGCACAATTGAGACCTTCATTTATGCTCAAGTGTCGT